GATGGGGGACGGCGACGATGACGAAGACAATGAGGTATGGTGAGATGGGGGACGGCGACGATGATATCAGTAGCAACGATGATGAGAACAACAAGGCACGATGGGATGAAGAGAACATCATATAACTACTAGGTACTATACAAGACGACGACGGTGAGGTTCTTGCGTTCTCCTCCAAGGCATCACACAAGGTAGATGTAATGATGGAAAACACAAACGCCAACAACCCAAAAGCAAAACTCGCGAAATAACACGACCAAAGCAAAACTCGCGAAATAACACGACCAAAGCAAGAACACGCGAAATAACAAGACCAAAGCAAACACTCATTGACACCCGCCAGCACCAGCGCTCGCAAAGACAAACAAGACCGACAACGAGCAGAGCCATACCTCCAGGCGCCGCCAACAACAAGACAAGAACACAACAAGATACTCAAGGAGTACGGATCGAATGTAGTACCCTCTGGCGGGTGAACATTGCCGCTCGCTTGAGTAGGCCTGCCCCCAGGAAGTACGGAGCGGATGTAGTACCCTCTGGCGGGTGAACATCGCCGCTTGCCTGGGGGCTAAGCCCTCCTATAACCAAAGACCAAAGCCAACAACCAAACGAAAAAGCACGAACAGCCCGAACCGCAAGAGCAACAATGCTCCTGTACCCTGTACCTGAAGACCCAACCAAGCCGAAGACGAAGAAGAAAGAGGAAGAGAGGACTGGATGTTTCCTGAGGAGGTCGGGGAGTGCGAGCAGTGCGAAGGCAGCCACCCGTTCACCCGAGTTGCTCCCTGGGAAGTCAGTGCTCCGAAGCGGTCGATGACCGTTCGCTTTCGCAAAGGATGGTCGTCCAGGAACTCATGTTCCTGAGCGCCGCCTCATTGCGCAGATCCTGGATCTGACGGAGATGTATGGTGTTTGGGGGGGAGATAGAGTAATGAGAGGAGGAGACTGTGGGCCATCTCCCCAGGGCAGGAAACCTGCAGGCCTCTCCGCCCCTTTCTTCTTCGGACGGCGTCAACTTGGTGGGCAGGTACACCGGCACAGGTGCACTGCCGTCTTGCGGCTGGGACCATTCGTACTCCTCGAATGGCCATTGACCGATCTTTGGCACAGGAGCCTTGAAGCGGTCCTGCTTGAAGTTGATGACACGAGGAGCAGGGTTAGTCGCGTCAACCTTGTCAGCTTTGGAACAGAAGCAACCCATCTTGAAGGTAGAGTGAAGTCTTGAAAATGGTTATGATGCTTTGGTTATGCTAGAGCAAGTATGAAGAAGGGAATTGAAAGGTATGGGAAAATTGGAGATTGATATAGAAAAGAGGCCTCAGAACTGGTTGATCTTGTCGCCCAAGATCAACCTCGCTAGAGAACTCAATCATTGTTGAGGAGGAGTTCTTCGTCTGAATGCTTGAGTAGAAAGTCGTCGAAGAACCTTATGAGGAGGGTCACATATCGAGTGTACCGTGGTTCGATATACGCTGCGCCTCGATGAACCAGTGGTTGGTGCCAATGAAGACACCTCACGAGACCATTTTGCGACAGTTAGGGCCCATAATCAAGCCCAACGAGATAGGCAGCAATGAAAAGAGCATGAGAACAATGGTTCAGGAAAACTTTGTCGCAATTGCAACTTAATCATTCTCAGTCCATTGCCAATGAGACATCAGGATCAGGAAGAATTGTTTGATCTCGAGGCCATGAAGACCTCATCATGATCTGTTGCCTAATCTCACCATGGTTTTGTTGAGAATGGAGCCTTTACTTACCTCAGATCGACAGAGCAAACATTGAAACCTCTGGTTCCAAGTGGAGATGCGATATGATATGTGGTGGAAATGGGAGCGAGTTGAGAAAACTGAGCAGGTAGTTTGAATAAGCTCCTGTCGCTTGAACGTCACGGGTCGTGATATGACCCACAGGTGGATCCTACGGTGGAATTTATGCTTGATTTGAGACATGTAGTCCCTTTCGACGCCATTCTGCCAGACTTGCGTTTGGGAGCAGATCAACTCCCCTGAAGGCTTTCTGTCTTCTCATTGGCTCTCGATCAACTTCGTTCTGATTCTGCTTCCCATCACCAGCACCTTAGCACCCAATCCCTCCACCCATGGTCACTTCTTAACAACATAGTTGCCTAACCATTCAATGACCAATCCTTAGCCTACTCTAGTAGATGACGCTAAGTTCTCACAGGTCGACTTCCCTCTCTAAGGTGACTAACCTCATAACAAATTTACTACCTCTTCCAACACTCGTCGTTACTTGTCTGCAATTCTTCAGCTGCAACAGCCACATCTATTGTGTCCCTGCTACTCTTCCTCTCGGGATTGCAGAGCCATTGCCAGATATCGCTGCAGTCAACAGACTCCACTGCGTCAGTTCCGGCAAACTGCACTTGGCTGGTTCTGGGCAAAGCCTCCACCACAAACCATTATCTGCCAAACTTAATTACAGGTCAATGAGCCGCTCTGCCATACATATCTCGTCGACGAGTGGAACACTTGATGGCTTGAAGCCCATTTTCTTCACCACCACCTGTTTTCTTGTTGCTGCCTAAAGGCCAAATCCACAAGAACCATTATCTGTCGACTTACTTACAGAATAGTGATCAATGAGTGTCTCGCCAGTGGATTCTTAATTGATCATTCTATTCTATGAGACTCGAATTCTTTCCATTATCCATTTCAAATTGGTGGTTGATGCAAACCAAATCCGAGCAAACTGTTGAGGGTCCACAGGTTCAACACATTCATCCCTTGCTCATTTGAGCCACAATCAGCATGATCGCAATTTGCGACAAATCAGAGACGATTTCTGGGGATCAGGATCAGAATTTCGAGGATCATTCTCATCTGTGGGTCGCAAAATGATCAGAGGAGAGTGATCATCTGATCGGCCAGTGATCTGATCAGACAAGTGATCTGATCAGCTCTTGGGTTCTCATCGCACGTGCAGGATCGAGACTCAGGGGCTCACCTCATGAGTCATTGGAGGATACGGTAGGTCACTGATTGCCCTACAATGTTCGAGTCAGGGGATCAAATTGCACATTGTAGTCACGTGTTGGCCTCGGATTGCTGTCAAGCCCTGAGCCAGGATGGCATTCAGTCACGGTTTTCTCCCAGATCTGGCTCCACAACGGTCTCGCTGTGGCAGTGGCGTTCTCTTCATAGAATTGGCAGTGGTAAGCACGAATAGTCATGTTACATAAGAGATAGGTGGAAAGTAGAAATGGAGGAGCACATAGGGCGGCAGTTGAGCACGGTAGAGCCGAATCCTGCAGCGTGGCGAGGACTATTTTCTGCGATTCCACTGCAGACATGGTGTGAAGAGTACACGAACACAGCGGTGTCTGAGCATAAGATGTCGTAGCTTGTGTGCGCCAATTTAGTACTAATCTCCACCACGCTACAGCCCGGGAGGTGGTGAGTTGAGGCGGTGGCAGCAGGGGATGAGCGCAAGTCCTTCAGCCGTTCTCAATCTAGTCAGGCTTATAGACTAATGTGTTCATCTATTTCTCTAGAGTACAAAGTAGGTGACGTGATAATATGAGAGCTCCGAGGAGATAGTCTATATGTCAGCGAGAATGTGTGGTGGAAAATGCGTGGCCATGTCAATTGAGGCTATCGATAGATCACGAGTGGACAAATTATAGTCATTGAAAATCCAAAGATGCACACCTCGCTTGGAAATGCAATAGGATGTGTCTGGAGCTGCAACAAGCCTCTCTAGGCACTGCCTGATTAATCTTAGCATTGATGCTTGATACCCTTTGACATGGGCTATACTGCATTGTTACACGAGGTGCACACCGACACCAGTTTCCAGTGTCGAGGTTGTCGTAAACTTGTGGTGAAGCCTCCCTCCAGCAAGAGGCAATTGATATGTCATCCAACTTCACCAACACAACATCCACAACACGATCACATCGTCTGATTAGACCTATGGGCATCTTCATCGTCAAATTCCACTCTGTCTAATTGAAATAGAATGCTCTGTTTTGATGGCGGAACCTTTGTAAGCGACCTCGTATTCATCTCGGAAAACCCCCCTACCTGGCCTTTGTCGGTGAGGCCTCAGCCAACAGCGGCCCAGCATCCATCCACCTGGCCATGCATCTCGGTGAACGCGAAGAATCTCTGGTCTTTGCCTAATTCGATCGGTGCTGCAGTGACTTCTCGCCTAACGCCTCTCCGTATTGCACCATAAGCTTGATTTCAGCCCCCACATGAAAACGACGTTGTGGGATTCAAGATGGAGAGATCTCGACATACCAATACGAAAGGAACCTCATTGACAAATTTATCCTTGCCAGCATAGCCCTACATGTGTTGGATGGTGATTTTTTGAGTTGTCAGCTAATTCATCGTGGTCGATGCCATGTGCAACTCGACCACTTTCATGCCTTGTACTCGATGAATGTCTGGCACGAGAGGTAGGTATATAAAGATGCAATTATCACGGAGTGATGGCCAGATCTTCATTCCAACATCAACAACAAAACAAACAGTCTCATTTCCTATTACTTTTCTATTTCTTCATTTCCTTTGTGTCGGTCATTCACTCGACAATAGCTACTTAATCTATAGCAATAAACACAACCACATTCGTTCCGCTACAAAGCCTACCAGCAGTCTATCTTCTACTCTACACCCAAACCAAAAGTCCACCGACATCATCATGCAGTACAATTACACCACCCTCGCTCTTTCCCTGTTGGCTGCCACTGGCGCCATCGCACGGCCCTACTACTCGTACGAACAAGACCACTCCATCAGCGTCTCCTTCACCGATGGTGTACTCGTGAATGATGGACTCTCATTTACCGAAGGATACGCCGAGACTCAGGTTCCCCTCAGCTTCAACCAATTCACCCAGATCACCCTGACCCTGGGCAAGGACGTGGTCAACCAAAACCTGCGCTGCCAAGCACAAGACACCAATGGCAAGCCGATTGTGGTGTTGCGCGGGGCCAACACAGACGTGAGCTTCGGCGACGGCGGCAAGGGAGCCTGGACCTTCCGAGCCCCTGCAACCATCGCCAACGTCACCTGCGACGATGCTTTGATCAAAATCGACCCGGAAGATGACCGCCTCAACCTCCGAGTCGTTCTCAGCAATGACGCCACTGAAACGGGTAGCCAGACTCAGCTCAAGGCCGGTGTATTCCAGGACGCCGTCCCCGTGGCGACTTCGGGTCCATTTGATTCTGTTGAGCTCAGAGTTGGCGATCTCGTCGCCAAGCAGGACCAGCGTTGTCAGGTCCTCGACAGCTTCGGCAATCCCATCACCGTCCACCGCAATGGCAAGACTGATAACACCTTCAGCGACGCCAAGAAAGGTGCCTGGATTTTCGATGCTGCCACCGAGGTCGCCGAAATCATCTGTGATCCCAACTTCGTCGGAGCTTCCTCTTGAGGGATTGTTCCAGTGTTGAGGAATGGCAGAAGCGGAGGATAGGAACATTTCAATTTGGATATTGCATAGCGTGGACGGTCGGTTTCATATTAGGCATTAGATTCGTTTTTTTTTGGCTTTTGCATCATCTGTCTTTTATTACCGTTGGCATAGACACTAGAATCTCACTTATACATTCTTTGAATAGCTGTACTATACTTTTTACCAGCACCTTCCCTCCTTGAACCTGCGCCGATCAATTGCCTCTTTGGGATCATCGTGGCACGTTAGCAAAAATGTCACGTGATTCGGGTTTTATTCGGGAAGGAGCTGGTCCTTCATGCCAGGCCAACTTCTTCTGTGATTGATACATTGCAATATGGGTAGATACTACCTAGCAGGTGCTCGGAAGGCTTGATCAGATGATTTATCATCTATAAGACCTCTGGATGATAATAATTTGCGCGCACGAGGGTTAGGTACTCATGCAGCGCGAAAGTCGAATGAGAGGTTGAGTCTTCAATAAAAAATAAACATAATACCAACAAAAAAATATTCATCCCACAGGGCCAAAACAATCAATGGTCGGCATTCCCAAATTGTCGTCCACGTTGGTACCTCTTTTACACGTGAGAGTAGCTGTTCTCGTGCAGCTCTGATCAGGGTTTTTGATGGGTCGGCGGATCGAACACCACATAAATGCTCTTCTTGATCTGGTCGATGTAGAAGCCAACACGCCTTAGCGCAAGATATCGTGGGTGGTTGGAATTGCGTCCGGGAACCATAATATTACCGTAACGGCAAAGTATTCCAACAACAATCACACATTGATATGCGCGGCAGCCTTTTGCTTATTGTATCAGTAAAGAATTTCGTATGCACTTACTAAATAACTCGATCTGCAAGCGTGGGTTTTGGATTCATCATGTCATCACCATAGATTACTAGGCACCTTAGATTGACACTTGTTCCTGCTCGCAGACCGTGTACTGGGTGGACGAGTGAGGAGCGTCGTCCTCCTCCAGACCAGAAACATCCGGGTTACATTATCATGATTATCGAGCAACAGCGAGGACAGGTGATGTGAGTGGAATGTTATTGTGTAACCTGGTTTCTAATCCTTCTCCAAACTCTGGATAACGAGCCATGTCCAACGATAACGTCCCTTCAACAAGCCATGTTCCCAAACACTACATCAATCAACGACTCTCATATAACGATGCTGCCTGTACAGTTCGGTGGATCGGAACCCTACCCAAGACCACAGGGACATGGCTAGGGGTGGAATGGGATGATGTCAGCCGCGGGAAACACGATGGCACCTACGACGGGCGACGTATCTTTCGATGTATCACACCTGACGACACTACAGCAGCGAGTTTTGTGCGGCCAAGTCGAAAGCCAGACGAAGTCAGGACTTTGATGGAGGCAATCAAGCGGAAATATAGCAGCGGAATCGGTCAAGACAAAGAGAAACGAGCCCCTGGCGCTGCTGCTGACGTGGGAGGAGAACAAGGACGACATGAAATCGTGGTGTCTGGTAAGGTCGTCGAAGAAGTCGGCTTTGACAAAATTTCCGCCCAACTCTCCGATCTAGCAGAACTGAGGATTGTTCTGGTGGATGAGTTACGGGTCGGAGGCGTGACGAGGAAAGACGAGGGTTGGACGGAGAAGGAGATGGAGGAAGCGCAGGAGGAATTGCGCCGTGTGTGCCCAAAGATTGTCGAATTGGACGTCGGCTGGAATCTGATGGAGAGTTGGGAAGAGGTGCTCGAGATGTGTGTGCCGTTTGAGAGATTGAAGATTCTGAAAGCCAGTGGATTAAGATTATGGGATCTGGAGAGCCACAAGGATGGTCGAACGAGGCGTTTCGAAACGGTGCAAGAACTGCATCTCAATGAATGTCTGCTGCGATCTGATCAGATCCCTTCGTTGTTGTCTTACAACGGCGATAAAGGTCCAGTCTTCCCAGCGTTGAAGACATTGTCCCTCAATTCCAACGCCATGCCTGCATTTTCAACCACCGCCGCAGTTTCCTTCCCAAGTGTTACGACTCTCACACTCGATAACAACCGATTGACCGACCTCTCCAGTCTTCCAGACATCTTCAAACTGTTTCCCGACCTCTCTACCCTTTCACTACAGGGAAATCTGATCTCAGACATCAATCTGCCCTCCTGGACGCCTCCCACTTTCCCCAGTCTCACAACATTGAACATTGCCGCCAACAAAGTCGCCTCATATCATTTCCTCGATTCTCTCCCCAGCATCTTTCCCAATCTCAGCTCTCTACGCATAACTAGAAACCCACTGTACGACTTCGAAGGTAGTACGACTTCTACTGAAACCTCATCTGGCATAAATCCTCAACATGGGCCGTTATCGGCGGGCGCCCAAGCCGACTCGCGCTCCTATTACCTGACTCTAGCACGAATACCCTCCCTAAATTCGCTAAATTACACCACGATCACACCGAGGGATCGAGAGGAGGGTGAGATTTACTATCTCTCTGTGGTGGACAAGGAGATCCACGCGTTGATAGACCCGGTCGTCCATGCCAGCACAAGCCCTCCTCACGAGGTGATCAGACAAGAGCTAGAGACCATTCGAACTTCCAATCCACTACATGTCGTCCTCTCTGCAAAGTACGAGAGAGATGATCTGGTGGAAAAGTATTCGCGACTATTCTCTGAAAGTACGAGCGTATCAACTTCCCTCGACCCGTCTACCGACCCAGAATCAACCACGTTCCCCAGCCAAACCCACCGGAAGCCATACCCTCCATCCACTCCAGGCTCACGGCTCGTCGACGCACATTTCATGTTGATACAGCCTCGACAGCCACCAACACCACAATTCCCAGTAGACCCCCATGCGACTTCAACACACTACAATCGACGCATCCCCACCACCATCTCCGTCTACCGACTCAAATCCCTTGTCGCGGCCTTCTTTGGTCTGCAACCATTGAAATTCAAACTCATCTATGAATCCGACGAATTCGATCCCGTGGAAGTGATTGACAAAGGCATGGGCGGGATTGTAAGTGATGGTGGTGCGGCAGCAGCACCGTCTACCACGGATAGTAAAGAACAATTATCCCAGGAAGAGATACAACTATCCGAATGGAGACGTTGGGGTGAGTGGGACGTGGACGATCTTGTTACTGGCGACAAAAATGACCAGACTCCAAGTCTAGGGACTGATGACACTCACGGAAACGAAGAGTCTGAAGACCAGACTGAAAGCGGCCATAGCAATGGTGATGGTGTATACATCACACGCGCAGGTCAAAGATTCAAGAAGCGGGAGACAGAGATCCTCGATGGTATGAGACCATGGGGTGACTTTCTGGACGAGGTGGCCGCGAGCCATTTGGTCTTGTCTTCTTCGTCTCAGGCGCCACCATCTAGTTCGGCTGTGGAGTTACTTCGAAGTGGAGGTGCGAGCGCTATGAATGCATTGCGCAAGGACACCGGCACTGGTACTGGTACTGGCACCGTGACAGTCAGATCTGTCCGAGAGGTCAGGATTCGTGTAGAGCCTCTGTGACGGTACTGTGGGAACTCATGATCAAGAACAAGAGATCGAATCTACGCGATAGACGATAGAGAAAGATGACTCAGGGGGAGAAGTAGATGGATTTTTACATTATCGGTTGGTTTTGTTACATATCAACAACAGGATCCTTCTTCATCTAGGTATTCCATCTCCTGTTTAGAGTGGAATGCACAAGTTGACCCTCTCACACTCACGCATTCTCATCCTCAATATTTCCCATAACCGGCTTCTGCGCCCTTAGGTCCTGTACAGGAATGAGACGAGATTTCTCCTCTCCAGTGAGTAAGCGCGCCGCACGAGCTTCTTCCTCTGGATCGAGGACGAATCGTCTCATTCGCTCGCCGAGTCTAGGATCAATAACCACATCTTTCATCCAAATCACCTCTGTCTCATCACCTTCCTTACGCGGTTTCCGCACTGACTTATGCCATGTCTTTTCCTCCTCTCCTAGTAATGATTGCTGTTCCCAGGTTTGGCCTGTTTGAACGGGACTCTCATCGGCGTCATTTTCTGGTGTTCGCGTGGCGACTGGGGATGGGTCGAGTTCTGATGTTGGGGATGCGAATGTTGATAATTGTTCATAGGGTCGGTTGGCGGCGAGGACGATAGCGGCGGTTTCGCGCCCGATTTGATCGGCTAGATGGCGGCGATTGAGGAAATTGTATATCCGGACGGGGAATTTGAGGAAGCCAAGGATGTGTTGTTGGTGGATGGGTTGGGATGGTTCAAGCTCGGAGGGGATGTTTGGTGAGAGGCGTGATGAGGCGTATTCAGAGATGGAGAGATAGGCAGGAGGTGGAGATGGTTTTTTCTTCTCTTCTTTCTTTTCTTCCTTTTTCTCTTCCTCCTTCTTCTCAGGTTCTGTGCTTGTCTCGGTAGGTGACCCGGTGGTAGTTGGCTCATCTGATCGAGTTTCAGTGGGGGGAGGTAGTGATGGAATATCAAAGTCTTCTTGTGGCGGAGGTGGTGGTGGGAGTGGTTCTTCCACGGGTCCAAGCCAGCCTTCATGTAGACCTCTGATGTATTCTTTCCAAGTATGTCTCCCAAGCACGAGGTCACCGCGCACGCCAGGTTCGGGTCTGATGTGGACGGCCTCCCGTATGGTATCGATTATCAGCTCCGTGTCGGGTTTTTGTTCCTCGTCTGGCCTTGGTCCTGTCTCGCCCTTTCTCCGCCGGAGTCTTCGTATCTGTTCGGCGGTACCGTACCGCACATCGCCTTCTTTACGGCCTTCAATTACATCGTAGTCCATGGCGGCGGCAACCAGGACGGGTTTTACATATTCCTTAAAATATTGCCTCGAAGTGCGGATGCCATCGCCAGGAGGCGCAGATAAGAAGACGGTCAATTTCCTGGGCATCTCTTTGACCTCAAGAGGATTTTGAGAAATATGAGCGACCAAGTCGCACCACTTTTGTTGATTCTTCTTCCTGTGGTGACGGTCATAGAGGACGGCTGCAGTCCAGGAACCGGTGACGGAGAGAAAGATGAGCCAGTTTCGAGAGGGCAGTTTGAAACGAAAGTTGGGCATGCCTGGTAATAGTCAGATGAGTCAGTCGTACGGCGAGCGCAGTGAAGTAGACACAAGACTCACCCATCATCCGGAAAACCGGGTTCTGTTTCGGTGGTTGCTTTGGAGGTTCATATTTGGCTCCTTCTGGTAGACTGGAGTTGGACTCCGGTTTGGGAGGTTCTGACATGGTGAAATTGTGCGCAAGAGGCGGTGATGTATCGGACTGGTCACGTTTCAGGCTATGGGTGATATTCAGTGCATGGCTATGATGCACAACGTTTGGTGGTTGACATGCATGAGAGAGTCTGCACTACTCTGAATCGTCTCTAGGAAAAAAACATGATGGAGATGCAGATTGGAAGCATGAGGGTTGGATTTCTGCCGAGGTTTAAGCGAGGGAGTAGCACGAGGACAGGAGTAGGCAGGTGCCTGTTGATTCGAGGAGTCTGTGTTAGTAGGCCACTAAGATACTAAGTGCGTAGCCATCGAGTTTTATTTCCTTAGCATCCAGAGGAAGAAAGAATGCCCCAGGTGCGTCGGCGCGACCTGCCCTCCAAAGAGAAACTCGTAATTCACTACTACTCCGTACAAGGGCAGGGCACGTGTGACAAGATGTGAGGGAACAAGGTCTGCCAGGCGCAGGCGGTGTCAAGCCTCACTGATTCAATCAGAGGAAAGACACAGTCAATAATATCAAGCCAGGGTAGCAGTCTGAGAACCAATGAATCTGCTGTGCCTGAGAATCCTCAACCCCTAGATCTTGTGTGTGCCTAACGAAACGACCTGTCGTGCCTGTACGGAGTACGGAGGTTCACGGTCCAAGGGGCCCCAGGTGCCCCTAGCTTTGGCCTGGCGTGCCTGGATAACGCCCCCAGTGGCCCCCTCCAACATCCATGACCCCTAGATTCCCCGCCAATGCCCAAGTGAACCCACCAAGACACACCTTATGTGGTTACGCTTGTGCTCTGGACGCTGTCTGCTCCGTGCTCTGGTGCTTCAACCCTGTTGAATCTGAGACGAGACTACTCCGTATGTTAGTGGTGATCAGAATGAGCATTGCGTCTGCGTGCACCTGTACTGATTGAATACATACACCACACCCTACACAGTCATTTCTTTTCTTTCACGAGAGCAGAGCTACCATCGACACCTGGTCGTGTTTCTGTACGCGATCTCTCTCACTCGATCGTTCAACCTACTCTCGTGCTCTATTCCCCTGCGTGTCGTTATTGCCCTCCTCTCCTAAATCGGTCTCCATCTCCTATACGACCGAATTTCTCCTGGATTTGACGCCCGATCACCTCTACTCTCCTCTTACCCTGCAATACCGACCGTCACTCCTTCTCGTCCCTCTTTCCCACCCTCAAGTCCGTGTCTGACCTAGAGTCAACGCCCTGAGACCAGTGTTGAGACCGGCAACAATCTGACCACCCTCAATCCTCCTCGTCACCTCTAGGCCTCGTCGACCTCTACCCTCCTTCCACTTCCAACCATGGATCACGACAATAACCGTTTAAGGCTGAATTTTCAGTTTGACAACCAACACAATTCTGATGCTGCCAATGCGAGAATGTATCCTACTACCCCGTCCACGTTCCCACAATCCATCTATGGCGGTCAACAGCAAGACTATATGGGCGGCATAGTGTCTCCTAACACCGCCAACAACCCTGGTTATTTCATGAACCAGGGTTTTCCTCAACAATCTCCGCAACAACAGCAGCAACAATATCATCAGCAGCAACAGCAACAGCAGCAGCAGCAGCAACAACAACAGTACCAGTATCAGCAGCAGCAGGCTAATCTTCAATCTCCTCAGCCCGCCTACCAAGCAAACTCGAGGCCTTATATGCCCGCCAACAATAACGTCAATGATGGTACCAGTGGCTTGATCCAACAGTTTTCCAACCAGGATCTCGGTGCTGCACCTAGGCCGGTCGCCAACCGCACTCCGTCGCCAGCAAACTCCCGCCCACGCACTGCAGCCGACCCAAGACAGGCCCAAAATCCATACCAAGCCCATCTCGCTCCTCCTGTCCCTTCGCAAGCCAGAACCCAGCCGAAGCCAGAAGAGGAGGAAGTTCCCAATCCTCGAAAATATTCCGACAACATACTGAAAAGAGGCACCGCCGCTAAACAACTCGTCAATTCTTTCTTCCAAGAAAACATCGAGCGAGCCAGGGATCGAAACAGCCGTGCCAAGGAACTCGATGCCATCCTCAAAGACCCCAATACCCCCGAAACCACCAAGCAAAAGGAGATCAATACCCTGGCCCAGAAAGAAGCGCGTTTCTTACGCTTTATTCGAACAAAGGAATCTCCCCAAAATTTCACCACCATCAAGGTTATTGGCAAGGGTGCGTTTGGCGAAGTCAAATTGGTTCAACGCAAGTCCGATGGCAAGATCTACGCCCTCAAGTCTCTCATCAAATCAGAAATGTTCAAGAAGGATCAGTTGGCTCATGTGCGTGCCGAACGTGATATTCTCGCCGACTCCAAGGACAACCCATGGCTGGTCAAGCTTCACGCATCTTTCCAAGACTCTGCTTTCCTCTATATGCTGATGGAATTCTTACCGGGTGGTGACTTGATGACCATGCTGATCAAGTATGAAATCTTTTCCGAAGACATTACTCGATTTTACATGGCCGAAATCGTCATGGCCATTGAAGCCGTCCACAAGCTGGGCTTTCTGCATCGGTAGGTGTTTTCTTCTAGAGTATGATTTTTCTGACACTGACCTGGAATAGTGATATCAAACCTGACAACATCCTACTGGATCGAGGCGGGCACATAAAACTGACCGACTTTGGTCTCTCCACTGGTGGTCGAAAGCAGCACGAGAATTCCTACTACCAGGCGCTACTCAAATCCAATGCTCATGACAAGTCTGGAAATCGTAACTCGATGGCTCTAAACGAACAGATCAATTTGACAGTCAGCAACCGTGGCTTGGTCAACACATGGAGGAAGTCTCGACGTCATATGGCATACTCTACGGTGGGCACACCAGACTACATTGCTCCTGAAATCTTCCTAGGTCAGGGTTACACCTACTTGTGCGATTGGTGGTCAGTTGGTGCCATCATGTTTGAATGTCTGGTCGGCTGGCCACCGTTCTGTGCAGAAGACACTCACGACACCTATCGTAAAATTGTCAACTGGCGTGAATCCCTTTACTTTCCCGATGAGCTGGTCTTGGGCCGGGATGCAGAGGATATGATCCGATGGTAAGTCTTGTGATTTCCTGGACAACGCATCGTGCTGACATGTATCTAGCTTCCTTTGTGACGCAGCAGACCGGTTAGGCAAAGAGGGTGGTGCTCATGACGGAGCGACCAGTATCAAAAAGCATCCTTTCTTCCGTGGTGTGGTTTGGGATCAGTTGCGAAAGATCCGTGCACCTTTCGAACCCAAGCTCACCTCCAACATCGATGTCAGCTACTTCCCAATTGACGAAATCCCGCAAGAAGACAACAGCGCATTACACCGAGCACATGCCAAGCAGGTCTTGCCTGAACAGGATGCCGAGATGAGCTTGCCTTTCATCGGATACACGTACAAGGCTTTCAATGCATTCTCCAACTCGTGATGAAAGGGAGTGCAACAAGGCTAGGATGTGGGTTGTTAAGAGTGGACTTTGGTCAATGATCAGATATCATGTCTTCTGGTCAGATGGAATGAGACAATTCGGCGACACTGTGCGTCATGAAACGTGATGGAAAATTACAGAAATGGTAGCAGAGCATATTGCATGGAGTTTAGTTCTAGCGCATTTTGTCTTAGAGAAAGAATGCTGAATATGTCTGCATTAAAGGATGGATGATTGTCCAGACATGAGAAGCATCGAGGCACAGAGGGTAATTGAGTAGAGACCCTAATTGAGGCTGAATGACGTCAATGGAGAACCACCGTGCTTTTCCTCCCTTGCATATGAGTTTCACAAAGATATTCATCCCTCCCATGCAATTCCTGCAAACCATTGTGCACAGTCATTGTTTTGCAGAGTCAAACAATTGCGGAAACACTGTCGCTTGGTCCTGGCACACTTGTTTTCCTGTCGAGAAGCCATTCTTCGATCAGAACGCGTCTATCCATCACCTGACCCTGTGCAGACATACGGAAATGGATGTAAGTCATGTCTGCTGGTTTTACTGGAGTTCCCTGTGGCCACATGCACTTGTGATGCTGCATTGTCCTTCATCATGATTGACTAGTGCCAGGTCTTCTACATCTATACATATAGCACTGCAGCATGGTTGAGTGTCCAGGCACTCGCCCTGATGGCTTTACCCAAGTTGGTGGTTGCGCTGGTCGCGAAAGAAGGATCTCCTGTTACAGGTAAGCTGACTTGAGGAGGAAACAGAGCAGACGGAGCTGTGACTTGACCTTAGAGATCTGGTCCATTCCTTCTGCCATACGTGGCCAGAGGTGTTTCTGAAGCTGACCATACCCGTTTATGTCACCAGATGTTGAGATCTATCTGGCTCGTCTCCTGGCGATTTCCCTTTTCACTATCTCCATTATTTCCCTCTTCTTCACTGGTACCATCCCCATCTCGTCAAGTTCCATACCCCCAGTCACCTCCCCGACATCTACGAGCACCGATCCTGAATCACCATATACTAAACCCATCCTTGTGACTACTACGCTCTTTCACTCTCTATGCACATTCTATACCTATGCACGCTACACTCAGGATGGTACAAGCGGATATGTATTGGGCGCCGCTGGATATGGAGCGCTGGCAAGTATAGGGGTATGGTGTCTTGTTTTTGGCACTGGACCAGGTAGGGTCAGTGGCAGGACTGGCTTGGATAAAAGAACGAGCCGTTGGTTAAGTGGAAAGGGATCTGGAAGGGAGAAGCTAGTCTGAGCACCTGTGTTAGTTTCTGCTCCTTTCTCATACACAATCAACATTGTCTCAGATCATCAGACAAGATACTTGGTGGTTGAGGCTGGATGTGTTCGCATGAAATGAGATAGAGCGTCGTGCATGTGGTTTGAATGACAAGCCTAGATCTTTGATATTACCACAGCATCTTGAAATTGCTTTGCATCATAACCAGACTCATAGTATCAATTCCAAGCTGTGATACTCACCTCTGAGGCTGTGTCAGCATTGTCAAGGTGTCTGTCGTGAATAATCAGGTGAGGAACGAGTGGATCACATGTACACAGCCAGCTGACATGACATTGCTCCTTCCGCCGCTTGCCGCTTTTCCCCTTTCCCCACGGGTTGCTCCTTCCCCTCCCGACCAAAGCCGTGATTGCCTGTGTCGAGGTGCACAATTTATCACGTGACGTCACTCCTTCTTCCTCGAACTTCATTTCTCAGAAAAGCAGCAACACTCCATCTCCAATCCATCAACACTAAACTCCCTTACACTTCCAGGTTCATCCGCATCCTTACTCTGCCTCCATCCAAGGCCATCGCCTCATCGCGGCTGCCCCGCGGCCAGTCTCCAGTCACAACATGGACACCAATCCTCTGCGTACCTTCGCGATTCCCGTTGAACCCATCCAGTTTTCCACCACCCCCGTCGTGAACCATGCCACATCTTCCAAGACCCGCGGATCTAAGACAGGGTCCGCGCCCACCGTGCCCTCTGGCTACGCGGAGCAGACAGAACAGTCAGACTCATCGGCGTCGGCCACCAGCCCAAGCGCAGATCCAGACACCCAAGATCTAACACAACAAGATGGAGAAACTCCCTCACGAGCGTCGGTCAAGAACACAGCCGCGGACCAGAACGGTTCCACTGAAACGCAAATCATTCCCAATGCTGCCGCACCCTCGACACCCATGAATCCTCAATACCCGAATCAATCCTCTGGCAACCAACCCCATTTAATACCCTCCTTTACTCCCCGCTCAACGCCTTCTGGCTCACTCTATCAGAACCTTAGTTCCACCGGTAGCAGTCTCATTTGGAAGAACTCTACCTCATCCCTACCTAATGGCACACCGCGCCAACTCTCAAAACATTCACAGGTCTACACAACCCCAAAAGGCGTTATCCGCGCTGATCCTTGGACCTCCAAGCATAATGATCCAACTACGACCCCAGGGAGCGTTGCGCCAACAGAGCCTGAGAACCCCGGCCCAGTTAATCCTTTCAGTGACACCTTCCCTCTGGTCTTAGACCCTCCTGACCTCGATGAATGGCGGCATAAGCTCTTCAATGTGACGGACACGCTAGTTCTGTCTGAGGAAGAATACCTCACCTATTTCCCTCACGTTGACAATGTCTATTCCCACCGCTCCACCCAAAGATACAAGCGCAAAGCATTTGTTTCGCACTACTGGGACTGTCGATTGAAGGGTCGTCCAAGTGGAACCCCCAAGAGTGACGACCCCAACAAGAAGAAGAGAAAGCGTCAGGCTCGTGAGCGCGATCTTTGTGATGTTAAGATCAAAATCACCGAGTATTTCTCCGCCGAGGAGGCTGCAAAACAAGGTCTTCATACTGGAACCAGCGATATGCCACCCTTGTTTAATGGCAACATTGCCCCCGAACTACTGGGCGATTCTTCCGGCACTGTCGCGGTCCCTCCAACCAACGACGAGGACCATGATCTGACCATTGTCCTGGAGGATGGTAGCAACAATCCCACCAATCCCACCGACAATTTCGGCCTTTTGGAACTGCCTCGCAAATTTCCAAAAGGCCACCCTGGTGCAGAAGGCAAAAGATGGTTTGCAATTCAGCGAGTGCGTGGGAATCCAGGCGGTGGAGCCCTTAGCGAGCAGAAGCGGAATTCAGTGAATGGGGCCAACGGCATGGATGGCGGCGAAGATGAAGACGGGGACACCAGCATGTTGGATCCCAACATGGCCGCTGATTCAAATCACAAACACAGCCTGGAAGACAGTGATCGCATCAAGAAAAACAGCATCGAAAGATGGATCATCAAGGAGGAGAAGGAAAAGAAGAGACTCAGTGTAAGTGATTCCATCATGCTTTGTGTGTGTGTCTGAGATGGCTCTGTATTGGAAGTATAAGATTTCTAACGCTGTTCCTCTTGTACAGAAACTCAACGCAAACGCGCCCCCTCCCAATCCAAATCAAACAGCCGCCACCGAATCCATTACACCGACCTTTCGTGCCAGTGGCATGGCTTGGGTCACAGCACGTTCGCATGCTCAACCCGCATCATCTAAAATCACCTTCTTTGCCAACGGTTTCTGCCCCTTTGCACAGCGAGTCTGGATTGCTCTGGAGCTCAAGGGTATCCCTTACCAGATGGTGGAAATCATGCCAGACCACCTGGACAAATTTCGACCCGCAGAGATGTTGGCCGTGAATCCTGAAGGCAACATCCCCTGCATCAAGCATGGAAACTGGGCGATTTGGGAAAGCGGCGTGATACTGGAGTACCTGGAGGATTTGTCTATGGGACATCCCTTGTTACCTCTAGCGAACCCGCAATTACGGGCGCATTGCCGACTATGGACGGACCATATCAACCGAAAGATCCTCCCGAGTTTCTACAGCCTCTTGTTGACGCCCCCACCGAGTCCGCAAAGCCAGCTGGATGGATTCGACGAGGAGGGTGATTTCCAGACAAGGAGAAACACGGCACAACACACCATGTTAGTGGCAACACTACAGGAGAACATTACTTCTCTGGTCAATGCCAGCCATGCGACGGGCCCATTCTTTCTGGGTAACGACCTCGGCTATGTCGATGTGGTTTTCGCACCGTGGATCATCCGTTTGTCGCGAGTGCTTTCATACTATCGCAACTTCCCCCGTCCAGAAGTGGGCACAAGATGGCGTCGATGGGTTGATGCTATCGAAGGAGACGAGCGAATTCGCCGAACAATCAGTGACGAGAATTCCTACCATGGTGTCTATCGTGGCGTGGGCGAAGATGGCTGGGACAGCTTCACCAAACCAGTGGGTGATGAAGACGGCATTGAAAAGCCGAAAGCGATCGTGGAAATTGATTATGCCAAACGCGTGGTTGCTCAGGAAGGTTTTGGTCTTGGAGGCGACGTTTGGGGTCATCTTGGTGTCAATGAGGGAGACGCAGAGAAGAGACTAACGGCATAATTGGTGACATGGAGGACTTGGTCAGTCAAAAGGACTTGGACGCTGTCGGTGTGAATGTAACAAACACCATCATTCTGTACATCATAAAAGTTCGTAGGGAGGAAGCTGAAGCTGAAGCTGCGATTTGACTTGGCTTAGCTTGCCTCTCTTGAGAATTGGTCGAATATTTCCGACTGAAATATTCGAGTTTAATCATCCTCTCCACCGTCTAGAAAGGATACCGGATGTTATATCCAGCTAAGACGCCTCGGTAATGGAAGGTCGATTAGATTGATTCTAAAAAATCCAGCTTCTTCTTGTTCTCCTTTTTTTTAAGCCGTCCCAGGCCCTCCTAATCGATGTTGTGAGGTCGAAAATCCAAATCCCCCTCTTCCACTCCCATCCGGACCTCTAGGCATACGGACCGGATGGATTTCATTCGATATTGGAGTTGACGTACGACTGCTATGGAAATAAGGTGAAGATGAGCGACTGTTTTCACGGGCGGAGGGCCTGTTGGAGGTGGATGTGTTTGGATCGTAGAGAAGATGATGATGATGATGATGGTCTCGTTGCTGTTGTTGTTGGGCGGTTCGTGAATGGGAATGTGTCCTTGACGATGATGATGAGGATGTCGATGTCGGATTTTGAAATGATCCTGAGGTAGAGTTTGGGATGGGGGAAGGTGAAGGGCCATGGAGACCAGCTCCATTATTACCACCACCACCACCGCCTCGTCCTCGTCCGCTGGTTCTTCCGCCACGTCCGCGATTTGGTGTGGCTGATCGAGAGCCAGGAGGGGTCAGACTGGATGGTGTTGATGTTCCTGATCGATTGAGTGCGTGGTGGTTGTGGTTGTAGTTATGGTTATGGTTATGGTTATGGTTATGGTTGAAGCCGCCTCCGCCAGCGCCGATAGGCGATTGTTGCGACGAGATGTTCCCACTACTGTACGTCGACGTCGACGTCGATGTCGCGGATGCCGTTCCAAATAATTCTTGTCGACGTTCCTCATATTTGCGCTGTTTCTCCTCTCGATCTCGAGCAGCTTGTGCCTGTCGTTCCGCTAACGTCAATTCTTTGACCTTGATCTCTTCTTCATCGTCAGAAGATTCCTGGTTTGCGCCACTGGTTCCATTATCGTTAAACTGGGAATTGGAGTTTCCACTTCCATCGAGGTGGAGGTTTTCAAGGCCGTTGATGGGCGGTTTGCGTTGGATGATGGGGCCTTTTCGAGAGAGGAGGATTGGTGGGGGTTTGAACTCGCTGGCTAGTGGTACCACGTTGCGAGATTCGAGGTAGTAGTTCGGTTCTTTGGGTCCTTCGCTGTGGGAGGTCACTGGGTTAGTCTTGTTGGATATGAACAGGGGATGTTGAGGTCTGTTGAGAGGCAGCGGGGGAAATATAGAGTTGGGTACTCACGCCTCAGCCCACAGTTGTCTGTTGAACTCGAGTTGTTGGGCTCTTTTCTGCGCCTTGGTTGCTTTGGATGAGAGCTTTTTGGGCGCTGTGTCCTGCGCTGTCACCGGCTTCTGGGGGAGGGGGTTTGTGTCAGTGGGTCTGCCGGAGAGAGTAGAGAGTAGAGAGTAGGGTGGCTTTGTCTGATTTGCAAGGGTGGTTCTTACGTCTGCAGATTTGGACCAGCCATCGTCCCAAGCATTCGGCGTTTGACTCATGAAGAAGTCCCGGGAGGGGGAGGAGGTTGAGCTTTGGGTGCCGAGTAAAGAATAGGTGCCGTGGGAGTTCAGGTAGAGTTCGGCTTATGGCTAGGATCTGATCATGTGGAATCGAGTTTCGGTAGTGGCCTGCAACTTATCAACGGAGAATTGGACAGGACGAAAGCTGCAGGGTAAGGAGGAGTCCTGAGAGGAGAGATCAAGGCGCAGGTTCTAGTCCTTTTATGTGTGCAGGTAGAATAGAACATGGGAAATAGGCTGAAAGATGAGATGTGGTAGAGGATCTGAGTTGAGATGTGGGATGGAATGGGATGTACTTGTGGGGTGACGTTGATGGATGAATGGGAAGGGGAATATTTTGGGGAACTCACCTCGGAATCGGAAAAACCCCGGATGCGGATTCTATCCAAAGAGGAAATTATTTCGATGCTCTGAATATATCAAGATCAAGATCAAGATCAAGATCAAGATCCTACCTCCACCTCTTGTTCAATTATCACTCCTCATCTCTATGACCCAACATGTCAGACTGCAATTAACATCATGCCTCGCTTTTGGATTAATAATGTGCTTTCTATATCAATGACATATGTTTCTCCCTATTGACCATCTGTACATTTATCAACATCAGACCCGGCATCCAGCGCCTGGTCGCCATCGTACACCAGGGAGAAGACCATTATAAATTACTCCCCCGCCGTGGTCGCGAGCCTGCCGGGGAACTCGTTTCGTCCTTCTTCTTCTTCTTCTCTTTACCCATGGCTATTTTCTCCCACTCTTCCCATTCCTTAGCAATCTCGCTAAGCACCGTCGACATGGCGGATGCAGAGGCCATCAAACCATGTCCCTCGGTTTCCAGGACTCGTAGATCGCACCTTTTCATCACGCTTTGGAGCCACCGCACATTGTCTAACGGGACGCGCGAGTCCCGTGCTCCATGATGTATCACCACCGAACGTGTCACTTCGGCGTAGCGGAATCCAATCGTCCGTCTTCGTTCCAGGCATACCACTAGATCTTGTGCAGGATTGGCATTCATTGTGGCAAGTGCCCAGATCCGGTGCGTGAGAGACTGGTTATACAGGGACTGCCTGGCTTCAGCAGTCAGCCGAGGTGAAACCGGCCGTGAACCAGCCGCGGCCGGCCTGTTGGGGAGCTGCCCCTGACGTTGTGATTCAGGACTTGAACCTGAATGAGCTGTCGATTGAAGGCCCAGGTTTGTATTAGTTGTCTCATAGCACGAAACGCTTCGTGGTCGATTGACATTGCCATTCTGGACATTCTCCTTGTCCATCCCTGTCGGATCCTGTCCGAACGCGGGGTCATTCTCGACGTCCTGGAAGGCGTTTTCCAGGGCGAAATCAAAGTTCTCCCATGGCTTGCTTTTCTTCTTGAGAGGCTTTGCGTCGACCGAAGCACTCGTTGCAGTCAAGAAGCGAGAATTGGCCACTTTCAGAATCTGGGCTGGAAGTACACTCAATATCCGGTGACTTATCGGAAGATTGGCGATGGGCTGCGAGTCTGGCCCCAGGGCAGCCCCTTTGGGCATCTGTGATGGTGGAATCCACGGGGCCAGGAGATGAATACGGCCCCTCACAAATTGTGGCATCTTTAAGGCGGCGGCCAGGGCGTAGATGGCGCCAGCTGAGTGAGCAAGGAGAGAAAATCGCGTAATTTCAAGTGAACTACAGATGACAGCGACATCATCCACCCAATTGAGCGGCGTACACGAGGCTTCGGGCAACGCTGAACTCTCGCCAACTCCTGGACGATCTGGTGTGATCAATCGCAGGCGCAGAGTTCGAGCCAACTCATCGTAAAAGGCGGTAAGATAGCGGGTCAGGCCCATGCCCACACAGCACAAGACCACAAAGCCGTCTGGGTCTCCCACCTCGGAAAATGCAATCGTACGACCCGTCCGGGGATGTCGGATCTTCTGGGTAAAGCGGGGTGCACCGAGAAAAGATTCCACTTCATCTGAGATGGCTCTGATCTCGGAAAGACTACTGTCAAGTTTGACAGAGTTGGTGATTGAAGATCGTTTGAGCGGTTGCACGGGGTTTCGCCCGTGGATGCGAGTGCTGTTGTTGCGAGAAAGAGAAGGCGCGGTACCATTAGAATTAGATTGCTGAGGTCTAACAGGTTCCTCCGATTGGCTGACCAAAGCAGGCATAATAGCAAGATCAGAAGCAGTAACGGTGGCCGATACCAGGGGCTCTATGTCCACTTCTGGCGACTCCAAGACCACATCGGTGACTGACAACCTCGAGGTCGGGTAAGGACTAGAGCGGCGAGAGACCTTTGCTGTGGCGATTGTGTGCCTTTTGGCCGCCTTCTCCGACTTGCGTGCCTCGTTGCGCCATTCTCGTTGTCGCTGTTCACGGGCCTCCTGGAGTTCTCGAATTCTCCGGACGGTGGAATTATCATCTTCGATCAGGTCGGCGTCGATGTTGAGCTCTTTGAGTTTGTTATTTGGTGTAGAATATCGGTATGCGTCAGACTGCTCATTTACGCCTGTTAGGCTTTTCCGGAGAGATGAACGTCGAGATGGGATCGCGTGGTTGGCCAAGTCAAGCTTGCTCAGGCGATTGATGACGGGTAAGATGGAAGCCTCGACACCGGGATCATCAGTGTGTCCTTGAACGGAATAATCATCCAGGGAGGACGTGCGAATTGGAAATCTCATATCTCTTTCTTGCTCAATGTTGGACAATGATTCTGGCCTGCGCCGGCGGTCGGACGATAGCCGTTTTGGAGCAACTGGTCTTGTCGCCATGTCGCGGAGGGATTCGCTGGTGAGCCTACGGCGTGGAACGCTGAAGCCGCTCAGGAGTGAGAAGGTGGAACTTGCACTAGATCCCCGTTTGCGGTCGATGCTAACAACGCCGACACTTTCGGTCTCGGCTCGAGATCTCAAGCTCTGTTGTGACTCGCGGGTAGTGAGGCAGGGTTGATTGGAGACGAGGGAGGAAAATCGAGACTTTGTCGACCGTTTCTGCGGGGCAGGTGGGCGTCGTGCATACCGGATTACTGGCGCAACGGCGGCTTGGTCGTCGCTGCTATCATCGATAATGGGGTGATTGTGTGAGTCGCGTTCCAAATCTTCTGCTGGTTCGGCCGCTGGCAAAGCTGCTGATAGCTGGGATTGGTATTGAATTAGATCAAAATCGTCTCTATCCGAGTCTTGTTTCGCTGCGGCGGTGATGGCACTGAGAGAATTGATCAGAGATGAGATGACCTGGACAGGTTGGGCGCTGTCTGCGGCTGAGGATTGTGAAAGGTCAGGGCCTTGGATATTTGGCTGGTGTTGGCTTGGAGTCCCAGGGAAGTCGTAAGGAAGGTGCGCAGGTGTAGACCCGTGGATGTCCATGCCTCGATCTGCATGGACAAGATGAGGCTTGATGAGGCTGTTTGAGAATCAACTGTGTGAATCCGAAGTCTGTGGACTTGGAAAGCGGACTGAGCGATCCAGGAGGCACAGAACAGGGGCCCGAGGCGCCTTGGGGCTGGTGGCCTCGAGTGATTGGAGGTACACGGCCAATAGGAGACGGGATTGGCTCGAAGAGGGAAATTGAGTCTTCCCAGGATGATGAACTTGGCCAAGCCAGCTGGTAACTTTAAAGTCAGTCACAGCGCAGAATGATGTTGGGAAAAGGAAGGATGTTTAGGGCAATGAAGTTGAGCCATGATGTCGAGCTTGGTGATCAGTTGAGAGAGGAAAGACGACGAGAAGCGAGGTTGACGGACTGAGTACCGATCACAGTAATGGACGAGCGATCAAGCGAAGAGGGTGACATTGAAGCAGGCGAGGCTGTTGCTTAAGGAAGGGGAAATAAGGCGTTGGTTAGCTATGGTTGGGTCGGGACGCTGGCCGCGCATGGGATTTTGTCCTAACTAAAATACCTAACAAACTCAATAATAATTGTTATAACGTACTTTAGGTAGTGACCAAAGGACTGGAGATCAGAGTTTGGTTTAGGCGGAGAAATAGTGGAAAGGTCGAGGGAATGGGTTCGCCTGGTGCTACTCGTAAGTGGGTGGACCAAGGAACAGGGGGCCCGAGGGCCAAAGGGTCCTGGAGATTTGCTGAGACGGGGTGTAAGCCCACGGAAGCCCTACGCATAAGCATACTGCTTTGTCGACGTTCGAGGGGGAGGAGTGGCTCCCACGCTTATTATTCTCAACGCCCAAACCTCGAATCCTGTCCCCTATTGGATTAATAGGAGCGAGCCAAACGAGATCAGTCCACGTGCCTAGCGTATGCATTAGGGAAAAACGCCTCGGGCCTAGAGCCTGCCTGAACTTGGCTTGAAGCAGGCGAGTACGAATAGTGTTATTTGAACCCTAGAACTATCTGTTGGATGTGATTGTGATCACTGATGAGTGATAGTGATGACTGAGAAAGAGAGCACCTATAGATACCTACCTTACATAGGTACTAGGTACCTGCGTAGGAGAGAGTTTTCATAGAATTACCCAATTTCTGGTGTCCAGTGTTGTCTCACTGTTGGCGTTGGGTGCATCCGCAGGCAGTCACTCATCCTACAGCGAAACACTGATGCCTATAGTACCAGCAAAGTGACAGCACAACACCTCTCATTCACTACTGATCTCCCTGTTCTGGACATTCGACAATCAGATTAAAAATGTCAAATACATCTTTGTTTATAGCCAATTGAGTGGTTGTCTACCTCAACCCGTCAGTTGCCGGAGTGTCTCTTGTGTCTATGACTCTAATATACCAGCACCAGAGGGAGGATGTCTAATAGTGTCGCGCTAGCTGCACACTGTCCGATGAACCAACCCAAAAAATGCACCTGACCTGCCCAACGCCTTGCTCGAATTCAAAACTCCCACAACTTTTTTCTAATCAGCCCCGGCCAGACATGCCAAAGGCATGTTGTCCGTTTCTGCAATCGCTGAAGTCGACGTTCGTCAAAGTTCGTAATACAACTTGCTCCCCTGAAGTTGACTGCGCTCGCTCGCATCGTGTATCATACAGTCACTGCATGGCCGAGCCTCAGTCTTTCTCGTTCTTCGCCAAATACTCGCCTGGACATCTCCAGGACCATCTCAAATCCTTCTCGTCCTCGTGCTGCGTTCTCTCGAAATCGCTCCACACTAGCTTCCTCGATTTTCGTTCGAATCTTTTGCCAACCTCCACATAGAGCAATAATTTGAGCTTCTTGTCTGAAGTCCGTCTTGCTATGTGGATCTCCCGAGCTCTGTTGGTAGATGACGGTTTCTCGACATTGTAGCAGGTTTGACCACGTCATGTTGGTGCTGCACATGGTCACCTTTTTCTGTTGTGGATCGACGTATGATACCTCGTAAACGTGGCTGGTGGTGTCTCCGCCCAGAATAGTCAACACCCATTGGGGAGCAGTCTGCTTGCAGGTGATGAGTCTTTCGGTTCGAAGGATGCCAGTGTCGGCATCAATGTGGCGAGAGATCGTGTCCACCGCAAGCACGTGGTTGGCCTTGTCATTCCATGGACAATACTTCCGCCAGTTGTTGGTGCTGACCTCTTCCCATGAATACTCAAAGGTATGTGACGAAGAGAAGATTTTCATGGTGTCGAGAGTCGTAGAGTTACTGAGGCCGAGGCCGAAGGATGATTTGGAGGGTGCTGGAACAAAGCTAGATACAAGGTCGCGTGGGCGAAGGTTTATGTTTCTGGTGAATCTGTTTTTTTTTCCAGTCCTGAATAGGTCGTCTCGGTATGAGAAGCTCTGAACGTCGAGCAATCAAGGTAGATGTGAGGGTTGACAGAAAAGGAACGAAGGTGTAGATGAGATAAAGAGAAGAGTCACAGTTGAAGGCCAAGGTACAAGACAGGTGAAGATGGCGAAAAAGAAAACGCAGGGTCTAAGGAAGATTTCGCAGAGGCACTTTGGTGGAGGAAAAGCGGGAGAACGGGCGAGCTCGGGTTGATCTGGCATTGTGATTCGTCGACGGCCTCGCGCCGCCGACCCTTGACTCTGTCCTCACAAAGGCCAGAAGGCCGGAGTCCGAAATATAATTCGTCATGACTGAGATTATTCATCTTGATTGGCGGTTGCATCCAACAGACAAAGAATAAATGTCATTGTCTGACACATGAGCTAATCAGAGCCCTGGACGCCATCCGCCACAGATCTCACAGACGATCCTATCCTTCCTCGGCTACGATCTGGACCATTTAGAGCCAACGCATTCAAACGCATCAAGAATGTTCTTCCGTACAGAGGAGTGTAAGAGCAATATGGTTCATAACTCTAAGAGTATCGTGAGGGGCTACATTTGGTATCTTCACCCGAAAACTACAGTCTACACGATGAGTTCCAAACTGAGGTCAACAGGTGTCTAAGTAGGTACCTAAGGTAGGTAAGGTAGGTGAAGGTAGGCAGATACGGGAGGTCCTGTAGGCATGCACGAGCAGTGACATTGCACCCTATGATGCAACTTGGGGTAATAAATTGTAGCCTGGATGCAGGCCGAGGGGCGTCGTCACATGCGTGTGTGCGCTCTTTTTTTGCATCCCCTCTATGCGTCGTTCTCCTCCAACCAACTCCCTCTCCAACGACCATGCATTGTCATTATGGCAACGCTCCTACGTCAACCTCACCTTAATCCAGCACCGAGTTGAACCTCGCCATGTCCGAGTATTGGAAGTCTACGGTATGTCACACACTTGTCTCTTCGTTCTTAATTTTATGGTCAGCTGACAAAATACTCTAGCCCAAATACTGGTGCAAACATTGCAGCACCTACGTGAAAGACACCCCTCTCGAACGCAAGCAACACGAAGCCACCGGAAAGCATCAGGGCAACCTTAGACGATTTCTTCGAGACATCCAAAATAATCATGAACGAGGCGAGCGCGACAAGGAGAGGGCCAAGGCAGAAGTCGAGCGTCTGAAAGGCTCTCAAAATGCATCAACAACCAAGACTCCATCCGTGCCTGCTACACAGCGCCAATCCACTTCTGGGCCACTCTCAGCCGCCGATCAGAAGCGACAATGGTCTCAACTTGCAGAGATGGGAATTCAGGTTCCTGAACAATTCCGCAGCGAAATGGCTATTCCTGGAGACTGGAGTTCCTTGCCCACTTCCTCTTCACAAGACCTCCCTCCAGAGGATCCGTTGAGCATTGGCGTGAGGAAGAGAAAAGCCACGGACGAGGAAGAAGAGGAGGAGCTCATACACCAAGCCCCGATCAGTCGCGGTTGGGGTAATACCACCAAGGTGTTTCCAGGACAAGACTCCTCAGATCTAAGCAGTCTTTTATCTGGCACCGTCGCTCTCAGCAAGAAGTCAATCAAAGCAAAGGGCGAAGCCACTACACAGGAGGGAAAACCTTCGATTCCAGCCAAATACAAGCTAGAACCAGACTCAGAAGACGTTAAATCGTCTGAAGCAGGCTCTCTCTCTAAACAAGTCGGCGAGGGCCTGGAACATTCTCTAAGCACCAAGCCCATCATCAAGACGGAGGAAAATCCAGTGAATGACTCGAGTCAGCTGGACCAGACACCTGCTGAGATACAGGTGCCGGTTTTCAAGAAACGCAAGCCCAAAGGATGATTCTGGCGACTGCTATGAAGAACACCTGATTGTTAGCCATGCACAGCCTCAGCATGGCCATTCCAGCCCAAGCTGCACTCTGCCGAAAGAACTTGTCAACCAACCAGATAGAGCGAAATGGCTCCTTTAGCAACAGAACTTGAATTGGCTAATCTTGGACGAGATTGTAGATAATCTGCGAGTGTGCGACTATCGAATCGAGATACCGACAGAAGGACCGAACTCGTCACACTTGAGCGTCTATTGACGTGATCCCAACGAGATCGATGTTGTACAACATGACAATCTTCGTGGAACCCAAGCATGATGGGGTTGTGTACAAGTAGGTGAGAGTGTGACCAAAATGGCGTTCTACTCAGTTGCATTGGGATCAAGCCAAGGCCCCTGAGGCTCTAAACAGCATGCATCCTGGCGCTAGTCGTTGTATGCAAGAGATACATTATAGGCGCCGACCAGGTTCCCGTGATCAGATATGTAATGAAGCCCCCCTTGTACGAGTATGCAGGGCTCTCCTTTTGGGTTGAGCACAGGGAATGCATTATCTGAATACGGACGCACAGGCAATTTGCTGCAATTTTTGGCACCGCAAATGTAGATTGAGAGGCAATCCCACGTGTGGGTAGAAACTGGCGAGATCTCTATTAGGGAACATTCCCAGACCCCCTGACAAGGGAGCCTGGAAGTATGGCACTGGTAGGCATCAATTATTAGACATGGTTGAAGAATCGAGTTAGCACTGAGGAAGTTGCCGACAACGATCACCTCAGGAGTATCCGGCTATTCCACGGGCACGGGTCCAGATTACATATGTTGCGAGCCTTTACGATTCGGGAGTCGAGATGTGCACGATGGGCTGCCGAACGGGCTTGCCGGGCGTTTGGAGCATGGATGGAGACGGGCGGCCCTGGTAATATCCTTGTAAGTGGGCAGTGGTACAGACTATGAGAAGCGTACGAGTACGCATATCGTACAGTCGAAGCCTGGAAGCGGACACCCTTGCTTGATGGTGGTTTTGGGTGAGCCATGAGCCTAGCGCTCGGAGAATTGTCCAGCTTGGACCAGCTTAGACCCCTGCCGATCGCCGCGGATCCTGGTCATTAAGGTATTATTGGGGAGGGGAGGGGGAGGGGGGCCATGGGGTCCGAGGGGCCGCGAGGGCCCGGTGATCTGATGTGTTAGAGTGCCAGAGTGCAACCAGAGAGCTTGTCTCTCACAGTAGGTAGCCGCGCCAGCGAAGCAGACACACGCTACACGCCATGGTCTGATATGCATGTCTCTCATCATGAAGAAGCCTTCCAAACCTCAGAACGAAGATTTCAATTTGTGTGTTCCTGGATCGACTACAAGCGGAACTTTGAACAACCGGGCTGGCAAGGAGTGAAAAATATGGGGAAGCGCCCGCTACGGTCAGTACTAAAAAGTTTCGAAAAAACCCCCTGAAGAATCGCCGGTCGATCGTCATGCGTCTCAGGCATCATGTTTTCTTGCATTAAGTGTGTTGACCACAGTCTTCATGTGACATTTGAGGTAGATCAAGGAGCACGAGGAGCCAAGCTGTACACCTCGCCTTTGTCTCCGATTCAGATGGGAGATCCTCTTCGGTGTTCGGATGCAGATCATCAGACGTGTGGGTGGGTGGATTGATGGTCAAAATGTTGACGTTATGATAACGAACAGCTTGACCGTTAGGGTCAACCTGGGACTTGCAAAGTTTGAGCTTGGGATTGGAGGACGATGTGTTCACACAGTACGTCTTTATTATGGGCCATTGCCCCTCAAAGGTAATCGTCATCCGAGTCCAGCTACATAACAGAAACATTTGAATCACCATCCAGCTACAATCTCGTCATGTTCCATGATGTTGGAGGTATGTCACAGATTTGAGAGCAGGAGAGGAGAAGAAGAACAGGAGAGAAGAAAGATGGTAGTGAATAACCAGTTTCATCAGCAAAGTCAATGTCATCAGGTGCGATGATCAAACCGCTACTTCCGACCATGATTGACGCAAGGAAATCATCTCGTTGGCTGTAGTCGAGTAGGGAGTTGATGACCTTAGTTGGTGCAACAATGTACAGTTCAGACTACAGTATGCGTGATGCGTTGGGACAAATTTTTGAGTTTTGTATGTGCAGATTAGCCGATAGTCTAGTATAGGTACTTGATAGGTACTTGGTGATTTGGTAGGTTGCACGCCACATGGTTTTTACGTTTTCTAGGCTGGGGCCGGAAGTTTCTGCGCACTTCTGGAGGCACTACGCGTAGGTGCCAATCTTGGATTCTTGGGACCTTAAAGGTGAGGGACTCTCGGACTCTAGGGCTGTCGACATTTTGGTTGGCGGGGCTGTTTGTGGCAGGGAGAACACAGAAACGAGCGAGCGAGCTGCAACTAAAACAAACGACAGGCGAATTGCGCTGTCGCCAGGCTAACGCAAGTCTCGCAGCCCATGTTCTCCGAAGACCTGAAGAATCACAATTTGTACTGGTCAGAGAGAGAGACAACTTTCTGGAGGCTGGAAGCTAGGGCTGAACCTGGACCTGATGAGAGTTTTACTGTAGGATTGCATGCTGACATGGTGGTATCGCGAGATATCCACGATTCAAGCAACACGATTGATTGAGCCCCCCCAGGCCAAGAGCAGATTGGCTAATGAATCCGAGAGGCCAATATCATGAAGATCTACTCGTACGCATTATGCACCTAGAGTGTCTACATAATATAGGTAGCGCAAGGTGGTAGGGTTGATACGGAGGAGTGGCGGTAGCCTAACAGTGTGCATCCATTAGTATGCATATGCAACCTTTTAGATGTCACTGGTGTGCCCTGCGTGTTGGGCTAAGAGAGAGGTACAGTACGGAGTACAGTATGAGTAGGGTGGGTGTTGAGCTTCTTCCCCGACTACCTACCTACCTACGGAGTACTCATCGTGTCATCGACTCTCATCATCAATAATAACTTTCAGTTAGGCCCAGCGGCTATCCGTCCTGTCAATGTGGGTAGCCTGTCGGGCCTGTCTTTAGATGGATGGTTCGCTACGATTCTCGAAAAGCAACTAGCAGGGTTCTAGGGGACCTTGGCAGCCGTTGAGCCATGACCCACGGGAGCACTGTCAGAGGCTGGTTCGGTAGTAGGTAGGTTAGCTTTGGAGTGGGCCAAGGGCGCCTGATTCTCCGGCCGGGCATGCCTTGGGGGAAAGCGGAAGGGCCAACTCGAGGGTCGACAGAGGGTCAAGTTGTAAAAAAGTTCGTAGGCTTTTTGTGCAGGGAGGGGAAAGGAAACAAAAAATTAGATTAGATGAGGCGCAAGCATGAGTATGAGCAGAGGCCATCGTACCGATCTCAAGGCTTAGAGGGTCGCTTGAGCACGACGACAGCAAAGCATCACATCATGCTGAATTGGACATGTCATGGAAATCGGAATCGTGGACCTGGCTTTGACGAGGTGAGTTAAGTGAGTCAATCACGAGGCGATGGCATGGCGATGGCGAGGTTGATGGTGGGTTCGAACTTCGCCTGTGTGGCCTGCGTGGTCTGGCCTGCGAATCATTCGGCCGATGTCTCCCTTGCTGGCTGAAGACTCCCCGCTCGCCGCCAGTCGCCGGAAGCTGCTGATGTGCCACTTGTGTTTGTTTACCCAGGGGCCCCTGTCGATGCGCACGACAATGACGATGATTGCACTTGCCGAGGGAATCGACTACTCACGGCACACAAGTAATTTCCGCTCACACACAATCGTCGCAGGATTGACAAATTCACACACGCAGAGTTTACACGGTTGCCGCAGAACTCGGGCTTGGATCTCCATCGGAGGCCGGTGTCGAGGTGTCGAAAGTGTTTAGCAAAGGGAGAATGTGTTCACTTTCAAACCTTCAGGAGGTACTCAATAGTCTTGGGAGGAGGTTTGCTGGGAGGAGAAAGGCACGCACAAAAAACACACATACGGAGTACAGTTGTCGCTGCAGCTTGCCTACAGAGTATGCTGGTGCTCATACTGGCTGCGGGTGGACTGGAGCAGAAGCACTAAAAGGTGGCGGGTGCTTGACAAGTGGACAATCGACACTGACAGAAGCCCCTCGGCCCCAGTGGCCCTTGGCCGTTAGCGTGCTAGGATCAGGCCTAGGCGGCCGTTTGCTGACTTTAGGCTCATTGAAGCGCGTGAGGTGCTGGGAAGGAAGCCTAATGTCGTTTGGCGCCGGGAGATGCCCTAAGCGAGACGCCCGTGCGACAAGGATGCCGGGGTATGATTGCATCTCTCGTGTTGGATGTGCAGACACTCACCAAAAGAGCAACAGGACCACAGTTGCATGGAGTGCATGGCAAGCTATCACCAGGCTTGTTGCGTGGCCGGGACCCAGCAGCCAGGACCCATTGATCCTAATCCATTGACTGACTCCATTCACAGACTGAAGGCGTGCAAGTGTAAGTGCACGGCGTGGTCATGATCGACCTGCCCCCCTCGTGCTCGCTCACTCACGCTTCATGCCCATGGCAGAAGTGCCTCCGTGGCCCCCCTCTCCCCTCCGTCGTTTTCGGCCACCGTATCCATCAAAATGTTCGGGCGCTGGGAGGCCTACTGAACTCTACAATCCCAAGTGCGGACGAATATTCGTAGTGGTGGCCTGGAGTGCCTCGTCAATAATTAATGAAAAACAATGGTGGCTCATCAGTGGTCTACTGGCACTGTGGCTATCATTGGGAACTGTCACTACGGAGTACTGGCATTTCAACAGTGGGTGCGGGACCCATGCAATCCAGGGCCAGGAGACAGGTCTTGGGAGACTCCCCCTCTAATTCTATTGAACATCAGCCAGGATGCTTGTCGTCTACAGGCTAGAGCGGCAGAGCGAGTCGAAGCGACTGCAAGCGAGGCTCGTTCCAATTTCACCATCAGAGTTTCATTCATCCTCACTACGCTTCGGTAGTTGGGCGTCCGCGTCGCCTTGAGGAAAGGCCAACTCCTTGGACCTTAGATCCAGAAACCCCCCAGACGCCGGATAGAACGAGTCCAGTCCATTCGTGGTTTCACGGGGCCTGAATGGGTGCCCCAGTCGACATGTTGCAAGGAGTCCTACCCACCTGCTCCGTCCAGTAAAGGCTACCACCATACAGGTGTCTAGATTCATTCCTGCTTGCGACCATCGTGGTTAGTACCTTTCCACCATGGAGCAGACAGTCATGCTACTAAGTTACTCCAGGATGGCGCGCCGACGCCGACACCACCAGGTTTTGATGCAGTCTTGCCTTCGCCCTGACTTTCTCGCTCCTCTCACTCGGTTCTCGAGTCATCCGCGCCCATGCCTGGAGCCATCTAGGGTGTCCCTTCTCACTTCGTATTGTTCTTTTGCCTCGCCTACCTGCTTTGCATCTTCAATGCTCTCGCTTTTGTTTGTTTATTACTCGTCCCCTCTCCGCCTCACTGGTGTGTCTGCAATATTGTGCCTATTGTGCCCATCGCCTGTATCAAAGACGTCGAGGCCAACGTTGTCGCCGGCCATGAGGTGATGCCCGCTCAATAATCCTGGCTGTTGCATTTCATATCGATTCGACCCCGGACGTTGCACTCGACTTGCGCAAATCTGTCGAAAAGAGGGACTCCGTGGATCAACCTTGTTGCTGGCCAAACATACCACACGGCCCACCATTAAAAGTGTTGACCATCGACTTGCGGTCATCTTTATTTTCGAGTCAGCATTTGTCGGGGCGCCCATCTGGTCGCCGCGCTGTGCTGTGTTTGCGACTTGAGCGCTGGAGAGGTATCAGGAAGACTGGGGTGGCGGCACCATGAATTATCAGTATACTACGTCGGGGTCTTTGCAGCCAATGTCGGCCTCCATCAGCCTTCCACCCATTAGCAGCATCGACTTCAATGCCCAGCAGATTCAAAGAACTTCACCAGACGTGGTACAACCACTACCACCACCTCCCCCGGCCGCACCCCGTGTGCTACCACCACTACCATATCCCTATGCTGTCCGACCTGCTCCTCCCCCACCGCCGCCCATGGTCCACGATTACATGCATGCGCGGCCTATCTATCCTGGAATGCCCGCTCCCTACCAACATATGCCCGGGCGCATGCCTCTGCCCTCAACCTCCGATCCAAATTTAATTGTTGCCCCGACTCGACACAAGGCCAAGGAAGTCAAAAGGCGCACCAAAACCGGGTGTCTGACCTGCCGAAAGCGACGCATTAAAGTAAGTGTTGCATTTTTTTTGTTTCTTGATTAGTCTTTTTTTCTTTCATCCACGTGTGGCATGGCATGTTCAGCCTTGCCATAAATTCTGTCATGGCCCTTGAAATCCAACGGCTGTAAATTCCCAAACTCCAAAGTTGGCGGCTCGGGCAGTTGCACAAGGGCGGTGGACCGGGTAGGTTTACACGGCATTCACTCCACTTTTGGGGCTTTTGGAGACCGCAACGGAGGCCGCTTTGGTGAGTTGTGGCGCCTTGCGGCTCCCCGGGCTGTCAATCAACCACGCGCAGTTCCAGGTCCCAGGACGAAGATCCCAGGCCACTGGGCGCGGGCGCGGGCGCAGGGTTCCCCCCTAATCCGAGCCTAAACCCAGCTGCTACGGGCGGCCGTTCAGCCATGGCCGGGCCTTATGCTTTTGGTGGCCCTCTTCTACCGTCCTTCCAACCTTTCCAACCTGCAAGTTTACAACCCACCAAAGCCACCCAAGCGCTTTGCTTCCCCACACCGTGTCCTTTTTGTCATTCTTTTCCCCCACCACGGCAGTCGCAAGTCACGAGGTTACTCTTACCCTCTTACCCCTCCGTCTTCTTTTGTCTGGTTTCTTTTTTTGTTGCCAACCTGGCAATCTTGCGTCTCGACGCGAATCATTGATCCCAGCGAAACAACCCACACCACTCTTTGACTAGTGCCAATCCGCCAACCACTCACCTGGTCCTGGAAGCCGAACTCCTGGGCTTTCGTCAGGCTCGTCTTTCTTTTGATTCTATTCTTGCAGCCTTACATGTCGCTAACCATCACTTTTCTCAATAGTGTGACGAAGGTCGACCTGAATGCAGAAATTGCATGAAGAGCAAACGTGTGTGTCAAGGCTACGATCCTGTCTTTCAAGCCCAGGGGCCACACTCCATTCACCCTGCGCCACCCGTGTCCTCTGCACCTGGTCACAACAGTGGCGGTACCCCTACTTCCACTTCAATCAACCATCAATCAAGGAGATTTGTCGCCACTCCTATCAGTCCACCGGTGTCAAATCATAGCTCGAACGTGATCAATAACAGTCCTCGAGATCACCAAGAGTATCCTTTCCCACGGCCACCAGAACAAGTGTTACCTCATCTCAATCAGCCATACCACCTGGATGGTATTGCCCAACCCGGATATTCCTATCCCACACCTGGACGTCGTACGTCTTTTGGTTCGCATCAACCGTGGACGATGCTAATCTCGGAACAGTTCAGTAATGGCCGACATTGAACCGCATCCGGCCAGTCGGACGATTGACTCCATCTGTACGATCCCGGGCACTCGCATCCCCAATATTCCTCCAATCCCGCCGGATTCCATCCCCAATGAAGATGAAATCCACCGGTGGTATGACAACAACTTTGCACCCAGTCTGGACAAGCTGCTGGACTCGGGCTCCTCCAAGTGGTTTTCCACTCGAGGCTTCCAATTACTCTTCAGCGACCGTAGTCGCCTCGGTAGTGTCTTGGCGTACTTGACCCTGGTTAGTAACCAGGGAAATAATCCCTCGACGGACAATGCTTCTCTGGCCAGCCAAGAAGCTCGAGTGACTTGGATGCTGATGGAATTATGTGTCCGGTCCGACCACGACGCAGGGGAGGAGGCTGACAAGCTGGCACGACGGTGCCAGGCGTTGGGTGCAATCTTGACCGCTCAGCCGTTGACCAACCCTACCGCGTCTCTTGCCGAATTTGTCCATCAGGACGAGACGGAACCAGAGACCAAGATGGGGGTGTTTGAGAAGCAAGTTTCGCGAAGAGCCGACGAATTTTGGAAGCTGGTGGAAATGGCAGCAGCCAACCAGGCCACTGACGGCTCAGGAGTATCATTGGCCGCTTTACGGCAGATCCAGCCTTATCGTGACCAGCGAGAAAATCGCGACATCATCTACAGCATCATGTTATTGGGCTCCAAACAGGCGGGTCAAAGTGAACTGTCATCGGAGCAAGGATTAGTGAGAACCTTTTTGCAGAATGAGGCAAGAGGACGTGCCACGAATTTGGTGTTTTCGACTCTTTCCGGCATGGCGTTGAGGGCGTTCCCATCATAGGGGGAAGTCAATCATTCTTTGGATTGGAGGGAGGAGGAATGAGGAGAAAGATAGAGAGGGAGGTGTGTGATATCAATCTTTGTCAAATGGCGAGCGAGCTACGGCTTTTCATGAGCGGAACCCACATTACTGTGATGGCATTTTCTATGTACGAACGACACTGGTTTTTTTCTGCATTCTCATCCACTGGTACTTGCATCTATGCGTGGATGTTCTTGAATTCATTTGCTTGGGGAGGAAGGGGAGGGGGGTTCAGATTTGAAAGAGCAAAACCACGAAAGGAGAACAAAAACAGAAGACCTCCCCTCGAAGATCTGGAACTCTCTCGCTCACCCTTGATTTTTTTCCCTTTTGATTTCATTTTTCCACTTCGTCCGTTATATTCCCCTTTTTGGAAAGAGCATGAAAAGCGGATTGAGCGAGCAATTTTGCAGTTGGAATTTGCGCGACCAAGAAAGATATCCAAGGAACACATCTCAAGCATGGAGGTAATGTATATATTTCATCATTGCAATGTCTCTTTTTCTCATGTTCAAGAGGTAAATAGATCCAACCTACACTAGCACTACATACATACAGACCTGGTCATTGTATAGTGTCCATGTAGATAGATAGAATCTTTGATCTTTTGATCTTGTGATCCTTGATTTTTTATTCTCCCCCTTTTGATCATCAATCTTTCATCAGATTAGATCGTGTGAGCAGCGAGATGAGCGAGTACGTAAATAGCACATACCATAATCGGATATATGTACTGAAGTGTAGTAGCTGGTAACTCCACCGTGTCCACTACAGATAATGCCCTTCTCAAGTGCTAATCACTGGATGGGTCTCGGGCGGTAGTGTAGTGCCATGCCATGCCATGCCGGACGGGTACTCTCGTAGCGTATGTACAGTACTCCGTAGTGCCATATGGTTCTACGGAGTACGCGCTACTCAATCGTAGCAATGTACTCCGTAGCAGTCCTCCTTACCAACATGCACGCTTACACGCTTTCAATCATGAAATGCAAGAATATGGATCCCCCCCTAAGGGTAACTCTGCAAGGGTACGCAATCTTATGCCTAAAAAGTAAAGTCCAAGTCCAACCCCCTGCGTCGATCACAACCCACCCATTCTCAATCAACCTGACCAGTCGTGCCAGTCTGTCAATCTGCCAATACCAATAGCTTCCTCGGTTACAAATAATCAGGGGCCCTTCTTTTCGTGGCGACATTGATTGCAAGGTAGCCAATCATCTGCATGGATTGTTTTTGGTGCAGAAATAGAACTAATAACTTGTTTAGACGTACATTGTCACATATATACTCCGTAGTATACCGTAGTCAGGGTAGTTGGTTAGGGTTGTCACGACAATGTTGTCATACTTACTAAGTAGGTATGGAGGGATGATCTATCATCTCTATGTATGCATGTACAGTACTTACCTACCTACATGCAGACTTCCCTAAGATACCTACTATGATATGGCGTCTAATTTTGACACACCTGGTTATCTGCGGCCGTGTTGTACTGGTGTTCGTTAACACACATTATTTGCACTTGATTATTAGTACAAGTCCTTAACTATTTGACATTTATCCAGATGATGAAGATATGATGATATGACGATAATGATGATGATTTCATTAGAACTCGTGTAGGTGTGCAGAATATATGCTGTATATATGGAGATCAGTCAAGAGTCAAATGAGAAGTAGTCAAACTTGATTTCCGACCCTTTGCCCTGTCCAGTATATCGAGCCAGCCCTCTTTTCTCTTCATCACCACTTGGTGAACATCCTGCCCTGTAATCTCTTCCCACTGCGAATGACAAACCGATCAATTCTCGTGAAATAGTCCGCCGCGGTGATGACAATGAAGGTAATGACAATCGTAACAAAGGCATGCGCCCAATATGAATCACCCAGATGAGATTCTCGCCACGGGTCAAGGTACAATTCTTTGATACCTCGACCAAAAGGCAGATGCATCGCATAAAGACCAAAAGAGATATCGCCTAGATAGCGAGAGACAGTCCATTTTAAGGGCTTCTGTAACCCAGATCCAAATTCCAAAGCGTACACTAGCATAAAACCTCCAATGCCCAGCCAGAATAGGTATTCGGCTTTGTCGATCCACCAGAAGGGAATCACTTTGTTGAGATAGCGCCAGGGGAATGGACCCCAGAGGCGGAGGTCGGCTCGGCCGAAGTCGACTTCTCCTAATAGGATGAATCCGATGATGAAGAGGAAGAAGTGGAGAATTTTGGCGGGCCATGATTGTTTCTTTCTAGCCGGTCTCTCGGATGAACTTTCTGTCATCGTCGTCGTCGTCGTTGGGAGGAGGAGTCGCTGAGGATTGCGACAAATAGATAATTGAGCGATGAATAACCCCGCCGTGAATTCTGCAATATACACCGCCTGCCAGCAGTAACTAACAATCATGACGACCCACATGAGGATCATGCGAGTTCGTGTTGTTAATCGGAGAATGGCGGTGCAGAAAAAGAACAAAAACAGACTCCCACGAAATTCGACTGGAATAGTCCATAGCTGTGGCAGATAATCCGACCCAATCGACCCGTTGAAGACAATGTCGTTGATGCCAGGTGCAAATGGGTTACAGAATCTGAACACATCGGTAAACCAATGACGTAGTTGAGCCAGAATGGAGTCTTGATGGATTTTAATGTCGACTCCATTGTATATCCGGAGTCGGACTAGGAAGAACGCAATGATGAACGCGGCGACACAGCTCCCGTAGAGACGGAGGTACCGTCGAAATGACAATGATGCCAGTCGGTGTAGCATTCGTGCGTGGTCCATCCTGTGCATCTCCAGTAATAAGCCGTGGCCAAGTGCGTACCCAGAAATGATGTAAAAGAGTGAAACTGATCCAACTCCGCTGAAAAGCGTGCTTACAAAGGGATATCGACGCCATGTGTCTTGCATAAAGATGTACCACAAATGGGAAATGTATACCACGAAAGCGGCGTAGCCTCGTAGGGCATCGAGATATGCGGTTGGCCGATCACCAGCTGATGAGATTCGGCTGGTGATGATATATGTTGGCAGGAGGGACTTCCATGATGGGATATAGGGTCGAAGGGTGTGTTTGACGCGTTGCCATCGGGACAAATCCTGTGTGGGAAGTGCGATTGGCTGTGGCACATCCAAGTCTTCTTCTTCATCCTCATACTCATCATAGTCGAAATGTTGGACGACTAAAGGTGTAGTTTCGGTGTCGTCGTCCCCAGAGGAAATGGAAAGGGTGTTGTCGACACCTTGAATCAGGGTAGTAGTAGATATGATGTCGGGGTCCTGGGAATCATGTATTCCCGGATCAAGTTTTTCATCAAGCTCATCTTCGAGTGACGAGATCTGATCCGAGTACGAGTCTTGCTCATCAGGCTCAATCATTGGAGTCATTGCGGTCGTCTCGACAGGTCCAGCTGGGAGAGACATGATGCGGTATGCTGAAATTCTAAAGTTGATCAGCTACCAATCAATACCCCTCCAGTCCATTGAAAGCATTCAAGTAACAAGGCTGAATGAATACTTGCTAGCTAGCATGACGTTCCAAGCATGGCTGTTGACACGGGTCGAACACGAGGTGCTAGCACATACGGTCGACAGCAATAGCAACAGCACAACACAATGACATTGACAGTGACAGTGACATTATTTTATTACCGTTGCCAACAAGCAGACAAAGCCGGGTAATTGGGTGAACTGAAACGGGCATTCAAAATGGCTATCCTTTCAGGGGGTTTGGGATGTGTCGCCGCTAAAAGATAGACAACGCGCCACCATTCAAGGTTTTGAGCTGGCACGGCTGGATCTGTGTTAGGCACCATCAGCCACCCGCTCATGTCTGGACTCTGGCTGGCTGCTACTTTCAATCATGTCCAAATTCAAAACTTGCTAGACAAAGACAGATGGACACAAAAGCCAAAGACAAACACATGCTGGCTCAACATGCTCGTTCTCTGTACGGAGTACGTATATACATATGTCATACGTATATCTGTCGCTTGTTTTTGACGTGTCCAAGCTTGGAGTAGCGAGTCGGTAGCATTGATAAGGACGCTTGTCAGAAGCTTGGACTGACCGTGTCCCCATGTATATTTTGACGACAAACGGAGAAGGGAGAAGGGAGAATGGAGTTTGTAGGATCACGGCGTGTGTAGAGTGGGAGACCAACCCCGTCACGTGTTGCACCAGACTCCACATCAACCGAGATTAAAAGAGATTGAGAAATTACAACTCTGAACGCCACATTGGCCGGCAATTCTGCTCTACCGGCGTCTAGATTCAAGTCTCGATTCGGTTCGATTCGAGTCGCATTCTGGACCTGACCTGTGTGGTGGGGATTTGATGATGTATTATTGGTGGGCAGTGATCGCCAAACAGTACATACATACATAACATACATATGATGAGTATGGATGCACTGCGTCTTTCTACCAGAACGACATCAACAACAATGTCATGGCTTCACGGCTCCAATGTCACTATCTCCCTTTCTCGGCCGTTTCAAAGACCTTTTCCCGCCTGGGTATCGTACAAAGTCATGTATCCAGTCCTTGTGGTTCCCAAAAGTGATTCTCCGGATATCACCTTCTCCCGACTATCGTAAATCCATGGAACCTGATAGTAAACGCCCGCTGATGCCAATATCCGCGCCAAATCATGCCAATGATGCTTGTTGCAAATGCACAACAACCGTAACCTGCTTGCAGATCTTTTTTGGACACACATGGATAAACCATCCGGCCAAACCCAGTTTAGGGTCAAGGAAGAGAACGAGAGAGCACTGAGCTCTCGATAGAATCGTGAGAATCGATAGGTGCTTTCTAAGGTTCCACGTCTTCCAAAATCTCATCCTCATCATCATCTCCCTCATCCACTCCCGAGCGATCCATGTCCGAGTCTTCGGCCTTGGGTGCGACTTGACCGCCTGCTGGGTTTTGTAACAACGAGTCATTCTTGAATTCCGGTTTCAATTCCCATTTGCCGTTGAAGTCGCCTGCTTTCCACATAAAGGCTATTTCTGATAGAACTTCGCGAAGATACGCCTCGGGTTGGTTGACTCTTGATTTGAGGTCCCGAAGACCCCAGATTCGGTGTTGACGGAACAGATCGAGTAATTTGTCGATGAGGATTGGTTTGTCGATACGCGCGGCCCGCGTTTCCTTTTGAGCTTGTCGGCGAGCTTGTGCATTCTGCATTGTGTGATTAGTCGAAGACTCCTGCATTCAACAAAACAACATGTCCTTACCCTCATTGCACTAGCCTTGTCTGCTGAACTCATGAATGGAATGTGTTTCTTGGATGGATCTTCGTCGCCAGTAGCAAAGACCGAAGTGTCCTTCTCGGCCACCTTGAGCATCTCTGCTGCCCGTCTGGCTTCGAGGGCGAAATACTCCTCATTCTTGACTGGTGTCAACTCATACTCTTTGGTCACCGTGCCTGTGATAGCCGTCTGTTTGGGAATCGGGCGTCGCGCATATGGTACAAAACGACCTTTGTTTTCCTTCTTCCGCAGTTCGCGTTTGTGGCTGTCGTAAAGATTGGAGCGACCCTGGAATGGTGTCCCATCCGAGTCGACCTTTCCAGGCCCTCCAATATTTCGCGGCTTAAAACCAGGCAGGTCTTTCTCAGAGAAAACCATGGACTGGCCGGGGCGTCGAGACCGAACCTTCTCCACGGGAGGGGTTGAGAGGATATATTCTTTGGGTTCTTTTTGGAACTGAGAAAGTCCGTTAAGTAATAAGCTGACCTACATGGTGATACATTGTGGTTAGTGATACAGTCAGTAATGTAAGATTCAAGACATACCCTCGAAGGATTGTTCTCCGCGCCTTCGATTCTGATGGTGCCAATTTCAATCTCGGCGTCGTCCTTGAAATCGTCTAAAGCTGCCCACAGTGACCGTGAAACATGACCGAGCCATAGCGGTTGTTGGACACGTGAGAAATCCAAGTCGCCGATGTCCTCTTCATACCCATCTTCATCGTCGACGTCCATGTAAGGTGGAGAGTCGTCTTCGTCCATGGGTTCTGGCTTGATCGTTTGGTCGACTGACTCAACCTTGAGTTTGGGAACGCCGGAACCCTGCAAAGTCGCCATGATGAGGGGGGCGATCGCAAAAACCACAGCAATTTAGCAGACGTTGGAATGTGAGTTAAAGTCGTAATAACTATGATTCATGCGGAGAGTCTAGAGACGAGGTGACACTGCATTGCAGCTGAGGAGATATGCCCCGCTGTTGACATGCTCCGCTCTACTTTATATCTCAAAGCGCAAAAGCTTCTCCCTGGTGACTCATGGCCCCAGGACATGAGACTCCTTCATATTCATCTTATTATCAAAGGATCAAATCTCGGAAAGGTGCATACCGTGCATTCCTACAACACCTAGGAGGGGTATATAACATGACAAACCGACTATAATCCTCCCGCACGCTTTACAAAAGGCCCATGCCATCGTCGTGCATTCATATATAACAATCATAATTCATCATCCATTTGGCCACCTCATATGACTTCAGGCGCCTTCCCTTCGTTAAAATCCGACAGGCTGCCGCCGGAATCCATCGCCAATATGAGAGATGGCCAAGTCGACCGCCCCTTTCTGTGTCGCTGTTGGATATTCTGATCTCTGTAGCATCTTCAAGGGGATTACCAGTTGCATCGTCGCAATCACATTAATTTCTTGTGATCCATTCGTGGGACTGTGCCGAGAGATGGTCGAGTTGAACTGTCCCATCGGCGTCACGTCGCCAAGAGCATACGCAGTTAGCCCAATAAGATCCCCAGCTGTTGTCTGGATCATCTTCTGGAATTCCAAGAGCTGCAACTTCATCGATGACGACATTTTCCCTGGTTCGGCCGATTTGCCGTCCAGGTCAAGCTTGACCAGCTCAATCAATCCTTCGTATAGTTTGACACGTGCTGTGAGAAAGCGCAGGTGGTAGAGGAAAATCCAGAAGCTGTAGAAGTAATACACTGCATGTGAAGGATAGAACGCCCACATGGTGCCAGAGGTTGCAGCACGAATATTCATCATGTCCCACCCAGGCTCATCTTTGCACCAGTCAGTCATGCTGTCGTCCAAGTCCCGGCCGTACTGGATCAGCGTTCTGGCCAAGGATTTGTAATCTTTCATTTGATTTGGTTTGGAAGGCTTTGCAGCCAGGAATAGTCTGATCTTTTCGAGATGCCGTGCCGTTCGGTGGAAATATCGAGTAGCCTTGTTGGCGGTCTCTGAAGGCACAAACTCATGTTCTTCCTGGTAGACGTCGATTTCCAGGTCGTCAAACTCCTTGCCAGTGACAGAAGTCAGGATGAACAGACGCAGTTGCTGCTAGTTGTCAGTTATGGGTCAAGGAACAAGAACAGTGTGCTTACAATCGCTGCCTTCAATATACGAAACACCTTCTCTGAGACGGGGTTGTCGAACTGGGTCATGCCCCTTAGTCGTAGGAGGTTCATGGCGCCTCTTACATGCAAGATATGAGACTGCCATTCCTCTTCAGACGTCAATGAGCCGATGGAGGCACGCCCGTGTGTCAAGACCACACTAATGAGCTGACGTGCGAGTATCAGTACGTCGCTTGGCCAGGTCAAGACAGGACACATACCTCATAGAGCCCGAGGAGCCAGACGGCAATGACGGTTTCATCTTGGATAGTGGCAGAGCTGTCGAGCATTGTTGCCTTGGTTGACTTTAGAGCGTAGCCATATTCCTTTCCGGTCTGTAATCTGACATCTGTCCCGCTGTATCTGTCGGCTAGAGTCATGCGCGAGACAGCATTGGCTGCCAAACTGAGACTCGAATAAGGTGCGGTCTTTTCTAACATGGACGGCAAGAAGTCGAGGACTGGGAAGGAGTAGAGTCGTCCTGCCTGATAACAAAACAAGTTCAGGAAGAAACAAAGAGATTGGTGGTGAAGGTCATAACGTGGTGGAGGTGTGATAGAAGTATGAGCAGGGGCAAGTTTGTGAAGAGGGATCTTTTCTGCTGAAGCCTCGGGCTTGACCTCCTCAGACCAATACTGAGATTCATCCGCTTTGATGGGGGCCGGCGAGGTCTTGGACTTGGCTGGGACGAATATGGGCGGCACAGGAGCCAAAGACTGACGACTTGGCCCGGCAGCGGAACCTGCTGCCGGAGAGCGAATCTCCAGTTGGACTTGGTAAGGATAGCCTGGGCATGGTTTTCGGATTTGAGCACATCGTTTGCAGCCTGGTTTGCCTTCGTCGCACTTGGAGTGGTCAGAGACGATGGGGACAGGCGTGCTGATCGACTGGTGCACTTACCTTGATCTTCCTTTTTCGGCAGAGGCCACAGCCTGTGCTAGACCTGCCAATGTTACCCATGACGATGGGCAGGTCTGATTGTGAAAGGGATGTTTTGTCGAGTCACTCAAGGCGCAATAGATGAGGGCTAATTGGACTTTGGGGCTTCCAATTCATATATAGAAAGCATGGTTCGATCGCCCAACAGCTGAAGAAAGGTGCGTCATGGTGCCGTCAATGTTGTTGAGCATGTGTTGCACCAAACGTAAAAGGGCAAAAGATGGCTAAAATGAGTGCAAATTTAGAGGCTGGTCAGGACGTTGATTGCAAGGCGCGGGCGAGTTGGTATTGATGGAGAGGTATGCAGGGGTCCAAAATTGTAGTGTTAGATACAGTTGGCGAGAACGATGAAGAATAGCTTGATGAAGGAAGTTTGTGAAGTCAGCCATAAGCAGCGTTAGGGCTTAAAAGATGGGAGATCAGACGAGGTTTACACCGTTTGTGGCCAACCCACGATGAACGCCGAATGTTCGTTGCTGAACGTTTCGCGGGGAAAGACCTCGAGGCCCTCGGGCTTTGATGCCTCATGGTTGTGCCACTTTACCTGTTGCAGTTAGGGAGCTGGGTTGCCCCTAACTCATTGGAGGTGGAGTGACACCGTTGCCTATTAGCCTATGAGCTTGTGGATCTATAGGTACTGTCGCACACCCGCATTCAAGCAGTGTGATTTTGCATTATGAGCGTAGAGATGAATAGAATTGGACGGCCATGAGACCTCTCTGCCCCTTTTTAGGCTTCAATAACTATCGTAGTTGTAGGTTCGGTGGTTAGGTGCCCGGGGGGCTGTTCAGGGACTCGATGATCTGCGGGTGGCATGTCCGTTGATGATTATCCTGTCATTGTACTTGTCGATCATCGAGTCTGACAGTCTCGGGCCCCCCAGTGCGCCCCCTCGGCCCCCTCGGCCCCCAATCCATCCCTGACATGCCTGTAATTGTCCCCCTCAGTGATCCCCTCCCCCATCCGTAACTATTGAGGGGTCTCGACCTCTTAATGCCCCGAGTGGCTGTTCCCCCTCAGCCTCCCTGCCTTCTAGGCTCCCGGTTAACCTTCCCATCTTAATTCTTGGTCCAGGCACCTGATATCAAACCGGCGGAACATCAACTGCGATCGTGGATCTGACGAGACATTCCTCACATGCAACCTTGGGTTGCCCTCACCAACCCACACACTCGTTATAACAATGGCCTCGAGGCTGGTGCTTGTCATTGGCGACCTGTTCATTCCAGACAGGGCTCCGGATATTCCTGCAAAAGTAAGTCGCGCCATCGACCTTCATCACCTACCAAACACTGACTTGGCTACCTAGTTTCGCAAGCTGCTCACTCCTGGAAAGATTGGTCAGGTAATCTGCTTAGGCAATCTCACCGACAAAGAAACATACGACTTCCTGCGACAAACCGCCCCAGATCTACACCTGGTCAAAGGAGATTTCGACACTGAAGCCTCCAACCTAGCCCTGTCCAAAGTCGTGCAACATGGAGGACTTCGATTTGGTTTTACTCACGGACACACCATCATTCCACAAGGAGATGCCGACGCTTTGTTGATTGCTGCTCGGCAGATGGATGTTGATGTCCTTCTCTGGGGTGGTACCCACAAGTTCGAGGCATATGAGTTGGAAGGCAAGTTCTTTGTCAATCCTGGTAGTGCGACTGGCGCCTTCAGCACGTCATGGGCCGCGATCGACGAAGAACCCATACCCTCCTTCTGCCTGATGGACGTGAGTTGATTGCTGATCCCTCTTCCTCCCAAATCTCAAGTCTAACTTCATCTAGATCCAAGGAGATGTCCTCGTCTTATACGTCTACCAATTACGCACCGACCCCAACGGAAACGAGACTGTAGCAGTGGAAAAAGTCTCCTATAGGAAGCCTGCACCAGCCGAGACATGATCAGTCACCACCACCGCCCTTTTACATTAGACACAGCGTCGCTAGGAGCCGATGGTGTCTCTGTACCGCCTTCTCCATTTCATCTCACACTAACTTGACACCGGTCCTGTCAACGTTGAACACGATCTATCAACCACGCTCCGCAAAGCTTCAAACCTATGTTAGAAGTAGAAGGACAAGATACTGCCACACTTGTGGTCCAGGGAGTGAACTGCTTGGCTGCTAATCGAATCATCAACCGAGTAGCAGCACCACGCAACCAGTTCAGACACTTGAATCAAGGGAATCAGGAACACAGTGTCTCGAGCTCACGGTCCACTCGACCAAATTTAGGAGTCAACACATTCAGCAAAATGGTTGCTACCGGTGCCAGTTCATCCACTAGCACTATAACCTCCATTAACATAAGCCCAGACTCCTCCAGGGTATCATAATACAACCATAGACCAGCAATGTACAAGGCATGAACGAAATCATGAATGAAAACCTCTTTTATGTCCTCAGCGATACAGCCACCTCGATTGTTTTAATCCACCGCATTCTCGCTTCTGGTATATCGTCTGCATCATATACCGGTCGTTTTCGTCGTTTGCGTTTTCTTGTGTTATTAACCGGTTCAGTTGAGTCTTGCTGGTGTGGGGGTTTCGTGGGATCCTGATCCTGATCCTGATCCTTGTTGTCGTTCTCGTTTTCGTCGTTGTTGTTGTTGTGATCTGTAAATACTGTTTCCTCGATGACAGAGGTTACCGTAGTATCGCCCATCAATTCAAGTGTTGTTTCACCTGGATCCATGCCCAACATCTCAGATGACTGTCCTTCTCCCTCCTTATCCCCATCGTCCTCCCCGTCACCATCCATATCCGCCTCGCTCCCCCCTTCCACCTCAACAATATCATCCACGACCGCCACATTCCCATACCTCACATCCACATTACAAAGCACATCCTTTTCCCTCTCACGAAACCACTCCGCCACCTTCAAAGCCTGATCCATCGCACGACCACTCGCCTTCACTAGTACCTCCTCGCCATCTCTCGCCAACACCGCGTTCACCTGGCGCACACTAGGCGGCTGGCCCGACCCTCGGCCTCGGCCTCGGCCTCGAGATGGAGCGGTAGATCCTCTTTCGCCTTTGGCGCGGTCAGATGCCCGTTTCTCGATTTGTGCTAGTAGTTTCTTGACGCGCTTGACTGCGCTCATGAGAGGTGTGCGGCGTGATACGTAAACGCATTTCGCGACCGTGGGTCCAGCGTGTGGATCGGCGATGGCGGGGTGCAGGATTGGGCGGCGGGATATAGTGTGTGTTGGGGGGAGGCGGGGGAGGGAGGAGTTGGATGTAGACATGTTTGATGATAGTTGAGGAATCAGCGAGAACAGGAGCGGGTACCGTGTGGAAAAGGTTCCTGGGCGCTGACGGACCTGGTGTCTCGACACACGGCTCGTGAGAGAGGTTTAGCTCTCGATATGGTATTTCATCTCCTGCCTGGGCCTGTGGGCTGCCTTTCTTTATTTCTGTTCGAGATGACTGTTTGTGATTGTGGTGTTTTGTCAGGCTTACACGTAACAGGCGATTCCGGGGTCGTGGTATGCAGATGGAGACACTGATTTCTTCAAAGTATATGCTACCTCATCGAATTGGAATAGAACAAGAGCTACTACGCCACGCGACGAAAGGCGAGGTTTCACGTCGTTGAAGAATCACGACTTCTGACGAACCTCTGAATTGCGGTTTGCGGGGAGTGAGAAATTCACGGTAGATCATTAGGACTATATGGCATTACTTGAGCAGAGCATATCGTGTCTTCTGCCACGTTGGTTTCAAGTGTTCTCTACCGTATCCACTTGAGATGATGGCATGTCTTGCTCCGACACATACCCGTTTTTCCTAGTGAGACGTTCCAGAGGTTCAAACTTGATACTCATTTGTGGGACTTTTATGCAACTCAACTGAATTTCACCCTCCCCCTCTTACCACGAGACATTGGGCGAGAAACTGTCCCACAACCATGTTTGGCCCATTGTGTTCATCAAGCTCGGGTCAGATCCCATCAGTCCACCACTCTCACTGCCAACACTGTCAGTGGAGAATGGGGCTTGTGTGGTCGTGTTGCCGTTGTTGTACGAGTCTACGTTCCATGGATCCATCTGAGCCCCGTCCGCGAGAATTGGAGCTGCCGTTTCAGGCGTTGGGTTGGTCGAAGGTGGGAACATTGCTATGAAAAGAGTCAGTCTGGTTTGCTTGTGTTTGAATCATGCCACATACCTTGCTGTAAACTATAGATACCATTGTTAAAATCCATATTCTCGAAGCCGGGGAATTGTAACGTAGTATCAATCGTTCCAAAGTCCGGAAGGATCTCGTTGTTCACAGGTTGCAGATCCATCGAATTGAGATCTATCGCTTTGGGCAGGTCGTCTAGAGACCCTTGTTGGGACGTCGATGTGACAGGTCGTGCTTCGTTAATACGAGTTGTTCGTGATGAAGTCTGTTTTGAGGGTCGATTTGATCTTGACTTGGATTCAGGCTCCAGCATCTCAGCATCAGCAAGCATGGCTTTAATCTCTTTGTTGCCAATCAACCGTACGAGGTCTTTCAGGATCTTGGTCGTTTCTCCTGAGATGTTGACTCTAGTCGAAAGAAATCGCGAGAGAGACATGATTCGCGCAACTGCCTGCTTGGCGATCTGAGCTTGTGATGAAAGAGGTCGTGACAGAGCAACGACGCAAAGGACCATCCCAGCTGTGAAAAGGTTGATGCCGAGAAAAGCCGCCGCATGTCTCTCGCGAGCGAGGAGTAAAGGCTGGCGGTACTTTCCGAGTTTCGATGACCGGATAGCTGACTCCCAGCAGTTGTCTCGACTCGATACGAGGATGTCATGAACATCCTGCTTAGCTTCAGGTCCTCCTCCTAATGATTCATTTCCGTCTGATAGGTAGCCGGGATCTTTAGCGATGTCATTGGCCGAAGGCTTAAAGTCTCTCAGATCTTGGGAGAACAATGGTCGGTGAAGGAGTATCTGGATATTGTCGTACGCGATCTGCAAAGCGAGAGCTTGCAGCAAGAATGGGCGTGTTTCATCCGTGGCCGGCTCCGAAGGGTCGCGACAGAGCTCCTCTAAATTCATCTCAGGAGGGAGACTGTCGCGAAAGCTGACCAATTCGTCATGGATTCGAGACACCCTGCTGGCTAGCTCAGCGATATTAGAGCTCCGATGAAAATAAACGTCGCCAATAAGAGACGAAGAGATCTGATACAATTTGACTTTGTACTTGACATATGAGAAGGTCGTAACTTTTTCGACTGATCCATCAGGCATTCTCGCAGTCGATCTAAAGGCAGGGTGGGTAATATTGGAGTCTCCAATGTTGGCAGGGAATTTGACGTCCATCTCACCAGGTACAATCACCTGTGGACGACCATAGGTCATTGCACAAAAGCTATAATTTCATGTTAGAAATGAAAACAAGAGCACAACCACTGACTCACCAGTCCAGGATATATAGTGCCCAGAACGTTCGTCGACGGTCCTCCTTGACGATGTCAGGAAGTTTGCGCCATGAAGATTCCTTGTGGAGATTCATGAGTTGCGCACATCTAAGACCAGCACCGAGGACTATGAAGCCCAAATTGGGACGTCCATTGTAGACGTAGTAGCTTCCAAGCAAGGAGCACACCTGGACAGCTTCGAGGCCAGCTGCTTCATAAAGACCATTCATGTTGTCCTCGACGCCCTTGAGCGCCTGGGTCTCAAATTTGTCCAGATCGAAGTTGGGGAACTTGCGTCGAACATCGTCTACATTAGCGTATCTTGCTCCAAGCCATAATAGGACCAGTATGAAGATGACCTGATTGGAGCGAGATCGTGGGCATCGTCGAGAGGTCATCAAAGTCTCGTACGTGACGCGTAGGGTCGGTGCATGGAATAGGCACATGAACCAGTGCACTGTATCCAGATACGAGTCGAGGAGGTAATCCGTGATCTTTTTAGGTGGCAGCTCGAAGCCCACCACCTGATTTAGTGGAATTTCATCCTTTAATTTGCTCTTGAGAGCTTCAGGAACTCTGATACCTCCAGGCAAAGCAGAAGTTGAGGCTACCAGTACTGTGTCCGGACTGAAGCTATCGATAATCTATTGGAGGTCAAATTCGGGGTTCGTATGGATCTGACTTTTGGAAATGGAGGAATTACCTGTTGTGTGAAGCCGACCGAGGACACGCGTTCGACATATGCCTGGGGGTCATCGGGCGACACCTGATCAAAGCTAACGGGCTCCTTCGTGCCCGCTGACGGATCTCCTGGGCCCACATCCACAACATGAACATCGTTGTCGCTTGTAGGACTCGAGTGAGATGAGGTCGATTCTGTGTTGAGCCGCGGTGACTTGACGCTCAAATCACCATCCCGCTTGGCGTTGGCTGGAACCTCTGGCAACGGATGGACGCGCTTCTGTCGCTTTCGCCTTGGTGCACTAATCGGTCAGAATCCGACAGTCCGGCAAATGCGCAATCAATGGCTCAAGTAGACTTACCGCTCTGGAGCATCTGATATACAAGGTACTTCCGAGCGCACACATAATGAGCAGGGACGATCAGCATCACACTATTTTTTTGATTAGCTATAGGTCCATTCATGGGTTTGCCTTTGCGTTGCCGAGTCTCCAACCTTTAATTTCTGTCGTCGACACCTCTGGCAAGCAGATTGCACACGAGAGCGCCGTTTCGCTTTTTGCGGATTCGTGACATTATCAGACCACTGGATGTTCATGTTGGTCTGGTACGAGGCATGAGATTTCTTGAAATGAGATGGGGGCAAGGAGACTCCTCATATTCTATGTGAGAAGACACTATCCGACAGCATTGATTGGTGCCATCAACGACAATGGCGTCCTGTTCGTGGCATCAGAAGAGGAGAGAAGAATGAATAGCTCGTACAATGCAAAGAGCGGGACAAATCGCGACGATAGGCGAAGTCGACGTTTGGCGGGGAAGAAATTCAAGATGCAGCAATGCATGATCCGATACAAAGGTCACGAGACTGCCAAATTCTTGGCATTGGATGCTTGGGAAGGAGTGGTGGGGAAACGAAAGGAAGGCACGCCATAACCTCAGCTACTTCACTTGGAGATGGCGCGACCAAACGGTTACAAGTACCTTCCTCCTCTAACATATGCATCAAGTTTAATTCAACCTCCATTGACTCCCTTCTATCTCATGATACACGGGATTTATCTCCATCCGGCTGTTGTTCTGCTTCAATGGATTCATGTGGCTTCACTGGTACATATGCCCGACACCTAAAAAATCTACGCAGCCACAGGAGAACTTCTCCCAGCCTCCGGTAGGCAGAACATGCAGGCCTATCCTTGACTCCCTGATCAGCCTATCACATATATGTTTGGCCTTCATCCATCATCCCTCGGACAAGATGCAAGCCATGCTGACGATCTCGCATTCTCGAGGTAAGTGTGCACGCTGGCTACCTCAGTTTAATCACCTCAACCCTCAACATTGAATAATTGGTGTGGTTTCGTGGCTGTTGAAGTTGTTATATTCCCGACACAGCACCAGTTGACAAGTCAGCCCTGGGCGACCTCCTTACTGTTCGACGCGTCGGCATCTCTCGTCCCGTTGAATCTGGTTCTTTCGGTCAAGGTTTGGGAGACTCCTGCCACCCTTGCAGCCTCATGTAGTTACTGGCTCACTGGCTCCAAAACCGAGCAGACATGAGCCTAAGAAGTTCCCTGGGTTTCAATGCCACAATTACCCACTAGCTGTTGTGGCCTATTTTACACATGAACCAGAGTCTGCATTGCCTCTCCTACTTTGGCCATCGCTTAATCTCCCAGCGCACTTCTTTTGTTCTTCGCAAGCACGATTTCGATTGTTACCGTTGATTTGCCATTTCTCTGCATTTCAAAGTGACCTCTTGTGTTGTCAGACTGCCACTTGGAGGACCAAAAGAGCAATGTGCGGCTTTTGCTCAAGGCATTTGCCTCCGGAGCAGCAGTGGTGCTGACTCAAGACAGCTTCACGACTGAATCAGATTCTTCGATAACTGTGTGGTCGAAGATCCCAGAAACGAATGTCAACACCCCTTAGGAACACCGACCAGCGATAAGCCACACTACCATCCACTCGATGACATATGAGCCTTACCGACACATTTAAGGACAATACATGGACCCAGGTAAGCGCATGTCCACGAACAGCAAGGTCAACTCATTCAGTCCTGCCCTGCCAGGTTACGCACCTCAGTATGATCCAAGCCGATCTCCACCCATGCCAGCGCCATACACTATGAGTGATTACATAAATACAGGTCATGGTAGTGACGTGGCGTCATTGTATAGCATGTCGCCCGATCCAGTGTATGTACTTTCCACCCCGAATGCTTTACGAATAACATATCTACCAGGCCGTCCCCCTCCCCCAATCACTACCAGCACCGTCGGTGTTCTCCTTTGGCGTACTCGGCGATACCAACATCAATGCCAAGTCTACATGAAATGGCTGATTCAGATGGAAATCAGTTGGAGCTAGGTCGCCGTTTTTGCACTTCCAAGTCAATTGGTGTAGATAGATATAGGTGAGTATGACAAGGTCAGAACGGCCATCATTCATAGATTAGGAATGGTGAACCTTGCACTTAGAAATGAAATCATCATAGTGAAGTCTATGTAGTTCAACTATCATTCCATATTGTCATTGCATAATTCGGTTCACAAGAAGCATTCTCAGGATTTTTTCCGTAGACATCCTCACTCTTCATCTCCCAAGATCAGATTCTCCCTGCTAGTCATGGGCTCCGCTCTCCACTTCCACACTGCCCCATCACCTCGACCCTTAGCTCGCCCCGTGGTTGCATTCGTGTGACCATCCAGAGCTGTAGGTTCCTGCGACCGTGTCTGGCTTTGAACCGCAGTGGCAGTCACCTCTTCTGTTCTCTTGCACACATGTCGATCCATTGCTGCAATGATCTCTCGATATCTAAGTCTCACTTCGGGCGAGTATTCGCACAAGTCGGGGATAGTCCATTGATCATAGAGCCTGCCGTGGGTGGTAGCGGGGAAGAAGGATCCGTGCAAGGTTAGGAACAGGTGGCACAGGAAACAAAGGTATTTGCTGGCACCGATGGTGCGTGGCGCCAAGGTAGTTGGTTCAGTGGTGGTGATGATGGTGGTTGGTGTGGGTGTAGACACACGAGGTGAACCTGTGTCAGACGAATTTCTAGCCTCCTCCTGGACCATATCATAATACACAGCCAACTGGACTTCAGCATGCACATGTGTCGACTTGGCCCATGGTTCATAGCTAATATTGGACGGCACACTAGCGTATGGCCGCAGACTGACGAGACTAAGACCATTGACAAACAGCTTTGGATAACGTGTCGCCAAATCCACAAGGGACCTCGCAATGCGATAGTAAGCGGCAATCTTCTCAATCTGATGCAACGTCTTAAGCGCCGACGACATTTGTGGCGTTACGCGTTTCGCTGGCTTAGTTGGATCAGACGACCTCGCCGACGCTGACGCACAAGTCGCGGCTTCGAGACGTTGCGTATAGATCCTCACGTGCGGGGATTTACAGAACTGGTAGCTCTGTTGGATGAGGGATTTGATGCGAGATATTTCGGTCTCACCTTCTTGCTCACCAGCGATAGCTTGAGAGTCCATGTCGACTGTGTCGGAAGCCGACGTGTCCGGTGTGGTTTCAAACTCTTCATACACTGCAGCCAAGGCTGAGATCTCAGCCTCCACTTGTTTCCGTGTTGAGCTTTCTTTCTTGGTGAATAGAAATTGTACTCGATGAAGGAGATTGGGGAGATCTTGCCGAAGAGGCTTCTTGTGCGTGCGTGAAAGGAATTGTGGCTTTTCCCATTTCGAAGACCGGAGGCGTGCCAGGACACGGCGTGAGTGGAGACGAACGATATGGTCGAAGAGCCTGGAGCAGCAGATGGCAGTATTGGCGTCAATGCCATTGTCATCGGATGAGGTTGAGGCCGAGACTGACCCCGAGGCTGAGCTCAATTCAGCAGCCGAAATGACATTCGTCGCATGTCCAGCCAGATCATCACATACACGACGCAACACCCTCTCCGAAGCCCCATCAATCTGAGCATCCACGGCAGCGAGCCGGATCGTGATCCTGCGACTACCCGAATCGCACATCTGTTCTTCGACACAAGCCGCCGAGACGCTCTGGGCGCCTTGGTCAACGGACGCCAGGGCGGCAAAGTCATCGGCAAGTCGTTGTTCCTCATGAAGCTGCAGAGTGTAATAATTGCCGTGTTTCAACGTATCGGAGACGTCGTCTCGCTGGAGCCATGAATTTGCAGAAAATACTTGTGGTGCCACGGGCACTGCATTGGTCAATTGCTCGAGTTCCACAAGATGTGTCCGGAAGGTCGTCTCGTCCACTGCTCCCCATATCGACTCCTTGGCATTGGCAGTGCATACTGGTCTAGCCCGGTCCACTGTTCCGGTTGTGTTCATAAGAATTTCATTGAGGGTACGGTCCGATGGTTCAGATGCTCAGAAACTTGAAATCAACTTGTGTTGTCTTGGGACAAGGCGGGCTATCTGCCCGGACAAATGATTGATGGAGCGGAATCTTCGAGCCAAGCTCACGGCCCAGAGATTTTGTGGCGGGGTCAGATTGTGTGGCTTGTCCTTACTCTGTCGGTGAAAATGAGAACGAAACGATGAAGTTGGAAGTCTCTGGACTCCTAGACCAGTGTTAAACAAGAAGTAGAGGTGTTGATTTAGTCTTGCTGTATATCAACGATGTAACCAAAGATCTCAAAAGTACGCAGAATGGAGAATTAAAAGGCGGATCGCTCTTGGCACCGGCGACCGCAACCCCAACTATTATATTCACGTGATTGATAGTCAACTCTATAATCACTTGCAGTATGATGGATATTGATGTATCAAGAGAGTTCTGAAATGTTGAGAATTGAAAAATGTTGGTTCGCTATCCAGCTCTATCTGGTCTCCCATATCCTATATTCTTGCTACGATGTGAGGGTCGATCTAGGTGACTTAACTCGACATCTCACCAACGCCATATATCCAGTCGATCCACAATTCGATTGTCCTCTGATCCCAGATCGTTGAGATTCAGGAATGATGATCTGCTCAACTAGTACATGTATCGGAAGCGTGGACTTTCATCTCCCATTTCCATGATCTCTTCTTCTGTCTTGCCTTCCATCTTGTAGTCCTCTAGACCGGCATCTCTGCGCTTATTGCGGCGTCTCCAGTAGAGTGCCAGTGTCAAAAACATAAGATTAGAGCAACACAAAGCAGCAATGGTGGTGGAATATCCTTGGATGAACCTTGGAGCGGTTGAATTGGCAAAGATGAACGGTGCAGGAACACCGGCAGCATTGGCCATGGTCAACTGGAACCCACTAGAGAAGGCTCGCTTTCCATAACGAGGACAATTGGACGTCAGCCACGTGAGAGCCATGCCACCGGCTGTGTAAACGCCAATGCCAATGAAGAAACACCCGGTAAAGCTGGCGCCGGTACCAGCGTTGGATAGAAGCAAAATGTATCCGATAATGGCTATAAAGTTGAAGGGAATGATGATGATGGCGCGCTTGCCTGTAATGTCGCCAATCCGAGCCATGATCAAGAACGCAATGGCTCCAAGACTGTAGATTGGAATAGTCAGGGCTTGGACTTCTGGTCTAGTCCACGAGCCAATGTCGAGGATGATTGTCGGAAGGAAAGTCGAGAATGAGTACAGCATGATGTTCTGGCAAAACCCGCAGAAGGCATAGCCGTAAGTGGTCCAGTCCTTGACGGCTTTCATGATATCTGCCTTGTGTAGTTGCTGGCCCGAGACCGTCTGACCGACCTCGGTGTGTCGAAGAACATATAATTGGCGTTTTTCTTCGTCGCTCAAGAACTTAGACGTCTCGACGGAATTGGGCAGGACGAAAGGGATGACTAGACCGGTGACGATCGATGGGATACCATTGATCAAGAGCACCCATCTCCAGGCAAGCCAGCCATGTCGTCCGTCGAGGAAGCCAATGGCGTAGGAGACGAAGCCGCCCACAGCCCCTGAAATAGCGGCGACGGAGAAGAAGTAGGCACTTCGAAGAGCGATGCTGTTTCGGTTGTAAAACATAGATAGGTAAAGGATGATACCGGGAAACATGCCCGCTTCGAAAAACCCAAGTAGGAGACGGCAGGCGACGAGGCCAGCAAAGTTCTGAACAAAGGCAGAGAATGTGGCCACGAGACCCCATCCAATTGCTAGACCTCCCAAGTAACGAGCAGGTTGCATCCTTTTGATGATCAGGTTGGAGGGAACCTCAAACATGCAGTAGGTGATGAAAAGCACGCTGACGGCAATCTGGAACTGTTCGCCGTCAAGACCCAAGTCGGCTTCCAATCCATACAGACGGGCATTGCCAATAGCCACTGATAGCAGTTAGTTTTGGACCGTCATATACATCCATCATAGACGGGAACATTATAGTCCTCACACACCTCGATCCATAAAGTTCATGAGATACATCCACATGATGACGGGGACGATACGTTTGTCCAGCTTGCTTAAGAGCTTTCGTTCCGTCATCTTGTCCACCCTTTCGGATACATCTGGCCTCTCCAAAGCCTCGACATCGGGGCTATCCGAGTCGTTCTTCTTCTCGAGATTTGACATGATGGCTTATGGACGTATGCTGTGATATGGTTTTAGTTTGTACACAGAGAGTGATGGGGCTCTTGCTTTCCCCCAGATTTTGGGGAAACAGGGCCCCGTACTTATATCCTTCTTTGCCAATGCATTGATAAGACCGACGGTGTCGAAACCCTGTTTATAGAGTCTGGGGTCCTCCGGTGGACATCAGGTTGTTGACTCGACCTCCAAGAAAAGGACGAGCCACCGGAGCCACTTTTCGATTGGCACCAAGCTTGCCATGCCTTGAATCTCATTCTCCAATATGACTTTCATCCGTTCTAAAACCTTTGTCGTGCTCTATCTTGACTGGTAATGTCACCTGTCACCTACCTTGTAGAGCCTCGTTTACTCTGATTCTCATGAACTTTCGATCATGTTAGGTCCAGTTTCGAACATTGCCCATATCTGATACTACCATATACAACCGATACGATAGCCATTTGCGGAAGATGATCCACCCCAGAATTAACAAGGAAATGCCAAGCTAATCAATGGTCTGGGGACCCCGCAATGCCCAACTGCGATCAAGGAGAAGAAAACGGCCAAGACCGGCGCGACTGGCTCACACCAGCTCACTTATCTGCTGCACAATGTGGAACCGCCAAAGGGTCGGGTATGCACTGTATCGAACAGCGTCAGTCAAGTACCGATACGCCCCCCTTAATGGGATATCAATTGTCCTAGCGGAGAGATTTGCACGCCGAGATTGCGGGATGATGTATTTGTCCCATTTGCCAAGTCTGATGCCAAGCATCTCCGCCTCTTTCCCCTCGCCAGAAAGCTCAGGTTCCGCCATGTGCTCATGATGGACTTTGTATCGACATTGGTTCAGGGAAGTGCAGGCCGGTCTCGGCGGAGAACTTGGCCCTTGGTTTGGGGCTTGGGTTACATCACTTTTGCAACTTCAAAGCCTGTCAACAGACAGTTTTGGAATGCCTATTTTTCTTGACGTGTGGGAGATTGTGCAGATGTACAGCAAAGTTGTCGTATTTCGGATCCGTTGAACCAAGAGATGGGAGAAAACAAATCTTTACCCCAGAAAGTCATCCAACTGCCGATACCAAGCGGTTGGCATCCAGTGCCGTTCACCAGTCCCGAAAACGTGGCTTCCATCTCAGCTTCCATGTCTGACTTGGCAAACCCCGTGGTCAATGACAGTAGTGGTGAGATTGAGATTGCCGATGAGATCAACCGACCGAGAGTATACAAGTTTCGGGGTGATCATTAGTCTTGATTGGTAGACTGAGGACGACCAACGGCCACCAATGTGCAATATCTTCTGCCAGGGAAACCAAGGTCATGGCGCCATGAGTTGACCACATTGACCTTTTTCTCTTGGTGTCACTGGACATCCTGCCAGCTGCACACATACTTTGCCTCTCCCACAACTTGATCTACTTGCATCTGATATCGGAAGGCCTTCGTAACTGGAAGAGTTTGTTCTGGCCTCTGTGGGGCTCAAAACGCCTTCCGATGGAAGTCGTCGGGAGTTTTGCTCGTATTGGCGCCGCCGGCAGGAGAATTGTGAGCGAACAAGCGGGCTGCCACCGGCCCAGGCCACGGCATGATCCACTTTGCCCCAGCCTTGAGACAAGACACCGTTCAATCACTCGAGCCAAGCATTCAATAAGATCTGTGGCACGTCAAAGGAGGCCATCCTCTATGGTCCATCTGCAGCAGCACGAGAATCTCGCTCCACAAGCTCTGTAGGTACGTTGCCTCCTTTCTCTTTGATTCCGGTTCGTGTCTCTGTATGCGTTCTGGACAAGTCTTTTCGGGCGATGAGCGCCACGGCAAATACACTGCATGCTGCAATGCCAGTGCAGAGGATCCAGAGATTTCTCAGACTGAGCGCGTATGCTGCCTTGACACCTAATTTTTGTAGTGGGTCAGAGATTGTTCGGATCAGATCGATGTTGATGGCGGCCGAAGGCCCTGATAGCACGTCAGCAAGTTCTACAGACAGTCCCAGGTCTTGCAGTTTGGACTTTTGAAGTCCCATCCCATTCTGAAAGACGACGCCGCCGATGACAATTGACAAAGACACCCCAATACTGCGCACGAAGCTCAGAGTTGCTGTGGCAATGGCAGTGTCTTCTTGTGAGACTAGAGCTTGCAATGCGATCAGTGGAGGGTCGAAGAGAAGTCCTACCCCGACACCAGCTACGATCTGGATGGCGATGATTGACCCCAAAGGTGATGCTGCACCGAAGGTGATGTATAGCCCATTCCCGAGAGTAAGCAATACCACGCCACCCCAAATCAACTCCATGTATCGACCAGACTGATGAATGATGATACCGGTGGCAACGGCTGTTAATGCTTCGGTGATGATCAGTGGAAGGATGAGGACACCTGAACCCAAAGGGGATGCTTCTCTGACTGCCTGGAAGTAAAGGGGAAGGTAATATTCTGCAGCATTCAGAACCTGTATCAATATTCGTCAGTTCAACGATTTCGTTCACCTTGCACACTGCGAAGCACTTACAAAATGTTGCAAAAAGCCAATGGCAAGGCACGCAGCCTCAGACTTGCGACGAAACAACTTCAACGGCAGAATTGGATGTGTAGCGATTCGACCTTCGTTGAAAACAAAAGCAAATGTCATCAAGCCGCCCACCACGACGAGACAGATGACCTTAGGTGAGTCCCAAGGGTAGGTCGCTCCTCCAAAGTTGAGACCAAGCAATACCATGACCATGATGGCGATCATACAAACACTCCCAGCCCAGTCGATGGCCTTTATTCCCTTTGCCAGCTCCGTTTTCGGATTATGAACGTCGAGGAAGATGAACAGCAGAATAAAAGCAGGTCCACAGATGGGAAGGTTGATCCAAAAGATCCACCTCCATGAGAGATACTCTGTGAAAGCACCCCCAAGAACCGGGCCCAACCCACCGGCGACAGCCCACGTTACGTGAAGAAGACCGAGGAAGAGTGATCGCCGTCTCGAAGCATGTTAGCGTGATCAAGACGAAGATCGATAGGTCGAGTCATACCTTATGCTGAACAGATCGGAAATGACAATGATGACCAGAGATCCCAACCCCCCACCAGAGATACCTTGAAGAGCACGACCGACAATAAGCATGCCCATGCTATTGGAGAGCGCACAGACAATGGAACTGACAAAGTAGAGGGCCACAGTGAGTAACAGAAATGGTTTGCGGCCCCAGATGTCGGACAGTTTCGCCCAAATGGACACGACGGCTGTGGCGGCAATGACATATGAAGCGCCAATCCATGAATAGCCAGCAGCAGAACCAAGATCGGAGCAGATGGTCGGTATCGCAGTGGCAATAATCGTTGTGTTGAGTGCAGAGAGGAATAAGGTACACTGAAAAGGTGTTAGACGCTTTCAAACGAGGATCGTGAGAACTCACAAACAAAGTGACCATAACAGTGGCAATCCTAAAGATGCTCCGTGAATGGGTAGGTTCATCAAGTGGAGATTGAGATGAGACATCTACTTCTTTGGGATCTTGACTGGGCATCGCAATGGAATTGATGGTAGCAGGTGTCTGGCCTTGGGACACCTCTCCCAAGTCCAGAGGTTCAGGCGGCGGCGCAGCACTGGTTGAGGATGCAGCAGCCATATTTTGTTTTGGTGTCGGGCAAGATTCGAGGAATGGTCGAATATATCTTGGAAGAAGAAGAATGAAGCCGTACCTCCGTGCTTCAACATGGGACTATATATCTTCTATCTCCCGTAGGTCTTTATCATGATCATAAGGCGTCGATTCGCTTGCAGTTCTTCCGCCCTTTTGCATATATGTGCAGGGGGTTTAGTCACGTGATATCTGATCGTTGCGAGACCAAAGCACAGCAATGTGGAGATATTGATACTGTACTTGATGAGTTTGAATATGTGACGGTGCTTAGTCGTCCTCCTCGTCATCGATGACTCTCCGTTTCTTTTGTCTGGGTACACCACCACCAGCACCCTCGTCATCTTCACTGGCACCTCGTTTGGGTGAGCCACCACGATCCGGATCCCGCCTGCCTTGCTGACCACGAGTGCGTGAGTCCACCACTGTCTCCCGACCATCAATCTCTAGATCATCAACATCAGGGTCGTCTTCTTCGGCTTCTACTTCATCGTCGTCTTCGTAGATTTCTGGTTCTTCATCCGAGGCAGCCAAGAAGTCATCCTCGCGGTCATACTCATCAGCACCTCTGCCACGATGATTGTCTTCGTCTTCGTCATCCGAGTAAATGTCACCGGTTCGGTTGGTTTTGCGTCTCTTGCCTTTGGTTCCGGGTCTTCGTCCCTTCGGCCTGGCATACCCATCGTCATCCTCGAGACCTGCGACACTGAGTCCAGCCCCTCCAGAGCGGCCGCCCATTCCAATGCGTCCCAACACACCGGTCTTCCTGGCAAATGCTCGTTCTTCAGCCGCCTCTCGCTTGCGAGCTGTTCGGATCCGATCCTTCTCAAACATCTCGGCAGCTTTGCGAGCAAGTTCAGGATCCTCGCGCACTTGTTTGAGTGCCGCCAGCGGATCGTGTTGCTGTGTTGCGGCGGCCAGAGATTGTTGAAGTTTCAAGACAGACTCGTCCACATAGTCTCCGGTTGGTTGGATCTTCATCGTAGCATCAAAGGGGGCCATAATTTGTAGATCAATGCCACCAGAGGCGTGGGGAGCTGCTAGGTAATTATGGGTATCCTTGGTAGGATCATAGTCATCTTTTTGGCTGGAAGACTTTTGTGTCTTTGGCCAACCTTGTCTGAGAGCATTTGTGCTTATTCTGTATTGTTCTTTGGGTTGGGAGGCCATCTGAAGAGTAAAGCTCCCGTCCGACCACCGTATCAGACGGGTATTGGATTGAGCGAGTTTAGGATTTTTGGGATCTCGGCGCCAAAACATGGTGGTGGAAGCGGTGTTAAAGGCAGAAAATTTCGAGCTCGGTTCAGGGTCGCCCTCTCTGAAGAGGTGCGGCTGAGTTGGAGGGGTGTATGTGGTGGGATCAAAGGCTTTATGTTTGACGCCTAGAAATGGGGGAATACTGAGACTGTACAGCTCCTGCGCATGTATGGAATTGATGCGAGCCATGTCCACGTCCATCAAGCGAAGTCTTTTCTCCTCATACAAGCCTTGGTCATCATCAGCATCTTCCACCGTGGGTTCCAGGCGATCGGTTCGGCCTTGGTCGTCACCAGAGTCAAGGTCCGAATCGTCGAGGGTGCGATTATGCCTAGATTGTACGGTTAGTCAGAGATGGGCAGGAATGTATCACCAAACGTACTCTGTTGTTGGTGCCAGGTCTTGCTCCTCATCATCGTCTCCAAACAAGTCGCCATCGTCTTCCGAAGCGCCGCCATTCAGATCTTGAGGAGTGAGGTCATCATTGACATCTCCGTCTGCGCGGAGAGTGTCTACATCTGCAGACATGGTAGGTCCAGGAGCACTCAGAGTGAATAACGCGACGTGGTGGTCAAAGGCGGGAGGACAATGATTTTTCGGGTGAGGCGACTTGTGCAAGAATCTGTCAACGCGTTTCGGTGAGGTGCTTGAAGATCGGGAGGGAAATTAGTGTGACAAGCCCGTCAGCCGAAACGGATATCAAGTGTTGGTTTCGCAGCTTTCGCTTGATTGCGTCGAACAATAAAATAATGTTCACTCAACATTCCGTTGAAGGCACGTACGGTAAATCTGCGGCGACTCACCCTGCTATGGGACTAGTGTGACGCCGCCCTAACACAAGGTGAAGTTACCATTAAGCCGCCTTAGTGTGAAGCCAGTCACGTGCGCGTAATACAATTGAATAGATATCACGCTATATACCAATGAACAGCGAAAGTGAGGACGCAGGTTCTAATGGTCACTGCATCACACGTATAAATTATATCTAAATACCGTCAGTGCTTCCTGATCAGCCCCTAGGCAAAAAGCTCTGCACAGGTAGATACATGAAAGACATTGTGACCTCAAGAACCAACATAACTGCGATCTATCCAGACCTGGCAGCCGGTGAGAATGTGAGGAGAATCGTCTATATTTAATGTTTGAAACACCGTTGCTTTCTTCATATGTGTCATGATTGCGGCGCTTCGGGGTATGGAGGTTTGATAAACCTCCACGACGGAGAGTGTCTGGCTGCTGTGTTGATGATAGAGAAAGCCCATGTCAACAATGATTAAGTGGCCAACTGTTGGAAGGCTTCGAGTTGGTCCATGCTTACAATTCCGCACCGGCAATAGTCGGTGGCTAGAGATTCTGCAGCAGAAGCAGTTCCTCTCGAGTGCATTTGATGACCTCAACTGCAAGGAGGCATTGGCTATCAGGGTCTCCGGCGTCCAATAGGAATTGAATCGCCCTCCACCAAAATATTTGGTTTAGAACCTGATCGTTTCCAATGTTTCCCGGCCCGAATCTCGTCCATCTTCGCCAAAACATCCATCACTCGGAAGGGTTTTGGGAGAACTGCATCTACCCCAGCCTCAAAAGCATCGTTGATCTGTTCCACTCTTGCGTTGGCAGTGATGGCTATGATGCTCACATGTTCTGTGACATGGCCTCTGGACTGAAGTTGACGTATTTCACGAGTGCACGACAATCCGTCCAGAACCGGCATCTCAACATCCATGAGTATGCAATCAATATCGGTCAAGGGTGCGTCTGTTGCTGGTTGGTGCCAGATTGAGCTGCTGGGTAGAAAATCGAGTGCTTCCTGCCCATGATTGGCGACATATACAATGCATCCAGCACGCTCAAGTTGCTTCATAAGCACCTGAGCGTTTATTATATTGTCCTCCACCAAAAGAATTTGCGGCCGAGGTGCCAGGGAGGTGTTGCTTAGCTGGCGTGTTATCCAATCTAATTGATCCGAAACTTCCGAAGAACGGCGCGATGCATAAGCCAACGAAGGGGTGCGTGAAAGCTGGGAAGTGGTTTCCGGACAGTTCGTATGTCTGGCCTTGATATAGAACGCAAAAGTACTTCCTTGCCCTGGGCGAGAGGCCACACCAATTTCGCCGCCCATGCTCTCTGTGAGCTTTCTGGAAATAAACAGGCCAAGACCAGAGCCACCGTATTTGATGTGCGTCTTTTTGGTGGCCTGTTGAAACCTGCCGAAGAGTCGTACCATTTCATCCTGTTCCAGACCTTTGCCAGTATCGGTGATGGAGAATAAGAGGCTGACGGGCTCTCCGCTTCCCCATTCGGCACCTAAGGTCAAGTCATGTTTCTCGCTTTCGGTAGGAAACCAAATTACGTCGTCCATGATCGGTCGTCGCTGTTTGAAAGCCGATTGTCTAACGGTAATGCGCCTTGTACCTTCACTCTTGGTGAACTTGATCGCGTTTGTGAGAAGGTTGATGAAAACCTGGGTCAGGCGAGCAGGGTCCAACATGGCCCAATCTACGCCACATCGTAGATAACTTTCGTCCACGATGTTTTCGAGAGCGATTGAATGGGATTCGAATTCGACCTGGAACATCTTCAGTGCAGCCTCGACAACCCCTTGTGGTCGATCCGCTATTGGAGAAATTGAAAGTAATTGAGAGTCAAGTTTGGACAAAGTAAGAACATCATCGATGACTCTCTTCTGATGAGCGGCACATATCAAGATAGTTTTACCACTTTTGGTGTTCTCCTGAAGTAGTCTCGTGGCAGTGTCGGGTGAACGGTCGGCAACTGCCCATTCACCCAGAGTCCCGGCAATACCGTCTGCCAATTGAGTGATAGCAGAAAGAGGGTTACGCATCTCGTGCGAAACGATATCGATGAATGCTTCCTGTAACTTTCGAGCTTCAGTAGCCTGAGTAGCCAAGCGGCTCTGAACTTCCTCTGCCCACTTGACACTGCTTATGTCGATGACGGTGGCAGCTACCCCCATGACTTCCCCATCTTCGATCAGAGGGCCTGCCTTTCCAATAATCCAACGTGGCTCTTCATCAGGTTTGGGGTTTCCGGCAGTGGGAGGTGGTCGCCAAGTGTGCCGCAGACGGACCTGGACATCAATAGGCTCGAGATTGTTACCCATTCTATTCCATAGCTCCGTCACGTTGTCTTTGTCATCAGGATGTACAGGGTCAAGAAAAGAAAATTCATAATGATCGTCGTGAGGATGGCCAGTGATCTCATAGTACTGACGGTTTGCCCAGACAATATTGCCTTTGAAGAGATTAGTGAATGCACGTGAGGAAATTTCAGATCAAACTCACCTGTCATACTGACTCGCACCATTCCCACGGGACCATGCTCGGCCATTTCTCTAATGATTCTCTCATTGCGAGCTAGCTGACGCGTCAGTCTTTCGGCGCGTTGGTGGGATTCCTCTCGATCAATGACGAAGGCGATTGTCGCTGATGCTTGTCTGCAAAGGGTGTTGATAAATTTTGCATCATCGTCCGAGTAGGCTCTTCGTGGGTTCAACCCAAAGACAACGATTCCCAACAGTTTGCTGCTCACAGAAATTGGCATTAGGACAATGCCCTCAGGAGCTTCTCCATATCCCTGCCACTGAAAGCCATCGAGCATTTCCTTGGGGAGAGTATCGTCTCCAATCCTCAACACCAGGGGCTTATTAGATGTGCGCACCTTGCGGTAAAAGACGGCTAACCCTGCAGATGGGTCATGAATGTCCAGATGCTCCGGAACCAGTGGGTGACCATCGGCTGGTAGGCCAAAAGACTGTTGTAATGTCAATTTACACTCTGCTGGACTGTCCTCTGCCGAGTAGGCAAATGCCATGGGGAAATCCTGCTCATTGTGCCGGAAAGCACGAAAGACATGGTCCCAAATGGATGTTGTTTTGTCGTCTGGTGCGGCGGCAATTTCATACAGTGTGTTGGATCTTCTTTCCCTAACTCTTTCATTGGTGACTTCAATGGCCCTGTTGTAAAAACCGGAGATTTTTCCACTTTCATCCACAATGGGCAACATACTTCCGGTCCAGAAGGTCTCCTCATATCGTCCATTCTGGCGCTGAGGATAAACAGTCATCTGCATATTCTCAAACCCTTCTATGGAGGTCAACATGGCTTGATGCAGAGTACTGACATCCGGCCACACATCCTTCCAACATTCTGTAAATGGAACGCCCTGCATCTGGGACGGGTCCCGGATCTTCGAGCCTACATCCTCGAAGGCGCGTTTGTTGAAGCATGCGCACAGAGATGGTCCCCAATAGACGACTGCAGCGTTGGTATCAGCCATAACGAGGCCTACAGCGGTACGGAGAGAAACTGGCCATGTTTCCAAGGGGCCAAGTTCTGTTCGAGACCAATCAACGCAGTTCAGTAGCCAACTTCTGTTTTCTTCTCGAGGAAGAAAGGAAGCCCATGGTGATGCGGGATCGCGGTTATGTGAGGCGGGCTTCGGCAGTGAAACTTGAGATTGGAGCGATGTTTGGCGTTGATTTGCTTGGGTATCTATCAGATCCCACTGTCTAGTTGATGGATTGAATATGGCTTCATGCGTTACGCCTTTGACGTTTACGTGAATGATCGACTCTCGGCGACCGTCCGGAGCGGCGCGATCAGTGATGCCATAGCCTCGGTTTGGAGCTTTTGAGGTGAGACGGGGATCTGTGGGTTCTTCAACTGTCTCCATCATTAGAGGAGAATGGTAGCCTGTGCTCATCGACCATTCTCACTGAGGCCGTATCGCATCGAAGCGGAAGCGATTTGATGTCATGACGAAGGGCAACAATGATAGTTAAGCGAGATCAGTGTGTCATCCACGTGTTGAAGGAAATAGGACAGACTTGGAGATCGACAAAACGATAGTGCGATCTCTGTCAGACCAGGGCCGTGAATCTTGCTGGTGGCGCGAGACTAAGCACAGAAAAAAGACGATCGGGTTGACAAGAGAAGACGGAGAAGATCGCGCAGTAGACCAGTGATTCGGGTCAAGTGACGTATGCCGAACCCCTGGGAAAATCTGTGGATCAATGCCATGCCAAGTGGACCAACAGATGGGCGAGGTTGGAGGGCTGGAGGGCTGGACTGTGGTCCTTCCATGGAGCTTCCATGCCGTCTCCCGTGGATCCGGTCAAAGTGTATCTATCTTTTGCTGCCTATGGATCCTCTATTGAGGATTTGAATTTTGTAGGATAGACCATGAGAGTATATTTCGTGAGCACAGAGCAGGTCTGCCTTGGAACGTTCAGCGTAGAGGTACTCAAAATCGAACAGAGATGTTTAGATCATGCCGCAAAGCCAAGGGCTTGGTCAATGAGGAGATAGGATCAGGAGGTTGCCCAGTCACCCTCATGGGCCATGGTCGTTGGAGACCAGGAGCCAACGCACGGAGGGTATGGCCCAAGTCTGGTGTGGCACAAAGGATGCCATTCGAAAGTCAGAGCTAGGAAAGTCTCTTCGAGTGTAATATTGATACTGATTTCTGACGGATTTGTCAGTTGAAAAGGTAGGAAGACATTAGTAGGAGTCTTGGGATCGAACGACGGGTGGAGAGGTGCAGCGTGGTACAGGTGGTCATCCGTGGCAAATGGGTGCAACACAACTTGCCTGTAATTCGTTATGTCGGCGTCTGAGTGTGGCAAGGGGAAAAGGCACACCCAGAGGGTAGGATCTTAGCCAGGCAAGGCGTCCAGGTCAGGCTGTGTGATTTCGAATCCATAAATGGAACAAGACTCACCCACCTGAAAACATTATTGTGAGAGTCAAGGGACAAGAGGCGCTTATTGCTCTGGCATGGCTGGATCGGACTGTGGCTTTCGAAGGTGGAAGCTTGACCAATGCCAAGCCTTAAAGGAGGGGTAACAAGGTCGGCAACTCGGATTTCGCTTCAACTGCACAAATTCTTCGGTTCTGGGCTGGGAAAGGAGTTAATACCTTAACATCAGCCTACGGAGTAGGCTTTAGCTACAGACTGACGACTTAATAATGCAGTTTGTGGCCAAAAATGAGATAGAGATACAAGGTTATTGGTGGGCAAAGTACTGCAAGACAAGGGCTGGGACGCTCTAGGCCCCTAGCTCCCCATTAAATAGTTAATTAGCCAAGGTGCTTTGGCGGGGCTTTAAGCACTCAGTGGTGCCAGTGATCCCCCAGTGCCCCCCACGAACCACGCCTTGGTTGCAGGTGATCCTCTTGTATCACTCGCCTGAGGCTCTCAGTGGCACTTTGATCCAACCCACCAAAGGAAGCCCTCGGACGTTCACCTGCGCTCTTGATCCACACAACACATTACTCACTAGAACATTCGCCCGCCCATAGGTATCACGGTCCCTCCGGATTCCCTCAACTTATCATGCAAGTCATTCGTTCGACAAGTTCATAACGAATCTATCTCACTTGATTGATATACCATACCTCTCGCTTTAATTATTACTTCAGCAAGCCGAACCTCAGTACTCAGGTCTCTTATCCAACCGTTTTCTGCTTTTGCAGGCCGGCTGTCCATCTCAACATCTCCTCCTTCTCCTCCTCCACCTCCACCTTTCGCCTCAACCTCACATGATCACACATCATCATGGCTGATTCTCCTATCACGAATGCTCCAGTCGGGTCACAAGAGAAGCCAATATTGGACAAGTTGTTACTGATCCGAGATAAACTCCTTCTTCTCAAACAAGACAAAAGTACATACGTTAAATCCTCCGATGTCCTCCCTCTCTACGACCAAGTTATCGAACAGGTGCACATCCTGAACGAAGTGCGAGGTGAAGAGCACCTGGTTCAAAACCGAGTCGACACCGTCCTCGATGACTGCCTCCAATTAATCTCCCTCTTCTTCATGGCCGTTGGTCGGAACAATGAAGCTCCGGCCCTCTATGCTGTGACCGGCAACATCATGCGCCTATGCCATCACGTCAAGGAGGCTGCCTTTTACAGCAAAAAAGACTTGACCAGCCTCGAGCATACCCTCTCCAAAATGGAAGGAACGCTCGAGAGTGGAAAAGACAAATATTCTCCCGCTTTGATCAAGAGGGTGCACTATCGCCTGGAAATTTGCCAGGCCATGTTGAAAGAGCTGCGCGCCTTTTTGTCGACATTGTCGCCCGAGATGGTCCCTGTCTGGGAGAAATTGGTTTCAATATTGCGCGCAATTGCAGCGCTCAACACGCGGAGCAAGGTAAGTCTGGGAATGCCGCATTTATATTATTAAATTTCCATTCTAACCAACCCAGTACTCTTCAAAAGATCTTCACGAGCTTCGTGACCAACTCCTTCAGATCCAATCGACTATGCAAGACGGGAAACTACCAGATGAATCCGGGGAAGTGTCTTCGGGTCAAGACCTCGTGGTTCCTCTACTTGAGAGATGTCTGAAATTCACGGAAATTGTCGAAGAGAGGTAAGACCAAGCATACGCAAATAGAGACAGAGGATAATTTCTAACCAATCGGACAGACATGGCAAGATCGACGAACGATTTCAGGAAACATACGACCAACTGATTGAGATCCGGAACCAACTCGACCGACTCACCATGACCCAAGCATGGTCCCTTCGAGAAACAGATTTATTCATGTGGCAGAGAAAATTGGACCGCATCGATGATTCAAGACGAGATGGCAATTTCTTTGACGCCGAAGGTCGACCGGCAGATTTGCACGCCCAGAGGGTAAGAGTCCTTTTATTACCTGTGGCTGCTTAAATTCAGAAGCTAACTTCCCAACCTAGACCCTTCTATACCTCATCCGGCGAGGCTACGCATATATCTACCAACTCCTCATCGCATCAGAACCAGTTTCGGAAGCCCTTCTCCCGATATACAACCAATTACTGACTCTACGACGATGTTTGGTGGAAGTCAAGAAAGCCGGAGGAGTTTCCAACCCACGAGAATTATACCCTTACAGCATGAAACTGAACTCGATCGACAATATGCGGGTGGATGGAAAGTTCCAAATTGGAAAAGATATTCCTGAAGGCCAGGGGAGTGTTAATGATCTTCTCGCTGAATGCTACGACCTTGCTTATGAATTGAGGACGGATGCTGAGAACGAGAGTGATGATGAGTAGGGGGGGAAGGGACAAGATGAATGAATGTTCTTCATGACGGTCTGTCTGTCTCTTGGGGAAGAAACCTCTCGCTCCTCTCACTCATTCTTAAATGAATTCAGGGATGTCATATGGCAAGGAGTGTGAATTGCGGTGCAATGAAAATGCAAGAACGACACCAGGGAGAGGATATCCAGTTGAACCGATCCGCTTTAGGCTGGAGCGGACGGGCAGGGCGTATTTTGTCTTGACTTGATGTACCTTGACTTGACTACCCATTGATTTGGGCTTGTTTTCTGCCTAGGATGGCCATGGCTACGGCTATGGTATCAATCGATCGATCAATCGTGTTCTCGAACAGACTTTTAGTCATGTTTGTTCACTTCTTCTCGTTCTGGTTCTCGTTCTGGCACTTCTACTCAACTGAAGATACTTTGATCACCTACTTAGTTCGCCGCAGCTACCTAAGTACGTTGTCTATCGAATCATGTCGCTCGTTCGCTCTGTCCTGAACTTGGTAAAAAACGCCGACGCCATGATCGATCGATTGCACGGAGACTCCGGCCCCATCACTCACTCCATCTCTCCCTTCTTGGATGGCTGACTGGAACAACTCCAAGTCGAGTCCTTGACGATGGTAGAATCAAGGCCAATAGGCATCCCCGTCTCCGTCCCCGTCTCAGTCATCGCCATCACCATGATCATCATAATTCATGATTCATGATTATCATGATCCATCATCAACTGTCATGCCTCCCACCCTCCCCAACCTTTCCCTTTGACCCCTCTCTACCTCTCCCTCAAAAACAATCCTCATATTTCTTCGAATGACGATCCGATGCATGTGTTTCCAGAGCTTTACGTGCGGTAGTGCTCTGGAATGTTTGAAAGCATGTCTTGCATTTGAATGTTTGAGCGGCGGCGTTCTGTGAGAAGAGGAGATGTGTTAGTATTGATGGACACTGGTAGTGGTGTGCCAAGGTGGACTCGATGTTCGAGATAACATATGATAGATCACATGATTGGCTGTAATTCGAACTCGAGAATGATGGGCAATGTGAAGAGTATGAATGGAGGAAGATTATGATGATGATGGATATTCATTTCCCAATAAATGAATCGTGTCTGGAGTCTAAACTGGGATAAGGTAGTTGCCTCGTGGTAGACGTAAAGTTGATTATCGATTCTCATATGTTGGTAGATACTGGTATTATAGTAGTCGTTGTCGATCGGAGATCTCGGAAGTCGACTTCGCGGCGAAAAAGGAAAGATGGACAGACAGACGAGGTGAAAAAAGACAAAACAAAAATACAACGAACCCAAAAGCACAGAATCTTTCATGGATAAGCGTTGAGGGAGGCATGTTAACTTACGGATTTCAATTGACTCTGAGGTTCCTTCTTGGAATCGACCTTGTTGCGATCACGCTTTTGTTGTGCTTTGGCTCCGTTGCCCATGATGAAGGATAAATTGGGTGGGAAAGATAGTGTATGACAAGACTGACAATCTGCTCTAGTGGAAAAAGAATGCGGCGGTAAAATGTAATGTAATGTAATGTGACTGATGTGATGTGAGGCAAGTAATGTCTGCGTGATATAAGGCTGAAGAAAGAAAGTTCCAAAGCGAGCGGCGGTCAAAGGAAAAAAATCTCTCCGTTGGAGGTGATAATCAAATCAACGGAATGAGAATTGGAGGGAATATTTGGTTGGTTGGCACGTGGTAGGCTGGCTGGCCAGTCCCTTACTCAGTGGGGTAGTGGATTGTGCTAGAACAGGGACTACAACTAGGTACCTACCTACTTACAGCAGGAGGAGAACCTGTAGGTGTTGAGTAGTAGAGGCTGACGGGGGATTCATAACACCTAGGGCTATCTCTTTCGGGGCGCAACTCCAGACGCATGGAGCCCCGAAGGCCCTGAGCCCAGTTACATGCTTCTCTTGCTATCGACCTGCTTACCTAATAATGTCATCCCTGCCAGCCAACCACAAAAGATGTCTAACACGTGCGATTTGAGTGAGTTTCTGACACACGTGGATCTACAGTAGAGTAGATGGAACAAGAAGAGACGAGTCTTTCTAAATTTACAGTCACATCATATCAAGCTATTAAAGACATGGATTCAATTGCTTAGATCAACGTATCGTTGTATCGTTAAAACTGCAGTTTTCTACGCGATAGATATCTGTCTGCCAACCCTAACTTGATAATGAACCCTTCAATTATACACATGTCGCCTTTGAAACGCAGACTTCATAATCCATTCATTCTTGAAGATTCAATTTATTCACCTCATTTTGCTGGTAAAGCCACCATCTAACTCGACACTCTATTGAATTGCAAACCTGTCGAAACATCACCGAATTTGGCATGCAGAATATCCTTCAGCCAGTAGCTACGGGGGACCCATGGACCATGGTCACCGCCCTTGGGCAAACTGCCTTCTTTCTCGGCCTCCTTGATATAAGTGCTGTTCAGGTTTAGGAGAGGACGAGGCTTCATTGTTTCCTTTTCTCCCACTCGAGCGACAAAGCTGGTTTGACCCTTGGCCTTGAGATTTTTGAGGATGCGAACCCAGAGTTGACCGGTGGCATCGGCTCCCAGGGTCCAAGATGCATTGGTGTAGCCAAAGACGAATGCCAAGTTGGGGAGATCTTGCAGAACAGCGCCGCGCCAGATATATTTTTCGCCGAGGTTCTGCAGCTGTCCGTCAACGTAGAACTTGATGCCGCCACCAAATAGGATTTTCAATCCTGTGGCTGTGATGATGATGTCCGCGTCAATTGTCTTGCCTGAGTTCAGTTGAAGGCCCTTTTCTGTTACTGTGTTGATGGTGTCGGTTACGACGTCAGCTTTGCCGGATCGTAATGCTGCGAAAAAGTCTCCACCTATATTACTTGTGATTAGCTATGTGAAGAATTAGGACGCCGGAATCAAGACTTACCAGGAGTAATGCACATTCTCTGCTGCCATGGGAGGTAGTTGGGAACAAAGTGAGGGTCGAATGGGATGTTACCAGGGAGTTCGGCTTCGGTGGCTTTTCGGAGAGTGGCGATCATCTTCTTGGGGAACATGCGGCAAAAGATGAAGAAGATGAATCCCATAATGTAATACTTGAGACGGATGACCTTGAATGCCCATGATGACGGCAAGAACTTCTTGATGAGGATGTCGAGGGGTTCGACCAGAGGGATGGGGAGGAAGTAGCTGGGCGATCTCTGGACCATGGTGACAGACTTGGCCTTTTCAGCCATGTTGGGCACGATCGTCACAGCTGTGGCACCACTGCCAATGACAACGACTTTCTTGTCGGTATAGTCGAGGTCTTCGGGCCAGAACTGAGGGTGAATCACCTGGCCTTTGAAGTTTTCTATTCCAGGGATCTTGCCGTTGAGACCTTTTTTGTAATCGTAGTAACCAGTTCCCATCATGATCTGACGGCCATACAAGATCTTGTCTTTGCCATCCGCGACAACATTGACCTTCCAGTGTTGATGCTCGCTCGACCAGTCTAAGCTTTTCACCTGGTGGTTGAACCTGATGTGCTTGTCAATGCCAGCACGCTCAGCGGCTCCCTTGACGTATCGCAGGATTGAGGGAGCATCAGCGATAGAACGGTTCTCAGACCATGGGTCCCATGGGAAACCAAAGGTATGGAGGTCGGAATCTGATCGAATTCCAGGATATTTGAACAGACTCCAGGTGCCACCAATCTCGGAGCGACCTTCGAGAATGGCATAAGTGGCGCCAGGAAGACCTTCTTGGAACCGATATGCAGAGTTGATTCCAGAAATGCCAGCGCCAATGATGATGGCGTCAAGAGTAGTGTCGGCCATGTTTATGAGGTGTTGACCACAGGTTTCAGGGGGAAAAAACACGGGCGAGGATGGCGGTGTGTGGTGCTCTGCTGTAGTGACACCCTATAGATTGGGATAACTAGTGTACAAAGTGCCTGTGACAGCCTTGCAATAGAGCTCTCTTGGAGTCTTATGAGTGATGAGATAGATGAGTTTCAATAAGAATAATCGTTGCCTGAATACTCGTTGGAGTCGTTGAGGATGGGGAAAGATCGGGAAACGCAACAAGGAATTTATTTGGCAAAGCGCCGAATTAGTCGAGGGTTAAGTGGGACAGATAGGAATGGGGTCTATCTATAAGCGCGGTCCCGTGAAAAGAATAGTATGTGCATACAACCACGGTTGGTAATGGATGTAGAGATTTTGTCAGCAGATGCAAGAGAATCTGGAGAAGAAGGAGTATTTTATGCTAAGATGGGAAGAAGAGACTTCATAACTTCTCCGCCCCTTCAGGTCAGCATTGAGACAGTGCGCTCGATCATTTGCATCAACCTGGAAGCAGATTCCTCCGAGGTATCTTTGGGCGGTTTGAGGGGCTGGCGCCTGGGGTTTGTGGGAGCAAGCCGCGCTAAGGCGGTTGTATTCCGGGGTGTCACGGTGTCTGGTGGGATGGGAGGTCTGGATGGCGGGAGGTTCTCTTGCATGAGGTGAGATGCCCGTGGTGGAGAGGAGCTGAGACGACGACCAATACGATAGGGCGTGACACGAAGAGGACGAGTCGATTCGCCTCCGACGCCTCGGAAAATTCCGACTGTGTGTACGGAGTAAACGTCGTGATGATCGTGTGATCGTGGGGAGCATTCGAATCGACCAGTCTACTCATACCAAAATCAACCAATACGACCAATCACTTCGTCGACTTCTCTGTAGAATGCGGGACTAAAAATGCTCTCCAAGAGAGGTTGGAGGATATTTCTCGGGCTCCTCGGACTGCCTAACAGGTCCCGTTGTATTGCATAAAGCGACTGGCACAGGCCCTACCTACCTCTAGATATCCAACCCTATCTGATATAGGCGCTCTTTAGCCGTGGGGCCCCTCTTTAAGCGCGCCACTACCACCAAGCACCAGCAGCACCGAGCACTTCCAGGCATCCCCCTCCTCCCCCCAGGACCTCCCACCAACCGCGTGAAGACTCCTGCACGACCCGCACGCCTGCACATCTGCTGGCTTTTGCCTCTGTGGGGTCTCCGTATTTCAGTGCCGTATTGCGTATAACGCGATTTGTACATACTTTATGGTCACTTAAAGGCCCTGCAAGGCGGGCAACCGTCAAATCCTAGCGGGCCACAGAGAAGAATACCGAGGTATCTCAACAAGGTATTTCACACAAATCAATAACTCGTAGTTCCATCAAGCATCATGATTCGTCTTCATTAGCCACGGGCAAACGGAGAGCTGGTTTCACATGCACCTAACGCTTTGCGGATCAACAACCACTCAATACGATACCCCCATCCGTCGTTCAACAGCCGTACACAAGATTCTAGTTAGAAACCTGGATGTCAGATGCCACGAGTCCCTGAGTCAGAGTTCTTGGTGTCAGGAAATCCAACACATGAACGTGCACGTTGTCTCCTAAGGTGTTGTCTCAATGCATTGACACGCTCCCCGTCAAGTCATAGATCCAATATGGCTGACTCTTTTGTCGTAAGCGAATGGATTCAACGTCTGGCCCCAATGGAGTAAACACTCTTCATCCGAATTCGGTATTAAACCTCATTCGCTCTCTCTCTCTTCTCCGTGCACCGTCCTTGCATCATCTCCTTTCTCCGGCATGAACCAATACGCAGCAGGCCACCAGCGTCCGATCCTTTCGATCCACTATTTTCTGACCGCCGCCCATACTAAGGAGGAAATCCCTACCTACCTACCTACCTACCTACCTACATATCACATCTATACGTACGGAGTGTGGCGTACCTACCCCGTGCTTATTATTAATTCACAAATATCCCGAGATTACCAGTCATCAAGCAATGATGCGCGTATGCTTATGCGTACGTCGAGATCAATGTAGAAAGATTGTCCGACAAAAGGGCGAGGAGAAGGATCATACTAAATCTTCTTCAGGCGCCTCGCTCCATCCTTTAGTGATTTTTGATTACACACAATTAACCCGTTGCCAAATCTCTCTTGTCTGTAAACGTCGATGACGACGCCATCGACTCGACTTGACTCGATCCACCTTGTCCTGCATAAACTTGCATACTTTAGAATGAAAATCATCCACTACTACGCGTACTGCACAAGGGTCTTATCACAAATTTCGGGCGCCGGACGCGATACCAGAATAGTCTGTCCCGTGGATTTGTGTTTGGCATTTCCCTAGATACGCACATGTCTGGACTATCCCATCTCTTACTCTGATGAAACAGGTTGTCCATGTTCATCTACCAAATGGCGGTCGATCTTTTCTGGACCTCCTCCGATTCCAGTACAGATGACTCGACTTACACCTGACTTGAGCGTCATCAATGTCTTTTGTTCCAATGAACCGTACTCGTTGGGTCGGATCTCGTCACTGAACTCGCCCTCCCATCCGCTGACCCGTGCAAGCACGTTCTTGAACACCCCAGCCACAAGGTGGGCATTCTCCTTCTCGTAATAGATGACAGCGTTAGGGCCCGCATCAAAGGTGTAGGCGGCAATAATCTTCCCTGCCTTCCGGTTGGCCGTTTCCACCGCATTCATCGCCGCTCTCGACACGTCATTCAGGTAATGAATCGGAGGCCAAGAGTCGAGACAAATGGCATGGAAAGAATTCGAGTCTTGCATGGTGATTCGTCCAAACGTCTCAAAGTCTTTCTCCTGGATCGCCTTTTCAATCTCCTTCATTCTTCGAGGGACGATCTCGGTGAATCTAGCTGGTGCTAGAGTTGATGTCTCGACCGTGGTTTGCATTCCTGCCGTGGAGGGGACGCCCTTCTTCTCGGCACTGACCACGAGAATTAGAGCTCTCATCGTAGGCCAGTGCTCGACGGGTGCAACTTCTTGGGATTTGCTGTCGCTTCCATCGGCCTCTGTCCCTGCTCTCCAAGCTACAAATCCTCCCTGCAGACTTCGACATGCAGACCCGGACCCTTGTCTTGCAATCAATGACAGTTGTTCAGGCGATTGTGGTAATTCATAGAGATCTGCAATTGCCCTGACCAGTGCGGCAAACCCAGCGGCCGAAGATGCCAGTCCGGCAGCAGTAGGAAAGTTGTTGGATGAGACTAGTCGAAGAGGGAAGCTGGAGAGTTTAGGGAGCGAGGAATCCTTGTCTTCAAGCTCGGCTCGAAGTGATCGCAGGTGTTTCAGACATGCTTGGGTACGTTTAGAAGACTGGATATCTTCTTCCTCCCCGTTGAGGATCAAGGAGTCCTGCCCAGAATAGGAAGAAGAGGCGGACGCTGTAGTATGGGTTCGGAGGGATTTTTGCGATAGAGTAACGGATAGAGAAGAGTTTGTAGGAAGGTTGAGAGCTGTATCACGCTTGCCCCAGTACCTGCAGTATAATCAGTACAATGAAATTACCAGAGGGACACCCAAAAAGTGGTGAAAGAGCATCACATGGCTGGGGCATATATCTGGATCATAAGGAGATGATTGGCGTACCTACTTGATGACAGCAATGTTGACAGGGGCAGTGGTGCTAGCCCGGTAGATCTGGGAGTCTGCCGACATGGTGAGAAGTGTCAGGCAAGACCACACGACAAATGGAGACTGTATCTGGGCGTGTAGATGGGTGATAGTTGGGGACTTGATACGTTCTTGTTTACTACACCGCCTGATATTCCCTGCGGCGGTTTACTATAAAGTTGGGGAAAAATTAAGGGAGACAGGACAGGCACGGACGAGGGGCAGAGAGATAATGAACTAGTCGGTTATGGGACTAGTTTGGATCGGGGGACAGGAATTCCGAGTGCGCCAATCCCATCACTCTGAATGCATGCAAAAGTAAAAACGTAGGTAATCATGTACCTCGACATGACATGTATGTCTCTGAGTATTTGATCGCAATCAACAATTTCACGCCTTGACTACCATTCATATATATATACAACTACCACTCCTCAAGATGGGCTGGTGGAAAGCAGACCCCGTTCCTGACCCTGCACCACCACAACCGACCTCATCCTCGTCATCATCTCCACCTCCGCATCCCATACCCTCGAACTCATCTTCCTCCTCCTCCGCCTCAGCATGTCCAGTCGACCCGCAGACTCGATCGATATGGCTAAAAGCTGCACAACAAAAATCACAATCCGCAAACAATATCCAGTCCCCACTCCCAGCATCACATCCACAACTACCACTACCACCCTCATCCCAACATCCTGCCTCAAAACCCTCTGAAGAATGTTCATCCGACCGAATCTCCCAATCTCCATCTGCCTATATAAACTACGACCCTAGCGTCAAACCCCCTCCACGCCCGTTATCCCAAGAACGAGAAATCTCCACCATTCCGCGAGCCATGCCACCACCACCACCCCCCTCGACCTCCTCTCCCTCATCAACCCCCTCCGCATCCATCCCATCCAACTCCGAAACCGAAACCGGAGTCTCCTCCTCCGGCAATTGGATCTACCCATCCGAAACACAATTCTACAATGCCGTGATGCGCAAACAAACCGCCGCCTCGGAAGCCGATCTCGTCTCTTCAATCAGTTCCATCATCCCCATCCACAACGCCGTGAACGAACGAGCATGGTATCTAATTAAGGGTTGGGAAGGCAATTCGAGCGAATCATGTGGTGGACCGAAATTGGCTAGTTTTCAAGGTCTTGGGTCTGGTGCTTTGAGTCCAAAGGCCCGAATGAGGAGTTTGGTCGGATATACTCAGCCATTTGACCGGCATGATTGGGTCGTCGAGAGATGTGATGGGAAACAGATCGAGTATGTGATTGATTTTTATCAGGGGAAAGCTACTCCTCCTTCCACGGGTGTTGGCGGTGCGGTAGGTGCTGATGCTGCTGCTGCCAACCAAAAATTGAATTTCTTCCTTGACGTTCGGCCGAAGTTGAATAGTGCTGAGGGGTGCAAGATGAGAGTTCAGAGGTTTTTTGGTTGGCGATGAGATGAATGAGACTTCATGTCACATTTATCGATCAACCACTCGTATATTTCAACTCACTGTATATTACGAACATAATTGTCTGGTAACGCAAATGCCATATAGCGAGGCATGGACCTGAAACTCAAACTAGAAGATCCAATCATGAAGAATAATCCCCTCACACTCACTCAACACCTCTTCGATCTCATTAATGATAATCACACACACTAGACGCTAAGGAATAAAAGTACTCTGAATAATCATGATGATATCAAGCCTACCAACCATACCATCACCCACTATTTACCTGTCTGCAATTGAAAAGGGAATCAAATCTCACGAGAGAGAGAGAGCCAGCCACCCATTGCTTTAGAAATGTACCAACAAGAAGAAAGCTCATGCCGCCCCAGCCCTCTCACTCCCCTGCCTGTCCCTCCCCGTCCTTCATCAACGCCATCAATTCATTCCACCTTGAATGTCTGGGTTGCTAAGAGATGCTGACCTGATGAGTGTGTCTATGGTGAAAAGCTGCAAAAACTCGACATGCGCCACAATGGCACCAAGCAATGCACAATTAAAAAGCAGGCTGAAGCCATGTGGTTTCGTGATAAAGTCGTAAATACCGCCCAATCCCCCGGACCGATTGAAAAAAAGAAAAGTCGTCATCATAAAGTCCGCTCTCATGTTGATGAGAGGGTATCTTATCGGTGAGAGCCGTTCGCAAAGAAGAAGATATGGCCACCCTAAGCGAGGGCCTTTCACCACTTGCCGCTGCGAAGAACAGGCTGTTCCATGCCGTATGTGTTGGAGAACAGTTGTTGTCTTATGCTCTGAGATTGATTGGTCGAAGGAGCAGGTCGAAGCCATCCAAGAGCGTCAAGAAGCGCTTCATAGGCTCCCTTGAGTCTGTTGTCACTCTTGATGTTGTGTGCTCGAAGTTTCTCCTCCCATCCGCCATATTGTAATTGGATCCCTCCACCTCTTTTGCTGGCTTCTTTTATGACGTTGCTCCACGCTCGGGAAATCTCTTCGTAGGCATTCATCTTAGAGACGTTGTACTGTTGAGTGTCCCATTCAGGGAGATCATGAATAATGTTGGTGACCCCGTTGAGATATTCGAGGGAGACGGATGATTGTTGTTCATTAGGGGGGAGGAAGTGGGGTGTAAAATCGGTCAAGGCTTCGAGTAATTCGTTCCATTGGGGTCGAACTCGATCATAGCAGTAATCCGAACGAGGATTCGGGTCGAGGGGAAATGAGGCCATTAGTCGGTCGTGATAGTCTCGAAGAACTTGAAGAGTGCTCTGAATGCTGGGGCGAGGGCTGATTTGAATGACCTCTTCTCGAATGCTAGGACTTCGGTCGCAAAGTTGTTTCAACACCGTTCTCAAAGAATCTTTATCGAGTGTCTCTAAAAGTCGATCTACAGACAGTGGTCGCCCTGTCAAGTTCGCACGCATTCTCTTTCGGAGATTGGGAGTGGGAGGGAGGCGTGCATTGGAGATGGAGGGCGACGTAGACATTTCATCATCATAATCGGACGAGGGAGAGGCTTTTCGCTTTCTTGATGGGTTTGAGGACGCCACTGTTGTGATTATTAGTTGGTCGAGGCCTTCAACGCAAGAATCATAAGTGATACTCACTTGATCTAGAGGGAGAGAGACGAGTGTGCTCGTGGAAATGAGGAGGAATGGGAGGCGTAGCCAGGCTACTCATGATGGAATCGTGGACGATGAAGCCCTGTTGATCTGACGGATTTGGTGCGTGAGATAGGAGTGTGCTGGTTGGTTGGTTGAACAAGGATGAAAATGGATTGTTGATGAGATAGGAAGATAGGACGATGGGTAGGATGTTAAAGGACAAAGAATCGATCAATGGAGGTGAAGATGGTAGGTCTGGCCGAGTGTCAGGCGGTGAAGGGTAGCTGGAGGGGCTTGTTTGTGACTCGTGGGTGATGGTTAGGTTTGGAGCAAGATGATGGCGGTGGTAGGTTCAGCCAGCGGTAAAGTAGGTTGAAGGACAGGTGCAAAGCCAACTTTACATCAAGTTTGAGAGGTTTCGGGGCGGAGATTTCCAAGCCTTGAGTAGGCGAGTAGCGAATAATAATGGGCAGTTGTGGCAGCAATGGCGGGCAGCAGTACAGGTGGCAGAGACAAGAGAGACATGGACGGGGCAGTTGGCCCGAGCCACCACCACAACTCGTTCTTTAACTGTTGTTAGCACTGACTTTGTCTCTTTTAGTGGCCGCCAAACAACGTGGGTGGCGCGGCGACCCGTGATGGAAGTGAAGACTCTGCCCAATTGTGGTTAAAGATCAGCCAATCCCCGGCACTGCCCCTAGAATTTTAAGTACCTAATGCGCTGTTATTAACTGCATCTTCCAAGCTCCCGGTGCCTGAAGAGTCCTAGTTTCCTTGGTTTGACCCCCAACGTTTAGAGCCCCGTGAGTCCATACTGCCTGGACCAACCACACATTATATCATGTAACTACCATTGGTTGACAATACTGCTACTTAGGGCTCGCTTTACCAGGCCGCGGGGAACTGGTGCCTGTGACTTTCGTTACTGATGAATTCAACATCCAATTGATCTGTCTATCACCACCAGCCATCGTAACTCGACTCCGCCTTGTGGTAATTGATTCAAGTCCATTCGCATGATATTTATTATTCACCATCATCTATCCACCCGTGCCACCATACCACTACGGAGTACTGCTGCTACCAGATCTCCAATCGCATCAGGTGGTCAATTCATTGGTCCGTGCCCTGCATCTCGGGCGCTTTTAGAGAGGCCTGCCAAGATGCAGGGAACAACCACCAAATGTTCTCGTAGTGCGATGGTCAGGATTCTGGCTCTTCCGCGGATGAAAAGATCCGGGTGGCAGCCATAACAATGGAGGCGTTCACTATACATATACAGCACACATGGTGGCGGCAATGATAGGTAGTACAAGTCCTGAATGACCATGAAAAAGTTCCCAGTTGCAATTACAATTACTTCTCCCTCCACGCTAAGCAGACCACGGATCTGCTTTCCACATCCACAAGTGGGCTTCACGGTTGTTTCACTATAGACTCGTGCTACCGTTAACGAACCCCACAAGCACCTTCAATACTACTGTTCATACAACTACATCCGTCTTTGAATAATCGTAATTAAGAACCTACAGCCACCCAAGGGCCAAAGAGAAACCAGGGAAAGCAAACGCGTTTCAATTGAACTATCGCAGCTTTCTGCCGCTGCCAGCATACGAGAAGAAGGTCGTAAGGTCGTGTTGGCGTTCTAGTCCAACCGAAACTTGAGCACACCTGAATCAGGTGGCGCGGTGCCTGAAACCCGCCCTTTGAGCAGACTAGAGTTCGCATCGTGACATGGTCGTCGGAAAGCAAAGCAAGACAAGGCCGTCGTAATACCTCATACCTTGGTAGATTCATCAACATACGACAGGCCTCGAGACGTATTCATGGGTATCATATCATGCAACAGAAAGGAACCTCCTGTTACCATCGCTGATGCTGTTGAAACAAAACCTCCCACCAGAAGCACTACAAGACACTGACGGGCGCTCTAAAGATAGAGTGACTGAGCAGCCACAATGTCCCTTCTTACCTTGGTCAATGCCTCCTCGAATTTCTTTTCCAGGTCGTCACTTCCCATCACCTTGGAAGCCTCTGCCATTTGACGGAGTGCTTCTTCCAGTCGACGGAAAACTCGGATCAAGCTGCCTTCGTACACGTCCGTCATTTTGCTGTGCCATGTTAGCTCACGCAGGCCGCATAGATCGTCAACATACCAAATCTCCCCGAATGACTTTCCATTAGCCCAAGCCAGAATAACCGGCATTAATTGCCACCTAAAGCTCTGCACATACTCGTCCTCGTTAACTGCCAGCTTAGACTCAATCGAGACCTTGGCAATTGCTCTCGCCTGGTTTTGAATCACCCGTACAAGGCGTGCTGATTCCTCGGGCAGCACAGGGTCTTCGCGTACTTTCTCTTCAAACACAAAACAGCTCATCACAGCTGCACATTGCTCCGGGCTCATGTCGTTAAAGAATCGGTCAAACAATAGCTCGCTCAGCATCAGCTCATCTCCCGTGCTGATGGCACATGCAACTCGTGCCTTCAGCTGCACCACTTCATCCTCATTGATGAATCGCAGTCGACGAAGGACTCGCTTGCGGCACTTGAGTTCGTCCAATTGCATAATTGCATGCGCATCTTGAATTTGCTTCTTTAGCGCACGGATCTTGTTTGAAACAATCACCTTTTCCGCATATTGATTGTACAGGCCTTCGAGGCGAGGCGAATTGTGCAGTGGATTTGCGATCAGCCTTGACTCCATAATCTCAATCTTTCTCAGGAGCTCTTTGAACGATTTGTCCGTGATCTTGAGGTTCTCTACCGGGTCTAACACTGCGAGACCGTCGGGGAAACGTCGTTGAACCTCGTTCAAGGCTTGTTGAATCTTTTTCTTCTCCGAGTGACTGGTCATGCCATTTGGCGGGAAGATTCGGATGTGGGAGATCTTCTGGACGCATTTCAAAAGAACAGGAACCACTTCAATCTTGGACGCCTCTCCAGGCAACGGCGGGCGTACACCGGGTGGGAGTGACTGGAAGGTTTTGGTGCCGGGGGTAGGCCCCTCTGCACATTCCAAGGCAATGTCCAAAATCCACTCTTCCTGCGGCGTCAGTTTTGTGGTCGAGTTGGGGGAATTTCTTCGAGTGAAGCTAATAACTGCACCCCATCCGAAATTGTGGTCACCATCTTTGATTTCGACCAATCGACCGGGTTGCATGAAAGGGAGGGAGTAATTCGGGTGAATGATGACGTTTCTCATGTCCTCGGCGGATATATCCAGTTGTTTGCGAAGATCGTAGTATGTTTTGATGGCGCTCTCATCATCGATTATCATAGAGCTCTTTTCAGCCTCGAGAAGTTGGAGTTCTCGTTCGAGTCCGGAGACGCTCGCGGTGTGTTGGAATTGGTGGAAGCACCGCTCGAGCATAAACTCGGGGGAAATGCCCTCCACTCGGAGTAGGTTGAGAATCATGTTGTAGCCAAGGTAGAATGCCGAGTTCAACTTGTCCTGCTCGCCACGGACAATGTCTTTGGCAACGCCAGGTTCCATCTGTTCATTGATCATCATGATGACAATACCACGTTCATCGAGGCCACGACGCCCGGCTCGTCCAGACATCTGGATAAATTCAGAGGGAGTCACCCATCGTTGAGAGATACCGTCAAATTTGCGGACACTGGTGAAGACCACTGTCTTTGCGGGCATATTGAGACCAATAGAAAAGGTCTCGGTCGCAAAGAGCACCTTGATCAAGCCTTCTTGGAACAGGATTTCGATGGTCTCTTTGAGGATGGGGAGAAGACCAGAGTGATGAATGCCAATTCCTCGCTTCAAGAGGGGCAGTAGATGTTGGATTTGGGGAAGGGTTTTGTCTTCTGGGGACAACATCTCCAGAGCACTGTCAAACACCTTAGCCACCATAGCCTTTTCCGACTCCTCGTTGAAGGACATGGAACTCATTTGGATTGCATATGCTTCGCAATCTCGCTTGCTGAAGCTGAAGACGATGACCGGATTGTAGTTTTTGGTCATGATCATGCGAACAATCTTGTAAATGTCGGACGGACCCTTAGTGCCACCCTTATTCAACTTCTTGTCCTTGCCTTTCCCTTTGCGACGAGCCATGGCATTAGCAGGATCGTCGCCTTGTTTGTCGGCAATGGAGCTCATCGCTTTCTGAAAGTTGTCTTCCCGGAACACTCCCTTTTCGTCCACGATCAGATGGATACCATCAGCGCCGGCTGGGAAGAAGTAGTGCTGAAGAGGCGTCGGTCGGAAATCGGTGTAGACGACGTGACAAGGCTGATTGTGAGTCTTGGTGATCCATTCCGCAAACTGCATAGCATTGGGGATGGTTGCTGATAAAAACACATAGCGAACTTTATCAGGAAGAAGAATGATGGTTTCCTCCCATACAACACCACGCGTCTTGTCTCGCAAATAGTGAATCTCGTCGAAGACCACCCAACCGACTTCGCGCATAATCTCTGACCCCCGGTACAGCATAGACCGCAGAATTTCAGTTGTCATCACAAGACATGTGGCAGTGGGATTGATGGTCACATCGCCAGTCATCAAGCCGACATCGCCGAATTCGGCTTGAAACTCTCTGTACTTTTGATTACTGAGTGCCTTAATTGGACTTGTGTAGATGACTCGTTGGTTGTTCTTCAAACACTGTGCAATGGCGTACTCGGCAACGACCGTCTTGCCTGCACTGGTGTGTGCTGATACCAAGACACTTTCGTTTCTCTCAATAGAAGCAATCGAGACCTGTTGGAACGGATCGAGCTGGAAAGGCCATTTCCTCGCTGGTTCTGCGGGAGAAACGTGTTCTGAGATGGGCTTGTAGGCATAGTCGGGGGGAAGAGCGACTTGGTGGCGGACTTGATGGGAGAGAACGACCTTCTCTTCATCTTTTGATGCTTGAAGCCCTGCAGAAGCGGCCACTTCTCTTGACTGCTCGGTTTCGAATGTATCCGTCACCACAGGCTCAGCTTCCTCATTGATGCGCTGTCGCTTAGCGTCTTGGGCATGATCGTTGGCGGCCTCAACGCTGGCACGATCGGAGTTCAACGAGCTTGCATCTTCAGAAGGAGCGTTGCTATCTTCCATTGGAGTATCTTTGACTTGTCCATTGGCCTGTCGCTTCCGATTTCGCTCTGGCCGGGGAGGTCGATTGTCGGTGTTTGGAGTGGACACTGACTGCGGCTGGTCCTCGAAGACATCGAAAAGATCATCCATGATGGGCAACCAATCGAGCGTGTCAAGGAGACGGGGAGGAATCAAGATATGGGATGGAAGGAGAGGACAAAAGAAAGCCGAGTCCAGAAGACCAAAAAGTGAGGGCATGCGGACTCTGGTGCAAAGAAATTCCCAGATCGCCATCTCCATGTGACAAAAAAGGCAGTTTTGGCGAGTCAATGCCAAGACTCGAGCTTCTAGCCGCAGCTTGGACTTCAATCTCAAGTGGACTGATGGTTGACGATTCAGCATTCATCTTGACTTTCCTTCATACAACGACGGCGAGCAACTCTTGAAAAGGTAGTAATACCTCTCACATACGCTATACCACAGACTGACCTCGCAGATGAACGCCCAAACACTCCTCCGCGCCAGAATGGCAACCCAACAACTCAGCCGTCGCGGTTTCTCTACCACCCGTCCTCGCCTCGATCTCTTCAGTCCCTACCATTACCCCGAGGGTCCAAGATCCAACTTGCCCTTCAATCCTAAGACAAGATTCTTCTACGTCAGATACTGGCTATTCATGGGTGAGCAACACGGAAGCGAGGCGACAATTGAGAACGAGACGCTGACTTGTATATCAAAGCCACTGGATTTGGCGTTCCATTTGGCATGGCTGGTATGTGCTACAGGTACAATCACATTGCAACTCTTACTCACAATCTACAGTTTGGCACACATACAAGGCATAGAGGTCAAAAGCAGGACAATGTGGGGATGACAGCAGAATGCGTCAAGGTTGAAGATGCCAGGGATTGGCAAACCTGGCACTGGATTTGTACAAAGCTCACATCAATACCAAATTCATTACAAGAAGGACATCCTCTACCTTTCCGAGACCTCACTAACATCCACTTGCAAATCCATGTGATCCGCTATCGTCAGAGGCTGCAGGTCGCTGTGCTGATGCCCACCTCCCTTGAGTTTCTGCCAACCAATCACAGCCCCGCAATTTACATCGTAGATAATTTCTCCAAAGTCATTCATATATTTTTTATATCAAAGCACGTGTTCCTCTGGTCTTCCGTGCGCCAGTCCTTGGACAACTTCATACATGCCGACCAACAATGCGTAATCTTAAAATTGTTGGCTACCAGGAGGCATGGCTACAGCTCCAATCCTCGTCGCCACAATTGCCTTTGACTGCAACAGCATGGGATGCTGGAAACGACACAGTCATCTGTGCATTTGGGCCCACCACCACAGCGCCATTCATTGAATTGAAACGGAGACAGACAGGTCAAGCTACACAAGACCAGGCCTTTGAGCTCATTGCCTCTTGGGACGCACCATCTCCGCTTGAGGACCTCGCATGTGATGAGATTCTTCTTCTTCAACACTTTCCAGACACTGCAACATCATGTCTAGTCCTGGCCGGTGGGGATGTCATTGTTGTTCGCGAGAACCCTCAACCCGACCAAGAGAAGATTGAGATTGTAGGGAGTGTCGATGTTGGAATTTGTGCTGCGGCGTGGGCCCCTGACGAGGAACTGCTCGCCATTGTCACCAGAGCTGATACTCTGGCTCTCATGAGCAGAAACTTCGAACCCTTGAACGAAGCCACGTTGTCTGCCGACGATCTCAAGGCTTCCAAACATGTGTCAGTCGGCTGGGGAAAGAAGGAAACCCAGTTCCAAGGCGCCCGAGCAAAGGCTCTTCGAGATCCTACTGTTCCTGAAAGAGTGGATGAAGGTCTGCCTAGTCCCAATGAGAACGGCAAGATTGTGATCTCGTGGCGTGGAGACGGCCAGTACTTCGCCATCAACAGTTTCATTTCCGGCCATCGTCGTGTGATTCGAGTTTTCACTCGAGATGCAGTCCTCGACAGTGCAAGTGAGCCTGTGGACGGCTTTGAATCGGCCTTGTCTTGGAAACCTTCTGGCAGTCTCATCGCAGGGATCAAACGAAACGAGAGCAGTATCGAGGTTGTCTTCTTCGAGAGAAATGGACTTAGACATGGTCAATTTGATCTCAGGGTTGACCAGAACGCGATGAATACATGGGCGTCCTCCATTACTCTGGATTGGAACACCGATTCCAGTGTATTGGCTGTTGGTTTCCTAGATCGGGTTCAGTTCTGGGTTATGGGGAATTATCATTATTATCTCAAGCAGGTTATCCCTCTGGTCGGCTCAAATTCGAGTGCCATCCCTCTAAGGTGGCACCCTGAAACGCCTCTGCGAGCATTACTGGCTTCCAACTCTTGTGTCCTCGACGTGACATTCCAGCTCGGTGTGTCAAGAGGAACTACCCTCGAACCTTACGACCACGGCATTGTCGCTGTCATAGACGGAAAATCCCTCAAGCTCACTCCATTCAAACAAGCCGGTGTTCCGCCTCCGATGGCCTTTTGTGAGGTCAATGTTGAACACAATATCGTGGATGTTGCCCTTGGTCAAGATGGCCAGCAATTCGCAATTCTGACTACCCACACCCTTGAACTTTGTCGCTGGACTGTTCGATCAGATCCGAAAGTCAAAGGAAATACCAACAAGATCAAATTCACGACCAATGTCAACAAGCAATCCATTGCTTTTCCAGAAGATGATATCCCAGTGCGACGGTACACTCAAATCGTCTTGAAGGATGGCGAGGCGTACATGCTCTCTCCCCGGCAAGCTTTTCTCCCCGCTTTTGTTCGAAAGGTGTCCTGGATAGGCGATGATGTTGAAGCTGCATCAGATCCACTCATCGAAATCGATGGCGAGGCATCAACCCTTCTTCTCGATTCCGCCTTCAAAGATGTGTTTTATACAGCCTCTCACCTGACCAAACCCCTACTACATTCTTCCGAAAGTGTGACATTAGCCGGCAGCCAACCCAACAGCAGCATCTTCACTCTTCCATCATCCGACACAGCCCATCTCTCCAACGGATACACAAATAGCGACGTCCAAGAATACCACAAAGTCTCACTCTCTTCATCGGGATATCTCACATTCGACAACAACGTCATCGTACGAGATTGCACATCATATATCCTAACCTCGCAACACCTGGTCTTTACCACCGCTCAACACTTCCTGAAATTCGCCCACCTCACAGACTCACCCGACCTTCATATTCCAGGTGACACGCCTGAAGTTGACGAAAGATGTCGCAGTATCGAACGTGGTGCGAAAATTGTCACTGTAATACCTTCCACCTATGCAGTCATTCTCCAGATGCCACGAGGCAACCTCGAGACGATATACCCGCGAATCCTGGTCCTTACAGGGATACGACGACATGTCCAGGCCGGCGAGTATCTTGCAGCGTTTCTCGCTTGTCAGACACATCAGGTCGATCTCAACATCCTTCATGATCTCGACCCAGAAAAGTTCCTTGCTAGCATCCCCGACTTTATCAGTCAGCTCAAGAAACCCAGTCGAATCGATGAGTTTCTATCGAAGCTCAAGGATGAAGATGTGACCAAGACTCTTTACGTCGATACGACAAGCAACAATAACAATAATGATGTGTCGGTCGCGGTGCGCCCACCTTACAATCCCAAGAGCACATCCGACAAGGTCAACCGAATCGCCTCTGGATTTCTCGCCGCCTTCGATGCCAACCCGTCGACGCATGCTCAGAACATCATTACGACACATGTATGCAAACGGCCTGCAGACTTGGACTCAGCTCTCCGGCTCGTGTCATCGTTACGACAGTCATCCACCGGATCAGACGAGGCTGAAACCGCTGTCTCGCATTTATGTTTCCTCAGCGACACGAATCGACTATACGATGCAGCTCTAGCGCTCTACGACCTGGAATTAACCCTTCTGGTCGCACAAAACGCACAACGAGATCCACGCGAATACATGCCGTTCCTCGAATCCCTCTCAGAACTCCCCGAGCTACGACGCAAATATACCATCGACAACCACCTCAAGCGCCATTCCAAGGCCCTCGTATCCCTTCACGCCATGCAAGTCCACGACGAAGTCTCCAACTACACGGTCAAACATTCACTATATACCACAGCATTGACGCTCTACAAATACGACCAACCACACCTCACTTCCATCACACGGCTCTACGCCGACCACCTCGCCGCCCAATCCCAACACACATCCGCCGCAACTCTATACGAATCTCTCGACGACTACACCTCAGCCTACCCTCTCTATGCTCTAGGCCACAAATGGCGCGAATCACTCACCTGCGCACAACTAGCACAAATCCCAAAGGACAAACTCACAACACTCGCCCATTCCCTCGCCACCACCTGTACCGACATCACACGAGACTACCGCTCCGCAGCAGCCATCCACGTCGACTACCTCTCTGACATCCCTGGCGCCGCACAATTACTCTGCAAAGGCTCTTATTTCGCCGAATCACTCCGATTACTAACTCTCCACCATGAACTCCAATCCATCCCCGTCATCATCGACACATCCCTAACCGAAAAATCCGGCGAAATCCTCGAATTAGTCGCCGATTGTCGAACCCAACTAGCTTCACAATTACCTCGTATCGCTGAGCTACGGCGTAAGAAACTCGAGGATCCATTGGCGTTTTACGGTGGAGATGCCGCTCTCGCTGCTGCGGATGGACATGATATTCCTGACAATATCTCGCTGGCGCCGACAGATACGTCTACTCATGGTGGACAGTCGTTGTTTACGCGCTATGGAGGGAGTGATAATAGTCGGTTTGCGGGGACGGTGGCGAGTAATGTGAGTAGGAAGACGAGTAAGACGAAGAGAAGGGAGGAGAGGAAGAGGGCGAGAGGGAAGAAGGGAAGTGTTTACGAAGAGGAGTATTTGGTGGCGAGTGTGGGGAGATTGATTGAGAGGGTCAATGGGGTGCATGATGAGGTGGCGAGGTTGGTGGCGGGTTTGTTGCGGCGTGGTATGCGGGAGCAGGCGGAGCAGGTTCAGAAGGTGGTCAGGGAGATTGTCGTGTTGTGTGGACAGGCGAGGGAGGAGGTTTGGGGGGTTGTGGATGCTCAGAATCAAGTTGATCAGCAGGGTTTGATGGCAGATTCATCTTCGTCGGGTGCAAGACCTCCTGGTGCGGATGGTGTGCTTTGGGATAGTCAACAAGAGGCTCAGGGGAGGAAACAAGCACCTGAAGTCAAGGAGTGGGTTGAAAATGACCTTCTCGCGGGGAATTCGGGCTAGGGTTGTCTATTCAATGGCTCGATGATGCATCGCCAGCATGGAAGCATGGAAGCATGGAAGCATGGAAGTAATCGATCAAAGCAATACCAGTGACGACAACATCTCTCAGGTGCAATTTTGTAATGATTGATGAATGATGAATGTCGTTACCATCGTTATCTAACTTCTTGCATCTCTCGTCTTGGAAAGAGACGCCTATTGGAATTTGTCCTTCCAAAGCTACCTGAGCTTGGTAGTACATCATTTGAGTGTCCCTTGGCTTGTTCTTGTTCTGCTCTTTTGGCTGGCTCTCGCTGTTGTCGTTGTTGAGTCTGCGCTTTACGAGAGCGTTCCTCCTGTTGTGACTCTTTGAGGAGAGGCATTCCCGAGGAACCGTTCAACCCATTGGATTTTGGCTCCTCGATCGCTCTCTTTGCTTGGTTTAATTCCGCAATTCCCAAGCCCACATCGATCAAATAAAGCTGAAAGGCCGCCAGCAGTTCCCTCAACCCACCTCTAAGTCGCTGGACCACAATTTCGACTTCCTCAATTTCCCCCTCTGTGTAACCTTGGTTCACGCTCATCAAATCCTCAATTGCTGTCAATGTCTTGGTGAATACAGTCACAGTCTCAGGAACCGTCGGAGTTGCCCTGCCATACGTGTCTTCTCCGAGACTCGCCACTAGCATTTTCGTTATGGATTCAATAATATCCACAAGCAAGGCAGCGTTGCCATTTGGAGTACCCAGAACAAGGGCATTGATCTTTGCCGCTCTAGTTGAACTGAACAGCCACGCTATACAACTTGAAGAAGGCTCGAATAGCCACTGTCGTAATAGGGCACTGAAGGACGATTTGCCCACGGCATCGGCGATCTCTTTGACAGGTGGGCGAAAGGGCTTTTGACTGGAGCCGAAATCGCGAAGTGTATTCGAGACCAGGTACTCCCGCAAACTAGCTCGTGGCGTCGGCGCGTATATTGAGGGGGCCGATGCTTCACCGACTATGCGCGGCAGGGTACCCGCTCGTGCCGGTGTTTGTGCTGCTGCAGCTGTCCGCAGCGAGTCGTCGATACGAGTGACAATATTTTGAAGGATTCTCAATCCTGGCTGTTGCATTTGTGTCCACATCGGGCCAGTTGGCCGTTCGATATCCTCAAAGATTGCTTGCCTCCGATCCTTGTGCTTCTGGGCAATAATAGCCAGTTCCCAGTACGCAAAAGTCTTGACAACATCTCTTTTTGCCTTTAGCCCACTCAACAAGGTTCCATTAGGATCCTTACTGGATCTAGACAAAGGGTATCCCGACTTTGTGGGTTCTTGAGCCATCGAGGTCAAGAATAGGAAAGTTGATAACTGCCAGGTCATCATCAGCAGAAAGCCGGCACCTCCACTATGTAGCAAGAATTTTCCCAAGGGAGGATATCCCGAGTATGTCTCGTCTGCCCTGGAAATATTGAAGTAAAGCTTTGCAAAGAATAAATGGCCGGACCAGAACAGGCCACGAAAGAAGTAGTTGTAGATGAAGGGGCTGAGGATGAGGGAAACGGCCACAACGCTGGCACTCTCCAAGGTGAATGGAATGACTTTGCGCCATATCTGGGATTGGACTGGGTCGAGGACATGTGTGGATTTATGATACTCGTCAGCTTTTGGCGTCGAGGGCAATTTAGAAATTGGGAAGTGCAAAGTTGAGCGGTGCTGGTAGAGGTGAAGAGTTGCAGCGCATAGTGCCAGGACGCTAGCGTAGAAACGGAAGAAGATCGGGCGTTCGTTGAGCCGGTCTAAAGGACCATGATGATTCTTTGTGACCCAGGATAAGTCTGGGGAGGACCAAATATAGGCCTCGGAGAACCACCAGGCAGAGGCAAGGTACCAGCCATAGGTCTGAACTGCGGCGAAACTCAAGGAGTTCTTTCTGAAGGTGGAGAAGTGAGAGGCAGTGGTCTGAGAGCCAATGGCGAGCGTTGCTATCTGGAGCACGAAGATGAGGAAGCTGGACAGGGAGAAGACCAGTGCTTTAATCCCAGCAGGACCGACAGGGAGCCAGGACCATATAAGATCTGACCAAGAGGTTAGCTGAGGGTGCAGAGAGATATGATGCATGCTTACCTCGTTCCCCGCCTATCCAGAAAACATTATGAAGGGCGATCCCAAAGGAGAATAGAGCGGCATGGACAAATCTCGTGTGTAGTGCAGATGTAAGATAGCGTCTATATGAACGTGGGGAGGGCGGAGTAGGAGTGGCCATGGCGGTGGTGTCAACGGTTTTTCGGGGAAGAGATCATGTCCAGGTCTCAACCATCAATTGGAGGAGGGCGGAGGGACGTAAAAAAGTGATATTGCGGCGAGTATTGGACGATGATGGCGTGGTAGAGACTCGTTATTCAGATGTGGTGGTATGTAAACATGGACGCGATGAATTGTGAGGAGAAATGCAGGCAATCCACGCACTTGCAGGTTCCTTCCTCACAATAATTTTGGAGTTGCTGTCGACTGGAGAAACAACTAGGCCTATTTCGGTTAGAATATTATGCACTACGGAGCACTACGGTGAAACACAGAATCCTAATCATGTGATAGGCACTAGCCTCAATCAAGACACATCCAAGCCTCCGTTCTCGATTGCCATGTTACCTGATCACCTATCATTTCCACCTCCAGGCTTCCATCATCCCTCACCTCGGCGCACCTCAATCTCTTCAATCCCAGTCACTCGCTTGCTTCGACCAGCGTTCAACCTTGCGACTATAGCCTTGACACCTCATCCTCCGGTCCTCCTACAATCACAATGTCCTTTGATAGACTCTCCTCTTTAGAGTCGCAACCGACGACCACCCGTCGCCAAGATGATCCTCAGTACAGGGACGACCCTGCATTTTCCAGTCTCACCGAGGACTTATCCACACGACTCTTTGAACTGGTATCCAACATCTCCCGTCTGTCCAACGAGATTGCTCGGCTAGGGACGAAACGAGACACCCAGCGTGCTCGCGAACGAGTCCACGATTTACTGGAAGAAACACGAGATGGCTTCAAAGAGGTTGGCGAAGGTATCAAGAGGGCTCAGACATGGTCTGATCTCAATGTTAGTGTTCCATCGACCATGATTCCGTCTGCGTCAAATAACTAACATCCACCAGCCCTCTCAGAGATACACGAATCAAAAGCTATCGCGGGAATTTGCCTCAGCCCTTTCGGAATTTCAAGTCGTTCAACGCAGAGCTATGGAGAAAGAGAGAGCGTCTAAGGCTGCGTTGGAGGAAGAAGCATCTGCACAATCACCCACAGGCCAAGGTCAACAACAACAACTCCAGACATTAGAGGAGCCTCGGCTAGCACAGCAGTCAGAAGTCGACTATCAGGAAAATCTCATTATTGAGCGCGAGGGAGAAATCCGACAAATCGAACAGTCAGTGGGAGAACTCAACGAGCTCTTCAGAGACGTGGCTCATATCGTTCGGGAGCAAGGGGATATGATTGACGCAATCGATGTCAACGTGGAGAACACCCTGACCGACACCCGAGGAGCCGACATTGAGCTGAGAAGTGCGAGTCGATATCAAAAGGCTGCCAGAAACAAGGCTTGTTGCTTATTGCTCATCATCGGCATTGTTCTTCTCATTGTTATATTGGCCGTTGTTTTGGGTTGAGATTATACTGCTAGCGATTAATGCATTCCTGGGTTTGAGGCCAACCCGGTTTTGGTTGTACAGATTTGATACTTGAGAGCTATATAATTAGTACTTTGGTACACGGAGGCGTTATTTATCATGGCGCCGTCATTCGTGTCGACCCATGTGTTGGAACATGGAGACCGAGAGGGAAGAATGAAACATACTTCAGAGTGAACTTGAGGTTTAGGTGAAGGCTCAGCATAACGCACCGCCCTGCCCTTGAATGACGAACTGTAAGAGAATATGACTGTGAATATTCGGTTCGGCCTGCATTGATGTAAGAGATGTTTATTAGGTATCAAGATGGTGTTCTCATGAGTTTGTTGGCTGCAAGTCACAAAGTCTCAGCGTCAGCCTTGCGGCTTCACGCGTGACGTCAATTATCGTCAATTATCGCCTGGCAGGCGCACTCCACAGTCTAGACGCGCAGCCTCGCGCTTGCCCTTGATCCCTTGATTACGATCCACCGACTCGCGTCTTGACGTCGACTTTTGCTCTGACTTCTGCTCCGACTTCTGCTCGTTTCAATTGTTTGCTCGTGTGCCTTTGCTGTATGCAACAATGCTCAGATTACCTATTCCCCCATCTTACCGGTAACCCTACCTGCCCTTAAAATATTCGTAATGGCAAGATATGTTACACTCACCTTCTTCGGAACTCCTACCTCCACCTCTCTCTCCCTCCACCACCCCTCGCCCGACAACTCGAACTACACTCACTAGAAAAAGAAAGTCTGATCATGTCAACACAATTGAGCCCACCAATGAATCCTTTGATGCAACATATCTGCCCAAGACAGGAGCTTCAGTCTCCTTTGTGTCGGTGGTATTGCTAGCCAGGGCTTGTCTCCCTCTCGCCTGCATCGACACTAATGCACAGTCATCTCAAGGATTCGTCTCGCACGTCCTCGAGGCCAACATACCTTGGGTACAAGAATGGGAGCAAAGAACACTCGTGGCGCGAAAGGCACCCAATGGAGGCCTTCATGCCATTGAAAATGTTGCACCTGGTATTTTCACGGCGTGCCAGCTGCGACCTTGGGTGTCGGAGCAATGGTGCAGAGATGCTGCTGTGGGAAAAGTCGCACTATGCACCTTGGACAATTTGCTCCATGTGCACAACAGAACTACTCATGCTAGGACCTCTTCAAGCTCGAGTCTCAACCCTCTACCAACTCCCAAAAGTCCAAAGAAGCCTACCCATCGCCGAGGGGCGCTCGCTAGACAATCCATTCTCAAGTCAAAAGATCCGATAGTTACTGATGTCTCGTCCGAGGTCGCAGATTCATCAACTCTCCCTCAACAGCCCTCTCTCCCTGTCATGACTAGCTTAGCTCCTTCGTCAAACACTGGCACAGCAGGACCTGAAAGCCAATGTGGATTTGAGCCTCAACTACCAATCCACGGAGATTCACTCGACGAGCAGTCACTTCAGCCCTCAGATCCCGCTGTGCCTCCACAAGACCTTCTTGCACCTGAACGCCTTCGAGCCCTCTACTTCGAGCACCTGTATACCTCCAAGACGTCCTTGGCCTTTTATGTCAAGGGCCCACTGAGCCGAGCACGTGCTCATTTACGATCTTCTGGCAATTCCTCAACTTTGATATTGGAGTTGGCCGACTTTTACCGCCAGTGCATTCTTCCCACTGCAAAGATCGATTTGAAGTATAAAGACTCGATATCAACGGTCATCAATCAAGCACGCATGGACCCCGAAGGAGCTACTTTACCAAAGAAGAAAGGACCAAAAAAGAAAACCAAACTTGGGAAAGATTGCCTCTGGCCAAGTGAGGACGATTTCGTCCAGAAATGGTGGTCGCTGAGAGACACAAAGTCGAACTTGCTCTCGGTAGAGGATCACGCACCCGAACTCCGCCGACTGGTCGCCGACCTCCGGATGAGAGAGACAAAGATGCAACTATTGTTGATCCTCGAAGTCATGCTCCTCGATTTGGCCATGTCCCGATTGTCGGAGCGCCCAGTTCCCGATGACCCAGATATAAAGGTTGAAAGCTTGGAGGCTGACTCATCCATTGTGCTGGCTAAAACACCTTTGAAGCAACCCAAAAAGAAACGCGACCTTTCGGTCGAGCTGGAGATGATGATTGACCGCCTGTGCATTTGGCATTCAATCAGTTTCGAAGATGTCATCTCCATCGAAGGCAAGAATGACAATACAAAAACGAACTCGAATGACTCTCTTCGTGATTTCTGCAAAGACGTGCTTATCCCGTTCTATTCAGCAAAGTTGCCTGAGCAGATCAAGTCTATTTCGCGAAAACTTGCTGGTTCCGGTATATCACCACAACGACCTAAGCCCCAAAAGTCGTCTTCATTGAAACAAACCAGACTCGTAACAGGGCCGCCCGCCTCGTCAAATCCTGCTAAACCAGCATACAAAACCAAGCGCACCTTGGAACGCGTGCTCAGTGAAGATCAACCACATCGCCATCACTCGCCACCAGTGCTCTCTCGAGCATCGACTGGTCCAATGATGCCAATGATACCCTCGCTCAAGCGTGAAGCATCCGAACGGCCTGTGTCACGAGGTGGATCACTATCCAAGTCCATGAGCTTTGGGAACCGTGAGATCGATCTTGCAGCTGATTCGCAAAATCACGAGGCCAAGCGACAAAAGCTGGACAAGTTAGCCCAGCAGAAGCGAGAATTGGAAGATGCAATACAAGCGCTTAGGAAGCCCAGCCGAAGTGCTATGGCCGGTGCATTTATGGACGACATTGAGCGTCGAAAGACACAACCAACTCCACAAGTAGTCCACATTACTGCTACACCTCGGGCTCGCCGGACGCAGCATCAAGCACTGGACGAACCTGAGCTTCCACCCATGCCAAAAATGTCCGCCACCCGTGTACAAGATTTTGTGGTGCCTTCGTCGACGATTAAATCACGGGTCGAATTGTTGAATTCAAGTAGCCTCCCTCGTGCGTCTGCGAAAAAGCGAGCGGTCCTCTCAGCCATCCACGAAACACCCACTCGAGGGTTGGAAAGGAAGACCTCGGACCCATTATCTCTGGGAATCCATGGGGCTTTCGAGAGAACAGAGAGCGTGGCAGCAACGCCTGTAGCAAGAACGAGGTTCAGTCGTACGCTTGACGCCAGGGAGTCGACTTCTTTTGCACGTCAAGTCTCTGAATCTGATCACCATCTATCTTCATCCCAACCACAAAGTCCATCTCGAGGTCCCTTGAAAATGAGTCGGTCACAACGACCAGTACTTTTCACACCGCTGAGAAGATCCGATGTCAGGATTGAAGACGTGTTTCGTGATGCGCCCGAGATCCCCGCAAGCGCGGGCAAGGCAATGGATCGAGCCATGGGTGGTGCTGGCCGAGGCGAGGAGATAGACCTCGGTCTTGGTGCAGAGCTCATGTCTGACGTACTCGGGGTGGACTCATCGCCAGCGAGGAAGGTCGCTCCCCTCGCCCCAGTGGGCAACGTGGGAGCATCGGCAAGATCCGGCAACAAAATTGGTGAAGCTGTCGACGAAGGCGACATATACGCACAGCTTGGATGGAATGATGACGATGATTTGGATTTGTGATGATTGTGCAAATGGACTGAGGAGAATATTTGACCGGAGTCAGCTTCTGATGGTCTGTACATGATAGATAGGTTCAGAGTCTGGAGTAACAGAGATGCACATACGACATGATAGACACGATTACGGACTTGTAGAGATTAGGGTGTTGAATGGAAACAGGTCATTATTTCAACGAGAACTGGAATATCATATGCGAGACCCTAAAGGGATTTGGTTTAGATCTATGGCTGAGATATCCCTCAATTTAGAAATAATAATCCCGAATAGCGACTTTAGTGTTGAAGTAATTGAATTTTTCATTTCATTGTTCAATAGTGAAAAGTATAGTCCAACTCATCTACTCGTGGAACCATATATAATAACAACAAGAACTCTCAATGTCTCGGTCGACATCAGAGCGTTAATTTCACTTCGGGCAGTAGCGAAGTGAGAAGGGCGTCGCGACGTTTTCTCGAACCAGAGTGGCAGATTCCAAGACTTTATATTGTCGTCATCATCATCATCATCGTCGTCGTTTTCGTCAAGCAATCACATCGAAGCATCGACATTCATCAGATCATCGCTCATAATGTGAAGGACCTGTGTAAACATGCGCAACCGACGGCCGGAGATACCGTCCATGAGATTGGCAAAGTCGAGGAGAACCCTTCTCGCACTCTCGTAACCACCCTGATGGCTGGCACCTCCAAGACTAACCGTGCCACGGCCAGACTTGACAAAATGATAGATAGGGCAAAGTTGGTCGTCATCCAGGTTGTGAGCCGATCCCGTGGAAAGGGTCTGCTGATGCGGGTCGAGAGAATTGGTGTGGTCCTTGAAGCCCAGATCGCCAAGGGTGGCCCAATCAGGCTCGACATCAACCAGCTCGACAGGACATGAGCTGTGGTGAGACATGGAGGTCGAGGACACCATGAAGAGGTATAGGCCAAGAACCAGAGCGGATGAGAAGAGGGCGGTGACGGAGTGAATGGAGACGTTGTCCGAAACACGACGTTCCGACATGAGTTTGAAGGTTTGGGCGGCATGAACACAAGCTCGGCGCGCTGACTGAGTCTGAGACCATTGACTGATGTTTTCAAGAGCTCCTGTTGCTGGGCCTGCACCGTGACGTCCGGCAGCGAGTTCGAACATTCGGAAATCGGCAAGCAGCATGATACATATGCTGTGCCAAAGAACTGTGCAGTTGGTGTCGTCGATCTTGGCCAGCGGTCCGGCAGTGCGCATACCTGCGAGCAAAGACGGGATGAGTGATCTCGCTCGCTTGTCTCCTTCGTATACATGCCACGGAATAAACGAACCCACGGTCAAGGGGTCGGGCGGCATCAAACGCTGGTAGGCTTCGAGAACTTGGATCTGAAGAAGCGCCAGGAGTGAGCATGTGCCCAAATAGCCTAGCTTCGGTGAATATTCCAGCTCTGGCGTATAGAGATCTTGGATGCGAAACATGGGTGCTGTAGGACTTTTTCCACTTCTTAGGAGCGATTGCCATTGAGTTGCTGACTTTGCTTGGAAAAGTGCTTCGTCGCATGGAGCAATAACACAAACCGATTCGGATCTGACGATGGGAGGCTTGGATAACAGATTCGAGTACCATGAATCGACAAGTAAGAGACCGAGGATGAGTCTCTTCGCAGATTCAATGCGACTCCAAGCCTTCCAGCGATCATCGGACTCAGACATTTCGGCCACCAAGGCATCCAGAGAAGGGCCTTCAGTTGCAACAAAGAGTGAATTTTGCTGCGCCAAAGACATTAATGTCGCATAAAGTATTTGGGATTGATGTAATGAATCCTTGTCTCCTGTCAGAACCGAGAGATTGAGGGTGAGTAAGGCTGTGGCCAACACGCCCATCTGGGGGGTGGCAGGCCCCGAGGCTGATATGGAAGCGGCGAGCTCGCTCGAGACGCGCTTCAGAAAAGGGGGAAACATTTTGGCGACAAATCTGGTGGCGCCTGTGGTGCCGAGGATGCTTAAACCAATCAGGCACATTGCAAAGAGCATGGGCGAGGGAGTATTGCGAACGGAAAAGGTTGCGAAATGGATAAAGGGGACGGTGGGATGGAATCGTCGGAAAAAGAGGCCGAGAGCAATGTCTAAAATCTCTGCGGGAGGGAACTCGTTGTCTTCGAGTGGAGGGATGTCCTCAGTTGAGGGCTGGAGGCGGGGAGAATGCCAGACTGAAGGCGCAGGAGTGCGAAATTGGTCGCGAAGGCGAAGGCGGCAGTCGACGTCGAGGCCCCAATTGGTCGAGGTTTTGAAGTCGTCTACGGCATTGGGTGACTCAGAGAATAGGTTGTCCAAAGGGGAGTCGGCCAGCTCTTTCCACAGGACTGACATGATGCGGTGTACACGACCGGGTCGAGGGTTCCAACATTTCTGCACTCTGGAGAACCGTTCGCGAGGGACTTTGGCAATATTTCTACTTCTGTGCGCAGTATCGATACCGTTGGCATGCATGTCTTTGACCGAGGGAAAGCCTTGTTGGTCTGTCAAGCCGTAGGGTGGAAGAAAATCCGGGGACTGATCGAGATCACCTAAAGAGGGAAATAGCCACATCTGGAAAGGATCGTGGAAATCGGTTTGGTTGGAGGAGTCGACATTGGGCAACCAGTCGTTTGAACTCTCGAGAAATTGGGTTGAGGCGAGCTCTGGCCTTTGGGTCTGAAGGGTGTTGGTAGGAGAAGAAAGTGGATTCCCGAGGGATGATGATTGACCGGAGACCTGGTTCAGGTTGGTGGTGGACATGTGAGAACCGAGTTCTGGTTTGGTGGTGGTAGCCAGTGGTGAAGGTACGTTCCAGTGCGCGCTATTGAGCTGCATCTGGAGGGGGTTGAGTTGAGGATTTGCCGAGTCAAGATATGACGAGGACATATCGGCGGAAGCCCTGCTTGGATTGGATTGTTCATTGGTGGAGGAGGTATAATTGCTGGGAGACAGGATCTGCATTAGAGGAATGCCAGTCTGCATGGAATTGAGCATTGTTGAGGGAGAGGCATCGTCGGAAGGGGATTTTTGAGACTTGGGGACGACTCCTTCTGAGATTGTGTTTCTCCGTGCCGCTTGATCTGCCGCGGTGGCTTTGTCGTCTCTCTGGTTGTGACATTTCATATGTCGAAAGAGGACATCGCTGAGGGATTAGACGTTGTGTATGACAGAGATAGAGAGGAAAGTCATGACATACCTTCGAGAAAACGTCTTTTGACAGACGCTACATGAATATGGTCGTTCCCTTGTATCTGTACTAGTGTCAGACGTGCAATGGAACTGGGGTTTGGACTGAGGGGGCTTACGTGAACGTTCATGGCGTTTGAAGTGTTCTGTTTTGGTGAATTTGCGTCCACAAATGGTACACTGTCGCAAGACCATAACTGGACGGGGGAGAAGCGGACCAGCAATGAGAAGCTGATCTCAAGCGCTGATGGCGCAACAAGAAGACGTTGGTGGTAAAAGTTCAAAGACTTGAGAAGTCGTCCTGGAGCTCGAAGCAGGGATGCCAAGACCAGAATGAGACAGGCGGAGGAAGGCAGGCCCAAGCGAAGCAGGAACAGAAGGTGACGAGGCAAGACCTAGATGGTTGGCATATTTGGCACGTATCAAAAGTGTGAGTTCAGGTCGGCATTGTAGTTCGACAATGGAAGAACTGATGGCGCTGTGCCTGGCTGGACCTAGACCTGAAGCTGGAGCGGAGCAGTCGAGAAGAGGAGAATTTCTTGTTGGCGGGCGGAAGAGCGATGAACCTAAGAAAACCCCTGGTAAAGGGGCGCGACAAGCTGATTGTGAAAGGTAGGGAATCTGTTGACAGGGCTCAGAGCAACAACAGATTCTGGAAGAATTTGGTCGCTGTAGTGTAAGTGTATGTAGTATGGTCGAAACCGAAGAGGAGGAGGAGGAACGAGAAGCGAAGACAGACCAGGCCAGGCTGGGCAGGTGCTGGAGAACAGAGATACGCAAAGCTCCAATGTCAACACGAGCCGACAAGGTCTTCCCTAGTACAAAGAATGGATTTGAGTACCTGTTGCGGACGAACAAGGCACGGGCAAAGGATGGGTCACAAAAAGCCACTGGATTGGGGATGGGAAGAGAGGAACTGGGGTGCGGCATGCAAAGACACCCAAAAACAGTCATACGCATGTCGTACGGAGTAGTTTGGGGCAAAAACCAACGACCGGAGAAACGAGTCTGGGGAAAGACCCGGCATCCTTCAGTGCGTTAGAGGCACAGAGCCCCGGAGCCAAGGCCGAGTGGCTGCCATGACGCTCTGAATTAGCACCTAGACAGCCTATAAGGCATACGGAGTACATCCATTGGCCTACTTGGGCTAGGCAGTCTGGACCCTCAGGGTCAATTGGAGATGTTTAGTGCTCTCAGCCAGTGATGTTGGCCCATTATTGTGCCCATTTCTCCAACTCTATTAAGCGTCGGTATTATTATAATGCCCGCGGAAAACCCACTTTTCGAACTTTCATCGCAATTGCCCCCAAGTCTCGTTCACTGAAAATTCGATGGGGATTTTCCGACGAGTCATGCGCCATGTACACAGCCGATACGAATCACCTCCATGTCCTCTGCTGTACATGTAATTGGTCATTCAATGAATAGGATTCGAGTCTACGAGAAAGTAGTACGGAGTACATGCTGCCATACAACACTCTCATCGTTGCTCACTCGCTCATTCAATGCGATTCCCCAACCACCTGTGTCTTCCTGTGCACACCTGCTAGCCATGTCTTGTGGACCATGATGCGGATCTTCTTGCCAAAGAACATAAACACCAACAACGCCAGATTGTTGATGGCCAGCACACCGCAGAAGATACCCGCAATGGTCTTGACATAGCCAATCTCCAGCACCCAATCCAGCAGGTGCAGACCCATGCCAAACGAGATGGCCTGCTTGCCTAGGTTCATCGCAATCAGCATCTCCGACAAGTTCACCGTGTGGCTGTCCACTGCATATGCCAACGTGAATGTGAAGTAGAAGTAGGCCGACCAATTACACATGGCCACCCCAGCGAAATACCCAAACCAGTGCAGGTTCTGCTCCGCCGTGAATCCGTATACAATCAACGACGCTGGTCCGATCAACATGGCAGGGAGGAGCACTCCCAGTCGCATCTCGGCTTCTCGAACACCGTCGTTCTTTTTGGTCAGGTACGCTGCGAGCCGATCTGATGTGGTGGTGAATGGCACCGCTAGAAGATAGCCCACGGCGTTGCCCACCGCAATCAGCCCTGAGTTGGTCTGAACATGCTCTGTCAGTAGACATCCTGCTCCTGGGACCATCATAACTCAACTCACCTGGCTCCAATTGTATGGAGGGCTTGTGATCTTGATGGGAAAGGTATAGTTGAATGCCAGTGCACCTAACCCAATATAGATCCCATAAGTCGTCACTACCCAGAACACACTGGGGACGAGGAAATACGAAAACGATCGGACCATGGTCATCAGGAACGGAGATTCCTTGTCGTACACACCCCAGGGTTTGAGCGTCGACACGAAACTCTTGCGCGCCGGTGTTGCTGACTGAACCTCTCGAAGATCAGCCTCAGCCACTTTCTCTGTCGATCCGCTGGCCTCGACCGCAGCACCTAACCGGGCCTTCATCTCGTCTCGGTTGTACCATGTCTCCTCAACGAAGAAAAAGGCCAGGATGAAGAGTGCACACGCGAAAGCGAACTCGACGTAGAAAAACAGGCGCCATGAGTAGCCTCCAGCTAGCATATATCCGGCGTACAAAGGTCCAGTGGCACCAAGGCAGAGGCAGACAGTGTAGTAGCCCAGTCGCTGGCCTCTTTCGTGGATGAAGAAGATGTCATTGACAAGTTGCACAGGTAAGGCTTCACACACCCCCGAGCCAAAGGCCGCCAGAACTCGTGTCGCCATCAAACTGGCAAAGGTGTTGCATTGAGAGGAGCCAATGAGGCCAGCGGCAAACTAGAGCGATGGAGATTAGCCACAATGGGACGGGGCTCAAAGTCTACCGGTTGACTTACACAGATAATAGAGGCGAGCATGACGGGCCGGCGACCGAACTTGAGGTAGGTCGGCACCAGGAACAAAGAGCCTGCTCAAGAGTCAGCAAGTGTTTCACTATGTCTCAGACAATAGTATAGGTGGTCAGTACCGAATCCATAAGCCAGGTTGGGATAGCTGATCAAGCCTGACGCTTCAGCAGGCGTAATGGAAAATAACTCGGAGTAGATTCCGATGTAGACGCTAGGCCCCAGCAAAGCCGAATTTCCCAAGAAGGAATATAACGCGCAAATGATGAGAATCATGGTCTTTTTGAAATTCGGCCATTGCAGCGGGTCGTTGGGGTCGTCGGCAGGCACAGGGAAGAGAGCCTGTCCATAGCCAGTGTCGTCTCCCTCTATCCAACGTCAGCACCTTGATCAAAATCCCAGAGTCTTCGTTGAATATGTGTCAGTGATGGGCTTACCGACTGCTCGCAAATTGACGGTCCCAGGAACATCTTCTTCATGGGCATGGCTAGCATCAGGTCAGCACGCGGGTCCATGGAACCATTGACAGCATCATGAGGTTCGTACCTGTGTTTCAAATGTGGTGGGTGAGCCCCGTGTTCGTGTTCGTGGTCTCCTGCCATGGTGCTTCACTTCTGTCTCTCGCAAGAAGGTCAGATGAAAACTTTACTTGACGTTTGGATCTGGGGTTGAATCAAGTTCGTGGGGATCAGCGAGTCTTTAAAATCGACAGAATTCCAGGGGCAGAAGCCAGCTTTGATTTGATTCATGGACCAGACCGCATTCGCGACCTGGGGAAATTCATACTCTCAGACTCTGGACCATGGGTTTGTGTGGGGCCCCGAGTCATCTCATCAATGAGTTGGCTAGCCATGGAGCCATGCCAGCGCTGCTCCACATTGTAAATGATGGGGCCAAAGGGGGCCACAAGAAGGACTGGACAAGTCTTCATAAAGCTTGGGGAATGCTTTGCAAAGATTCGCTGAGTGCAACAAGGTTTGTGTTTTTTCACTGGCCAGCACTCGTTATCCACGTTTCGTCCAGTGCGAGGGACTTGCCTCCCCATCTTGCTCCAGGCTTCTCCTCAGGTGAAGTGGGATCAATCGATTGAGGACGTAAGGACGTGAGGACGGACCAAAAGCAAATCAAAAGGTGCGGGGAAGTCGGTGATACAATTCCAGCCGCAGGCAGGCAGGAGCGAGTTCTGAGTCAATAATGGGGTCACTTGAGTTGCCCCTGCCTCGGCCACAAAGCAACACCTGAGTGCAAGGGCAGCCAGGACCCAGGAATAAGCTGGCGCCTGCCCAACCCACGCCCAAAGTGTTAACACACGCATGGCATGCCCCGACATCTTATCTTAGCTAGAGCATTGTCATTACGTCTGATTCTTTCGTCTTCTGGGCTGACTATGGCCATGATAAATATGAATCCTCACCTTGATAAAGGCTCAGGTAGACAGTTGATATTGGACAAGTTAAGCATGTGGATACCTAACAACGGAGTGGTGGCCAAGATGCTGGGCACCTGGCTTGGTGATTGCTTCTCCGTCGTTCCAAGCGGACTTGGAAGTACCTCAAATCCATAATAGTATAGACATGTCATGCCTGTATCTGCGTTGAAATGTCGTCTCCAGTCTTTGACCGCCGGGACCCTACAGTCTGCATCTTCATGATGACCTCGTGAGTCTTGCGGGTGTGCCGCGCATGCGTAACTGAAGCAGGGGCCTGAGACGATTGACCACTGAATAACCTCGGACAAGTTTGGAAGGGACGAATGAGATCACCTACTAGGTACTTACTGACTTCTTACTCCATCAACAACTCGATAACAATTCATCACTACTCGTTATGGCCCCACGATTTCAGGCTTAATGATCATGGGATCCGGCAGATATGTTGTTGCCATGACCCCACGCGACCCCAAAACACCCTGGGCTTAAGCGGCCGAACTGATTCAACCCGCTCTACACGAACCCAAGCTATTCGTCAGAGCATGGTCGCGGGACTGATCTCCGAGACAATCCAGTTGGCCCATGTTCCCTCCCACAAGGGTGTCAAGGCTCCTTGGTAATATGTTAATACGCCCGAGCAGTTTCAAAGGCTGAAATGGTCGCAGCATCATGGGAATTCCACTTCGACAGTTGTGAAAAGGTCAATATTCACGTTTAAATCCTTAAACATATTCCATATTATTCCGTGACGCGTGTAGCTGAAAGACAGAGTGGACGTCCGCAAAGAATCCAGAAAAGACAGTCCCACAACATGTAGTTTCTCACTCAATCCATGATCGTCGCTTCGCGTCTTTCGCAGGGTCCTGTTTCCCGTGAATCCGACAAAATCATTAGACGACCAGTATGCGCACTCCGCCCGTTTCCAGCAAATGCAATCGAGCATCGGCCAAATCGCAGTCGCACTTCCACAATAGCTCCGTTACTTTCACCGCCCAAGCAAATGCAATATACATCGAAAGGGGGATATAATGCTGCCCAAAATGGACCAAAGAATAAACCAGCACTTGCGCCTTCACCAAATCGTAACATCTGTGGATCGCCTCATCCAAGCACCCTTGACTCGACATGCTCAACATGTCTGCGCCGGCCAACAGAGTGAGCTCCCAAAGTGACAGCGTGCCGCCATGTCAGCTCATTCAGTGCCCCCACTGCAAATATATTCAAAACAACCATCACCTTTGATTACAGCTCATTGGGGCTGCCACCTCCACCACCCAGTCGCAGCAGGGAATTCAAATGTGCAAAGAAATAAAGGCTCAGGTGAGCCGCACCAACTGACATGCTGTTCAAAATACGACACAAACTCCCAGATGTGAAAACTCCCGTCCATGGCCAACGATGCACGGTGGTTCTGTGGACCCGGCATACATGACCTCGAGGATATCAAAAAGCACTGTCTGTGCAAGTAGCTTTTCGCAGCCACCATCGTCCTCCCAAGTCACCATAGTAGTGGCCCCTCCATCTACTGGAATCCCGGGTTCCACTGTCCACCTGGTTGACCCTGGCTCTGAGGCCCAGGCCAGCCTTGCTGGCCATGCTGAGGATTTGGTTGCATGAACTGCGTTTGACCTCCCATTCCATACATGCCTCGCTGGCCCATGCCGAGATTTCCATACCCAGCCGCGTTCATTGCTTGAAGACCAGCTCCTGGACCGTACAACTGTTGGCCACCCATCCCACCAGAGCTCCCCTGATGATGAAGCATGGGCATCTGCGGTGGCTGCATCTGTTGCTGATGAGGTGACGCATTCGGGTGGTTTACGCCACCCATGGGTGATGGAATTTGTCCCTGAGCCAAGTTGGGCGAGAATTGTGGTGTGCTCATACGATGCATAGCAGGAGATTGATGAGGTTGAGGTGGTGGGGCCCCCCAGCTCTGCTGTTGTTGTTGTTGCTGCTGGCTCAAGCCATGAGGTGAAAATGTTCCACCGCTGAAAGGAACTTGTTGCTGCTGAGGTGGTCCCACAGAAACATTGGAACCTGCCCTTTGAAATTGTGCTTGTTGAGGGGTGAACTGCGCCCCATCTCGAGGGAAGGCCTGCAGACTTGGTTGGCGGACTGGCGACTGTATTGGAGGCTGCTGATGAGTATACGAAGGAGGATTCATGCCTGGCTGCGAAGACTGTGATTGGTGAGCAATGGGATTACCCTGTGGAGGCAGGTCATTGGGATGGAATCGTGGAGAGGAGTAAGAGTGGCTAGCAGCAGGAAGTTCAGTCTCGGGCGGAGGAGGAGTTGCAATTGGTTGCTTGTGCTCTCTGCGCCAATAGTCATCCACCAAGCTACGGCGGTAGCGGTTCTGTTGATTGATGGACTTGCTGAAATCAGCCGCATGTCCTGCCTGGCTAGTCAATTCAGCATCAGAGCTCGACCGGGTAAGGTCCTGGTATGGCGGGCCACTAATCTCGTGGCGAGGTCGAACGATGTCCTTGTATCTCGAGTCGTAGGCAGGATCAAACGACGTAAGTTGGGCCATGGTCGAGGCGATGCCTGCCTGCAACGGGGGTGGTTGCTCTACACCGAAGGCTGGCCCGTTGCTGTAGACAATGTCCCCATAGGCAGCAGCGACTTGAGCCCTGGCGTTCAATTGATCTTGCGCCGCGGCCTCTCGGGCCCGCGCAGCCCCAGGGCGTTTCTCTCCTGCAGCATCCTGCTCAGTGAAGCCCTGCTTGATGGCTTTGGCTTCCCAATAATCATCTCGCACCCTCCGGCCATCCTTAATGACTCGGCTTCCAAATTGACGAAACATGGATCGTGCCGTCACCACTGCAATCTGTCGAGAACGGTACGAATATGGGAGGATCTCGTGGGCGACAAGCTCTTCCTTCTCCTTGACGCTGGCAATAATCTTAAACAGTGAGCGGTTTTTGTTGAAGAGAAGGTATGAGTCTCGGTATTGAAGCTGCCTGGCGCATTCAGTAGCCAGCATGAAGAGCTTAGGACCTCTGCCAGGAAGCGTAAAGGTGCGAATTTTGTACTCTCGCCCTCCTTGCAGGTAGCCCTGTGCATCAACCTTCTTCTCGCCAGCATCATCGTATTCGCGTGGAACGAATTCATCGCCTTCCTCTCCAAGCACGTCACTGGTGTGATCGCGGACAGTAGGGAGGGCTTTGATGGTGGACTTGGGGATGGTGCGTGGAGGGGAGCTTTGTACTGGCGTGATGGCGGGTTGATTGGAGGTGGATTGACTCTTTGGAGTTTGGATTAGGTCTGGAGAAGTTTGACTGGATGGAGTTGGTAGGGAGTCGGCATTAGTGGTGAAGTCGCCAGAAGTTCGAGGTGTCTTGGAAGGTCGGCCTCGTTTGCGAGGACCTGCTGCGTGCATCAGAAACATGGTCTAACAACGGAGGGGATCAAAGATGCCACTGCATACCATCATCGCCGACTTGCTGATGCTCACCATACTGGTCGGGTGAGCGACTGCGCTTGATGCCACGCGGGTTGGCTTCGGTAGAGGATTGCCGTAACGTCCCTGTGATGCGGCAGGATTAGAACCGAAGTTATCAAGAGGCGCACGGATAGAAGGGAATGGATGCGCTGTCGAATCAAAGGGGCATGAAGATGTGTTACGAGTACAAGGTAGCAAGTAAGTGATGCGACGGGAGGGAAACAAGCATACCAGTGGCGTTCAAAGCCGCGGGATTAATTGTGCCAGAGCCATCGTTCATGTCGGCGATACCGTTAAGAGCATTTAAGGGTTGGCGTGTAGGAGGGTATAGGGACATCTCCAGGCGGGATCAAGGATGAGATGAAGGCGGCTGTGGTGATGGTGGTGTTGATGTTGATGCGCAGGCTTTGCATCAGTACATCCGTAAGCTGCCAGGGTGTGGGTGTGACAGAGCAGGATGGGGTGACGGTGATCAAGGATGGCAGAGGATGGTAGCTCCAGAGGTTGAACCCACGGTCTCTGCAAGGTGCAACAGAGGACGATGAGGTGCGATCGCGACAGGAGAGGACGCGGAAGACGTGTAGGGATGGATGCAGCAGTAGCGAGGATGACGCTGGAATGATGGGCCAGTCGCGGCAACGCAAGTGCAAAGTTGGTGGAGGAGACGGGAGAGAGAAGTTGCTGGGGTGGTATGGTGGGTAGTTGGCTGGTGCTAGTTAAAAAGGTGCCAGTGGTAGCCTGGGAGGACTGGAGGCTGAAAGGTGAAAGGTGAAAGGTCAGAGCACAGAATCTGACCGAGTGCCACTGTGCTTCGATGAAGTGGGCAGGGCAGGCAAGCCAGGCGTGGGAGGCAAAGGCAGGCAGGGCAGACAGGGTAAAAGGTCTGTGCCGGGTACAAAGGTACTGGCTTCTGAGTGGGTGACTGATTACCCAAAGCCTTGTGGTCGTAGCAGTGGGTAGGTATTGGACTGAGGCCTGAGGATTGGCGCAATGTCGCACACGATAATCCTTGGTCCACTATTTCTGCTCCGTATTGTGAAAGTTGGGACCGTGACAGTGCAGGAAATCAGCCACCGCAATTGTGCAGAAGGCTAAAACTTATTACGACTCAGGTGGAACCCGGCGAGAATTGATTGATGGATTTGTTTTTTGCACGATGCGATCTGCTCTTTTTTCGTGGGTTTGCAGGCTCGTTGCCTCCCCTTCGTCTTCCAAGACCCTGGGTGTGTGATTCGAGACGGAATGATCTCGAGAGGGAGGGATGTGGCTGTCGGCTTTTTAGGTTCTTGAAGGGGACCTGTCAACGACCAAGGATTTGAGTAAAGTTGGAGACTCGTGACGAATGTGCCGAGGACGAGGAGGCTGGTATGGCAGCACCTAAGTAGAGAGGTGCAAAACGACGCAAAAGACAATAATTTACACGTCGGCTCGTTTAGTGGTGGCGATGTGTCCTCAGTCACCGTGTTAACGGCGGTAGAGGTCAAAAGCGCTGGCGGAGTAGAAATGTCGGGCGGACAGAAATGAATAACTTTCTGGGTATGGGCACTCGCATGGGGAGGCGGGATGGCAATCGAAACAGCCGAGGTGGAATGAAGGGAGATTTGATGCGTACAACACAAGACAAAACGTGTGCAGCTGCAGGTGTGGTTGGTGGGCGGCGTAAGGTGTCCTTACGAGCCACTCTAGAAGGCGAACAGTTGTAAACGGTAAGAGCGAGAAATGGATGGTGACAGGCTCGATTTCTGTCTGATATTTGGAAAAACAGTAATGATCCGCGGCCGATCTCGTTTGGGTCAAAGAGGGCCCTTTAGTAAATGAGTTATGCAGAGATGGATGTCAATTGAGGTGGCTTGTACTTTGAAGAAGAATAAGTTACAGGTGGGCAGGGATTCGTTCGAGTGGTGACGACTTGATCGGGCAGGACCAAGACCAGAGGGCGCATGGATGTAAATGCTTATTACAGGCGTTGGACTTCAGACCAGGCACCCGTGGGCATAGGCGTGCGTGGGCGTTGGGTCGTGGATCGTGGACCATCGCTAATAATATTCTACTGAGGTAGGCAGTAAACTCTGTCTCCAGGCTCGTGGTCCTCTAGCATTCTCCATTAATCAATCGTAATTAACGACTTATGTCGCTAGCTTAGCTGCATTCGGTCGATAAAGGAATAGCGATGCTGACTTGGAGCTGATCCAAGACAAGAAAATCTCCTCCGTAGTAGTATGTCTCTCGATTCCAGATGCCTATATGAAGAGCCAGGATCCAATATCCTGCGTTAGGTGGGAGGCTTTCAGGCTTGACTGTTGTTGCCCCTCCCAGCCGTACAATTAAGTCGTTAATAGACTAAAGCCCAGAGGATGGCATTCCCGGCTTCCTCCAGTCCCTGCGTCGATCCGCATCGCCTGGCCAGCACAAAGATCTTTCCCCAGGAAACCTTGTATGGATCTCTGTTTGAAATGGAAAAAGGTAAACCGTGGTCAAGAATTGATCCAACAGCCTCGCAGGACAGATTGATGCTCTTGGTACTCTTGGAGAGCGTGTCAAACGACTCGACGCGTCAATGCCCACGGGCCCCTCTTGTCATCGGTCGAATCGGCCGGCTCGGGTGGCTGTGGAGTCTAACAGGCTCATATGCGTATGCCAGTCAGACCGAGAACTAGTCCCGCATCTTGCAGCGAGATACGGTTCGCGGCACATGAACAAGTTTAATCAAGGCCGCGATGACCGGGGGACCTTGTCCTACTGGCACGCAGGGTCTGTGGATCGTTGATTCAAGCCAAGGTCGTTGATGAGGTTTCCCAGTGCGGGATAGGATCTATGTACGACACAACTCTACACGGGAGCTGAGGACCTAGGAAACCTAGAGAGCTGGAATGTTGACACTGCCTTTCAGCTTTGAACAACAGGCGAGGAACATCTCCGAGTCGAAAAGTCGCGACCTTTCCCTTTGCCTCGAGGAAGGTTAGTACGCCGAGCTTTGTGATTAAAAGTGTGCATAAGGTACCTTAAGCGGGCACGCAGATTGGTTAGGGCCGCCTGGTCCGTTACTGGCTATTGGGCATGCCTAACAGAATGCGTATGTCTATGCCTAAGGTACGGAGTATTTGCTTAGGTAGGCACATAGGCAGCTGAGGCAAGCCCCGCACCTGTCTCTTGCCAACTACGGCAACTACTAGAGGACGCTGTGTGATTGTTTTTGATGGTCTTTTGCGATGATTACCATGATTGTCAGCTACCTAGCCGTGCTCCGGAGTCGATGAACGGGGACGTGAGTATGGATCGAGTCTCGCTTCAACGCGCTCTTGCAGAGACTAGCACTCACGTTTCCGCTCCACCAGTTTGAGTGCTGAGCCATATTTGTCTTGTCCATTAGGTGTCAATGAACAAGTCGCATTGTCCCAAGCCATGTCAGAAAGCATGTAAGAGAAACAACAACACGCGTGACGACACACGTAATACAATACGTATGATTGATTTCATGTCCAAGTCTCGAAGGACCCGGACTTGTTGGGTGGAATCGACAAATACTCGCCCAAAGTCTATCCGAGTCATCTCACCCAGCGCATGGCAGTTGGCGCGGGCTCCGCCATTCCAGAGTCGCCACTCTCGTTGGAGATGCGGTCATCTGCTCCTCCCTCCACAGAGCCCGTGCGCTCCTGTTGGAGCAAAGGTGGCGGAAATGCCTATCCATGCCTGCTGCGGTGCCGTGGCCCGTGAGCCTATGATGGTACTATGACTACTTTTGGCATGCTTGGAATCCCTGTCAGTTCAAGACAATGCACATGCTGGGATTTACAGGCAGGCAGGCTATTCCACTTCGAATTGCAGTCTTGGACCCGATGCGCATGCAACAGTCCAACCGCTGGCAGACCATGACCATTTCGGTGACAATGCTGGGCCACAGATTGGCAAAGAATCGCCTCTCCCAGACAAGAAACCGAACGAGCCCATACCACCTTTGCAATTGTCAGCCGGGCGTTTGGAACTAGTGACCAAAATGGTGTCAGCTGATGCAATTGGCTCCAGCCTGAGGGTTCCACCACTGTCGCTTGCTGCCATGACTATCCCTGTCTATTCAGGCTAGAGCTGCTAGCATCAAGACATCTGAGGGGCGTCGCTGCAGGATTGAGTCCCTGAGGTTCCTTTACAACAACGGGTGTCGATCCTTGCTCGTGTCCTAAGCGACGCAGAACGCCCCATAAAAAGTTATGCGGTGCAGAGCAAGGCATCAGACTCATGTTAACTCCTTCTTGCTTTCGTGGTTCACTGCGCGTAAGTTGGTGAGATTGAAGGGCTCGATAGAGTACGAGTCGCCGTGGTTGGTGTTGACAGACCTACGTATAGTTCTTTTCCCAGTGTGGTTGAAGAAATCATAAAAGATTGATTTATCGTTGTTGTTCGTGTGAGAAATCGGTTTGCCTGCGGGCACTCCGCACGGCACTCCCGCGTGCTCCCGCTTCTTGTGCATGAATCTTCTGTGCATCCGGCTTAAAATCGCAGTATGTGCAGCCTCGAAATAGAGATTCCACATTCAGATTGCTGAGCCCATGACAATAATTTCTGAGAAATTTTGAGTCTGCAAGAGTGATTTTCTTTCGATTGTTAGGCCAGAGAGCAGAGATTTTGGGGTTTGGTCGCCTAACGTACAGGAACCTCCACGGCCTTGCCGTCAAATAGGCGAGGGGATGCACTTATGATCGGCGAAACCGTGTCCGGTCCAATCCATGGACAGCGAGGAGTCGGCACATGCATCAACTTCCACCCAAGAACTCTTCCTTCGATTGGCCAGGTGTCCAATGAAGCAAATACGAAGTGGCTCACAGGCTTGACCAGTAAAATGTGGAGAGTCAATATCATTACGTGCAGATTTACGTGACGGGCATCTCCAACTTCATTCGAGAGGCCAGGAATCAAAGACAGTAGTGCGTCTGGATTTTTGGTGGTCCTGAAGGCCATCGCAAAGACGTTGTTCTGGCGGGGCTGAATTATTCAACGGCGAGGAGGCAAATTGGATGAATAACACATATTACTCACAGCTGCGTCACGAAGCAGGTGTCTGTAACCTGTATGTACTCCGTAGTCCAACGAGCAATTTAGTGACCACGTAAAAGTAGACGTATGGACAATATTTGGACATGCGCTCGACTCGACCTTGGAGTACTAAGTAGGTTAGGTAAGTAGGTAGTGGGGAGAATTGAAGTTCAACAAGCCAAAACGACAAGGTACTAGGTACCTACTAAGGCTTTGGTCACGGCAGATTTGTGACATCTCAACCCCGCAAGCGTCCGCCTCAGACCGAGGGGCTATAGTGAACAACCAGACCACTTGCTTATGGAATGAGTTCGAGACTTGAGACCTAAACATGGACTGCTTTGGGCGTGATTTACTGGGCGGAGGACTCAAGAGACCCAGCCTTTGAGTGTCATCAATAACTCCCTAGGTAGGCTTCCGCTCTAAGTAACTCATGACATTGGGGACTCACAATACCACTTTCTTATCATATTCCTTGATTCAAAGCAGGCATGTAGTACGAATAAAAGTTTCGACTGCCACCATCATCAATTGATTTTCCCACTTTGAGTGCCATTGGGCCCACTATTCCGTTGAATGCGCATTGATAAACATGGATGGTCGCGTATGGTTTGCGCTTGCGGGAACACCAGGATCTGCTCGGCCCGCTCCTGAGCTTTTGGAAGAGGAACCAAGTTCTCTCTCCTTGAGGCACCTCCTTCATCAAATGGATCTCTGGAAGGCGATGCAAAATACTTCACTGTTGAAAGTTGCTAAGAACCTGCCGTGCCTGTCTATTGTAGATACTTGCAGTCCTTGCACTTTCCAACTGAGAAGGATGTCTCCCAACTTGCTCCTGCTCTTGCCCTAATGGTCTCCCATTATGATCAACTTCAAGTGTCGTCACTTCCGCTTCTCTTCTCCTTGACAATTCTTCCTCTTTCAGGCTCCAGCTTTGGTTCCCGTCATCTTCCAACATCACATCATCTTCTAGAAATCACCCCTTCAGATATTAGCCAATCACTTTTGGTAGCTTGATTTTTCCTCTAGCATCATCACGGGCCCCATTTTTTTCTTTGTTACGGATTGATCTAAACACCTTTGACAGGGATCTATTTCCATCAATCCCTTCGAGTCAATCATGGCTCGTACTGCCCGCTCCGATCATCATCCTTGAGTCGTTCCTACTTGCAACAAAGCCAGACCATGTAGCGGATATGGCCGACTAAGCCCTGCTCAACTCATACCAAAAAGGTACGAGGTATCCATCTGTTCATCCTGCAGAACATCTCAGCCAATCGGTCCATCCCTTTGCTACCTCTGTCCCTAAGAAGGAACACCACCACCGTGCCGTACTTATCCCGGGACCAGACACGTCCCAAACCCTGCCCCTCTAACTTGCAGTACCCCAACACGTACCTCTCTACCTGCCTACAGCATCTAAGGACTGACTAACAACATGTACTTAGTTAGCTTCCAACTTGTTCAAACCTGCCGATATAAACGCTTCCCTCCATTCAGCCAAGGTCCATCTCCTTGCTTCGCAGGTGCAGACGAAGACGCAGATTCAGCCCAGATGGTCCACCTACATCACGCTGTGTTGCCGTGACACGTCGGGCGGACGATGCGAGCCGCTCTTGCAGCAGCCTTAGTCTGTCCAACGCCCCGAGCCGACCGACTGTGAGTCGATGTGCAGAGCACTTCCTTCAACGTGGTCATCGACGCTCCTGCAATCTGCAAGATCGTTCAAATGGTGTGAATGGTATCCTCGACATTGGCCGAAGCCCTAGCTCTCATGTTCTCTGTCCCTTGCTGGAACTTGCAGGAGCGTCTGCTGTGGATGCGCTGTCATCATAAAACTACTGTACGTTTTCTGCCTAACGTGCCCGAACCATCTCTTCTGCTCCTTCCCCTGAGGTTGTGCAAGCCAAGATTAGGCAATCAGTCACACCTCGACCCGCCTCACTTGCTCGCCGTTACCAACCCTTCCCTTTGTCCCTCACATCAGTGCAACGTACACCTTCGAGTTTCCAAGATCTCGGACCTGCCGAACCGAAACGGTCACGTTGCACCATCACTTTGATTCTTTGTTTCAAGATCCCCAGCATCCGGGCTCCAGAAACCTATTCAACCAACCGAAGGGAACGCTTGATAGCCGCGTCAATTGCCTACATGGAATCCACACCATTCGGCGGAATCTTGCCCTGATACTCCAGAGGTATTTGTTGCCTTGTCAAGATGGCGTTTTCATATTTCGGATTCGTCCTACCCACCGACATGTTGACACAGCAGTATTTACCATCTCGAATCGCTATACGCCGGACCTTTCACCGGAGTACTCGTTGAACCATCTATTTGTCGTCATGGACTGCGGAAATTGATGTTCTCAACGCCTTCTCTCCCACCAGTTGATCCTGCACCATCACCTACCACGCTATCACTTTTCTATATCGGTATGTCTCCGCCAAATCGATAGCACCTAGACCACTTTGAAATTATTGGGCTGGAAATACAACAAGGTTGCCGTGGCAGCGTCAATGTAACCTACCATGTTTGCCTATTTGTGGCAGCAGTTGTAGTGCTTTGACATCCTCCTTGCTATTCGGTGGCAAGGAAGTAGTAGCTCTGGCTATGACTATGGCTTATACCACAAGATCCCCTTGCCGTTTCCGCGCCAATCCCTGAATGATTACTTCGTTGGGGTATCTTGCTCTCGCTCATTTCTCTCGTCTCTCGCGTCAAATCTTCCCATCATCTATCTCGGCATCATTCCTTCGTGTAATCGTAACATCATTCATTCCTGTACACTGACAAAATAAAGACGCCGCGAAGAATCTGTGCGTTTTATCCATGGCACACTTTCATTACTGCCACCAATACCGGGAACGAACCTCTGCAAAACAACTGCATTGATCGACCATGTTCCAACTTTCCCCATCGCCACTCAGTCTTGCGGTCCTCCAACTTGCAGCAGCAGTCGGGACGACAAAGTGCCGTCGAGGGAACGACAATCTTTGAGATTGAAGCTCGATGTCGCTCGGCGAGTAAGTAGATCCTTAGACATACTAGTACCTTCGAGCCAAGCGGCCAGATCGCGGTCTTCTGAATTTTGGGCCACGAATCGGCCTGATTGTGCATCGAGCTGGATCTTAGGCTCGACCTGTCTCATATGTAGTAAGAGGTGGATAGACGATGCCAGGCCCTGGCCTTTGTTCGCGTAGGAGTCAGCGGAGGAGTTGGTAAGCGGCCAGACGGATCGCTTAGCCTCGTCGTCCGTGTAGCATTTGAACAACCAGCTCATTCTCTCCGCACAGGTCAGGAGAAGAAATGCCGCTAGGAAGGTTTCGAAGTTGCTGCTCTTGTGGCGTGACAGCACCCGCTGCTCAAAATGGTGCATTGCCGCACGGCACAGAACCGCCGCACGACTCTCAATCACCGCGTACAGCTGTGTGATGATGATGTCCTGCGCAAATTTCTCGCCTCGAAGCACCTGGTTCTCCCCATCGGGTCCTTGACCGATGTTCAGCATCCACTTAAGATTCGCCTCCGTCAGAATGATAGTTGCTGTGCAGAGATCGATCACATCGGCAATCAAGTTGTCCGGTTTGTCCGAAGGCGTGCCAGTACCGTTGGACGATGTCGCTTGTGCATCTCTGATGGCTACTGCTGAAATTAAGCTGGCTGTCATAACCGGGCAGGCTTCTTGCTGCATCATATATTGCGTGCTCGACTCTCGGAGGTATTGTTCCACCTTGGGCGTCAGATTTTCACTTTCTACGTCGATCAAGAAAGTATCAACCAGACCAGGGAATTGTGCGGCTTGTTCAGAATTGGGCCGAAGATGTACGCGTAGACCTTTGAAGACGATCGGAGCCTCGCTGAACACGTTGGCTTCAATCTCTCCATCTAGACGTTCAATGTCTGAGTTGCTTTTGAGCATGTTGACTTCGATATATGCCGTCGTACCGAATAGGCTGACGAAATAGAGTGGGAAAGTTTCAACCAACTTTGTTCGCACACATGAGTGCTTCCATAGTCGAGGAGTTTCCACGGCCACACAGGTCTGACATGGCGTCTCTTGCGAGCACGTCTTCTTCAACATCCGACAACGCATGCATGCCCCGACTCTGCGAAGTTCACGTACCTCCTTTCTCCTATCCGGTGTGAATTTACCGCGAGATTTGGGCTTTTGGACCTTGTTTGGAGTTCCAGGCTCTGATATGAAATTGACGGCTCGAGTTTTGGGGTTCATTGCAATTGGTCTTAGGGGCTGAGATGGACTGGAAGACTCGTCGGGAGAGGTCAATGCAGAGTGCCGAGCCTGCGTCAGATACTTTTCGTCACCGAGTGCCCGAGGCAAAACAGACCAATTGATCTGTGACTGAGGTTGAGACGAATTATGTGCCTGTAAGCTGTCTAGAAGAGCTGTAGAGACGTCGTCCTGCGGCATCGAGAGGCCCGGGTCTAGTACTCCGTGCGCCAAAGTCTCGTTGGCGGAAGCTGCGATCGTACTGAGATCTGGAGAATTGGTGCTAACAAGAGGCATGGATCTGAGGAGGTCTTCTTGGGTGACTGGCAGAGCACCGGGGAGGTAAGGATACAATGAAGGCACCGTCTGTCCATTTGGGACAGAAAAACCTAGGACAAATTAGTTATCAACCAAACAAAATGTTGTGAAGCGTACTGTTGTTTCGCATGCCCATTCCATTGTCGGACGTTTCGAGCAACTGGCGTTCAAAACTATCTTGAGCGAGCTGCGGATCCAATGGAGCGGTTTGCCCGTGGTCTTGGTTCTGGCCCTGGCCTTGACCCTGACCCTGACCCTGCTTGTCGCCTCCCACTTGGCGAGAAGCCTCTGCAAGGACGTTCAGAGCATTGAAGTTTTGTGGTCGGCTGGGAGAGAACGGCAGACTGAGAGGGCTTTCTTCGCTTGGATGTTGCTCCTCTGTCGCCAGAGCATTGGCCGCGATCTCAGCGCTCGGATCCGCGAGATCATGGGCACGCAAGACGATCTTGGTTTTGTCTGCCAGCGAGAGACCAACACATTTCTTTGTCAAGTGTCCAAGGAGATATTCTATACGTCCTTTTGGGAAAAACTCCCCGCAGAGCTTGCAGGTATGTTCATAGCGGTTGGATCGCTCGTTGATCTTCTTGCCTCGTGTAAAGTATTCCACCAGTAACGGGTTCGGCTTTCGGCCCATGCTTCCAAGCACTGGCGGTCGCAGTCGACCGTTGAGTGAGAAGGAAGTAAGGTAGCACGTTGGCACGTTGACGATGCCACCGAAGCGGGGATCGTCCTCGTGTTTGAACACAACTCGTAAGAATTGTGTATTGACAGGGGTATCTGGCCAACGGACGACCGCTTGACCGGAGCCAAACGAACCGTCCTGTACGAACAAACAAGAAAACCTCACAAGAATTGTTTAGGAAGTAGACTGTCTGATGTAGAAAGTGTTGACAGGCCAGTGCGGCAACCATCCATGGGAAATCATCTCCGCAGAAGATTTGGTGCCAGCAAAATGTGCTCACCGCCTGCCAAGCTATCGGACTATCTATATTCCGGTCCGGTGCTGGGTTCACAACTTCGAGGAATATCAGATTGGAATGTACTTTGAGATGATGCGTAATCATGCTGCTCTGGGATGAAAAGGATACCTCTATCATCATTTGGGGTTATTTGTGTATCCGGTGCCCTCTATCAAAATCCTATCCCCTGGTTGTTCGACCCTGACAACAGTCTTATGTCAGCTCGATCGATTTGTGAGGAGCCGAAGGCGGTGAGTAATTCAAAGGCGGTGAGCCCCTCGCTGAGCCTGAGCCACTTCCCACGGTCAACAAACTACATAAACTGTGAACAATGTGTGCCCTAGCATTGTCGATGTTCCGGTGGCCGATAAGGAACTCCAAGTATCCCAAAGATACGCCTCTCGTCATGGCTCTCGATTAAGTTTCCCTCTGTGACTTTCTCCCTTCCACGGCCACGCAAGACATCTGCGTAGAGACCATGCTGATTGAGTCTCATCTTCTTCCGACTCGCAAGCAGCCTCAAGCTTCTGTTGAAGATGTCATTACCAGTGAAATAGATTAGTGCAGCGCCCAACTCGCTCCAAGGGACGAAGAGAAAGTCAATGCGGCGCCAGGTCCCTGGCTCTGGCAAAGCCGACACCCCATGCCACTTCGATGATGTTTCTGCTCGCCCGCCAGTGGCAAGTGCTGCTTTCAGGAACCCTTGGTCTGTCAGTCTTGGGATGACCACATCAACGAGCAGTGTACGTATGTGCTCGAGAGTCCCAGCTTCTTTGGTGATGATGAGGTCAATGTCCCCAGAATCAGAAGCCCCCCTGCGATATGATCCGCCGATAATGACATGCGTCTCTGGGTCCGCCAGTTCCAGGGCTTTCTGGACGATCTCGCCATGCTTTGCGACTTCTGCTCGGGGTATTCGTTGAAGAAAATCTTCATAGTGGTCTACACCAACGCGCTGGCTGTAAGTAAGATCTGCCTTGCATCGCAGATCATCCAGAGTGCGATGGCCCTGGGCGATCCATCGAGAAGCTGTGGGATATCCCACCCCATAGATGCCCATGAACAATTGCAGAACTTGGTCGTGTGGGTCCTTTTGGGTCTCTTCCAAGCGACGGAGTCGATCAGTGGCTACGATTTCCTCGATCTTTTCTGCCAAACGTTTTCCAATCAATGGAATAGCCAGCGCTTCCTGCTTGGTTCGAATCAGCTGCTTCTGTTTCCGGAGAGCTGACATGGCTTTCCGATACGCCGTTGTGCGCCAATGATCTCCAATGCGGTCATAATAGGTCGCCATTTGCTGCAGAATTTCAATCGTCCGAGAATTAGGATTGTTGTCATTGGGGTCGCCGTCATGCTTCTCCATGCACTGAAACCCTTTATTTTCTGTCGCCACTTTGTCGTTTGCAAGGAGTAGCTCCAATGCGGGATCATCTTGGCTAGACTTGTCTGCACCTGTAGAAGTGTTCTCGAAGCTTGGGCTGAACTCGAGATGCTCTAGATCCTGCACGTCTTTGACCGCTTTCATGAGATCATCGGACATTGCTGGAGGCTGTCCTTGGGCATCTTTTGGTACAAACGGAGAATCAGGGGCGAGTTCGGACTGAGAATCGTCTAATGCATGGTCAGCAACAGAAGCATTGCAAAAAAAGGAAGTGCACTCACCCAGAGAGCAAGCAGCCCTTCCAAGTTCACTTGACATTACAACATCCTGGGCTCGGTGGTCAGGAGTATCCAACCCATCCACTTGGAATCTCCACCAACGTGTCTCCCGAAGGAATCTCGACTTGATGCTCTCCACGAGCCACTGATCCCGAAGGACAGTTGGACCAGTCTAATTATCACAATCAGAAGTTTGAACATTGGTTGTACATAGAAGGCATACCGGTATTTTTCCGTCTTTGAAGTACCGCTTCACTTTTTCAGCATTCAGGTCGTCGCAGACAATGATATGGGTGGCCTCGTCCGTCCACATATTTGCCCAAGTTGCTCCATACTGAATGCTCTTGCGAATTCGGAATCGACGAACTGGATTGTCATCGGTAGGAGGGACAAAGACTGTCAAGAATATTAGTATACCAATACTTCTTGGAGTGGTGCTCACATACACAAGGTCAGTCCATGAAAGATCTGTTTTTCCAGAGGTATACGCTCCAACTTCTTGTCTCCCTTTCGAAGCTTTGGTACAATTGACCCCTGGTCCGATAGAGTTCGTCTCAAAGAGCTGACGATTGGCAATGTGCTTTTTGTGGTTGGAATTGGAGGAGAGGAAGCTGGGACAGCTTCAGGCGCAGTGGATGTCCTTGCGTTTGCTGGTACAGACAGCCCTCTGGAAGAAGGACGTTTGCGTTTAAGGGCATTGTGACTGGTAAACTCTGACCGCGATATCTCAACGATGTTATTATTGAGGGAAGGTTGAGAGTTTCCTGATTCATGAGATGGAATAACAATCGTCGCCGTGGGTGGCGCGTTCATGTTGGGCGGTGCCGCTCTTTGCATGACAGCGACAGCGCGTTGTTGCGGAAGGGACGAGGTCTGTTCGTAAAGGTCATTATCATTGTCTTCGCGGATGTAGTCGTCAAGGCGAGCTAGATCTCTAAAGAACTGCTCTTTTTCTTCCCTTTTCCTCCTTGCTGCCATGATTCTTTGTTCCGACAGTGATGGGCCATATGGATAAACGCGAGATTGAACGCGAACATTTCACAGAGAGGGAACAGGTGTTTCAATGCAAGGGACTACGACTTCCAGGCAGAATTCACTTGATTCACAGAAAAAGCACACAACAGAAAAGACTGTGTAGAGCAGTGAAGGAGGCAGAGGCGGGGTTGGTGCACTGTGGCACAAAACCTCAGTACATTAGGTACCTCCTCGTTGTCACTAAACTTTCCTGTTGAGAAGGAAAGCCTCCAAGAAGACACAAGCTGGGTGTCTAAGGTAGATAGTTACCGTCTCAAGTATCCATAGTTAAGAAAGTGACAAGTGATACGCCTACAGCAGACTGTAAGAGCATGACTCCGAGTACAGTACACTCCCCTCCGCCCCTTGCCCCACGCCTGGCACGCGCAATCCACTCTGCCACTAAGTAAAGCATTTCTCGCCAATGCGCGAAATTCACGCCAGATCCAGTGATCGCCAAGACTTTTCGGTATGGGAAGCTGCAGTTGCAGGACTGCGGACAAATAATTTGCTTGCACGCCTTATACAGGTTGCTGCCATCAGTCACGTTTGGACGCCAGTTAGCAACAGGCCGCAAGGGGGAGATCTACAAGGCCTAGCCTTGCATCATGTCGGCTCGGACAGACCTTCTCGGATTGTTCACGTCGATCGCCCTCCGGCCGCATAGTCGATGCCTATACCGCGGCGCAAGAGTTTCCTCACAATTCGCACGACATGTCTCCTCGTCCACAAGTTCCCAACCCAAGCCAAAGTCGACTCCCAAGCCTGAACTGAAGTCGACCCCAAAGCCGCTTCCTAAATCTGACCCAAAACCAACTCCACACGAGCTTGCAGCTCAAAAGGTCCCTATACATGTCGGTCTCGACCGAAATCCGGACAGTGTTTCGGCAATCTCGAGAATTCCCATTCCCAAGGGCGAGAGAGGCGAAGTCTTTACGCCGTCCGTTCTTGCGTATCCATTGGGCCTACAGCATCCTCCTGCTCCCGGTCAAAATGTTCCGTATGAGACGCGATCCTTTAGCGAACGAAGAAAAGACTTCTCCAGCTACGAGAAAGCGTTGGAACGTAGACGGGTGTATCTACGATCATACCTTCGACCCTACTTTCAGGAATGGCGTCGAGTAGATTATCACAGAGGCAAAAGCTTTGTGTCTAACGAACGGTTGTTCAAGAAGGATAAGGCTCTCTATTTCCCCAATCTTTGGGGCAAAACTCTGTCAAAAGAAGGAGATGGAGGAAAGGGAGGCAAAGACACCACACCTCTGCTTAGAGGCAAGGTGTCAATTGTTTGCTTCCAGGCAAACGAGTGGGCTACGGAGCAAGTCGAGTCATTTGTTGGAGCAAAGGAGAATCCACAACTGAACAAGCTCCTCGAAAACAGTGATGGAATGGTCCAGAGGATTGACATCAATCTACAAGGCGATATTGCACGGTCTTGGCTAGTCTGGCTCTTCAAGTATCGACTCAGACGAATGATTCCGAAGGAGCGGTGGGACAAATACTTCATGATCAAGCTCCCCCGCGATATCCGCCGAGGTTTGACTGATGAAATTCGAGACGCCATAGGTCTTCTCAATTCCCAGGTCGGATACGTCTATCTCGTCGACCCTTCCTGCAAGATCAGATGGGCAGGAAGCGGTGATGCCTGGGCGGGAGAAATTGACGGTCTCAACGCTGGCATTAAAAAGCTCATCAAGGACGAGCTCACATCCTCACCCCAATAAACAGCTAAACCTGTGCCAAAATGACATGCAGATCTTCCGAAACAATTAATTTCCACACTCATTATGGTGCCATCCAAACGCTCAAACACCACTTATTTGATACAAATTTTGTCCATGTCCAGGACCCCAAATTCACCATGAATTCTCAAGCAAAAGTTCGTCAATTGTCGTCAGATGGTGATACTTGATCACAGTTTTCAGGCTTGGTCCTAGTATTTGCATGTCAGCTATTGTTGTCAGGTGAGGGGTGGGGACGACGTACCCACACCGAGGGCAAGGGTTCTCGGCTTCGGCGCCGTCGAGAATCTCATGGACCACTTTACATTTCTTGAGCAGTCTGTCGGCTCTGGTCGCTGGTTTCGGAGCAGTGGCTTTGTCGCACATTTCATGCAAATAATATGGAGCTGGTCTTGCCGTCCCTGGGCAGCAATTCCAATGATATGTGTAATATATGCACATTTTGGGTCGTCGGACGGAAGACGATTCTTATGAGGACAAAAAGATGGGATAAGTGATATATGCGGCCGGTGTCAAATGTTACGATCGATGGGTCGGTAGGATATGTTGTCGTTGTGTGAGAGGATTTGATCTTGCTTCGTTGGAGGAGTGGAGGGTAGAATAGTCCATTGCCTAAGTCATGCGCAAATGGAACGAGTCCGGAGTGCAACGAGATTGTCTACCGCTGCGCTCCCATTGTCTAGACTCCGTACAGATGTACAATAAATTCGCTGTTTTCGGCCAACAGGGTCACAAAAGTTGGATTTTGTAGATTGGCGGTCCTGCGCAGAGCGTAGTCGTACTCAAAGTATATTGACGAGGAGGGCCAGAGGTTGAGCGGGTGGTGGTTTGGAGTCGAGTTATCTAGCGTAGTGGCGGAAAAATGTTTGGGCGGAGTGAGAAAGGATGAGGTCTGTCGAGATCAACAACCGCCAGTAGTAGTGGGATGGAGAGTAAAAATGACCAAAGGAGAAGGAGAAGGAGAAGGAGGATCAAGATTACGATACGAAGGGATCTGGGTGTGTTATTAAAGAAGTACGAGAAAGAGAGAGTCTAAAAGCGAGAACGAGAGCGAGCGCGAGCGAAGCGACACCAAATGTGGAGGGTAGATTACAGGGACAGAAGGTAAGGTTCAATCAAGTGTGAAAGCAAAGACTCAAAGGTGCCGTGAGTGTTACAGTGCGCAAAAGTTTACAGGTTCACCCAAGGGCCCAAGGGCTCGATCCTTGGAATGCCGTATTTGCATGTCTGGGGTGTTGGTCACCAGAAAACTTATTTTTCAGCCATGACCAAAGGGCGGGCAACTGGCAATTGAAAACGCGGCCAGTAGCCGGCGAAAACCCGCCCGAATGGAAGGCTACTACTCTACAAGAGACAAGCTTTGGACGCGAGCGGGAGGGAAAAGAATGGCGAAAGGACCCTGGGAGGTCGAATAGAACAGTAAGACAGAAACTGGACTAACAACGCCTGGATAGAGGGGGAATGAGATCATGTTGGACCAAGAGACGGGAGGCAAGCCCAAGAAAGACACAAACACAACGGTTATTGGTATGAAGTGGTATGTCAAGTATGTATGGGTTGGGATTGTGGAGAGGGGTGGACATGGTGATGGTGATGGAGACTGTGACCACGAATAGCAGTGGAGGTGAATGAGCACTATCTAATAATGTATGAGGGTTTTTTCTCACCTCTGAGAACCTCGGGATTTTTCTCAGTCATCAACTTGTGTATCCATCGCATGGCTTCTTGGAATCTGTGCCCAGGAACGGCTTGGGAGAAAGCTCGTTGGAAAAAGCCACAAGAGAAATCCATGGGCAAAAAGACGCAGAGGCCGCGCCGGCAGAAACGAGAGCGGAGATGGGTCGAGAATTGGGACGATCCTATCCCTGTACGGGTGTCGTGGCCGTCTGCTGGACAGATACCACATCGTGTTGGCGCAGATTGCATGCAAGAAATGCTTGATTGTATTAGGATTTTGATTCCAAGACCTGGGCATTTGATGATAGTGGTCTGTGTCCACAAGTCATGAGCGAAGGAACAGTACTGATAGCACAGAGTTTGGGTCGGTCGACCACGAGTAATAATACTAGTCCGTCCTCGTGCTGCCAGCTGAGAGAAGCCACGTAACGCATCCTAGAGTCCTGTGCTCTACATCAAACACCCCGTACAGTATATCTCCATCAAGAAGGAGTGCGTTGCATGCAGCGACGACAGAAGTCTGGTCTGACAAGTTCAGCCTAAAGGTTTAAAAGCTGGCCTGATGAGATACTGCAAATGCGCCTCAGGTCCTCAGGAGATCAGTCCTGACGTCTGCCATCTTGATACCTACCATACGTATCTATAACACATGCCTGGTTGCTCTCCCGCTTCAGGAGGACAATGGCTGATCCATTCCCAATTGCTATCGTTGGGCTACTACGGAGCGCTGCTAATCGTTCCAGAGGAGAGGAAGTGGTGGTCGAAGAACTCTATCGCAACCAAGCCTTTTAGGTCAGCTTAAGTCTGGTGGAGAGCCAGGCGGCATTTAGTCACGAGGGAGAATGGTGGCCACGGTTATGACGTGGATTTGAGCGAGCAAACCGACTTCAATCCCCTACAAGACTATGATGGTGCCGAATTCCGGTCAAACACCAAGCACCAAGAAGACAAAAATAAGAAGCGGACATCATCAGCCCGTGCCATGCTCTCAGGATGTAACGGTCCGCCAGCCGCCACCAGCTCTTGGGAAAAGTCCTCGCCTTTCTGTAAAGCAAGTAGCTCAGTCACTATTTAAGACCAAAAGCGCCCATAAAATCAAAACATCCTGGACGCGTGGCATGTTACACCTTCGTTCCACTTTTAGCAACAGCTCGAGCTGGAGTCCGCGAGATATACGGATAGTATGCGCATGTGTTAGTTAGTCACGTAGTAGGGTATGTATGCACAGTATGTAATCTACCGTTACTACGTGCGTGCAGCACTCATGGACAGAAACTGCAGTGATCGCCTCACCATGCTGCGATGGTGGTTTGAGAATGAGCATTGCAGTATGTACGGAGTAATGCGCGCAGGAGTCTAGATCAGCCTCAGCCGCCAAATGCCGATGCCAACACGACTTTACTACCTTTCTCGGCAGGTCCCAAGGGCCTGGAACTTGTGATCGAACACCCGTTCACCTACCTAAATGCTCCTGCATATGCTTGGATTCGGTCCTACGCGAGGGCCGAGGGGGCACATGGGTTGTTTCGTTGTCTGGTCCTTGCGAGGCCCCCAAGCCCCCGGCAATTGAAATCTCAACGCCAAAAGTCATCCTTCCCCTCCTGTTTGGGGGGCCAAGGGTGCGTATTTGACCCCCTAACGGTGGTCCCGACTGGTCCTCAAACCTTCGGTTACGCCCCCAATAAATCCTATTTAGGGGGGCAAAAGAGCCGCTTGGGCCTCCCTTGGCTACGCTTGAGGTCCATCACCAAGGAGGAAGGTATAGGTAATGCCACGACTTGAATTTCACAGCCAAGATGAGTGAATTCTGCTCGCTCTTCGACTTGTTTCAGTGGTGAGGCTGGAACCCGCCCTGTGAGTAGGATTTATAGAACGATAACAGCAGCGGCTCTCATAAAACCTTGTTACCGTTAAATCGAGTGGATATCTGGTTCCCTACTAAGTAACCGTTCTTGCCCCCGCTTTATGGTGAAATGTTTTGTAGACGATCGCCTTTTGCTTCTTTGCCAGATACACGACCTAGACCCCAAGTTTACTTCATTTTCAATTTCTGGTACTAGAAATGAAGCGCTCAAGCTCACTTATTCCACGTTGCATCGAGTGCCGGTATAGGCACACGGGCAGAATGCATAGGAATATACAAGGGCCTCGGCGGGTGAGAATGGGTTTTACTCTCCTGGATTAGTGGAGTACTGTGTAAACATCCGTTTTGTGGACGCCCTACAGTTTATGTGTACCTGCATCATGCTCAATTCTGATCTAGCAGAATATCGAACCCCTTGGGAAAATCCAGACCCTATTTCCCGTAGTTGCACATCTGAGGGTTTCGAGGACTGCACCTTGATAGTCAGGTATTTGCACGAATATAGGGAGCGTTCAGGCCTTGAAGGGTATTCTTCAACCTCTGCTCCTTTCTCCTTATCCGGGTTGCTGATTCCCATGGCGTCCCTATTTCCGAAATGTGGTAGGGAAGTAATGGTCGAGGATTCGTATCTGCCGGGCCGGTGCTCTGAGCATCCTCTTTCCTTCTGGCCATGTCCACCATGACCATTACCTCGTGAAAACACTCCTCGAGAAAGGGGCCTGTCTCTGTCTCAAAGTATTCAATCTGGTAAAGCGAACGCCCATCCATATGATGAGTTGTCCACCAGAACCTCCCTGAGGACAACAATATGTAAGTGGTCTTCAGTCGGTTGGTGATGTGGAGCATTGCAGAGGTTGCTGGAGGGTCAAGAGTGCTAAGCCCCCCTAAAGGCACACAATTGGCCTTGCTTCGATCGTAACGTTCGTTTCCGTTCTGGGAACTCGAAACTGATATGCACTCTGTCAACAGTTTGTTCACTGCCAATATTGTCAGGACAGGCCGCGAGGAATCCTTCAATGCTTGTGCAAAATCTGCGTGGACAGATTCTCAGCTAAAGTAGAGCAGCATTAGGAAACAGAATGCAATGAAGCTTCCCAAAATGATGCCATCTCTCCTTCGCTTGGTCCCGATTCTGGAGATGAGGCCGTTGACTCCGGGAATCTGTGCCGCCGCCGATGTGATGCGACGGTTAATACTTGCGATTGTCTCCCTTTGAATTCCGAAATTCTCATTGATGGCATAGGCTTGCGACAAAACACCGTCAATCACATTATGACTCTGATCTAATCGTCCTCGCTCTTGAAGCATATACTCAGCCTCTGCTTCTGCTGGGTTGGACGTTCTGAAAGCATCAATGTCGGACCGTACATTGGCAAGGAGATGTTGTCGGTCTCGTGCCTCGGAAATGGAAGACTTAAGTCGGCGAAGCTCCTGTCGATGCTCGGTCAAAACCTCCCTATGTCGCGACAGGTTGTTCTGTTTCAGGCTCGATGTGCTAAGTGCACTCTCCGAATCAAGTAATCGAGAAAGTTGAGATATTAAACTGTCACGCTATCCAAGTCTGTTAGACACCGCATGGATGTGCATAAGGTATCTCGCCCTGGCCATACCTTTTCCAACAACTCTTCAATCTCCGACTCGATTCTCTGCTCCTCTGGAGATGGCTTCGGTGGTAAATTAGGGGCGGAAACGTATTGGGAGTATGTGTGGAAAAGAGTCTCAGTCTAGGATGTAAGTCAATATGGGAATTGTGGCCGGTGCTGTGATCGAGTAATACCTGACTCTCGAGGCCTCTAATCTGCTGGCGCAGCTGCGCCCATCCAGTACCACTTGCCATGAATACAGGGCAGAGTGAATCCAAGTTCAGAGCTGAGAGGTATTTTCAATGGATTTCGTGATAGTAATCGGCCATACAGGCCATGTTGCTCTTTCAAGCAACAAGGAGTTTCAAGGATCGCAACCGCCTCTTTGTTATAGCCTGCCCCTGCATGCAAGGATGCCGTTGGCTCGTTGGCTTGTCTGACGAGGCCCAGGTGGAACTTTGTCGGAAGAAGCTGCTAAGCTTAACATGGGATAGCGTATAATCACGTGAGAAGACAAAAATCTTGGCACTCACCACACAATGGATTTTCCTTGCGCAGCCAACACTTCGCTACCTGCGGTTCAACGACAACCTCAACCTCAATCACCCACAACCCTTGACAATTTCGACGAGGTCTTTAATCACTCAAGATGGTACGGCGCCCCAAATACACCTCCTACTCGTCACTCTCACCCCGAGGTATCACTAACACATTGGTTTTATGTAGTCGTCAAGCGCCAAAGTCAAGCCCGGCCAACTCTGGGGCAAGGGAAAGGATGATTTGCAGAAGCAACTCGACGAGCTCAAGACCGAATTGGGATCCCTAAGAGTCCAGAAGATTTCCGGCGGTGCTACGTCAAAATTGACCAGAATGTATGTGTATTGAACCAACCCGCATCATTGAAGAGGAAGTCAAAGAAAAATGGATATAAAAAAACTCCAGCCATCGACGGAACATGAAAATTGACGCCTCGCAAAACAATTTGGAACATATTACTGACCGATGATTTTTTTCTTCTCTTTCAGACATGATCTCCGCAAATCAATTGCCCGCGTTTTGACCGTCATCAACGCCAACCAACGACACCAACTGCGACTCTTCTACGCCAAGAAGAAGTACCTCCCTCTGGATCTCCGAGCAAAGCAGACCCGTGCCATCCGACGACGATTGAGCAAGAAGGACGCCAGCCGAGTCACCGAGAAGCAAAAGAAGAAGCAGACCCATTTCCCTGCGCGGAAATATGCCATCAAGGCCGAATAGAGAGACCGTCGTTGAGAGTTTTGGTCGGACAACAACAGCGTGGTTAACAGTGGTCGCGAGCTTTTCATGCTGATGATGGACGACTATTGCGATTCTTCGAGATGAGGGTGAGGGTGGGGTGGTCGGAGATGATAACCTTTGTGCGCCAGACCGGGAAGAATCTTGACTAGTTGACTTATGGCTTGGTGGTTGCTGTGAAGCATGCTACTATAAGTCATGGCGCTGCAAAATTTCTACTTTGGTGATGGATAAAGGATAGTCATATCATGACCTGCATGGATGTAAATCAAATCTTGCGCGATGCAGACTTGAGAAGCAACATGCCAGGAGAAATGGCCTACGGAGTTCTTGCTATGCAAGGATTTAGACGCCTAGCCAATTTAAAAACGAAAAAAGAATCACAATCGTATGTCCACATTTATTTGCAGGACCAGTGAACGATCCAGACTCTTTGTTTGAGTCCTTATAGTCATGCCGTACATTGCGTCTATGTCGACTGCACGACTGACTGCAACTCGTGTGAAACATAACATCTATGGTAGTCACATTGTCATTAACAAACACATCGGCTTCCTCACCCAGAATCAAGGCTCAAGACTCCCAAGGAACCATGATCCACGCACCATCACACATGCATCTACCCATCAGGGCGACAACCGGCCTTGACCAGTCCTTTGGCGGAATATTGACATCCTCACTAAAACTTCCGCACCTGACACACTTCCTCAGGACCAACTGACCGCTACTGCCGGAGTGACTGTGCTCCAGCACACCCTTAGTGATGAGTTTCTTGCGGAGCACATCATACACGGGCGTCGGTCTGGTGCTAGGTAATTGCTTCCCTTGAACCTGATGATTCAGAAACAAAAAGTCCATGTCGGTTTGCTCGGTGAACAGCTTTAGACGATCGATCAGCAATTTGGATCTTAGCCCGTGGGGTGGGTTGATCAATTTAGTGAGGATAGTTTTGACGGTTCCCTGGTAAGCCTCATGGACGGTGCCAGTGGCCATCATCTCGACTTGTCTCGCAGCGGTGGCGGCAGGATCGCCCTCGACGTCGCCGGGGCTGGACCATCGTGATTCGAGGAGCGCTTCGATTGCAGGAAAGGAGACGCCTTTTCCTGTCGTTTCGTTTTGGATGCATTGCAGGACTTGGATTTGGTGTTTCAGTTTGGGGTCTGGGTGTTTAGCGTATGCTCGAACGGCGCGGACAAATGCCACGAGGAAAATGCGAGACCAGTGGCAGTTGATGAGGAGAGCGACTAGGCCTTGACTGCCATCTCCTACAGTGTCACCAAGTCGGTTTTGATTTTGATCGTCAAATATGTCGGGGTTGGTCTCGCGGTCGCCAACTTCGAGGATGGTGTTGATCACGAGTCTGATGACAGTCATGCCCCACCTGATCTGGCCACAGAGGATGTCGGTGAAGTCTGGGCTGAGGATCACGTTGAGATTATTGAAGTCTCTCAGACTGGTGTACAGGATAGTGGCGGTCTGGCGGATATTGTTTGCGAACCAGGCCCATTGAGCAGTCAAGGTCCATGGTTTAGCTCCTGGGGTGATTGGGTCGATGGACGAGAGGCCTGGGCAAAAGGTCGTTAGACCACTGTGATATGCCATAACTTTAGATATGACTTGTTTGTGAAAGACTCGTTCGAGTTCTGAGCCTTCGGCCTTATCGTTGATGTATTCTTTATCGCGGAAGAGGGTACGATACATGCCCGCGATCAGGCCCGGTACCAGCGTCGGAGGTACATTCTTCACGGCGCAGAGGAGAACATCGTCGATGGTAGTATTGAACCAGCAGGTTCTAGCGAACGTCAGGTTCAGCGACGCGAGAGCGACGTCGGTGGGCGAGTCTTGGGACGGGTCGGGTGGAGGTTGTGAGAAGTGGTATTCCATATGTGCCAGCTGAGTCTTGCCGTCAGGAGTCAAATCAGCACGGACACAAGCACTAGGTGAACAGCTAGATGCGTAAATGGTTGAGGTGAAAGGGTATGTGAAGCCTGCTTGAGCCATTGATGTGACTTCTGTGGGAGATGCTGCAAAAGAGACTGATGAGAGGTCATCCGTACCGAGAAAGTCAGTTCGGTTCTCTTGCGTAGTGATGATGACTGAATGGGTGGCGTCGTGGTATCGGAGAGATGTGATAACCTGCTCCTCCTTGTCAGGCTGTCGCTGCAAGGTGACGACAGTCGCTTGTTCTGCACTCGAGGAACCTTTGGCGGGGAGTTCATCGAAGCGAGGGTGCAAGCTCTGTTCGACGGAGGTGACGGTCCACCTCTTGATCAGACTGGAGATGAGGTAGCCTGGGTCAGTGACACCAACAGATTTGTTGATCCCAGTAGATACAGCCAAGATGGTTGGAGGTATATGGACGGCCTTTTCGACGTCGGAAGTTTGCAGCACCTCGAGATGACTCAATTGCCATGACTCGGGATCATAAATGTCGCCTCCCATGGCGGCTGAGACTGTTGGTTGAGATGAGACATGGCTACAGACGGCTTCGATGGTCAGCACCGGGACACCATCGACGTTTGCCTTGACTTCAGACCAATCGATGTTGATCATGTAGACTGAAATATTGGAATCAACCGCGTGCAAGACTACCAACATCTTGCCTTCGAGGGTCGAGGCGAAGCTGGCATGGCTGTAGACAGAGTCGGGGGATTGCGAAAGCTGGCGATTGAGCTTGACGTATTGTCCATCGCCGCGTTGGTAACAAAGAGAGAGTAGGCCACTGCGATGGGCGACTGCAACAGCTCGATGCCAATAAGGACCCAAGGGTTTTGCTCGGGCATTGACATGGGTCCAACGATCTTCTGTCTTGTTGGCGGTAGGGACAACATTTCGAGGGCGATCTTGTCTGTCCTGATTCAACCATGCCATGCCAATGGGCGGTGATGACGCGGTCGAAGTGTCGAGGGTCTCTTGATGGGCCAAATTGAGGCGATTGAGGGCGGTAGGGGAAGTCTGAAAGATGGATATTTTGGCCTTTGTGTCGACGACGACCAGTTCCCCGCCAGTGGAGCTCCAGGCTAGACTTGTGGCATTTTCAAAGACGGTGGAGAGAGCATGTCTCTGGATCAGGACCCAAGTGTTTGAAGGTTGATGGGATTCAAGGGCCTCGATGTAGACTGTGGTGGCATCATCGGAGATGGTGGCAATATGACCATGTCTGGACCAGGCAATGCGCTCCAGGCAGCCTGAGTACCAGCGGCGAGAAATATTATCGACGACAATGGGGTCGGTGGGGATGGCGACATTAGCGACGGCGTTTAGATGAGCCGTAGGGTCAATCTGCTGAATTTGGTCGAGTGAATTTTGATTGAAAAAGGTTGCGGATGCGAAATCATCGCCATCAGCGTCCATCTGATCGAGTTGGTCCATTTTTAGCCCACGATGCAGATGTGTATTTATAATTATCGCTGATAAGCTAGTCCGCCATATGTGAGGTAGAGTTTAAGTCCATGGCTGGTGTAGATGATTTTATACAATTATTCGGTTCTTAGCCAGGAGTCAAAGGGTGGGTTGATGAGTCGTTTGTCTGGTCATGTCAGTAACGATGGATGGCTGTGACTGTGACAAGCAACGAAAAATCATCTAACAAAAGCCAGTCACTATACAGGAGTGCTGGTATGTCGGAGAAATTTGGTAACGATGGCGCCGACTATGACTTGGTGTCACACATGAGATCTGAGTATGTATGGAGTGTGCCTAGTATGCGTAGTAGTGAATTATGGAGTATGTGCGGTGATGACAACCGCATGGCTCGTGCAGCAGAAGCAGAAACAAAAGCGGATCAGTGAATAGGCACAGAGACCAACCAGCGAGTTTCACTTTGGGTTAGACGTTTGTGGCATCTCTAGCATCTTTAGGTGTCCCCTCGCCCACTTTAGGCCTTGGCCCGTCCACGTTGGCGCCCCCGATGCCCCCCCTCGAAGCTCCAGTGGGCAAACACCGCAAGCCACATCTTCCCATCAAACCCTGCGTAGCCGGGGTAACAGTCGCATGTTTTGCAGGCATCCACCCCCGAGATTCGGCGCTAGTTGAGTTGGCCTTGTTCAGGCACACACAAGGCCAGCAATCACGTTCAAGATGGTGTGTCGAACTCTGTTGAACTGGCTGACTGGTCTATTTTGTCATTTCCTGCAGGATGCGCAGTTTTCCAAGTCTACAGGATATGTCGATCACCTTGTCTCTACATACTACAGAGACCTATTATCTGTGGTGTGCATCAATTCAGGCCAGTCATTATCATTGAAGCTGGAGGCCCCTACCAGCCGAGACGGCGGTTGACGCTTAGGCAGAGTCTTTGGCCTGAAAATGGCGACCTGCAAGAGCAGGGCGGCCCAGATCGTTGGTGTTGGAAGGGGCCGAAGGGGACGATGGGACCCCCCGCTAAGGGCGGTTGCGTATGTGTAGCGTGCTCATTTTAAGCTTGGGAGATCCTCTTTGGCCGAGGCCGAGTCCCCATGTCCGATCTGATCAGACGACTGTCTGGCATCATGATGATGTCTACGCATACTCGAAGCCCCTCGGCCCTGAGATTGTTGGTCTGTTGCAATTTGACTGTATCTATTCACAAGGTCGTTCGGCTTTGCTCACCTACTATTCATTATTATTGTGATTATTTACTATTGTTGTTTGAAGTCGAACAAGCGATTGCTTGGCCCCAATCCTCACTGCCCTCTTGTTCCCGTCCCTCGTCGTAGCCCTCTTCTGCTCCTCTTCCTCTCTCACTCTAATCCCTCATTCTACTCTTACCCTCCATAAAGCAAGGTTCGCCCTTAGATCCCGCCCGTCCTCCTAATCCTCCGCTTGTAAAAATAAAGGTCCCTCCTCCTTGCCAGCATGCATCCAGGTCAAACACACCAACTCTAAACATACTTGGCTCACTACCCACCCGTCCACCCCCGACTTCTTCCTCCTCTCGCTACTGGTCATTCCACTTCCACTTCTATCTCACCTTTCCAGCCTCATCCTGACTGCGCCTCTCCTTCTCACCTTGGTTTGCTTTCCTACAACGCCCACTCATTGGATCAACCACGCCTACATCAGTCGCAAACCACGGTCCTCGAGTGAGACATACTCCTCGGACTCTTGTTCCTAAGCGTCGAACCCGCAAACCCCCTCAAAGTGCAAGCACACTAAAGGCCGTACCTTCTTTTCAAAATCAACAAAGACAAAGACCATGCAATAAGAGTCCTTCATTTGACCGCTTTTCCTCTCGCCATGTCGCCAGACGAGGTATCCGATCCTTCATCACCTTTAAGCTCCATCCCAAGTTCTCCTCTATCTTCTCCTCCCAGTTCGCCAATCTTACCCCCCGGTTGGCAGACCTCGACCATCACTCCTCCACCTTCACAACATGCTGGCGACGAAATGCCACCAGCACGGAAGCGCCGCAAGATCGAGCCCAGAATTCGCACCACTCAGCATTTGGATCTCACTTCTGACACCGCCCAGTCCGAATACGACCGGTGTGAGGCCCTCGACACTTTGTTGAAAGCCGTCAGAAACAGGAGGAAAATTGTTGTTATTGCTGGTGCTGGTATCTCTGTCTCTGCTGGCATCCCAGACTTCCGCTCCTCTCATGGCCTATTCAACAGTCTGAGGGGTGAGCACAAACTCAAGTCATCAGGCAAAATGCTCTTCGACGCTTCTGTCTACAAAGATGACCACTCCACCTCCAGCTTCCATGACATGGTTCGCAAGCTCTCAAAGATGTCGGCCGCCGCCAAGCCTTCTCTCTTTCATCGTTTCCTTGCTCGCTTGTCCGTCGAGGGTAGATTGTTACGCTTGTACACCCAAAACGTCGATGGGCTAGAAACCACTCTACCACCTCTTGCAACACAAGTCCCTCTGAATCACAAGGCCCCCTTTCCTCAGACTGTTCAACTGCATGGAGGACTAGAGAAGATGATGTGTCAAAAGTGCAGACACATCTCCGACTTTGAGGCTCACCTTTTCCAAGGCCCAACCCCACCTCTATGTCCCCAATGTGTCGCGGCAGACACTTTACGCACTGCTCATGCTGGAAAACGAAGCCACGGGGTTGGTCGACTACGCCCACGCATTGTCCTCTACAATGAACACAACCCAGACGATGAAGCCATTGGCGCCGTCACAACAGCCGACTTCCGGACACGTCCAGATGCCGTCATCGTCGTGGGAACGAGTATGAAGATCCCAACCGTGCGACGAATCGTCCATGAAATGTGCCAGATTGTGCGTGATCGAAGAGAAGGGACTACGGTCTGGATCAATCATGATCCCATTCCTCCTGGCAAGGACCTAGAGAATCTGTGGGATCTTATCGTCAAAGGCGACAGTGACGACGTCGCGCGGATGGCCGGCTTGAGGGAGTGGGATGATCCTAACCAAGAGGTTGCAGAACCCTACACCGAAGCGGACATTGCAAGAATTCGAGCTAGGCAAGGCGATGTCGAGGTCGTCATTCCACCCTCACCAAAGAAGACGAAGCCAGAATCTGCTGCACAACGACTCTTGCCTTCACCTGCATTGCATACCATGACACCTCCACGCAGCCAAAATGGAGATCGAGCAACGGCGACGCCAAAACGGGGTCCTCCGCTAAATAATTCTCCGATTAGGATCAAACTAAACGTCACTGAGAGAAGCAGTCCTGAATTCAAGAAGCTCAACGCCGCAACAAAGGCCAATAACCCAGCCAGTTCTGGCAAGAAACTGGCCGACGTTCTTGGCAAGGAAAATCAGAGACGACCTGCCGCTAAATCAAAGACATCGCTCAATCGCAAACCAAAGGTGACTAAAATTCGAGCTTCTGCCAATCCCAAACTTCAGCGTATTATTACCGGCAAGGTCACCAAGTCGGCATCAAAAAACGCCGCGTTATCGAAGAAGCTACCGGCCGAACCTCTCTCACCTCGTCGCGATTCGAATGAGATTGTCCAGCCGCCGAATGTATCAGAATATTCCAGTGCAGAGGCTAGTCCTGCCCCCGAGACACCTCCTGCCTATACTGGTACAGATTGGCAGCGCAGTTCGGATACCGTCTCACCCTCAGGTCGAATCCCGAGTGACATGGTCAGACTATTGAACTAAGGAGACAAAGGTGTTAAATGGCTTGAAAAAGACATGATTTTGGGCGGAGCATCACCATTACTGGGGGTTCTGGAGAGCAGAGCTGGTTAGACTCAAAGCACTCGGACAGGGCAGACAATCTTGGCTTGGGATGGGTCTGGAAATACCAGAATTATGCATATTGACCCATGAAATGTTGCATTGGGCAGTCATATTGGTTTGATTGTACATTAAAAATATTGATTGCATATGGTTTTGGCGATGTTGGTGGCCGCCATTAAGGGCCAACGAAAAGGAACGTATTGTGTCCGTTGTTGATGGATGGCCGGATGGCATGGCATGGCGTTTTCGCTGCACGCGACAGACGCTGACTCTGTCACTCAGAACGGAGTAATTGCATTGGAAATCGATTAAATCATGGAGATTACAACTAATTTACTAGTTGAGGTGTACAGCTGCGATTTTTTCTCTTCCGTGAGTATACGTTGATGTAATATGATTGACCTTAAGGGGTCTGCGAGTGTGGCAGAATTAAGATTATATTCTGTCGTGACGAAACACCGCTCGACTTTTCGTGACACCACTCAGTAGTACTTGAACAAGCCCTAATCTATGCATCGTTTTAGAAAGGAAAACCAAAAAGCAAAACAAGGAGGCACTAAATAATATATAACATAAGGCATAGCTAGGAACGAGGTATGTATTTCATATCAGTCATATCATCTCCTCTTGTCCCACTGTACTTCCACTCCATTCCACTTCAACCCAACCCAACCAACTCATCTCTCATCTCATCGTTTGACACTCAGATTGTCTTAACGCACGCTCGCGCGCACGCTCACATAGCCTGCCCAACGCCACTACTGTCATAAACCCCTCTTTCCAAATCATGTCTCCCATCATCACCACCTCTCATATCTCTAGCTCTCAACCTAGTCGGCCGACGTAACTCTCTACTCCCTCGTGACCCGCCACCATCGGAAACATCGCTGCCACCGCCAGTCTTGCTCCATCCACCGGGCATACCGCTACTGACGCGCCATGTACTGTCATCGCTGGCCATGGACATTGTACGGGTTCCGCTGCCACCGAACCCGCCTCGGCCATGTACAGGAGCAGGAGCAGGAGCAGGAGCAGGAACAGGCTCCGGGTCATCAACAGTTTGTGGTCCAAAAATACCGGTTGACATATAATCGTATTCACCACCGGATCTCCGGCGCGGGACGCCCATGTGTGGATATCCGTTGTCACCAACAATGGCTTTACTGGACGACACGGGAGCTGGGTCGTCGATGACGGGGTATGACGATGTCATGTTGTTGCTAGTCCATGGGTTGGCCGAGTATATGTCGTATGGCGTGTAGTCCTGAGAGGTGCGGCTTCTGCGAGCGGCTGCGGCTCCACCAGAACCGATAGCGCCGAGACTGCTACGTTGTGGACTGCGGCTCGGGAGGCGGTGGCGCGCATCTGATTCCGTGTAGCTGTCAGGAAGAAGTTCGGTTGATAGCGGACTGGGAATGGCTGGTCGGTGGATGTAGCTGTGGATGGCGGATGGCGGTGCCATGGTGCCAAGTGCACTGTTACGGCGGCTGCGTGTTGTGGGGGTTGGTGGGATCGTGGATGGATCTGGATCCGAGTCCCGCCGCGGATTGTCTGGCCGACTGGGCGGAGGGATGCTCTGAGGGGGAGATGGCTCCGTTAAGCCTTCGACGTATGTGTCGCTCGATGAAGTCGAGAGGTCGTGTCCAGGACTAGGAACTTCGCCGTTCAGTCGATGAGGACTCCGACTGTAACCGCGATTGGACCCCTGGCTATGTCGACGAAGATCGCTGTTGCTGTCACCACTGCTACTTCTCGATCGACGTTTGTTGGTTTGATGATGTGCTATTGCGGCTCCTCCAAGTACCCCTGCAGCTAGCCCGCCTGCGCCTATTGCCATTGCGTTTCCGTGATGGCCCCCAACTTCCGGCTCATCATATAGGTGAGGAGAGTACTCTTGGTCAAATGCGGCGTTGGCTCTGGCTGCGTCGCGATGGAAACTACGGCGTGATTCTCCACTGCTTCGAGACGGTAGCTTGTTCAGTGACTCCATCTCCGCCTCTGGCTCAACAGGTGAGATGGGTGAGACGGGTGAATATGGCCATGGCTCGCTGTTATTGACATTGTTGACAGGGACTGGTTTTCTGGTTATACTTCTTGGTCGCGAGGGAGGGAGGGGTTCAGCTTCGGGAGGAAGGGCCCCGTCGTCGGCGACAAGGGTCTTTTCATCATCTTGCGCTTTGTGGTGATGCATCAGCCCAGCACCTACCGCGGCACCCGCGATCCCAGCGGCCAGGGCTCCTTTCTTGTGTGAGGAGCTGTCCGAGCTTCGTGACTCACTCAACCGATATCCAGTGCCGTCCTCCAAAAAAGGCTCGTCGCGCGGCACCATTCCATCTGTTAATCCTGCACGAGAATTCGGTGCGGATCGTCGAGGTGGCGGTGGGACGGGAACAAAGGGATTTTCCTGAGAATTGCGTCTGGCACTTTCGGTCATTAAGGGTGCACCGTGATCACCTTGGTCGTGATGGAAACTGTCGAAGCGGCGAGCCTTGCGGACTCTCCAGCTTTCGATATCTTCATCCGCAGGAGACAAAGCGCTATGTCGAGGCGAGGTGTTGAGGTGTCGCCTGCGCTTCCGACATAGTACTATTGCTAACAAGAAGAGGCCAAGTGCAAGAATGCCGAGCACGGAACCGAGAATGATAGCTAGCTTGTGGTGACTATTGTTTGAAGTTCCTGAAGAGGCAGCTGGTGTGGGTGTCTCCGCCGCAGCTCCCTGTATCGAGGACGTAGGAAGTGAGGTCTGTTCAATTGAAGTCGACAAGGCGGTGCTGGACGAGGAGAGTGTCACAGGAGAGGTTGAGGACGAAGTCAAGTCCATCGAGCCGGATGCTGATATGGTCGAGGTGCTTGATTGACTGGTCGAGTCTGCAGTTGAGGCTGAACTTGAGCTCTCAGGCTCGGAAGAAGAACTCGAGGCTGTGGTTGACGCTGGCGAGGACGGTGTCGTGGTAGCCAAAGACGACGCTGGTGTAGCAGTGGCCACCGACACAGCTGACGCGAGCATTGATGTGACTTGAGTATAGACCGATAGAGCATCCGATATCAATTGATCGATAGGGTCAGAAGAGCGAGACTGCGCTGCCGCTTGCGACATGCTCGCAGCGCAGACCATAATCTGAAGTACCTTCATTCTGGAGGTTATTTTGTAGGTAGATTATGCTGTAAGTGGCACTCAGGTCGCAGTCAACCGCTGAAGCGATGCCTCAGGGAGGATTGAGTGATTGTTTGTAGCAACATCAACCACTCACTGTTAATTATATAGCTGGGAATGAGAGATAAAAGATAAGTGATAGTTAGCAGACTGAGATCACCAGATTCATTCACAGGGAAGAGATGGTAGAGATTCACTGTCCAGGAATTGCAGACCCACGAGATGATATTCATTGTAGGACTCGCTCATCTGACCAGGCCGATATCAACAGGGTCTCTCCCAGGGTACGCGGCTTGCATGAGTTTGGTCGGCACTAGAGTACCACGGCAGGGGAGGAATCAAGGAGGGAAACCCTGTGAGAATCAATCCGTCTAGGATCTCGAACCATGACTCCGACTTTCGAGGACTGGGACGCAAGACGATTTGTTCCCTTTACACCGAACATCGTGGCATCTAGGATTCAAGTTGCGCCTAGCTGTAGCCCAGTAAAAGTCTTGTGGTATGAGTGGTCGTTGGTTCAAGTCTAGATGGAGGTCTAGACGATCGCATGCAGGGACGTTAACATCATCATGTTGATTGGCCGATGGTGTGGCTGTGTGGCGGTGCTTGTGGCGCTAAATGTATCTGAAGTGGCGAATTTGTTCACCCAAAGTCGAATTTGCCGACGATTGACAAGATCACCATGTATGGTCCAACTGCGGTTTTCTCGAGACGAGGGGGCACTGGGGAATTGCTGGGTTGTATGCGTACAGGATTCGCGGATCTCATCCGAGTTGAGTGCTGTGTCCAACCAGAGCAACCTCAAGATATCGTGATAGTCGTACCCCAGGGGTCTATCCGCCATGATTTATTTTTAGACCTCCAGGTTTCTTCTTCGAGAGCCCGCGTTCCACAGGCATACTGTCTAGGCGGATGTACATCATTCATAGTGCTTCAATGACTGATGAAGCCAATGCTGGACTCACCGCAGGACGTAGATCGAAAATCATCGTCCGGTTGTGTTGACTCACGTGACCAAAACAGCTGACAGCAGGAGCGTGCCGGAGTCCTTACCTCAGACAAGGAGTGTGTGACATCATGGCATGAGATTATTGCTGAAACTCAAGACAATTGTGCAGTAGTCCAATTGTCAGATGTGTAAAAGATTCCACAGTCCATGACTTCATTCATGTACATAATGAACTCAAGGTAATGTCAAACAATCAGGTGGCGGATGTTATCTCCTATCTCTTATCAGGCCCATGACCAGAGTCAGCAGCACTTTTGGTGTTTGGGAATGAAGGTATGGCCCAGGTCAGGTGATCTTGCCTCTGACCGGACACCGTTGCCAAAACTGAAATGTCGTCCTGTGCCTACCTAATTTATGCAATGGTGTCTCCACTTGCGGCTGCCAATAGGGCTTGGCAGACTGATTATTGGCTAAGCTGTCAAACAGACTCTAACTAGCGGGTGATGGGCGTTCCATCCGAGGAGCCTAATCCGTCGTGCTTGGATCCACCACTCCACTGTTTGTCAAACCTCTGGATGGAAGTTGGCGGTTCCAGGGCCACCTTCAGGGCAATGACTGGGCGTTGGGAAGGCGTCCCGTGGCGTGGTGACTGGTCTGAGGTCTCGCCATGCCGCAGTTGGCTACCCACTCGGCCTTCCCTGACACGCACACCCACACCTCCCGACTTCCTTCCTCCCTCTCCCTCTCCCTTTCCCTTCTGCCTCCTCTCCCTTCTCTCTGCTTCTGTGCCCGACTCGTTCTTGCCTCGCTGGCCTCCCTGCCGCCGACTGCATCGCTCCTGCCTGCACTCGAAACCTTACCACTCTGTTACAACAATTGTTCTTTTTATTTGTACCACTTCACCTATTGCAGTTGCTCTTTCTACCACGCATCGCTTTATTGCCACCCTTCTTCTCCCATCCTTTCTACCTTAATTCTCCTTCTAATCGCTTTGGGCCATTTCGACCTCCTCGTTATCGCCACTTCGGCCTCTGACAAACCCCGGAGTCCACCCATCCATCACTCCCGTCATTCCTTCCAAAGCAATCTCTCCTTGCAACGGCTCGACGACGACCTCGATTCTGTTTCCAAATCTTCTCAGTCTATCCCTCTGAAGCGCTGCGCGCATTTTTATCTATCCACCTATTCCCTTGTAATCCACGTCTTCTCCATCGGTTAGATACGTCTCCATTCGCTTCTAACAGCGAATCAACTTGAACTGCAACACTACTATCCACCTCAACATCACCTCGCCCAATCTTTACTTGTGTCTTGCGTGGACTGCGTCGCGCACGGGTTGGTCTTCAAATATCACTGTGAGCGCGTGAAGAATCTCCGGCGTCATCGCTGTGGAGATTTGAGACATATGGCTGTGAGAGACTCTACTTTCAACCGGTGAATCAGACTCGTTCTTGTCCGCACATGGTAGGGCAACCTATCGCGGCAAGAGCTGACCAGCAACAACAAACAATGTTGCGCCTTTTGGCTTGGACAGGCTGTGATAAGATTAACTCTCCAGAAATGAGGATGTTTGTCCCACACAAAGATTCACCCGGTGTACCAGAGTTTGATCATAGTCTTGCCCCGTCTTCACTCAAACGCAAGCAATCACTCGATCACCGGTCACAGCCAGACAGGAAAAGAACTAAACTACCAGAGAATGGTGTTCGTTCTCCCTCCAAACAACTTTCTGCCGTTCCCAACAATCCTGCCTCATCTACGCCATCCCCGGCGCCCTCGATGTCCATTGAAGGCACTACATCATTGCCGACGCCGCCTGAAGTGAAATCAGAGGAGTTAGAAATGGCCCGAGAATCGCAAAGGGTTGCTTCCGCTCCTAGTCGAGACTCAGTTCGAGACATCATTCAAACCCAGATGAGTCTTGAGATCTTGCTTAAACACAATGAGCTTCGTCTCATCGATCAAGAGATCGCCAAGGCCCAAGTTGCTCTTGAACAACTCCGCCGCTGTACAGAGATTCCTTATCCTGCCACACAGCAACCATCACTTGGGGTAAGCAATGGTACCGGTCCATCTCGTCGTAGCACCTACAAATCAACCCTACCTCAATCTCCTGCTCCTTGGGGTGTCACTGATGGTCCATATGCGCGTCATTACGCCCAATGGCTACTTCCTTCTCCCCGGTTTGACGGTGGGGAACCCGAGTCTTTCATACAAAGCACTGCAGGCAAATATCCCATGAAAAGCCGTTCCATGAGAGGTAGTTTTACAGACTCGCCCCTTCATGCTACAAATTCGGCGCGAAGCCAGAGGAGCGGTAAACTCACTGCATTGCCGGCAGGCTATGGCCAGCCAAAGGAGAAAGCGACAGGTCCGATGATCCTCAAGAGGAAGTCTGACGGCGTCCAAGTGAAGCTTGTCTGTCCTGATTGTGGTCGCCATGATTTCGGCAGTGCACAAGGTTTCATCAACCATTGTCGTATCGGACATGGGCGAAGTTTTGCAAGCCATGACGCAGCTGCAGAAGCCTGTGGTGAACCTGTCGAATATGACGAATCGGGTGCAATGGTTGGCGTAGAACCAGTCGTCACTCCTGTGACTGGAAACGTCCATCCATTAATTCGCTCCGCTAAATTGATGCAACCAGCATCGGCCCCTGTTGTTACCGCCCAAAAGACGGGTACCTCTCGTCAGAAGGCCAAAAATATCTCTCCTGATTTCAAAGCCTCGACTCTCACACCACACCTGTCCGACTTGGTTAAGAACAGTGGTTTAGGTATCGATCTTCAGGAAATGGTCAGTACTGCCAAAGAAAAGGTCGAAATCCCCGAACCAGAGAGCGAGGATGATGAATCAGAGGAGGAAATAATGGTCCAAGAAACCGCGCCAGGCCGACATCCCCAAGTTGCGGGTTCGAAGCAGCTTCACAAACCTGCCAAATCACCCATGTCTTCTCCAGCCCTGAGCCATAGTATCATGAGATCGACACCGACGCTTCGGGGAGGTGGAATACACCCAGGAGAGGTTACTCAACATTCGCCACCTCAGCAACGACTGAGCAATATTCCCATTCCGACACCGGAAAGTCTTCCCATCGAGTCACCGGCAGATCCGTCACCCATCAGCGAATCAAACCAGGCGCCTAGTCTAGTGGATGACGATGAGGAGTATGAGCCTCATTCACCCGATAGCAGCTCTGTTTGCGACGAGCATGATGTTGAAGAGGTCGAGTTCGAGGTACAAGACGATGAGGATGATGAAGATACTCGCAGCGTTCGCCCACCACCAGAATTTCAGACGAGCTGTGCTACAGCACGACCTCATTCGCACACAAGAAGACCGTCGGCCATTCGACGACAAGGCGAGGACAGAGAGGAAAAGCACGTGAGCTTTGTCAGCCCAAGTCCAGCTCGAGAATTGGCCATTCCTCGGCAAGGAGGTGATCGGAAGAGAAGAAGAGTTTGAAAGTGGGAGGCGAAGCAGGTATGCCTACTTTTGACGGCGAAACGTCGAAAGCAAGACAGACCTTGCGACCCAACCTTAGCCAATTTGCAACACGGCTTCAACCAATGAGGGCGGCTTCTCGTCTTTGTGATTGAGGGAAGACCGGAATCAGAAGTAGGAATAGCAGAGGGTTCGGGTTTAGAATGAAGATGGGGGTTGTGACAACATTACTGTACTGTACATAATTGCCTGTTTGCTGGATATCAGGCTGTGGGAGCGAAGGCTTTTATGCTTTGCAATAGATCTCATTAAGACTCAACTCAATACATGGAGTTTGTATCGACATGGGCCGTGTTGACTGAGCTGCAAGCCATAAAAGAAATTCTATAAACACATGCGATTGTGCATGTCGAACCAATCAGATTAATTAGATCAAGACAGTACAGAAAGAATGGTGTATATTAGCATGAGGTATATTTTCTTAGTCAATTCATGTAAAATCTTCCCTTCCTCTAGTGGCTCCTGTGCCAAATAGCAGCTGTTTAAGAAACTCAACCGGTCCCCATCCCATATGTCCCGGATCCCCGAGCGAAAGATAGACACAGCTAGGACAGTGCAGTTGTATTGCACTTCGTGTCTGGCTGACCGTTCATTCACCCCCTGCCGGGCTTGACAAACCCGAGGCATACATAATAAACTTCCCATCGGAAAACCCGAATGCCAATCCCCCACGCCTGGGGTAAAAACGCCTCCTGGTAATATAAACCCTAATCCACTCGATATACGAGTTGTCCCCATGTAAGTGTGACGGGGATCCGCCGCTCGGCTCCGTCTCGTAGAAAACGCACAGATCACGAGTCTATTCCGTCATCAAACCTAACAACCACCACCACCACCACCACCACCACCACCACCCACTCTAACGTATCTTACAAGGTGCGAGATGACACACCAATCGATGAGACCTTGAATCCCAATGATTCTAATTGTGCGACGTCAATGGTGTTGCGGCCATCGAAGACGTATTTGGGTCGGTCCATAAGGCTGGCCACGCGTGACCAGTCGATTTTCTCGTGCTTGGGCGTCTTAGGTTCGGCGTCCCGGGCATCTCGAGGTGGTGAGACGGGCGGTGTGATGAGTGTGGTGGTTGTGGTTGTGGCGGTGTCAACTGTCACGTCGGCGACGGCGGGGGCATCGAGGATGATCTCCTTCTCCTCCGTGGGTGTGTCGATGATCTCGGCGACTTGGACGATGGCTTCAGCCTTCTTGGCAGCTCCTGCACGAATGATGGGTTTCTTGGTAGTGAACATATCCCATTCGGTCAAGATGACGACACCGTGGGCATCTTGACAGGCGATATATGGGTCATCGCAGATGGTGACGCGGTCATCGTCCATGGTCAGGTGGAGATCTGACATGATTTGTTCTGGGCGAACCTGAGGGTCGAAGATGTGGATGGTGGCATTCTCGGCCAACAGTGAGTTGACCACGTCAATGGCTGCGCTCTCTCGAGTGTCACCGGTGTCTTTCTTGTATGCAAAGCCGAGGATGGCGAGCTTCTTGCCCACTAGATTGTTGTGCATGGACTTGACAATGCCGCGGACGAATCGGTTCTTTTGGTATTCGTTGACCGAGACCACAGCCTGCCAGTAGGCTGCTACTTCGGGCAGATTCAATGATTCGGAAATGTAGACCAAGTTCAAAATGTCCTTCTTGAAACAACTTCCGCCGAAGCCGACCGAGGCATTCATCATTTTGGGGCCAATTCGGCTGTCGAGACCCACAGCATAAGCGACGTCTTGAACGTTGGCCGAGACAGCCTCACAGATGGATGACAGGGCGTTGATGCTGGAAATTCTCTGCGCCAGCATGGCGTTGGCCGCAAGTTTTGACAATTCTGACGACCAAAGGTTCATGGTGATGATCCTTTCTCTTGGAACCCAGTTGGCATAGATGTCGACCAGCCCGGCGGAAGCAATATAACCAGACTGAGTCTCCAGACAGCCGACCAGAATACGATCAGGGTTGAGAAGATTCTTGATGGCAGTTCCTTCTGCGAGAAACTCGGGGTTGGACAAGACTTCAAAGTGGACGCCAGGTTGCGCATTGGCCATGAGGATTTCCCGCATGCTGTTAGCAGTGCCACAAGGGACTGTGCTCTTCTCGACGATGATGGTGTCCTTCTCAGCGGCTTGAGCCACTCGTCTAGTGGCGGCCTCCAACCAACCTAGATCTGAGGCCTTGCCGGCACCCAGACCAGTCTTTTTGGTTGGGGTGTTAACACCAATAAAGACGATGTCAGCTTCTCGGACCTTTTGTTCAATGTTTGTGGAAAAGAACAAGTTGGCCGGTCGGTCAGGAGTTCCATCTCTGGCAGGCTTGACGAGATCCCATAGACCAGGCTCGTAGACAGGAAGGTTGTCTGAGTTCCATGCCTCGATACGACGGGCGTCAACGTCGACCACCGTGACCTTTAGATGTGGTGCTTTGCTGGCAATCACCGCTGCACTAGGGCCACCCTGAAGAAGGTTAGCATATAGTGTAGACAAGATCAAGATAATTTGAACATACAACGTAACCTGCGCCGACACAGCAGATGTTGGTCAAAGGGCGCTTGTTCTTGATAGGAGGCTGCATAATGAGGATGTATTAATTATGTGGTGGGTGGAGGTTTCGGTATGGACAAGAGAGAGTCGGATAGAACGCTCGAGAGGAAGAAAAGAGAGACGAGGGTGAGTGAGTGAGGTTTGGTTGGCTAAGTTATGACTAGAAGTGGGTGAGTGTGGGTTATGAATCGGAGGATATACTGTACGGTATCAATGGCAAAAGGGATGGCGAGGAACAAACGACAACCCCTAAGGATCAGATCGGCCATGTGCCAAAGGCAGGGTATTGAATCTTGATGGAGACTCGCTGACCAGAAGGGGGTGGGACACACGGCATATTGCGTGGTGATGCAGGGAATCGACAATCGATACCATGTTCATTCGCGTGTTTGGGAAGGGCCAGAAGGAGAGGGGCCTTGGATGTATGGTGAGGGTGAGCTGAAAGAGCACGCTCAACCCTGCGGGTGAGATTCGAGGTGGATCGTGGGATGATTGAGCATGACAATCTCATGGTCGACAAATTTACCGGTCATCTTGATACGGCTAAGAGCCATCGATAGCTGGGGTTTAGTCGAGTGCTACTGAAGCGGCCGAGGGGCGTCAGTATCAAATTTGGCCCTGTCGATCCTTGGCGATGCAGACGGCAGCGGGTGGTACTGAGATGAGACTCTTCAGACTCGGGGGCAACTTTACGGAGGGGCTAGAGGATGGAGGCGAGTTCTACGGAGGACGGGTAAGAGGTAAGAGCCCTCGACCACTCTGTAACTGAACCTGAATGTGATGACGACTGGGAGTACGTCAAGATGTTGGATCCCGTTGGACCTGCCGGCATTGTAGTGCAAGCCACAAGGGGAGGCAAGAGCAGGCAAGAACAGGCAAGAACAGGCAAGAGGTTTGCAACGTCAAACCCTCTGGCATATTGGTTACTGGCCCCTCCAAAGGATCTGGATATCTACGGAGTAGGTACGTGATGTGATACTCATAGGCTTTGTGGCTTGCATACCTAGGTACGTACGCACGGAAGGGAGCGTGGTAGGTACAGACAAGGCTGAGAAAGTTAGAAAAGGACGGAGCCGGGACATGAATCTCCACCAGGCGTAAAGCAACCAGATCCCATGCCTACAGTTTTGTAATGGGCGTGAATGGGCAGCAGACAGCCGCCCGCCAAGAAATCCTTAGCAAATAACGCGCGTCTTGGCTGGAAGGAGTTAGGAAGTCTCATCTCGGAAGCAGGGGCGACCCCCAGTCCTTTGGCCCCGCTGTGCATCTCGTCCCTGACATTAGCAGATCCCGGAGACCAGGGTGCCTATCGAAGCCATTGTAGGCATTCGTGGTATTGATGCCCACTACTGGTGCCGTCATTTGCCTGCCTGGTGCCTACCTATCTAAGATTCTCTTTCTTGGACGATTGATGTCCACCTGCTCTGGCTGCCTGGTCGCGCCTGCCTTGTACCACAAGTTCAACCTGCCCCTTCCTATTGGAACTCCACGCAGGTTTTTTTTTCATTGTTCTCGACGGGTCTCGCCTCCAGGACAAACGAGCTTCTCTCGTCGATATCATCTTTGCCATTCTCCTCTGGGTTCGTTCGCTCAACTGGGGCTCTTGCTTCATTGTGGAGGCATGGGAGCCTCTATCAGCCGAAACTCATCATCCACACTGTCTTATCTCTCTCCGGCTCCGGCTGGCGCCCGCATCGCTTGCACCCCTCGTTCCCCCTTGACCTTTCCAAACAATAATCGCTGGGATTGTTCTTACCATTGACCCACCATCCCAGTCGCTACTAGTCCGACTCTGTAATTGCATTATTGTCGCCATCCTGCAAAACCCCTAGGTGGCTGCGAGCCCCCTGGGTCATCAATCCCAATCCCGCAGGACGAGGCATTTACCAGGCACCAGATCAGCGGGAACGCTTCATCTCGTCCCCTTTGGGAACTGGGCGTCGATTCCGGGCCTTGGTACTTTTGATTCGCCCACATGCTGCTGACCCTCCCCGCCGTCAGTATCATCGGATGTTTTTCTCTTCAACTTCTACACGGTCTTGATATCTTCGCCTTCTCCCACCAACCCATATATCCACACACACTTGAGCAGGGACAGCTTTGACCGCCAAACATCATTTCACCATGTTCTCAATAAAGCCGTCCAAAGCATGGGTCACCAGATTCTATCAGCCCACCACTGAAAGATCTATAGATCCTGAAGAGCAGCATTCGCTGGTATCTAAAGATGAACGAGACGAACGAGATATGTCTCTTCAATCTGACCTGGAAAAGGCAGAACCTCCAGCTCCTCCCCCGCAAAACCACGAGGATACTGTTGCTATCAGAGACAAACTCATTGCTCTGGCTGGGTACTTTCTTTGCAACATTGGCTTGACCATCTACAACAAGGCTATCTTGGGATCGGTAATGACAACTCGCCTTCTGGCTCAAAGTTGAGACTGACCATGTCATCTAGTTTCGATTTCCCTGGCTTCTCACAGCCCTTCATGCTGGATGTTCATCCATCGGCTGCTTAATTATGATGCAGCTGGGATATTTCCAGACAACCAAACTCACCTCAAGACAAGATCTGGCACTCATCGCCTTTTCCTTCCTGTTCACCATCAACATTGCCATTTCAAATGTCTCATTAGCAATGGTCTCAGTGCCCTTTCACCAAGTGGTCCGAGCAACCACTCCTCTGGTCACCAGTCTTCTCTTCCGAGTCATGTACAACCGAACCTTTTCACGCGCGACTCAATTTTCCTTGGTCCCTATTGTCCTCGGTGTCACGATCACCGTCTGGGGCAATTTCGTCTTCACTGATCTCGGCTTCATCCTCACCTTCCTCGGTGTTGTCCTCGCCGCCTTCAAGACCATTGTCACCAATCGCATGATGACAGGGTCGATGGCTCTGTCATTCTGGGAGATTCTGCAACGCATGTCGCCGCTGGCCTTTTCACAATCCCTCGTCTACGCCTTTTTCACCGGCGAACTCTCATCCTTCCGTAAATTTCTCTCAGAGGAGCTCTTGAATCCTGAATCCCCCAGTCGTACCTTTACCCCGACCATGTTCGCCTTGGTCATGCTGGGAAATGGCATGCTAGCCTTCGCCCTGAACGTCTCAAGTTTCAGCACCAACAAGGTCGCTGGAGCTCTCACGATGACAGTCTGTGGCAACATCAAATCGGCCCTGACCATCATTCTGGGCATTGTCTTGTTCAACGTGCACATGACAATGTTCCAATTGAGTGGAGTCTTCATCACCGTGGTCGGAGGTGTCATTTACTCGTTTGTGGAGCTCGATGGTAAGCGAAAGAAAGTCGCTCCACAGCAAAACACAAGTTCATAACCTGCAAGGAAACATTAGAAGGATTCTTTGGGAGGTGGATGTACATTTTTCGGCCATGACTCGATCTGGAATAATAGCCAGCCAGACGATCTTTATGTCAGCATACTCCTCATTTCTAGTACGCTCTATGTTGAATTGAACACAAGAATGTGAAACTACAGACCATGAAAACAAGCGCACAGTCATAATAGGTCGATCTATGTATGAAAGTCGTCATAGAAATTGATTCTAATGTCTTGATATAATTGAACAATCATAAGCCTCGCGACGCGAGCCATTATAAAACCACCCTGAACGCCTGCTCGCTTCTTACTATCAACAGTAAAACGAACTGAATTGATTTCAATCATCCTCCGCCGATGGCTTTCTATCCTGATCCTCGAAAAGATGCAACTGTTCTCTCTGCTTATCACCATTCCAATAGAGATAATAGACGGGATTCGTGAATTTGTCATGATCATCATTGAAGACATCTCTGACATCTCCACACAATTGGTCCCATTGAAGCCATTTGCCCGGCAAATCCTCATGATGGATTCGCGCACCCGCGATACCTTCAGAGAATCCCCAGTATTCATGTCTGGTATGTTCGTCTTTCGAAATCACTGCCAACGGCATCCGCCAAGATCTGGCATATGCGTCACTGAGTTTTCGGAGATGCGGGTGGAACCAGTTCTGTTTCCATTGGTCGATTAGACTAGTATCTTGATCCCTGCTGTCGCTGCTGTCGCTGCTGTTGTCATCGTCGTCGTCGTCGTCACTGGTATCTTCACTGGTGCTGTTATTGGCCTTGTTACTGTCATCATCAACAGACAATGTCTTCAGGGTCGCATGTCCAATCACCGCTGGAATGACACCTGAACGGACATTGGTATAGAGTTTTGCTTGTTCCCATGCCAGATCAGGAAACTCCTTCTCGCCCATATAATCCGGTGTCCAGTATGGTGGAGTGGAATGTCTGATATCCTGGCCAACTTGGGCAATATGCGTAGATCCCACTGCTTCGGCAACTGACTTGGCTGCGTCTTCTTGTGCAAAATCAATGAATTGGAATTCGGATTCTTCGGCGTCAGGGAACCGGAATAGTTCGCCGAGATAGTCGAGTCCAATGCCATAGTCGAAGACTTGGACTTTGCAGGTTGAGTTTGATGCTCCGGTTTCACTTGATGTCGTGGTTCCGTTTTGGGAACCGCATCCTTCGGTGGTGTTGGTGCCGCGAGGGTAGTTTCTCGGATGATCAGCTCGTCGTACCATGGAGGAGTTGTGGGCGGCAGTTTCTTGGCCATTGTTGTTGTTGTTGTTGTCTTGGGTTTCGGCCGTGAGGTTCAAGAATGGATGTGGATCTGAGCCATTCTGCGCGGCGCGAAGTAGTTCTCGGTGGTGTTCCTGCTTGGTGAAGATTTCTGTAAAGATTTCGTCTTCGGTCAAGTTTTTCTGCTTGGATAATTTGATGTGTGCCTGGTCGTAGAGGGCTTTGAGGCTCTTGACAGGTCCCATGATGCTGTGGGAACTGAGGTGGCGAGGTCGCAAGTTGATCTTGTCTGCATCGTTGCCATAGACATCCTCGGGCAATTCAGATGGTGGCACAATGGCGCATGCAGTACCATTCCCGCGCAACTGACATTCTCTTTGAGCAGAGAATATGACTTTTTGGTCGTATGGCTCGGAATATCGGGCCTGTATTCGTCGGTTTGCTCGAGCGTTGATCTCATGGTAGCGTTTGATCAAGACTTCTGGGCGAAGTTGAAACCAGGTATCGTTGCCGCTGGTGATGTAGACCAAATCGTCCGCACGAGATGCGTCGAGTTTGTTGATTTTGTTCAAGGCATCGAGGAGGTTGTCGACTTTTCGACGGTGGAAGCCGCCATCTGGGAGGTCAGCTTTGGTGTTGGTCTGGTTCCAACTGACTATTCGTGCCGCTGGATAGTTGAGCACACCGGCGGAAAAGAGCGTCCGGCAGACTGCTGGAGTTGGACTTTTCGCAGGAATGATGAAATGGAAGAACGACGAGGTGATGTTTGTCTTGACTGTTCGATCCACGAAAGGAGACTCAAAGTGCATGTGATTAACAAGGACGGTGGGTATCTGTGGTTGAAAGTATGTGAGGCCAATGAGTAGACATGGCAACAACCAGATGCCTCTCTGGAAGGCCTTGGTTTGCCAGAACATGGTCGACCTCACAATCTTTCAACGTCGTGGATTGTAGTCGACGAGCAAGCACGGCAAGTTACTGGACGCTAGGTCGACGACAATGTCGTTGATGATCATGTCCACGGGAGAGTCAAGTCTGAGTTTGGGGGCGAATCCAACGCATGGCAAGTATCTGGTATGGAGGAAGAGTGGACACACCTGATTGGAGTCCTGATAGTGGTAATCGATTGACATGCCGGCATCCTTAGCGGCAGACCATCACAGCACATGGGACACGATGGGCTATGCTAGTCAGGGGCGTCTGAGATTACCATCCACCTGACCTCCGCGCACACGTATTCTGGTGGAGATGGTCATCTTTTCCACTACGGAGCGGACGGTTAAAGCGCATGGCCAAGAAAATCTGGGATTTGCTTAGGATCTCTTAGTCTTGAGGCTCGAGTCGAGGATCTGCCGAAGCGAACGGCTAGGCAGCGTATCATTTTTATTGCCCCTGATGCATGCATGTATTGTTCTGCACTGGCGAAAATTGTGTGATTAGATACAGTAATACTGAATACTGACTCCGTATGTACGGAGTACTGTAGAAGGTCGAGTGCGTCACCATCTACGGAATAGCCGAACGGACCAAGACCGATGGAACGGCTGCCATTGCACAATGTCCGGGACGTACGACACCGCCTTTACTTTGCAACTGTCATTAAGAAGAAGATTGAAATACATGCACTCTCCCAACCATTGACGAACAGATTGTGTAACGATGTGGGAATGCGCGATAAGCCAAGGCTGCACCACAGCCTGATGATGACGACGCTCTGACAGAAAGAAGAAAGAGCTGTGGAAGTTGCACATGATTGCAGTTGCCTTTACACTTTCCTTCAGACACCGAAATGTCAGGGCAAGCAGGGGCAAGCCTGCGTACGCAGATCTTGGCACTTTCCGTGGCTGGCTGGCCTTGGCAATTCCTCATCCAACCCAGTGGAAGTGATTGTGAATCAATAATACGGAGTACATGGCCTTTTATTTTATTATTCAAGTTGCACGCGTTTGTATCACAGGAAACAACCTGCGGCGGCAACGGCAACGGAAGCCTACCACCCGCCTGCACCCTCCCCTTTAAATGACCAAGTACTTGTGCCTCGTCTTCACAACTCAATCTTATCTTCGGAAATGTTTTACATCAATAGCTTCAGGCCCCGGCATATGGCCAAGTGGATAGACTTTGGGCTTATCTGCCTTTCTTCCCATGCTTCCCTTTTCTCGGTACGGAGTAAGTTTCAAGTCCCCACTAAATCCTTGTCCTTGCAGCATGAAAGGTTCTCAACTTCAACTGTACCTGGAGCTAATTTGGGGTCCTCCCGGGCCTCCTGCGCCAAAGAACAAGGGAGATAGGGCTGATCTTTAATTCTTGCCATACAATACATGACAATCTTCGGGGCTGAGAAATTCATCTCCACCTCGCATTAGATGACAGGACTTGTGAATGACTACAGTATCTTAGTACATCGATCAACCACATGTGTCACCCCTAATGCGGTGTGAAGGGACAATGCCAGATTGCTGTCGGATGAAACGTCCCTCGTGCATACCATAGCTCCCATACGTAGACATGGAGATCCACAATTGTCCAGTGCACCCGGGTCGCTTTCGCCTATTGGCCCCTAGGAGGTTCGTAGGTTTAGGTGGCTGTTTGGGCGGCGGGACGGTACGCGACATCTAGCCAGGCACGCCAGACACCCGTGGACGCCAAAAAGACCAGGTACAGGATTCCTCCGGGAGGCTATCAAAGCCCATGAAACTGTAAACGCGCCAACGACGTGTACATCCACGCACCTACACACCCACACATCCCACTTTCTCCGTTTGCTCGTGTCTTTCCTAATCCATTCTTGGATCTCTGCTTCCGATCGTCCAATTTCCAGGGGCCAGAGACTAAGAGCCTCTGGAATCATTTTCGGTTACTGGCTCCTTGTAAGATACGCCCGCCATCGTCGCCATGTCCAGAACCCCTCTCCCCCCTTCTCGGTTTTTGTCGAATCCCTGTGCCGGCCGGGACCCAACGATTCATCCCATGGTCCATGGACATGGGCTACAGCCTCCTCATTCTCCCAAGACCAGTCATCGTACGCAATCAAGCAGTCGCCATGCCACTTTGACATCCCAGCACATATCCAGTCGAAGCATATCGTACACCACATTCATTCATTGATGTTTCTCGCCTGGCTTATGTCGTCTTTCCTCCACGAATTCAAAGTCTAACCACGACCCTCCACTACCCTACGACCACACCCTCGACTCCGCACTCTAATTCGGATCAACTTCCAGGACCTATCGTAGGCGAAGTCGAGTGTCCTTGCGCAATCAAACAATCGCCTTTATAATATTGGTCATGCTTCATCGGCCATTACCTGGATTGTTGTGAAAAGGTTCAATGCCTCCTCTCCAGATCGGAGGTGCCTGGCGGCGCCTCTTGAGAATAGGCGGTATCGTCGCCGTCGTTCTCATCATCACCACATTCCTGGTTCAGACCAAATTTACATCCTTTACTCCCTCCTCCTTAAGATCATACGCACACTCCAGCCCTCAACGATTACATATCCTCATTCCCGCAACCAGTGCCAATTATAATCTATGTCAACTCCTCATCTCGGCCGCCCTGCTAGGATATCCCGCTCCAGTCCTCGTCAATTGGGCCGATCACGAGGATGGCGATGAAATGAAACAGCACATTACTAAAATCACAGGTGTAATGAAGTACATCCAGGCCCTCCCTGAAGACCAAAAAGATGATCTCATCTTCATGCTAGACGGCTTCGATACCTGGTTTCAGCTTCCTATGGAATTCATCATCAAAAAGTACCACGAAGTCATGGCCAAAGCACACCTCCATCACCTACAAATCTTTGGAGCAGAACTCGTCAAGGAGCATAATATCAAAAACACCGTCCTCTTTGGGCCCGACAAGAGATGCTCACCCAACGGTCCTGAGGATCCTGGCTGTTGGGCAGTTCCACAGTCGTGGGTGGAGAAAATGAGTTTTGGTCCATTGACCGACAGTGGTGATTCCATGTATGATCGCCCCAGATGGTTGAACTCGGGTACCATTATTGGACCTGCGCGCGACTTTGCAAACATCTCTCAAGCAGCCCTCGACACCGTTGCCCGACATCATGTCACAGACTCGGATCAGTACTACTTTAGCAGCGTTTTCGGGACACAGTCTTATGCTCGCAAACAGCTCAAGCTCTCTTATGATGACGCCCATGGCATCAACGATACGGAGCTGGAAACAATACCTCCCCAAAAGCATCGATTACCAGAGATGAAGCCTGGAAACCGCACCGAGTTCTACATGGGTCTAGATTGGGAGTCGAGTCTCTTCCAAACTGCGGCCTACTACGGCGATTATGTTGCTTGGGTCCGCTTCAACACCACATCTGAGTATGTACGCAAGACATCTCAGTCAATCAATCCCCACCATCACTTCACTCTACCCAACAACATGGCCGGCTCCGGCCCAATGTCTGTCTCCGAAGCTCGACAGATAGATCCTGCACTGGCAAGCTGGTCGCGTCTACCACTCGCGGTCAACACGGTCACGAGACATGTCCCCGTCATCATTCACATCAACGGTAAAAAGGGATACAGATACCTGTGGTGGCCACGTAATTGGTTCTATCCTTACATCGACCAGATGTTGCACCGACAACGACAGAGCGGCCTGCGAAACTCTGGCGAGCAACGTGATGCCTTGGCCGGAGCCTGGACATTCAGCAATGGCACTCGAGGCTGGGTGGAATGGAACGATGTTTGTGCCAAGTATGAAAACAGGTTGATGGGCAAACATGTCCTCAGTGAATGAAAAGAGTTTGTTTGCTCCTGTCAAGACGGCGTTAATTTTGTACTTTGTATGATGAGCTACAGCGGCGAAATGGCGAAATTAAACAATAGACCCAAGGAACCTTGGAATGATTCTTGCTTCAACAATGACTTGGGGCTGGTTGGCCGTGTGATCCTAACCAACAAATACTTCTGATCTCAAACATCAAGGAAGTACAAGACCTCAGAGGTGTAGTTATACTTTGACCTTTCTTTTTTAGTCGATTAGTTGACAGAAGTCGACTTGTCACATTTTCTATGAAAGGTGACACTGACTAGAACATCGATCTGACAGGTCACGTACCACATTACTAAAGAAGACGTACGTGGTTGACGTCTTCAAGATCTGTCATATATTTGTGGAGAAGCTCCAAAAGACCGGATTCACTTCGGGTTACCCCATAGAAATCCAAGCACCACGCTGAGTCCTTCGACTTCCCACACCACAGCCATGACCGAATAACTAACCTGTCATGGAAAATTGAACGAGATAAGATGTAGATTGATTATGCTTGATATTCTCTGTGATGAAAATTGCATATGAGAAGGGAAAGGGGGGGGGGGGTGAGAGAACACTGGCCTACCGTGAAGAGGCGGGATTGAAAGTCAATCAAAAATCCCCCCACCACCTCTGGCGGGTTGTCTCCATCTTTAGACATTCAGGATCAGAGTCGAGAAACTTTGGAATTAATGCAGTCGAGGAGTTACACTCCCAAGTCTGAATCGATATACATAATACATAGCTTGGCATCTGTTACACGTGACTAGTCATGCTAGATCACGTGGAAACAGCCCAAACTTGACTCGACATATTCGTATCTACAGGTCTTCTGCATCACAAGCCATCCCAAACTCAGAGGAAGAGCAATTCGAATGAGGTCTAGACTGTGTGCTCTCTTGTAAATGAGATAATCGTACCACTCAAAGATGTAATCCTGTCGGCCTAATAAATGATCCGACAAGTACCGGAGACCGGAAGCACTAAATACCGAGTGGGTCAGGGGCGGCAGCCTTACAATTCGACCGTCATACTGTCAACACCAAAAACACTTTGCCATACTATCGCCATTATGCCCTTTAACTCCGTAATGAGCTAGAGTTGACACGGGGTTATGGTACATCTTCGACAGCAGGTGGAAATCTGTGGGATATCTCCGCAATTTCGAACGTTGTGTTGAAAGTTGACCAATAGCTTCGGTGAATGATGCTGTATCGTAACGTTAGTCAATAAACGAACACTTCCTCCAGTGATCCAAAGGTGTATATACTTCAAGAGTTGGACGCAACCAGCATGTGTTATTGTTTGGGGTCAAAGCGGACGGGGCAATTCAACCCCGAATGCCTGCTCCAATAAGACGGATGATACCACACCTTCGCAGAACTCTCATAACCCAGAACTGTCCATATCATACCATCCTGTTTCGACCTCGGTACAAATCCATGGCCTCGAGATGAGTTACCTCGCCCAGCGAAACTACAAAAGGGCATATTCGACGATCAAAATGGCAACCAAGGAGATTCCGACCACAATGCGTAGTTGGCAGTACACATCAACAGTGGGCGGCCTCGAGAAGAACCTGAACCTCAATGTTGCCCCATTGCCACAGCCAAAAGCCTATCAGCATTTGGTGCGAATTGTTGCAGCAGGTGTAAATCCAGCCGACTACCGGCTCTCGGAGGTTCAGCTCTTTCATCGATTGATGTTTCCCAAACCAGCCTCTCCTGGACACGACTTTGCTGGTTACATTGTCAAACCTGCAGCAGGATCGACACTCAAAGAAGGACAGCTTGTATTTGGAGGTGCTGGGGACAACTTCATGTACGGAGGATCAATGTCCGAGTACGGAGTTGCAAACGTCACTTCCACGGCAGCCATTCCTCCAGGCCTGTCGCCAATCGACGTAGCCGGCATTCCAATTGCTGGTCTGACAGCATACCAATCAATTCTCCCACACTCAAAACCAGGCTCAAGAATCTTTCTCAACGGCGGTTCTGGAGGGGTAGGAACGTTTGGGATTCAAATCGCCAAAGCCGAAGGTCGGCACGTCACGGTGAGCTGCTCGACGGCGAATATCGATCTGTGTAAATCTCTAGGGGCGGATGAGGTTATTGATTATACCACACAAGATGTGCTGGAAACGCTCAAGTCATCGCCGCAAAAATATGATCTCGTGGTGGATTATGTCGGCAACGGCCAAAACCTCTTCTGGCACGGGCATGAATTCACCACTCTTGATGCCAAGTTCGTCACCGTGGCAGTGAGTCATCATTTCAGCCTGATTTGGTTCATTGCAAGAGCACAATTCTTGCCAGGCTTTGTTAGCGGCGCAAAGAGACAGCATATCACCGTCTTTGGTCAGCCAAACGTAAAAGACCTTGAGCAGATGGCTGCCTGGATGGTGCAAGGCAAGGTAAAACCCATCACTGACTCGACATTTGAATTTGAGCAAATCAAGCAAGCATACCAACGAGCGAAGACGGGTCGTGCCAGGGGTAAAATCATTATCACCATTGCGCCAGAGGAGAACCAGAACCCATAAGCAGGGAACGGTCTCCAGTGGGGAGAGTCACGTGCAAACACAGGCCTCAATCTGGCGAATAGAGACTTATCTCGAAAGGATACCATGATCCGAATCGAATCGAACTCGGACATTAGAATCATCATACTTGGCTGAGAAGTCGCAGCCTGGTACCCGAGCTAGTGGGAATATGCCCGCGCGATCCTGTAAGGATGATTGACCCGTTGGGTGTGTAGAATTCTCCCAGAGAGTGGGTTTGGATACAGACATTCATGCTCGAGCTATGGTAGACAATGGACTCTATGAGCAAATTGGATGCGTTGAAAAAGCTGAGTAGAGGTGAGGTAGGGTAAATAGAAAAAGAGAAGGGTGGAGGTATGAAGTGGTGGTCGATGGGGTTTTCAAGTGGAAGGCTCGACCCCGAGACGCACGTGAGCTGCCGTGGCTGCCCACAATTTTGCGTGTCTTTCTAGAGCCAATGACGCAGTTCCAACATAGAAAGTCGAAAGTCGAAATCCTTCGCTGGCCTTCTGTCCCGCAGGTGTCACTGTTTCTATGTCCGCGCCCACTTAAAATAAGAACACTACACGCTCGTTTATGGTCATCCACTGAACCTTGAGTACACCGCAGACCTCTCTACCTCTCGAAGACCTGCCAATCGCTTCTCCCTCGACACCAATTTGTGCGGCCTGATATTCTTCTGCCTGGGGCAGCATGGCGCAGAAATGCGTTCACAAGGGCTGTGGGAAGGTTTTCACTGATCCTGAAGAGGAATGTGTCTACCACCCAGGTCCGCCAGAGTTCCACGAAGGTCAAAAAGGTGAGAGCAGCAGGCAATCCTCGACTCCCAATGCCCGCGCCGGCACTTCACTAACTCGCGAATACAGGATGGACATGCTGTAAACCACGAGTCCTTACCTTTGACGAGTTCCTAGCAATTCCTCCCTGCACCACAGGTAAACACTCGACTGTCGACGATGCCCCTGTAGCGACGACACAAAAGCCTGCGGTAGACGAGGCTCCAGTTCCAGTGACCAAACCCATCAAACCCGAAACCGTCGCTGCACAGCCGCAAGCTGTACCGACGCCAGCGACGAAGCCTGAGGCGCCACCAGACGAGTCCGATGACCCTGATGCAGAAATCCCAGCGCACGCCAACTGCAAACGGAGAGCGTGCGGCAAGTCGCGGGACAGTGGCATTGCCAGAGACGATGAAGAGTGTATATACCACCCTGGCGTCCCGATCTTTCACGAGGGCAGCAAGGGCTGGACATGTTGCAAACGACGAGTGCTAGAGTTTGACGAGTTTATGAAAATCGAGGGCTGCAAGACGAGAAAGAGACATTGCTATGTGGGCAAGAAGAAGAAGCCTGCCGTCGATGGAGCCCCAGCCGACCAGGAAGACAAGTTATTGACGGTGCGGAATGACTTCTACCAGACACCCACCAGTGTCATTGTCAGTTTCTACCTGAAGAAGATTGACAAGCAGCGGGCAACCGTTGATTTCGCACAGGATGGCCAAACCATCGATTTGGATCTACCTACAAGCGACGGAAAGCGATTTACACAGACAGTGCCACTGTTTGCACCGATTGATTCGGAAAAGAGTTCGTTCAAGATCATGGGAACAAAACTAGAGATGATTTTGCTCAAGAAGGACGGGTCTAGTTGGCCGACCCTGAGGAATGATGAGCAACCCACAGGCGAACGCATTCAATTGGGAAAAGCCGGACGAGCATAAAAATGACTGGTCAACACATGACAACAATTGTAAACTCAGATAGGTAGATGTAGAACAAAGAATCGGCAGCTTTGACGGCCAAATCAAATCCTGTTCAAGCAAAATCCGTTCCAAAAGCACTGTCAACTGTGTGTCTCAACTCTTTCTTTCACTCTCCTCTCGCCTGAGTTCTTCTGATTATTTGCATCATCAAATCTTCATACACATTCATCTCATGAAACATCTTGTTGGAAATATAATTGTAGCATCTCCTCCACGATTACGAGCCATGGACTAGCCAGACGTAACCATAATGTGATTGGGAAAAAGGAACGGTGCCGCGGTGAAGCCTGTTCTGCGAAGCCGGGAACGGAAGGAAATCCATGGTGTTGATCTAACATGTGAATAACCCTCAGCAAGCCACCGTAGTGGAGCTCCGAGTAAGTGTTTACATAGGTAATGTAACACCTCTACTGATGATGAAGAAGAGGAAAAAAAGAATCAAGATGGGAAAAATTCCTAGTTGGAGATTTTGTAGGCTGGGCTGGGTGCGGTAGAGCGCATCTCAGGGTTGCTGTGCTGCGCCGGAGCAAGCTGCGAGTAAAGGCTTGGCATGTTTGATTTGGTTGCCCTCTCTCTCTCTCTCTCTCTCTCTCTCTCTCTCTCTCACAAAATGTCAGGGTTTATTGGTCACATGACATTTGGCCGAGTGGTTAAGGCGCTAGATGTCGTTGCGCTGAATGAAGCGGATATTTCCTTTTTAGGTATTGTTGCTCAGAAGTTTGCTCTTTTCGGCAATCTTTCAGTGACGTTGGCTCTGGGAAGTGAGTGGTTCGAACGTCCTGACTCAACCACTCACTTCCCATCTGGTATCTCCCTCTCCTACGAGATCATCGGCGCGAATCCATAAATGGCGTTTCTGGTCAGATTGGGCCTTGAAATCTCCTCTGGTCCCACCGAACCCGTCAAAGAAAGGCTCATTTGTCAGTACAACCGAGGACACTGCATCTGATTTCCAAGGATCACTCTTACCAAATCCTTCGGTTCACATACGTCCGTACTCGTGAGAGATAATGGTCATATAAAGAGCCATGTCCATCGTTGGGGAAGGAGAAGAAGAACCTCTTTACTCATTCACTTTCTTGTGTACCATCAGACTTGACTGTCCGCTTCCGACTTTGATTCTTCAGTATAGACAATAGACAGCATCCTTTATCCCATATTCATCTCTTGACCAACATGTCTGCCGAGACCGCGGTTACACTGTATGTTGACGCATCCAACGGTGTCAAGTATGCATACCGTCGCATCGGTGCCAATGCTAGCATCCCGCTGGTCATGCATATCCACTACCGCGCCAACATGGATCTATGGGACCCACTGTTCATCAACACCCTCGCCCAGACGAGGGAGGTTATCATATTCGACAATGCCGGCGTGGGCCGAAGCACCGGAGAAGTGGCAGAGACGTTCCAAGGCTGGGCGGACCAAGCCATCGCCTTCATGGAAGCTCTGGGATTGAACAAGGTAGATTTCCTCGGATTCTCTATGGGCGGCATGGCAGCCCAGCTTGTCGCTTTGACCGTACCACACCTCGTCCGCAAATTGATCCTAGCCGGCACGACAGCCTCGACCCCGAGTGCCGAACACGTCGATGGAGTCGTCTGGCCACGTGAGCAGGCTCCATCTGACGTTTTGATGGCGCTCAGAGACGCGTCAACTCCAGAAGAAGGGGCCAAGTCTCTCGAATTTTCCTTCTTCTATCACGACAGCCATGGTCGATCGAAGTTTGAAGAATACTGGAGACGTTTGCAGGAGAGAACGGCCGAGCCTCTGCATCTGGAGTTACTGGACCGTGATGGAGGAGCCAAAAAGCAAATGCTGGCAGCTGTACACGCGTCCACGCCTGGCCCTTCAGGTTCATTTGACAGACTCGCGGAGCTCAAGATGCCGGTCCTGGTGGCAAACGGGGATAAAGATCTGTTGATCCCATCCAGTCGTAGTTGGGAGCTGGTCACCCAAATTCTCAATGCCCAGTTGGTGATCTATCCCAAGGCTGGCCATGGATTCATTTGGCAATATGCAGAGCTTTTCGCCACGCACATAAACCGGTTCCTTGACGGGTCAGAATTCGATGACAACTTGTCTGCCAAACTCTGAGTGGCTGGCGTCATCAGGTGGCACGAGAGCATAGAGAAATATCACCATAACTCGTTCCATAAGATCCTTCCGTATTCGTCGTGAATTTCGTCTATCCACATGATGTCTTTGAGCTGCAGTTTGAGTCGATACCAAGAGTTAATCCCCGGGTGTGCGGCCAATATTTCTTGAGTTTTCGTCCTGTACCAGGTGCGCTCCGAAGTAGCATCAGATATCAACGCTCCCATGACCTGAACCCATATCAGTAAAGCTGGCGGCAGATGATGGCTTTTTATTAACGACTCCAAGGACTTATGCAGTGCGTCTGACATGACTTGTGAGGCGGGCTGGGCGAACGGGTTTGATTTCGTGACGGGCTGGAGGAAGATTAACGCCGATATGCTCAATACCGTCTCCACTGGATTTGTAGCTACGTCGATGCAAGCAAGAAGACGCTGCTGAACGCCAACAACTTCTTCATCGAGAATCAATGGGTCGAAAGATATCTGGGTATTGATGGCCTCTGAAATGGCCTGTGAGAGCTCGGAAAGGTTGACAAGAATGATCTCAAGTGGCGTAGATACCCCGGTTTCATATAGTAACTTTTGGAGACTTTGTGAGGCTCCTGTCTCAAGCTGTAGAGTTTCGAAGAGAGATGGTCCAACAGGTGAAAGCAAAGGTAGCTTCGGCTGACCCAGAGTTTCGACGGATCCAACAATATCAGCACTGAAGGGGTTCAATTAGACTCGATTCTGGGTTCGATGTGACTGGGGATTCAAGTTATTACCGATATATCTTAGTGAGGAGCTCTCGCCGAATGGAAGCAGTGCCTCCTCTGACTCGAATCATCTCCGACATGCCTGTGATATGCACTGCCCACTGACGGTTATTTCCCACCATATGCTAAGACATGTTAGCATCGTCTTTTTCTTTTGGCCAAGGAAAGGATAGAATGCTACCTCGCATGACGCTAGGCAGGAGACCGCCCCAATCGTCGTATCTGACAGCTCTCGGTCCCTCAGCCTTCGATTTAATTTATCAAGAATCACTTTCATGATTTGGCGTGAACCTTCGAAGTCAGGATTTCGGGATGCACTATGGAGATGCAGCGCAGAGGAAAAGAGTATGGTATGTAGAAGAACTTCGTCATGAACGGCAGCCGGTAGCCAGAAGTCTCCGAGAGGATTGTACTTGAAGTTGAGGTGTTTGCTCATCGGATAGAGAGATTTGGCAAGACGAGATGGATCTGTGGGTGGTCAAGATTAGCTTTGAGGATGGATGAGATGGTTATCTTGCGGGATGACTGTAAGAAATTCACGTACAGTAACCCAGATAGCTTTGGAAACCCTGGACTTCTGAGTCGATTATGGCGTATAATGCACCAGTTGAATTGCTCAAGGGGCTTCTGCGTACTGATGATCGAGTTGCTGATCGTGCCAGGCGAGTACTCTCTGATTCATGGGCATCACGGGCAGTTTTGTGAGACGGAAAAGGCCCTCCAACGAGATTCGTAGCATGCGGGTGGTTTGCAGGTTCCGAACCAGGAAATGCATTCTTGTTTGCGTTGCTCGCGTTGCCTTTGGAGGATGTGGTGGGTTTGTACTCGACAAATTGCGCGCGAAGATGTCGTGACTGCCTTTTGGCAGGATGAATAACCCGTGCTTGGCCCGCCGCGCGCTTTCTTGATTTGGTGGTCGTTGCTGCTGGCTTGGTGACGGTCAGATCAGGGACTCGTGATGAACCCACATAGGACTTTGAAGTGTGTGCAAGTTTCCCTTTGCGTTGCCAGCTTCGGTCTACCAGAAGCAAAGGCTCTGACGGGAGTATAATGGCTTCTTCTGCCATTGTCAACTGGTTACCGACAGTTCCGGTCACTGACAAAGGGCCATTGGCCAAGACAAGGGTGGGAATGACGATTCAGAGTCTGCTTGAAGTGTTTTTGTGTATGCAGTTCATGTAGGAGCCCAGGGTCATAGATGAATATGATTTATGGTAGCTGGCAAGGTTGTTTCTTATCAAGATGGTGAGATGGTGAGATGGTGAAGTGGACATGTCATCTGGTCGTTGCATTTGTCATTCATTTTCCGTCTGTGCACTTCGGCTGAAGCGGTACGGCCCCGGGTAGGTCAGGGTCTCAAAGTCACACATTCTTCTTAGTTTTTAACAGGTGATTTGCAACAGGGTTCTATGCGTATATTACTTATTGAATTCGTGTCCTTCATTATATAAATGTCGTATCCTTAGGAATATCGACTAGATTAATTGGGCGTGAGCGCCCTAAGCATGCTTGGTCTTGTAGCTCCAGTCTCGGCTATCTCGCCTACCCCACGACTCTCCATCTATCACCCCAGCCAGCTTTCCCAGTCAAATCCGGTGACGCTTATTTCCCGTAAATGAGCGACATGATTGCAGCATTCAATGAGCCAAAGTAATATGCTCCGATGATTCCTGCGGTAAGCCTTGCGAGTCGACGGTATTTCGGATCGGGGATTAATTGTTCGTCGATGTCTTGGATCAGGAATGCCCCGCCGTAGACTAGGATTCCACTCAAGGTACCGATAGCGATGCGACCAGCGACTGTTTGCTTGTTGACTATCCCTGAATAAAGCAGAATAAGGCTTATCAAGGGCGGCAGGACGACCAAGAGAATATGGAAGTAGGCGAGCGTTGTGTAAATGCTGAAGCGGCTTGAATGAGCATCCTCATGTTTTTCTGACTGGGTCTGTCATCTCATCAGTACAACATCCCGCCAAGAGTGGGCTGGGGAGAATACCCGCAATGTTAGATGATCGTCTGTATCTGTGGAAGCGATCAGTGGCTGCTTCTCCAGATCGTGATGAAAGGCACTTTGATGCATGGTGTCTGTTACTGTTGTCGCAATGAAAAATCAGAGGCAAAGAAAAGAAGAGCGGCAAGATGGAAGCCAACAAAAAGTATCTTATGCAGCAGCTGCCAGGCTTTTGGTCAAAGCTCGCGGGGGCCGTTTGCGGGTATGGAAGGCACAGCCTGAGACGGGATTTCCATTATTGAAGATGTGGGGCATATATTGAATCTAGTTTCTTGGCAGTGCGTCATGGTCTTGAACCTTCAAATATCTCACGATCTGTATCTTTGATGGATGAGCTGTGATTAGTGAGAGAATTTGGTGTAGACTCATTCAAATGCTGGAGGTACCTGAAGCCAACAACAATGTGGACACTCTCTATGTTCAAGAGAGATTTCTAACGAAGTCCAGATCTGGGTGAGACAAAAGCCGACTCCTCGAATAGCCGAATCAATCAGCAGCCACCTGCGCCAATTGCAGAATGCTCGACCGAAGCAATCCCACCCTTGAAGTCTCGTGACTCAGCGATTCCTCACACTCTCCTCTTTCCTTTGCTGCAACTCTCCCGCTGATGCAACATTGCCTTTATCTTCGTATTTCCCCGCCTCAACCAATCTCTATGGGATTGGCCCCAGGTCCATTCTGGCTTTGCTACAATATCTCCGGCCACCGATTCGTTGGCCCGACCGTTTTCCAAGAGTTCTTCCCTATGATGGTTTAAGCACTTCCAGGCTTCACGGACAAGCTTTTGGCTGATACCGCCACAAGCCCCATGGCCTTGTTCAAGAGATGATTCTACCTACCTTCGTCCAAGTTGCGAACCCAGTCAACTATGGGGAGCCATCTCCTCAATAATGGCGAAACCAGGCCTCTTCTTGGTGAGTCTTCTCACCGGCGATCATCCTCTGGTAAGTCCACCGGTTCTACTCCAACTTCACAAAGCGAGCCAATCCAGATCTCGGACTCTATCAATACCCAACCATCTCTGGCAACCAGTCATGGGTTCTAGAATGGCCCTCTACCATTTGGGATGTTGTTTCCTCCGCCTACATGTCTTCTTGATTGTGCATCAGGCCATGTCCGTTGCTTCGATTCGCCTTCCTTATCATGTTTCCTGCTAGACCTTGTCTCTGCCAGTCTACATATATCTAGACATACTTTGGAGGTTCCAACTCTATTTTGCCGCATAGTTCTAGATACTCCTCCCAAACTCCTTTTCTCGCCTCGTACTAACAATGGCACCCATAGACTCGGACAAGGACATTGAGGACAGGAAGGACCCGGCGGCTCTGATCGCTACCGCCTCTATTGACGACATCAACGCCGAGGCAAGAGTAGCTGCCGACGAAGAGCATGGACATACCTTCTTTGAAGCCGCCCGGCTATACCCTACCGCTATCGGTTGGTCGTTGTTCTTCTCTCTCGGTGTCATCATGTAAGTTTACACAACGAAGAGGTGGAAAATATCTCATTATCCAAAAGGTGCGCCTTTGACCCACAGCTTCTCGGTCAGCTCTATGCCACGCCTGCGTTTCAAGTAAGCAACCACTTAGCAACAACAGCCAATGATTTCAGGACTGACATGTCTAAGCGTGACTTTGGCTACTTATACGACGGTGGCTACATCATTTCAGCGCCATGGCAGACCGGCCTATCAATGGGTTCGCCTATTGGACAGGTTGTTGGAGCCCTCTTTGCTGCATATCCCATGGAATGGTATGGCCGCAAAAAGACCTTTGGTGCATGTGTCATTTTGACTTCAGGTAAGAGATGAGTGCAAGACCCATATGAAGTAATGCTCAGTCGGTCCAAAGCTTTCATTTTCATTCAATTCTTCGCGCGCTCCCTCCCAGTGCTTCTTGTCGGAGAACTATTAGGTGGCCTGGTCCTCGGCTGTTACGCCGTCATTGCCCCTGCCTATGCGAGCGAAGTGTGCCCGCTTGCCCTGCGAGGCGTACTCACCAGCTGCACCAACATCTGCTTTGTTACGGGCCAATTATTGGCGAATGGAGTGAACGCAGGTACTCACGTCCTAGATAGCCACTGGGCTTATAGCTTGCGTAAGTCTTCAAGTGCTCTATTCTCCCACTGCGCAGCCCATCCAGAGCTCAATATCAGCGCGGAATTTCGAACCATAAGCTCACATTTGCAACCTTGCAGCATTTGCCGTCCAGTGGGTCTGGCCAGCAATCATCCTCGCCATCTTGCCGTGGGCACCCGAAAGGTAATTCCCTCGACCTTGTTGCGAAGACTACAGGCTGATCCACTGAGCAGTCCCTGGTGGTTGCAACGCAAAGGCCGATTTGAGGATGCAGAAAAGTCCCTCCGCCGTTTGGCATCCTCCAAGGTCGACATCAAACCAACATTGGCAATGATCATCGAGACAGATCGCCTCGAACAAACCATGGAGGCCGGTTCAACATACGCCGACTGCTTCAAGAAGATCAACATCCGTCGAACGGAGATTGCCGTCGGCGTATACTCGATCCAAGTGCTCTCTGGGATCTATCTCGTTGGCTACGCAACCTATTTCTTTCAGCTCGCAGGCCTTCCTACAGACCAAGCATTCAACATGGGGGTCGGGTTCCTAGCCGTTGGGTTCGTAGGAACCTGCCTCAGTTGGGTGCTGTTGGTCCATTTTGGTCGAAGACGAATCTATAACGTTGGGCTAGCAACTCTTGCCCTACTGCAATTCATTATCGCAATCATAGATTGCGCACCAAACTACGACAATCGGCCATCCTTGACCTGGGCTCAGAGCGTGTTGATGCTAGTCTGGAACTTTGTGTATGACTGGTCTATTGGCCCTGTTTGCTTTGTCCTGCTCTGCGAGGTGTCGGCAACTAGAGTCCGGGGAAAGACCATTGCTTTAGCCACTGCGGTGCAAGCGACGATTGGTATTGCAATGACGGTTGCGATCCCATACCTGTAAGTCTTGAGCGAGGTTCGATTTGCACACATTATCGCTGACGTACATGCCATCAGGATCAACCCCGACCAAGCAAATCTTCGTGGCAAATTGGGATTCTTCTTTGGTGGCTTGGCTGCGCTGTGTCTCACCTGGGCTTGGTTCAGGATTCCAGAACTGTAAGCACAAGACTCAGCTGATGCTGCTTCCAACTAACAATAAACCTCAGAAAAGGTAGAACTTATCAGGAAGTTGACATCATGTTCGAGCGCGGACTCAAGACGAGAGAGTTCAAGAACTACCAGTTCACCAGATAACGAAGTTGTGAAGATATGTGGCACTATCTCAGAGCATGTATCCAGCGTCTGATCTGTCTCTATTCATTGGCCAGACATCATAATGCCGACAGCTGCAGTATTCCCCGAGGACAGACTCCAGAATGGGGATTTTCCTACAATCTCGATTGAAGTCTACTCCTCCCGCATGATAAGCCCACTTTAATAGACAACCGACCGCCGGCATGAAGTAGATTGTACGGATATGACCGCAATCAACTTCTCTAGATGCATGAACAAATGCATGCCCATGGTCGCCTTTGGATAACGTTACCATAAAGCTATACCAAGACCTCTTCCGTATCTACCCCTCATCTCAGCAGAGGGTTACACAATGCAACGTCGGAGCAAACGCATAGTCGTAGTGGTGGGATGACATTGCCATGGCGTGGATAACCTCTGTTCTCCAGAGTCGAAGCTTTTGGTCTCGGTCATCCGTTGCTTGGTTTCACGTCCATCCCCACACTCTTTTAGCCATGACGTTCTGTTTGCTGTAGGTACTCAGGCCCAGGACCTCTACATACATCATTCCCAGCTCCGTCTCTTACCTTACCTATTCATCGACGGTATGCCAAGAACCTGTTTTCCATGTTCCACAGGTATATAAGATAAGGTAAGGTAGGTAAAGCATCGCCCAGAATGGGTTCAAATGGGCCACCATACGCAACAGACCACCAGCACGCTCAGGATCAGAAAGTCCATACCATCATAATCCCCGAATCCACCAGACAAAGCAACCATGTCCCCATCGAACTCATCGCCGAAGGCGCATCCTTGCTACACAAAGACGGCATCATTGTATTAGAAAACGCCATCTCCCCATCCCACCTCGAAACCCTCAACACACAACTCTCGACCGAAGCACTCGAGATCGCCGAGGACCCCAACCACCACTTCAACTTTGGCAAACAAACTCGAAACATGGACCAAGCACCACCACCAACTCGCTCTCTGATGTTCAAAGACATATGGTGCAATCCGTTCGCGGCGGCGATTCTAGCCGCTGTACTGGGTCCTCGACCGGTCGTGCACTATGCGAATGGAAATACGGCGCTTAAAGCGCCGATTCATGGTCGTCAGCCTGTACATTCAGATTGCGATTTTGCACATCCGGTGTATTTTCCTTTTGCTTATGTGGTGAATGTGCCGTTGGTGGATATGCAGGTTGAAAATGGTGGGACAGAGGTTTGGGTCGGATCGCATCATGTTAGTGTGTTGGAGGCGCATGTGCATGGTGACCACCGGAGGGATAGGGATGGGGATGGAGATGATGAAGAGGTTGAATGTGAGGATTTACTGGCCATCAAGCCGGAGGTGCTTGAGAGGCGGCGTGTACATTCGCCTCCTGTTCAGGTGGCGACTAAGCGTGGGAGTCTGATTATCCGTGACTTGCGTCTGTGGCATGCGGGTATGCCGAACTTGACGGACGACCCGAGAGTCATGCTCGCTTTTGTTGTCAGTCCTTCTTGGTGGCAGGGAAAGGGGAGGATTGTCTTGCCCGTGGATGTCAAGGATATGGTGGAGGGGTGGAAGGATGAGTTGGGATTTGCCGCAGACTACGTTGACGGACAGGTTGATCATAAGAAGTTGTCGAGTGATGGCATTGATTTCGGCTCAGCGAGTCACATTCTGAAAACACATCAGGCCGAATTGAGTCGTTGGCCAGATTATACTCCCAGGTGGTATTGACAGAATTTGTTATTGTACTGGACCTGGGATCTAATGTACCATTACTTTCAAGAATTGTATGCCAACTTGGCAACCAATGACGAGTGTTTCTCAACTTCCCTTCGCATCCGGATTCTATGCCCAATGACCATGTCTAAAACGCCGCTCCAACCATGTCCTATGATGCACCTGTTGCAGTCTTCCTGACCGTCAAGGTCCCGGTGGTTTTCTTCAAAATCGATCAAAGCTGAGGGCGTTCTCAGCACAAACCACGCCCCTGGCCCGGAATCTGTCCATTCTCGCGACCAACATTCGGTACGGTCCCTTGAAGAGGGAGGAGTGGCCGTTCCGTGAGTCGGCGCAGGCCCAATTGGCTTGGCTGATGGCATCCTGACTGACAAGAACATCCCAGTATTGATCGCGTCTGTCGAGAGGCGAGGGCTCTGGATCGTCGTGCGACCTCTTGCGCTTTTTGTTGCGACCTTTTTCATCCCCGAGGGTTGGTGATGACCAAATTGCTGGGGTTTCAAGCACCGGCCATTCACAAGGTTGTTGAAAAGCTTCACACTCGTCTTCGTACAGAGTGATCAGCTGTGCCGCTCTGTTAGGAATCATTTCAAAATCTCGGAAACCATCCCGTAGCTTTGTCCGAGGGTTGCGAGGGGTGTAGCAGGTTTGTTTCCTCGCGTTGAGAGAGGTGATTTGTCGGTCCAATGGTACAGGGTTCAGCTGATTGTTGATACGTGTCCAGTGGCAATGAGCGTAGAAACAGTGGCGCACGTGTTCAGTGAATTCTGTAGGGCCTTTGCGTTTATCATGAGCGTAGAGTTGGTGAAACTGGTATGGCAGCGGCGAGTGATAGTTCCAGTAGAAGGCACAACCTTCACAATGATAGCCCGGAACAATATCAACGCTCGTGCTTGTGACGCCCTTTTGGTCGCGTTTCAGTGTTCTTGTCATGGCAGAAACTTTGACTGAGCACATATACTGAACATAATCCGTTTCGGGGGGGTGGACGATGGAGGGAGGAAGAGTCATCTTTGAATTTATAATTCTTCGCTCATGAATTGGAGTCTGTTGGCGGGGCTGAATGCTTCGCTCATCCTCCTTAAGACGTTTATTTGTAGGCTTGAGTTGTAGGTACGTGGCATCCTTGTGTTCGGGGGAAGGATGAGCAGGCGCGGTCCAGCCTTTCTTGGAAGCAATCTCCATAGCGGCAGTGTAGTCGAGAGCTCTTCCGAAAAAGGAGATGTGCATGGGATATGCCCAGAAAGTTTTGCGAGGGATGGTGCTTAGATGAGGCACACTTGCGATTTCTGCTTCAGAAAGACCCATGACATGGCGAGCATAGCCTTCATGAATTGCCAGGAGCTCCCGCTCTTCCGCTAGACATTTCATGCAGCAGCGTTTGAGTTTGAGGAGGTGTAAGATTTCGCCATGATTTCCACAGATGTCACATCTGGTTGTGAAGAGAACGTCGGCAAGTTGTGGAAAGGTCCACATTGCACCTGCGTCAGTGGCAACCATGGCACCAACAGCGATGAGACCAGCCTGATTTTCCATGACGACTTGATATGGCTGCCATCTCTCGATCAATTGTTTGGCGGAGTGATTGGTCTGTCTGAGTTTGAGGACAGAGGTGATTGGAGAAAGGGTGAGAAGATTGTAAATGACTTCATTGGGCAACGAACTCAAGTCTCCCATGTCGAGGCCAGATTCATCGAGGCGCTGGCTAAGTTTTGCAGAACCCCTGGCACGTTTCTTCTGGAGATCGGACACATCGATTAGGATGTCGTTATACTGGAATGGCTTCCGCTGATGGTAGAGTAAATGCTCAGGGCGTAATGATGTCGGATCTAAGAGATCTTTGACCGGGAGAGGCATCTTGAGCAGACCTCGACGGTAGCGATTAGAGACGGAGATGATAAAAGGTTTTCAGTATGCAATGGTGATGGAAGGTACGGTTGACTGGTTTCTTGTGAATGATGAAATGGCAAGGAGTGATGAGGAGATTTTGAAAGATGATAGAAGAGAAATTTGACTGAGAGAAAGAACAAAGGCGAAAGAGACAGTGGCACAAAGTTAGGTTGGATCTGGATCGTAGGAATGAATAAGAATGGATAGCCAATAGCTGAATGGGCGAGAGGTGGGAGTCATGAATAGCACTCCACCAACAGCCAACAATAGCATGTCTGACAATGTCAGCATACATGAATGCGCCTCCTACCTGATTCACCTATGTTGATTCACCTCTAATATTGTCACCCATGTTTGCTGTTGGTACAGTGAATAGGTGAGGAAGAAGAGGTGGCAGGGACTCAGAATCATGGTTGATGATCTTCACCTCGCTCAATTTGCTGTGGATGAGAAAGACTTGCGTCTGGCATGATTTCGGTCTTCGATCTTCGATCTTCGGTCTTCGACGGACAGTCCCACCTTTGCAATGTCAAACAAGATTGATGACCAATGGGAGGCCCAAGAGGTTTCCAGAGACCCCATCGTTATGGGACGATGGAGAAGGAGAGTTGGACAATATGAAGGCTGCCTAACCATGACACAGAGGAAGTGAAAAAGATGAAGAAAGCTGGGTGACGAGTGATGAAGCGTCGTTGATTTTTAGTTTTATCTGATCTCTCTGGATAAGGCAGGCACGCGTGGATGGATGGTCATAACAACGCGCTCTTTCCAGTTAAGAACTTCTTTGACATTTTCAGGTGACTCCTTCCGTGGGGTTGTTACTTTTCGTGGCTTCCTCGTTCCTTCCTCTGATACAGCTGAAATGGATGCCAAGCTTCCAGACTACAGGTCCATCGACTCCTCGAGTCACTCATCCTCCAATCCTGAAATTTGTCCCTAAACTGCTTCAGGTCAACCGTTTGGAAGCGCCCGGACACTCAGGCACCCTTGGTCCCTACTCGTAGCCCAAGGGGCCTACGAAGCTATGTCTAGGCTCTATCCGTTGTCAATCTCATGTCAATCACATCTCTCCGTTCACTTTTCCAGACTGAAGATCCACGCAGGCGCTGACGTTTGAATAGGTTTCGAGGCGCTGGTCGCACTCAATAAATGTCATGATACCCATTGAAACCGTTGCGAGGCGATCCGAGGCGATAACCATCCTAGCCGGTGGGGAGATTCGTCGACCGACTAGAGGTTTACCAGCTAATCACCCGCAACGAATTAAAACTCAGTGGCGTTCAGAATCCGTCCACACCACTGCTCCGCAACCGGATCTGGGCCTCTATCTCCCCTGAATGGACTCTCCTCGTCAATCGCAGAACAAACACAGATACAATGATCCTATCTCCGCCTCACAGCCATGAATTTCGTGCTCCTCGGCGCACCCTCCTCTCTTATGCTAGATCTGAACAGCCGTCCTCATCTGCGAGATGCAATGGTTGAACTGGAAGGTCTCGGGCGCGGTGTCTCGGAGTAGGGAGTTCAATACAGGCCACGAAGCCGTTCCACTCATCGTGGTCGAACCACCCGATGATGACCTCGAGTCTGGAGATATTGCCAGTCCCAAGACCCTACCGCATGCAAATTCTTCATTCTCTGATACATCCCAGTCGCAACTCTCGGCCCTTTTCAACACACTGGTACGGATACTCAGTTATGTGTGGATTGCTTTGCGTCCCCGTATTTTTTCCGGCCCCCAAGACAGACAGCTAGGGCCAACCGACTGGCTCAGCGGCGTGCGAGGGGTTGCCTCGCTATTCGTCATGTTCTCTCACATTCGTGTCAATCTCTTTGGTGATGTTGGCCATGGTTGGTCTTCAGAGCATCCTCGCTTCTTGGAACTGCCCATCATTCGCCTGGCATATAGCGGCGGTGCCATGGTCACCTTATTCTTCATCGTTAGCGGTTATGCTTTGAGTTACAGAACTTTGTCCCTTATGCGAGAAAGAACTCCCGACCACTTCAAGATCTTCAAATCACTTGCATCCTCAGTCTTTCGAAGAGCGATTCGTCTATATATACCCGTCTTTGTCCTCGCTTTCATTCAACTCTGGACCCTGTATTTTCGACTTCAAGCTCCACCCCCTTCCGAACCTAGAGCGAGTACTGTGTTGAGCCTGCTTGGCTGGTGGATTGAGGCTGTGGCAAATGCCTTGAATCCTTTCGATCGCAACCTGCCCGCCGCTTTCAATGCCCCATTGGCCAAAATCGAAATGGTCTGGTGGACCATCCCAACCGAATATCGTGGATCTCTCGTGGTCTTCGTCGTGCTCTTGGTCCTCTCTCAAACTCGAAACCTGGTACGTTCGCTCGCCCTCGTGACGTACCTGCTGTGGGCTACCTATATCGGACAATGGGAGATCTTTCTATTTACTGCCGGGATCGTCTGCTGCGATCTTCATCTCTCACGCCAAAGCCGAGCGACCAAAGCAGCACTGACTTTGGGCGATGAAACACCAGCTGCTACGCCTTCCAGGAAAGGGTGGAAAGTGGTCATTAACTTGTGCCTATCATCTTTAGCTTTGGTGCCAACTTTGTACATCCTAGGTGCCCCAGAAGGATGGATGGTGCCGGATGATTGGCCTGGATATGGAGATGCCCCATTCTATCACACCCTCAGGATCTGGACTCCTCAATCTTGGAAGGGAAACACAGTAGCTGGGGATTTCTGGAGATGCCTGGCCGCAGTGGCATTCATCCTTCTGGTCGACAACACCAGGTTTCTCCGACGACTTTTTGAATTTCCGCTGTCTCAGTATTTGGCCGACATCTCTTTCTCCTTATATTTATTACATCCGATCACGCTCAAATGTATCGGGAACCGGATGTTCTCTCACATTGATAGATGGGTCGACGGTGTTAGCAATTATTGGCTCAAACAGTTCCTTCGGGTCGTTCTGGTGTCGATACTCTTTGGCCCCATTTTGTTTTGGGTCTCGGAACTGGGAGCAACATATCTAGACCAGATGAGCGTCAAGTTTGCCAAGTGGGCAGAGAGCAAGTTCAGATCGGGTCGAGAAACAGCAATCGCCCTGCCAGATACCGACAACGCTACAACCGACCAGTCTCGTTGGGTGAACACCAACGAAAATGTCGAGGTTGTCCAGGTCAGGCATGGTCAAGACATCGGGGATGCTGATGGACACCATCAACCCAGTCCATCAAGTGATGTTGGAACAAATAGATTGCAATAATGAGACAAGACTAGGATATTGCCAATGATGATATGAAACCAACACGTTCGACTGTATCTTCAATATTGTCATTTCTGTTGCCCTGCTAGAACTAGAAGTTCTGCGACTATGGAGAAGATCTTGGTAGGAGACCGATGGCAATGGGACAGACCTAAGGCACCGGCTCGGAACAAGACGGCATCAGGCTCAATTTCCCAGATATGAGTGGCGGTGACGGGAGTGACCATGTCAAACGTGCATCCCGAGATGGTCATCCAAACCTGGATAGCTAACCCCTGCCGGTCCAGCTTTCGCCTCCACAACGGCTCCTTACTCATCGATTGCCATCGTCAACAACAGTGGCATATCCTCCAAGAGAAATTCCTCAGGCTGAGAGGTCTGGAACATGTCTGCATCGACGGCGGCGCCGCCACTAATACTGCAATTGCTATTGCCAATGTCTTTGCCGGTCCATCTGCTGGATGTGGAGATCATTGTCTGACATATCTGTGAATCAGCCATAAAGAGCTGGTATAAACGATCATGGTCGTCATGAATGCCTCGCAATTCCGACGATGATGAATATCTTTGAGGTTTTCAACTGGCCATGTGGGTTCAGACACTCGTGGTGGTCAAAAGAACGTCTCGATTTTGAATGGCCCAAGACATGGCTCCAAGCATCAAACCACTCAAATTGATGACTCTGCTGGAGTAGAGGCACACTCCTCAGCCTTGTCCATAGGTTTTCACTTCAATACCACAGATGACCCCATTTCGCATTAAATTCAGGAAAAATATGCCAGGAATGAGGATCCCAAGCATCCGCACCCTCTGTGACGGCAAACGATCGCATCAAGAAAAAGTCTTGGAACATTTGATCGGTATCGATAACGTTCCTCATGATAATCATGTTGTCTCGCATACGAGGAAATGGCCAGCGATCAATCCAGTCGACATGTGGAACTGACATCTGCAACGCCGTCGGTCGGAGTGACTTTGGTACCGTGTCCGAAGGAGGTGAAGAAACGGAGACGTTTCCTTTATCACAAGGAATGCCAAGGATGTTTCCGTTGATCCAGAGCGCGACTATGGCAGTGATCTTGGCATCTGGCAGCATACGCTGGTCGACAGGTATAGGAAGGATGATGCTTGTCAGCGTGTTCGGTTCTCCGGTATTAGTTGAACTCCCACTCGCGGTTGAGGCGGCGGGTGATGTGCCTGACGTGACAGAGGAAGCGGTAGATGCAGGTGCATGCCTTCGAACTACCACGCAGTTCTGGTCATTCTGTCCCTGTTTCTGTTTCGCTTGTGCAAGTCGTTTCCCTGGGCCGGTTAGCGGCGAATAAGGGATACTAAGATAATAATACCTACGTCGAGCTCGTTGGGCCAATCGATCTTGTATCTGCTTTCTCTTCCGGGGGTCGGTAACACCATACCAGCAATCTCCACCTTCGCTCTCAGTCGCTTTAGAGTCCATTCTGATAGTGAAGTATGTGTGTGTCAGCCGGAAAGACGGCTAGGTTGTTGAATTAAATCCTGACGCCGGATAGCTTAGACACGGACGAATTCTCGGAGGAATATTCGTCCAGCTCTGCAAAGAACCCAAAAGAGAAGGAGCGGTGGCTCGTGAAAGTCCAAAACTGAAGAAGCCGTGGCTACTCTAATGAGTCTTTAATTGATCAAGGTGCAATCTGTGTGAAAATGAGAGAGAGAGAAGAGTGTCTGATCAGCTTCGATGTCTCGACCGGGGCTACGTACCCTAGGGCGAAATGGAAGGTGCAGGTGCAATGCCCGCCTAATCCCCACATTCCTGGTCGTGCCTGCCTCCCTACCCCATCAATCACGTGATCTTGGCGCGCTAATTTATGACCTCCTTCCCCGACTTTCTGACCTCCTCCAGTTTCTGACAAGTGGACCCTAAACCCGCCTCCGCCTTATGATGGAATCAACTCTACAAGTACTCTGCCTGCCAACGGGCAACAAGTAATGGAAGATTGTATCATCATGTTCGGCTTCAAGGTCTCTCCGACTCCACAAGGGCTGTCAGGTCCTCCCAAGACATCCCACCAGGAGGACCGACAGGTAAGATGGTCAATGAATTGGAGCGTGTTGTGATATAAAACCCCCCCCCTATGCTCACCATAACTCCCTCATTCCTGCCACATCTAACCACCTCTATCTCCCTCACGAAAAAATGGGCAAACCTGTTTTCATTCTAGTCCCTGGCGCCGCAGCCCCGGCCAAAATCTACCGACGGGAGATTGCCAGATTCAATGAATTGGGATATGAAGCTGAAACAGTACCGACACCGTCAGTTGGTCGACGCGATCCTCTTCCACCAGCCACAATGGACGAGGATGCTGTAGCGGTGCGAAATGTCGCAATGAAGTATATCAATCAAGGCAAAGACGTCAATATCGTCACACATTCATATGGTGGTATTCCCGGCACCGAAGCCGTTCGAGGCATTTCCAAAAAGGTGCGTGAGGCAAAGGGACTCAAGGGCGGTGTCAGTAGGATCATCTATGTGACTTCGGTCGTTCTTCCGGTTGGAGGAAAGTTGAGCGACGCGTTTGAAGGCGGGAAGCCGTCTTTCCTTAAGGTGGTTGTGAGTATTTCTCTACCTGGATGTCTATTTTAAACCTATACGCCAGTCTCCTGACACTTGATAGGACGACTACTTGGTCCAGCCAACCCCAGAAGAGAACACCAAGATTGTCTTCTATGATATTCCTGAAGCGGAGGCCATCGAATGGGCGAGGGAAATGGAGGAACACTCCTTCACTAGCTATGCCGGACCATTGACATATGCTGCCTGGAATGATGTCCCTGTGTCGTATTTTTTCTGTGAGAACGACACCATTATCCCATCTCAAGACCAACAGGGCGGTATCGATCTTATCGAGAAGGAGTCTGGTCAGAAAGTCGACGTCCATCGCCTACAGGCTGGCCATGCTCCCCAAGCCAACTTTCCTGGGCGGATTCCAGAGATGATTATTGAAAAGATTGTGCCCTTGGACGCATAGAACTGCATGCCTTGTCTGCGTGGGATTACATGGCCAATGCTTACTGAAATGTCAAATTTCGACCAGCGAGAAGCAAATGTCGAGGCAATATATGTCGAGAGGCTGTGAAAATCTGTCGACCAACTCAAGGGCAGGAGTAGTCAAAGATCTACATGCAGATTAGGTGGCTTATAAACAGGCTCCCAGTCAGAATGGTATATATATGCATTTATTCATCCACATCGTGTACTGGTGTCTAAACATCACTTCGTCGTGTCATTTTCTGAGGTCTTCACTGTTGTTGCATCGTGGGCTGTCTCCTTACTTCCTGTGCCTTCATCAACAGAATCAACATCAAGACGATCCTCTCCAGATGGACCACGGGGTTGTACACCCTCGTCATCCGACTCGGCGTCTTTGACATCTGCATCCGTCACCGACTCTGGCACAGAGGACTGTGGCACCGAAGATTCCTTGACACTAGACGCGCGGCTGAGATTTGCGCTGTCCGGTTGACTTTTGCGTAGACCCAAGTCCTTGCCCAACGTGGCAACCCCCTGGCTGATGGCCGCACCGACCGTCAAGGCAATGCCTCCAGGACGACCGCTGTTTAGCCCGTCTGCCGGACGACTCTCTGTGTTCTCTTCTCCACGCCAATCCGCGGGCGGATTCTCCGGAACTGGTTCCCCCTTTGCAGGTTCTTTGATTTCTCGTTCTGGGGCAAGACCACTGTCTTCGGCTGAGGCGTACTTCCAAACCACTTTCAATCGATCCAATGCTCGAATGCCTTTCCTTGCACTGCCTTTGACACCATCCATTGCGTCCCATTCAATCTCGAAAATTCCAGAATCGTGACCTTCATGTCCACCTTCAAAAAAGGTGTTGAACCAAACGTGAGCTAGAGAGGTGACCATCGTCCACCCCGTGTAGGCTGCCTTGTTGCGACGTTCAAAGTCAACGTTGATATCGCTGGTGGGTAGGATCAATGGCGTTGACGGTTTTAGGATCACAGACTGGGCAGATCCGATGGCTTTACCAGACAGGCTGCTGTCTGACGACTGAGCGGTACCTTCTGAAGCGCTGACCAAGATTTCTGAATCACTGTTGGCTTGTGTCTTGTCAGGTTGCGGTCTAGCAGGTTCCCTGCCAGGACCATCGACCACGATCTTTTCCTCTCTCTTGAAGGTGTGGAAATGTCGGATATGACGACCACTATCGACATAACCTTCCACTGAGACCTTAACTCCATCCCTTAGTCCCCAAACATGGATTTCTACAACTTCCACCGGTCTCTCAACGTATCTTTTCCCCAGGCGATTGGTCCAGGAGTCGACGTAATTGACCCATCTCAACTGGCTAGGGATACTAACCCCGTTACCAAAGCCCGGTCGCATCCGTCGTTCAGTGAAGCGAGCAAGTGCATCTTCTTTCTTCCAGCCTTCTTCACTGATCAAATATGAGCATGCAACCGTACCACTTCGACCTTTGCCCGCTTTACAATGAACCACTGCCACCCTTGGTGGCTTCTTTTCTCCCGTTGTGCTCGGCTCTTCGTCTAATCGCTGAATCCAATTCCGCATCGCAGCCATCAGGTTGGGGATTATAGCAAATGGGGGAGGGTGGTGGTCAGGCCATGGAAAATGGTGGACTCTGTTGTAGACCTCCGAATCCGGATAGCCAGTGCCTTCAGCTCGAAATTCAAATATTGCCCACTCTTCTCCATGTTTCTTGTCGAGGAAGGCCACAACTTGATCGAGAGGGTTCCGGTAGGCTTTCTTGGGCCACACTGAACTCGGGCCGGAGGTTACGACGACTGAAGGAATTAGCAGCATGCAAGTTAATGGGGAGCATTGCAGTTTTCATACTAAAGTCCGTCAAATAGCATAGATCTAGGCGGGCCTCTGGGTGTCTTGCTCGCGGGCCCGCGACAATTTGGCGCAGGACCGAAGCCTTGAGGGAATCAGTGTCAGACCACGGAGGGGTGGTGAGCGGTGACATACCATGGTGGGCAAGTGTTGATACCTGTTGTTATTGAGGCATACTACAGAATCTTAGGCGGTATCCTCGTTCACCCACGTACTGCAGGGTTGTTCAAGCGAAGATTTCTGCCTTGAAAATGATCAGCACGAGGACACGAGACAAGAGCGTGTTGGGTTGGATTGTTCCTGCCCTTGTCAACATTCTGAAATGACGTCAGGAGCCTTTTTTCAGATTCTTGCACGTGATGGAGACTTCCTCAACTACTCATCATTTCTTGTCTTCGTTCCAATTATGTTCTGACCCGACTTGCACCAAGATCACACTCGGCAGAGAAATCCTGGACATTAGCAGACTGTTGTCAAAGACTGTCAGAGCCTTGTCACTAATTTCGCGGGCGGCAGGGGCTGAATTCCTCCTTACAGTACTCCCTCTGAAATGTCTCAGATTCTTTCCGCTCATTCATCACTTCTACCAAAACATTTGTTGTCGACGATGAAGCAAGGTGAGAGATCGACAGATATTCTCCGGCAGTGTTTAGGTTTGTGTTTTGAAACGAAAGGTAGGCATTCTTTGCTCCGCAAATTTGGTCCACCGTGGTGTATATCAAGCAAGCTATATATCCTACATGTTTTATTGCCAGGTATTCGCCCACGCATGAGAAACCATGGTTGGTGCAGCCCTCGCCTTTGGAGCCTTGTCGCTTTTGAATAGCGTCGACCAAGTACTCACAAATGGACTGAGTTTACTGGGAACTGTAACCTCTCCTATCCTTCCAAAGTTCCTTCTCGATAACCCCCTTCCTGACGGGTATCCTTGGGGCACAAGGAATTGTACAAACACAAATCCTTATAGTCAAGCACCTGACACTGGCGTTGTCCGCACCTATGACTTTGTCGTTTCAAGAGGTGTACTTGCCCCCGATGGGTATCAACGGAGTCTCACGCTCGTCAACGGCCAATTTCCCGGACCAACCATCGAAGCCAACTGGGGCGATACTATTGAGGTCAAGGTGACCAATAATATATCTGCCCCGCTCGAGGGAACGGCTATTCATTGGCACGGGTTCCTTCAGCATCGAAACCAGTGGATGGATGGAACATCGGGTATGTTGTACACGATTCCTTATCGCCTGTTCGTACTACTTAAGTCAAGTAGGGTTCACCCAATGCCCGATTGCGCCACAGAAATCGTTCACGTACAGGTTTCGAGCAGAATTGTTTGGGACGACCTGGTATCATGCTCACTACTCCTCTCAATATGCTGATGGTGTCGTTGGGCCCATTGTCATTTATGGTCCGAGTGAGGAAGACTATGACATTGACCTCGGACCAATTCTCCTTTCCGACTACTACCATAGGAATTCGCGTGAAATTGTGAAGGAAATCGTCTCCGCTCGTCCTGGTCTGCCACCACCAAAGCCTGTCAGCGATAACAACTTGATCAATGGAAAGATGAACTTTGATTGCTCTACGGCCACGACCACGACGGCCAAATGTTTCGACCATGCAGGTTTTGCCAGGTTCAAATTCCAAGCAGGAAAACGCCACCGCCTCCGTCTCATCAACAGCGGTGCTGATGCCGTCCAACGATTCTCCATCGACGGGCACAAGATGATGGTCATTGAGAACGATTTTGTCGCTGTCGAGGTATGGGTGGCAAATTCAAAAGACTGACATGATTAGCTTACATTGTGACAGCCTTATGAAACCGAAGTTGTGACACTTGGGGTGGGACAAAGAACGGATGTCATTGTCGAAGGAGTCGGCAGCCCGACAGCCGCCTACTGGATCCGAAGCAATGCAACATGCGCCGAGTCGAGGCAGCCATCCGCGCTCGCAATCGTGCAATACGAGCAGACAGAACCTATGGTACTACCGCGGTCCACGCCATGGAGCGTACCTGATTCCTGCGACAACGACCCGTTGGAGAAGACAATACCATTGTACAAGATGAGCCCAGGCGCGCCAGAAGCCACATACACGTTGGGTATGACTGTCGGGCAGGACGAATCTGGTGTTTGGCTATGGCACATGAACAGCTCGTCGTTTCGAGCCGATGTTTCGTACCCTTCACTCCTCCAAGCGCAGACCGGTAATCTCACGTTTCTACGAGAGAGAAATGTCATCAACACAGGGTCAGCGAAATCATACCTCTTTGTTCTGAACAACAAGTCTCCTGTGCCCCATCCGATGCACTTACATGGTCACAACATGTATATTCTGGCGGTTGGACACGGCGTCTGGGATGGGAGTATTGTGCGGCCGGAAAATCCACAGCGTAGGGATGTGCAGAACGTGCCGGCGAACGGTTACATGGTTTGGCAAGCAGACGCGGATAATCCGGGTTCGTGGGCGTTTCATTGCCACATAGCCTGGCACGCAGCCGTCGGGCTCACGGTGGATATCCTTGAACATCCTGAGCAGATCGTGAATCTGGCTGTCCCCGATGATGTTTATCGAGTCTGTCATGACTGGAGAGACGCGTTTGCAACAGGCAAAATCGAGCTCCTCGATTCGGGGGTGTAACACTAATCAAGGAGTTAGGAGGAGCAGAAGGCAATCAAACGCCGGGCGTCTTGAGCCCTGATTCAAGAGAAGATACATCCAGCCTTTTGTGATTACAGGAGTGATCACGATGGATGAAGACACATGGAAGGTCAGGAATAGTGTCACATGCGTCATGTGAACCAATAGTTGCATTGAAACCCAGGCAGATCGAAAGCAAAGATGAATTTCTGTCTGTGATCAGGCAAGATCTAGCCCTATCCTTTATCCTGGGGCGAGATTTCGTCGTCTGTCTGCGCAGTCTTTGCTCCTGTCAATTCATAGTGTCGTAACATGCAACATGCACTTCCCCCAAACGCCTATTAGCCGTGATCGCTAAATGCAGAATATCCGGTTGATTGGCTGATTGATGGTAACGCTCAAACCCAAGGCGTTCTCTGTGCTACGCTCATCTCACGAAACATGTTGGCTGACAGCCTCCTTGGGTACAACCCCTTGCGAGATGAAAATATCAACCAGGCCCTGCAGCGGTTCCATGTCCTTTCTTGGCAGAAGGTCGTAATACATGGCCACCGTGATGAAGTGAACGAAACAAGAATTCAGTTCGAGATGTCGGTTGATGTGCCAAAATGGATTGTCCCAATGATTGTGGTACAAATGGGCATAGCATCGGAACATTTGCTTGACGATGGATTTGACGTCGCCGTGGAAATTAGATGGGAATCCGCTGGATCTGCCAATCCAATTCTCTTCGGGTGAAGAGAGAGACTGATTCAAGTTTGATGGCGGGGCGGCGATGGGGGTGATGGCGGACGAGGGATTCGAGCCAACATCTCCAGAGAGGTACGTGGTGGAGGAAATGGCTGGTGGGGGTGTGGTGGGAAAGACATTCTCATCATGAATCTTGCCGACAATCCAGCGCTGAACCCGGACAATGTATGAGGGGGCTGGGATTTTGGCAGGACGACCTCCCTCCAACCAGGTGTATGTGAGGCTGTGGGCAAAGGTTAGTGGCAGGTACGAGCAGTGGAAGAGAAAGGAATTGCGCACCGTCCCGCAGACATTGTTGGACAAGAGTGTTCGTTGCACAGAGGCAGACCCGTATTGGTGTCGACTTCTTGGATGACCTGGATGAGGCCTGTGAGAAGGCGATTCATCTCGACCACTGTCAAGTATCAGAGCACCGACCTGAAAAATAAATAGCGGGTGTGGGTATCCAAAACATACATTGATGGGCCAGCCATTCTCCCAATTCGACATTCTTGGGTTGTGCAGCAAGTGTCAGAAAGTTGCCCTTGACGGAGCACTTTGCATATTTTTCATTGAGAAACCTCTTGGGTTCATGCTCATTGTAGAAGCCGCTCTCTTGGCCAAAGGAGGATGACATGGAGGGAGAGTTGGTGAGTGAAGGGAGAGGAGGAGCATGCTGGGATACGGGAGAGTTTTGACCGCTATATTGGCCTTTGAGGTTCTGGTTGCTTTTCGTGTTTCCTCGCGTGAAACTGCGACTGAAAGAAGGAGGAACAGGGTCAGTGTTTTGGATGGGTCTGAGGAGACGACAACAGGAGATTTCCCATTTAGGCTTCATGACTGCTGAGAATGGGCAAAGCAGGGCAAGGGTGGTGTTGGCGAGGGGCGAAGGGGCATGACGGGACCAATACGTACACGCTTTGGAAAAAGGTGGCCATCTTGACCACGGGAGGCGTAACTAAGTGCTGACCTTGGGACCTGAAGCTCAAAGACGCACGCGTTGGAAAAGAACAGCAAGGGCAATGAGAGTTGCGTTTATGAGTTTGTGAATGGGAGTCGGTAAAAGTAGTGAAACACTGAAACACTGAGCGCGACTGCAAGAAGCCCCTCGGGGGCATGGGTCAGGCAGGAGCCACCGCCTGCTCGATCCTTGATATCTGCCCGCGGGACGGATCTGGGTCGTTCCTTCCTCCCTTTCTAGAGTGTCACAGTGCCAACTCCTTAACAAGCAGCCACAATTCCACATACAGAAAGTCTGCCGAAAGGCTGGTACTAGCTGCCTCATCACACATGGCAAGGCTAGACCTCACATACGGTTCACTATCACCCATTGTTTGTGATCCTTCTCGCACTGATTACCACGGCCAGTTTCATAAGTCCATAGACTTTTATATTCTCATCACAAGATATACAGACCGGTCCCTTGTGTTTTTTCCTTGATTGAAGGGAGAACTATGGACTTCAATGCGAAGAACCGCTTGGAGATAACGTGTAGGCTTTCAGAGATGTGATGTTCTCGTATACATAGAGATCGAGTTTCTCTATCAAAGTAGCACTTGGTTCACCCGAAGAAGGTATGAAATGGGCCATTGGAGGAGATGAAGGAGGGAGAAATGCTTGAAGGCTATATTCCATGAACAACTACATTTCTAGCCCGGCTCACAGGGCACTATGGAGAGGATACATGCAATACTACCTACCTAGGTAAGTACCTCCGGCAGATATTCACATCCTAAACTGGTAACTATATTACTAGCAATGCGGATGAATGCGAGGTGGTCGTTGATGTCCTAAAATTCATTGTCAGCATCTTTTGAATACATTTCGATTGTCCTTTGTTCTGGTTTGCTTAACCTAGTCGAGGCATATATATCGTACGTAGTCCGCTGATATTAACCCCTGGTACTGTTATCAAGCGATGGTGGGCAAGGCACCTAGAAACACGGCCGATAGGTCGAATAGAGCGGGTTGAGTTACCTGATTGACTTAGTAGATATGCCAGGGGAAATGCGGCTAGGGGCGCAAGATATATCTTGTAAACCTGTTTAGGTACAACCACTAAATGCTCAAGGACGCTCTTTTCCGTACGTACCTGATAAGTCTGTTGTAGAGAGAATTTGGTTGGCGTTTGTCACTGGCGGGGCTTCCATAATCCCACCTTTCAAAATGATGTCAAGCAAGAGATTGCTAGACTCAGACCCAGGAGATTACACCCAAGTAGCATGGGGAATACATATGTGTTGTGTCAAGAAGCCGGTTGCACGAATAGACGAATAGGCGGAAAACACTGGGCGCTGTTCGCCGTGAGTTCACAATAATTGGGCTGCGTATGGGCATGGCATCGATGTTCAATTTGAAATTAGCGCTTGGGCATGTACAATTCTCCCCGTCGGTCGTCCAACAGCGTCCTGAGACGGACATAGGTGTGTTTCACTTTGCATAGGAGTCTGGATTCGTCGCCTTATGACTCGGCATGCAAGAAAGAACACCCACACTGCGGCCACCGACGGTCATCAAGTCACCGGTCCATTAGCTGAAGAGCTTCTCAAAGTACTTCATAAAGGCATTCCTGATCGTTGTGTTAGTGATTTGGTAGATTTTGTTGCCAGGGATGGCTTCTTACCGTGGTGGGGTAGGAACATAGTTCCTCTCGTATTCCTCGATGTCGTCCAAATCCTTTCGAAGGTCGACCTCATGAGGTTTAAGCCATTTTGTCTTTTTGATGAATTTCCATCCGAAGAATAGAACTGGGAACACGGCAATCATGGTGTAGCTGAACAGGAAAGTGGGAACGCTCCAAAAGCCGGGTAGAAATACTGAGTACCCTCCAACAAAAGTCATGATGAAACAGCCAGTCAAGGCGTAGTACGCAGAGAATGGTTGCCACCACGACTTGTGAGGAAGGGTATTTCGATCGATTCCTTGTGCGTCGAGGGCTTGCTTGAACTTGATGTAGGTGAACGCCATGACAGAGAAGTTGATTAACTGGGAGGCAGTGACCTGATCATAATCGAATTAGCCTCGGCTGATGAGTGGTGAACAGGGAAACTTACCAAGTTGACGAACCAACTGAGGACGACAGAGGCGTCGTTGCTGACTTGCAAGAACGACAGCAAGCTGAGAAGAAGAACTGCCGCAACACAGTAGATGGGAACACCATTTTTGGTGCAACGTGTGAAGAAATGAGGAGCCTTTCCTTCGAGAGCCAATCCAAACAAACTCCGGCTGGCACAATACATGTAACTGTTGCCGGCAGAAAAGGCGCTGCCAAGAACCATGGCGTTGACAATGTGAGGAAGAACTCGAATCCGGAGACGATTCATGGAGACAACATATGGCGATGCGGCAGCTCCTGGCTTGCCTGAGGAAAATGCTTCAATCAATTCAGGATCGTTGTATGGGACAAGAATGCCGACACAAAGAGAACCGAGGACGAAGAAAGCGGTTAAGCGGTAGAATACAGCCTTGTATGCTCGAGGAAGAACCTTTCGCGGGTTCTCGGCCTCTCCAGCGGCCATAGAAACATAATCGGGACCCGCAATAGTGAAAGAGGCTTGAATCAAGCACTGTAGAAAGCCGACAAAGCGGCCTGTGGAGCCCTCGTACCAGAGCTCTGTGAATGATCCGGGATTTTTCCAGTAGCGAAATCCAAATCGATCGCCCAGAGGATTACCACCGAGCATGACAATGAATGTGTAGATGATCAACCCAATGATGAGAAGCATCTTTCCCAAGGCCAGCCAAAACTCGGATTCTCCATACCACTGGACTGCGAAGAGATTGATAGCGGCGTAAAGGACGAGACAGATGGCAATGATGCCTCCAGCTGGAACAACATCACTCCAAAAGTGGATAATAACATTGCAAGCGACGATCTCGAAAGGAACCAACATGGCCTCGAATACGAAGAAGTTGTAGCCGGCAGCAACGCCAAAAGCTTCGTCAACGTAACGGCCTGCAAAACGAATAAAGGGACTACTGATGGGAAGATATGTGACCATCTCAGCCATGCAGTTCGTGACGCAGAGGATGAATGTACACCTTTAGGGGCTCGTGTCAGTAACATGAAACTTGGGCATGATTGTACTGAGGTGCCGGAAGCCAAGTTTGTGGTAGGTCACTCACCAAATTGTAAATGCCATAAACAGACTGGCCGGGCCACCATTGAGAAGGCCACGGCCGATCTGAACATAAAGAGCAGTTCCGATGGTACCGCCAATACCAATGAGTTGAATATGTCGTGGCTTTAGCTTGCGGTGGGTGTTGTCAAAACCGGCTTTGACACTGCCAGCATCTACCTCTGTTAGACCATAGTTGTTCTTGAGGGTAGCAACGACGGAGGCTTTGCGAGAGCCTCGGCGGACATTTTCTTCGTCGTCGTAGGTGTGACTACGGACGCCTCGAGCCAAAGGAGTCTCATCCTGCATGTGAGGGGGCATCCCCTTCTCGCCGTAGAAGTGTTCCACCGAGGAAGAAGACATGGCGAAATCTAGTCAGTCTGTGGTAAGCTGGCCAGGAGGACATGCATACAGAGAAGAATGGGATGAGGGGGGGGACATGATATAGAAAAGAAAGCGATGTTGGGACGAATAGTCGGGACTACGGTCAGATGGCAACCCTGGACATGGCATTATGGGTCGTCAGGTCGTCGGTCTATTTTGCTGCTGCCCTGGAAAATGTGCGATGTGACGCTGCAAACAGGTCGAGGGACGTAGTGGCGGGACGTGCCAGTATCATGGAGGATCGAGTAGCTGGAGAAATGCATGATACCAAGACATGAGCGACACAAGCGACCAGACGCGGTCTTATCCTAAGTAAGATTCGCGGGTGAATGGGCAGGGAGATGAGAGGATTTGCAGACTGGAAGTGTCAATGGTGGCACTGGTGGCCAATACCAAACGAGGTATGACAGGGAAGAATTAGAGATTCAGTTGAAGGAAGATCGCTCTTGCCTGGTCCTGGTTGCTGACGACTTGCTTGATCGCATTACTCCGTCCAGTAGTTTAGTTTATTCCCCGGCATTGGCAAGTGCAACTGCCTGAGACTGGCGCGTAGTTGCCCATGTACGCATAAATACACCTAGCTAAGGAAGGTACGCAAAATTCCCACTACTGATGGAAGGAGGCGTCGGCTGGAGTTCGTCTCTAGCACGACAAAAAGACCGCGCGCGCCTCGGTGAAGCAGCTCCGGTGCCACTCGCCGCAACCCTCCTCCGTACACTTTCAATTGGGATATGCAGTCCAGGATTCCACGTTTTGGCTACATCCATGTCCTGGTCCACCATCTAATTCCTAATGGGACGCAACTATCTTGACCCATGTATAATAAGTGCCTTATTGAACGACCTGCACGACCTGCACCACCAGCTGATATCGCTTCAGATGATCCCCCACCCTTGGCCTCGGGGATGTCATCCCTCCCCATAGCGATACTCGATCGAGTACTTCTGTAAACTCCTTCTTTAGGTGATGAGATCCCTCTGGCTCCCAACGCATACGAGGTGACATCCGTGTATCTTTCCTCAGAACGTCGACCAGAATGACGTACTTGGGTAAGTGACATGGCTAGTGACGTTCTAGTCCTCCCTAAAACAAATTGTCTCGAGCTTGATATCATTTACGAAGCTCATGATGTCCATTCCCTACGTCTCTCGGAATCCAGGCCTTGTCTGATGATCTCGGAAAACACGAGCGTCAGATAAGCCGTCCGTGGTCACCTCACATCATCACACCGAGAAAACAAGAATGCAGCGAACAAGACCTTGCCAAGAGATCTTTCCCGTTTCGTCATTCTGTTCCATGGGCAGCTACTCGTCGTCCAATCTAATCACTCTCAACTACACGCATTCAGGCTGAGGCATATCCAACCGAATTCCACCAAGAGCAGGTTCGTAGTCATGATCAACCGCGGCTGGCCTTTGCTGTTATTTCTGCATCAAGCTACGACTTGGGCGAGGGATATTACATTCCCTCCTTTAGCCCCACACCAGCTCGGTATCTATGGCAAATCTCACAGTCAACAGCCATACCTTTCTCCAGTCACGCCAGACCCCGACTTGCTTCTCGAATTCGAAAAGTTCTCGGGGTTGGCCACATTTGCCAATTTACCATGGGTGCATTGTTTGTCACACGATGATCAGGTGGACAAATATGACATTGCCTTCTTGGGCGCTCCCTTTGATACTGGAACCACAGGTAGGCCTGGTTCGAGGTTTGGCCCCACTGGCATCAGAGCGTACGTTGTCAACACCTTCAGACCATCCTTGCATACATTCGGTCTGTCCCTTGACCACTGAATGCTAATAAGTGCTCCCGACCCAGTGGCTCAAGACGGATAGCCGCTCCATTCGCGTGGAGTCCCTACACCCACGACAACAATTTTCTCAAGTGGGCCAGAATCGTAGATTGTGGCGATGCCCCCTTGACGTTTCTGGACAATACGGTAGCCTTGCAGCAACTAGGGAAAGCACACAAGGTGGTCTCTGGGCGAACTGCAAATGCCACTGAAGTTGCCACTGTCCCTCGAATCATCACTCTTGGTGGTGATCACACGACAACCTTGGCCGCGTTACGTTCTACGATCGACCACTGGGGCCCAGTCAGTGTCATTCATTTTGACTCTCACATCGATACCTGGTAGGTGGACGCGTGTGCCTAGCTTGGGACATGTCAGATCTGACTGTGACAAATGATATCCTTTCCTCCTGAAGCACGTGACTGAGATGTTGGCTGATGAACTCTTCTGCAGGGATCCCAAAGTCCTCGGAGGGGGCTTCTCGCATTATGCTGGTGTTAACCACGGCACGTTTCTGCATATTGCCCACGAAGAAGGTTTGATTCTCAACTCGTCTGCTCATGCAGGTATCCGAGCCCCGGCCTCAAATCAGAAGTATGACTGGAGGAATGACCGGAGATGTGGATTCGAAATTATCACTGCCAGAGATATCGACAAGATTGGAGTGGCTGGGATCATCAGTAAACTCAAGACTCGGGTCGGTAATACCAACGTCTATATTTCAGTTGATATTGATGTGCTTGACCCGGCCTATGCTCCCGCGACAGGCACCGCCGAGGTTGGTGGCTGGACCACCAGAGAACTGCTCAGCATCCTCGACGGTCTTGAAGGGCTCAATGTAATTGGCGCCGACGTGGTTGAAGTGGCTCCTGCCTACGACAATGCTGGACAGACGACAGTGCTCGCAGCGTCAGAGGTTGCAGTGTCGTTAATGAGTCTGATGGTAGAGACTCCTGTCAAGCCCGTCAAGACATGATCAGTACCTTAGGTATGTAGACGCGGGTTTCAATTCCAATACTGCTGATTGGTTCCATCTCATTGCCTCAATTGCGTCACCTGATTTAGTGGAGAGCGGGGCATGGTAGGAATAAGGAAGGAGCAACTGGGTTCTCGAAGAACTGCAAGAGCTCCCAACCATCAATCAGATCATTTTTGTCTCATCAGAAGACCGGAGATACACATCGCAAAGGAGCACAATCTCTGTGGATGAGTCAGCAACGTGCTGATGAGTCTGCTGGCACGCTTGTTTCATTTTAGCATTTGCGCACGAGGATGATGCACCTTGTCATGTATTTGTGTTCCTCGTAGCCTATTATCCGGTTCGACGAGGTCGATCACTGGTCCAGAAGTCAATGGTGGGCATTGGCATTGGCATGATCCCTGATTGGTAGTCGGTCAGTGCCTTGTGACGGAGCTCGTCTGCCCTTGCCTTTCATGCCTCTTTCCCCCCCACCAACCCACCAACCCCCCAACCCACCAACCCACCAGACTTTCAACCTTTGATTGCTTTCTGTAGAATCTCCCCTGCTGGCCCTTGTAGCCCTTCGTACCCTTCATGCCCTTCTCCTTAACGCCTGCGCACTGGCCGAATGCCCCGCGTTGATTCCAATCACAACCAGCCGCCAACACTAACACTCGCAGCCAAACACCCCTCAAGCCACCCTGCCTCCCTATCTTAGTACCTAGGCACGTAAACTGCCCCTCGTGCTACTGACCAACGACATACAGGCTACACAAGTATGTAATCCAAGACCCCGGTCCAGATAGAGGCGGTGCTGGTGCCCATGCCCCATGCCATTGCACTAGGATCTTCCTGCATTTCCGTTTATATTCTTTACCGTCGGCTGACTCTTTGATGGTTTCCTCTCCCCCACAGTGACCGACAATACCACAGGTTCGTTGTGAAGACCCTACACAAATATGGCGGACCCGACCTCACCGAGTCCCTACTCAGAAAATAAACGATTCGAGCCCAAGCAAAAAGTCGAACTCGAGCCTCCGAAAGATGACTTGATCACATATGAAGAGCTGAGCCAACATGATGGTAGGCGGAACCCCAATATGATGTTGGAGGATGTACTGTTCCCAAATACACCCAGCTGACAGTGAGGATGTATGTGCGCTACAGGCAAGAACCCTGACAAACCGGCCTATGTGGCCATAAAAGGCACCGTCTTTGATGTTTCCAAAAACTCAGCCTATGCTCAAGGTGGTTCATATCAAGGTGCGCAGAAACCTCAAACTACGCGCTCAATGTGCAGAGAGACTTTGGGCTAACCCGGACCCTTTCACAGTCTTCGCCGGCAAAGACCCCTCTCGTGCGCTCGCAACTTCCAGTCTCAAACCCGAAGACTGTGTGCCGGAGTGGGATGACCTGGACGACAAACACAAGACGGTTCTAGACGAGTGGTTCACTTTCTTTAGCAAGAGATATAACGTTGTGGGCAAGGTCAGTGCTCCAAAGTCGCCAAAGTTGTGAACTTCATGCACACCCGTGGTCGGTGTGTCGAGATCTATACTCTCTCCTCCCGGACGCGGACGGGGTTTGAACTATCCATGAATTCATGGCTAACGTCGACCATGCGTGCCTTCAGGTCCAAGGCGCCCATAACACGGGTCAAGATTGATTCGTACCCGTCCTAGCCAAGCAAGACGCAACTTTTCAGGTACGACGTTGCGAACAATGCGAATCGCCGGCAAACTGACGTCTTGCACCCTCGAATTCCCGCGAATGCTCTTTGATACCAACTGGTCTAGGCTATGTAGTACGCGGCTGCAGGAACAAGGGAACGATTGTCAATCAACCATCTTGTCGTCCCCGGCTCCAGTCGAGCATGCAATGTTCAACCCTTTCGTGCCTTGCGTGCCTGTCGCTTCTTCGCAATGATCCGGTTTCGCTTTGCAACACGGTTCTTCTGCTCCGAGTCTCCTTCTCCTTCCTCAGGGCCATTGGTGCTGACGACGGTCTTGGGCCCTTGCGCCGTCTTCTCCTCGGTTGCATTATTTCGTTTGCGCTTTTGTCCCTTTGGGCCTCTTTCGTCCTTCCCGTTTTTGCGATCTTCTCTTCGTTCTCCCGCAGGCCGTTCCTTTGCCCGCCTCTCCCGCTCGTTCCGGCGCTGGACCACTTGGGCATTTTCAATGGCGAATTCCACAATCAGTCTCTTGGGCTTCTCGCCTCCGGACTTGATCGAATGTCCATTGAGCCATCGAAGTCCCGCGAGGGCATTACGATGGCTGACATATTCGATGAAGCCATACCCACGACTTCTTCCTCCACCTTCTGTGACCTTGGCACCTTCACGGTCTTCAAACACCACCTTGGCTTGTCTCACAATTCCCTTGCCTTGTTCTTTCCGTCTCTTCTCCGCCTCTCGCATCTCGGCATCTCCACGAGACATCTCATCCTTGCTCAACGGCTGTCGGATCCCGGCTTTGACATCTTGGGCAAACCCCACCACCGCCTCCCTCGCCAAGGCCTTCAATTCCTTACTTCCAATATGTCGCGGAATGTTTCGGATACTCAATCTCGTCAGACTCAGACCGAGATTCGGATTACTCTTGATCAGACGCTGTCGTTGACGTTGACTGCTTTCGCGAATATCCATCTCTGCTTTACCCAGAGCATCCGCCAATTTCGACCCACGTGCCACGGACCCCTCTGAGAGGAGGTATAATCTTCGTTTGTCTCGGTCTCGAATATCTCGCTGTTCGCTCGCCTCGTTTGCACGTTTCTCTGCTCCTTCGCGTGATAGCGCTCTCACGACATTGAGAACCCGTCCTTCCAATGTATATTTTCCGGATGGATCCGATGCCTCGTTTTGTAGGATTGAGTGCTTTAATGTGTCGACCTTGCGTTTCTTATCCTTGGATTCGTCGTGACCCGCGGCGGCGATCTCGTGCTTGGGAGCTCCCTTGACGCATGATTTGGCGTCGTCGACATTGAAAAAGCAAACGAACCCCGTCCCTCTTGAGCGTTCTGTTTCCGGGTCATATACCACCCGGGCGTATCGGACGGGCCCGAATGTGGAGAAATGGGCAGAGAGCATCTCGTCAGTCGTGGTGAAGGGAACATTGCGCACAAAGACGGTAGTGTCGTTACTGTTGGTTTTGACATCCCCATCTTCTGAGTCTTCCTCGTCGTCTTCGTCTTCGTCGTCGAGATCAGATTCTTCAACATCCATGTCGACATCGTCACTCGAAGTCTCATCGTCGTGCTCTTGACCATCCTCAATGGCAGCAGCAGCATCCTCCTCCAATTCATCATTTTCAACCTTCTCATCCTCAACAACGCCAACGGCATCGGTCTTGTTGAGTTTAGCCTCTTCAGCAGTAGCATTTTTCTGTTCCTCCCAAGTATCTTTATCCACCGCCCAATCAACCGCCAAAGTTCTACCATCCACTACCTTTCCATTAATGCCCGCAAGAGCCTTTTCTGCATTCTTTTTTCCCCGCAACACCACAATCCCAAATCCATATTGTGTCCTGGGACCCTTGGAGGGAACTACCGCATGCTTGACTTTTCCATAACTGCGGAACAGTAGAGACAAGTCCTCTGCCGTTTTGATACTCCACGGCAAATTCCTGACAATCAATTTCGGCGGCTGTGCTTCTTTCCTTCCTTGCTCTCTTTTCTCTCTCAATTGAACCGCCGTAGTATTCACCCCGCCTTTCCTGCCTTTCCCCGTCACCACACCCGTCAAGTCATCATCTGCATCTCGATGTCTCGCCTGCGCCAACTCGACTTTAATCTTTCGACCGTCTAGCACCGAGTCGTTGAATTGTTGAATTGCGGCCTGTGCATCTTCAGCGTCTGCAAAGGTCACAAATCCGAATCCTTTGGAGATCTTGGTCTGTGAGTCGATCACGACAGTGGCGTGTTTCAGAGGAAATGATTCAGAGAAATGCTCGGTTAGGCGTTCGGTCGTGACAGAGGCGGGAAGAGATCTGACGAAGAGGGATCGATTCTGATCGGTGGCTTTGGCTTGCTCGGAAGAAGAAGCGGGTGCGACAGGTGCGGCGGCTAAGTCGACTTCACTGACGTTTGTGGTGGTCGTAGTCGTACTTGTAGTTGTGGGAGTAACTTCATACTCGCCGTCTTCGAGTTTTCGACGTTTATTGATGGGACTCATGATTGTGTAGTAGGCAACGGCGGTGCCGTGGTAATGGGATAAATAATTATAAAAGAGATTGTGATTCACGAAACACACACACCGTGGTTTGTGTCTTGTAAAATCCTTTCTCTGAAGTGACTGAAGTCCCGCTGTCAGTCAGTTCGTGGTTCAGAGAAAGTTGTTTGCAACGGTCCAAAAATTTCTCCAACAACTTTACTCGACTAAATGCCCCACAAGAATTTACTGCACAGACTCTTTCAATCTAGAGGCCTGTCCGTAAGAGGCTAGACTGTGTACTGGTGCTTCTCCAGATCCGTTAGTAGTACTCTTGGCGATTGCCGCTTTAGCATGCGATCTGTTCGTGCTCCTCCTGTCTGCAAGGTCGTCCATGCATCAATGTTCACGGGTTTGGTGAGTGTGATCAATCAGTGTCTTTGGATGCTGAATCAGAAAGAATAGCTATGTAGCAGTAGAGCGCAAGAGGTGTCAGATCTGGCAGCCATCAGATCCCCGAAGGCGAAACTGTATTCATCTCAGTCACAAGCATAGACGCATTCTACCGATAGTCTAATGAAACGGAGTATCTATCTGGGGAAGAAGCCATGTTGCCGAAATCGTCTATCGAAGATACTTCTTCTCCAACTTTCGCATCTCAGCATCTCCCTGAAGTGCAAACACATCAGATACAGATGCAATATCCGTCTCGACACCAGCGATTCCCCCATCCTGTAGGATTTGGGAGAATGTCTTTCGCATTGATGCCACTGCTGATCGAATAGCGTGATTCCCACAGATAATCAGGCCAACCTTGTCTAGTTGGCCGATGTCGTCGAAAGAAAGCTGAGGATAGCTCGTTGGCACCAGCACCAGAGGAACCTTTCCAGACCAGGCTCGACAAAACGATAGAATCTCATCTGGGGTCTGTTGCTTACTGTGGATCAACACTGCGTCAGCACCGGCTTCCGCATAGGCTGTCGCCCGACGCAAGGCTTCTTCCTGACCAAGACCAGCGATCAAGGCCTCAGTACGTGCAAACACGAGCACCGAATCCGACGCCTTCGCCGCTTCGATCTTGCCCTGGAACTCCACACTGGAAACCAAAACCTGCCGGCCTCCTTCTCGTAGACTGCTATCCTTGGGAAATGTCTTGTCCTCGATCACCACTGCTGCGGCTCCAGCTGCTGCAAACTGTGGAATAATGTATGCCACATTGACGGCATTTCCGAACCCAGTGTCGAGATCGACGACCAGTGGAAGGTCTTGGACCTGTCTCATCGATCGAGTCATCTCCAGGATGTGGCTCATAGGAAGTATGTTGGCATCAGGTACTGCATATGAGGCTGACAGCTCGAAGCCACTGACCCAGATTGCCCCAAATCCAGCTTCGGCGGCTAGCTTGGCCGCCAACGGATTGTGCGCCGCCATTGCGACGGCTGGCTTGCTGGTTTTAAGCCGTTGGCGCAAAACTTCCTTCATTGACAATCCACCCTTTCCTGTACTTTGAACTTCCATCATTGAAACCCCGCTCGAGCTCAACCTTCTCACTGCTTTCGTAGGAATAGATGTATGCCCAACGGTGCGCAGACTGGAGAGATATCGGATACTATGTTGTACCCAGCACCGAGTCAAGACCATCGAAGACAACAATGTGCAGTCGACGAGCCCTACTCAATGATAGCCTACAAAAAGCAGAAAATGACTCATTGGGAAATGTGATTTGATGTAACCAGAGTGGATCGCGATGCTTGGTTCTGAGCCCTCCCGCTCAGGCTCGGCTGCATGAGTGATCGACAACACTGCATCATGAGGAGGCATGGAAGGAATGCCAAGATCATGTATCAAAACCCATAGAGGTGGCTATTATACTGATGTTTCGGATCCGGATGTGATAGGCGGGGTTAAGGCGTTGGAGAATGAGGACGATGACATCTTCAAAGTACCACTGAAGAACGCCCCTCGTGGCTCTCCATGAACTACGACCTACGGAGTACTCTCCACATCTCGCTACTCCAGACTTGGTATGTGTTTCTCCAAGGCTGAAGCCCCAGTGGGGATTGTCTTCCGAGGTGAAGCGGCTCAAACCCCCCGCATCCATCAACAACACGGCTATACTATGCCGAACGACATGCGTCTGTGAACAAGGGGGACATTTAATCCCCACCTTGCGCGACAGACAAGGTAGATAACTACCAGAACCAAATCATTCAATGAAGTCTGTTATTCTATCATTCCACTTTGAAGTTTCAGCTCTCCTTGCTATCAATTATGGGTCTTAAACGAGACATTGGCGAAGAGGACCGCCGTGCCAATGGACACACAGACGGTGTTCAAACCGCTGCCCAAAATGGCGACGCAGAAGACAATGGGACCCTGGAACAGCCGCTCGATATGGTGGTGGTCGGAGCTGGGTTTGCTGGCGTCTGGCTGATATACAAGCTACGCGAGCGTGGGTTCAAAGGCAAGATCGTTGATGTAAGTGTCCATATCTAATGCAGACTTGAATGCAGCGCTGATCATGCTATTCTCGCCTTAGGCTGCTTCTGATCTGGGTGGCATTTGGTACTGGAATCGGTATCCTGGCGCCCGGGTTGATAGCCAGTACCCAGTGTATGCTCTGTCAATTCCAGAGGTTTATAAGGATTGGACATGGTCTTCACACTACCCGGATCACAACGAACTCCGGGAATACTTCAAGCATGTTGACGAGCGTCTCAATATCAAGAAGGACTGTGTGTTCAACAGCAAGGTCGTCTCGGCTGACTGGGACGATGAGCGGTGCTTATGGACCATCAAATGCGACACTGGTCGCGTCTTCGTTGCAAAGTCCTGGACGGCAGGGACGGGTTTTGCCGCAAAACGACATTTCCCAGATTGGGAAGGCCTGGACGACTTCCAAGGAGAGATCCACCATTCAAGTTTCTGGCCCAAGGAGGGCGTTGACGTCAAAGGAAAACGGGCAGCCGTCATTGGAACCGGCGCCACCGGTGTTCAAATCACTCAAGAGGTCAGTTGGCTCTCATATACCAAAAGATTCCCAGCCGAATCCCCTGAGATCAATTTCTGACCTGAGTTTGGACTTGCAGTTCGCTCGCGAAATCGGCCCCGAAGGCAATTTGAAAATGTTTCAACGAACTCCTAACCTAGCGTGTCCTATGAACCAGGTATATATGACCAAGGAGGAGCAGAAGGAGCTGGCAGCGGGTCTTAAAGAGAGGTTCGCTGATCGCAACAACTATTACAATGGGTTTCTCTATCAATGGAGAGAAAACTTAACATTTGACCATGACGATAAAGAGCGAGAAGAGTTTTACTGGACACTGTGGAAGATGGTGAGTATCAACTGACTCAAAAGTGGTGTTCTTACACTAAGAGGCATTCTACAGGGCGGCTTCCGGTTCCTGATGAACAATTACTACGACATGACAAGGAATAACGATGCCAACCTTCGAGCGTACAGCTTTTGGAGAGACCGTGTAAGGGAAAGAGTGAAGGATCCTCGTAAAGCGGAGCTGCTCGCACCAACTGAGCGTCCACACCTCTTTGGAGGCAAGCGGTTGTCTCTAGAACAGGACTTTTATGATCATTTCAACAGGGTAAGATCCAATATCAGCTCCTTTCAACCCTGCTGACTTGACGACACAATAGGAGAATGTCGATGTGATTGACGTTCGCACCAACCCGGTGGTTAAATTCGTTTCAGACGGAATCATCCAACAAGACGGAACTTACCACAAGCTCGATGTTATCGCCCTCGCCACAGGATTCGATGCCATCACTGGTGGATTAAAGGACATCAAGATCACTGGTGTCAACAAACAACTGCTTAGTGATAAATGGGCCAAGGGCACCTGGACTTACCTTGGGCTCACCACATCTGGTTTCCCCAACTTCTTTTTGTATGATCTATATTTCCACCTATCTGGCTATACTAGCTAACATCCTTCTCTACTTCAGTACCTACGGCCCTCAAGCCCCCACAGCATTCTCGAATGGTCCATCCTGTATCGAGATACAAGGAGACTGGATAGTCGACGTGCTTAGCGACATGCGTGAGCATGGCTGGAAGAAGATTGATGCTAAGAGGCCTGCTGAGGAGACATGGAAAGATCTAGTAAACGAGTTCATCAACGACACACCTCGCGGGAAAGTACTATCTTGGTATAACGGGGCAAATATACCAGGCAAGCCGATAGAGCATCTGAACTATGCCGGTGGGATTCCACGATACAAGAAGACCATTGAGGACGTCAGAGCGAATGGATATGAAGGATTTGAGGTTTCGTAACATTTGCTTCACGTGGAAGTTCATAGTAGATAGTGACTAATCCTTAAGTAGTTAGCGCATTAAGTCTTGGCACCTTCCTGATGTTAACCTAGAAGGCGCGAGTGGCGTATCATTTTGATATTTAGAAACAGCATTCTCCCAAATTGTTATCTCGTCTTCTTTCACTCGCAGTAGTTCGAGTTCGGTCGTCCGGTGGGAGACTTGGTTGTTGAATGATTTGAAGATGGCTGAGGAGTTTGACGATGTCGAGTTCCTTGCCGCAGAGTCAGCCTTCCAGCAAGCCTCCGGGGAAGCACATGCCAGAAATTCGGCAAGCAATGCTCCCTCAACATCAACCGTTGTTCAGCCGAAACCTCAAGCTCTACCATCGAGACAAGGACCTTCGGCAATCCTGGTCTCTACCCGTCAAAAAGGCAACCCAATCTTAAACCATGTCAAGTCACTACCGTGGGAATATTCTGACATCCCTTGCGACTATGTTTTGGGTGCCACCACATGTGCACTCTTTTTATCCCTCAAGTACCATCGACTACATCCAGAGTATGTATACAGTCGTATTCGCCAGCTGGGGAAGCTTTATAATCTCCGTATCTTGCTTACGATGGTTGACATCACCAACCACGAAGAAGCTCTGAAAGAACTGTCCAAAACTTCCATGATCAACAACCTGACCCTGGTCCTCTGTTGGTCATCCCAGGAGGCTGGTCGGTACCTTGAGCTTTTCAAGTCCTATGAGCATGCGTCTGCCTCCTCAATACGAGCTCACCAGGCTGAAACCTACAAGGAAAGCTTGACAGAGTTTGTTACAACCCCACGCACTATTAACAAGACCGATGCAGCAAGCTTAATTTCCAATTTTGGATCGCTTCGGGCGGCAGTTAATGCCCAGCCAGAAGAACTAGCATTGGTGCCCGGCTGGGGTGAGAAGAAGATTAGAGCATGGACAACTACGGTTCGAGAGCCATTCCGGGTGCGAAGGGCAGCCAAGTCTAGTGCTGCGTTGCTTAGGCAGGAGTCTTCTCTTTTCTCAAGTGCCGATGGTACACCTCGTGGCCAAGAACCACACTTTCCTTCTATCTCCGCTGGCACTACCCCGACATTGAGCAATCAGAACTCTGTCAGTGGGCCGCCGCAAGACGTTGATGCTCTCACGAGTCGAAAACGTTCTCGTCTAGAGCAGATGGAAAACGATGAAATCGAGGCCGACGATGAAGCTGCCCTAATGGCTCTTGCAGAAGCACAGTCAGAACTCACAGATGCCGAAAAGCCAGAGATTGTCAAAGCTGTCTCGCGGAATGAGCCAGAACTGAGCGATGGTGTCGCTGCAGCATTGGCTAAATTACGCCAGAATACGTAGTCGAGAAATGGGGACTCATGGCCACCAGGATCTTCGTGATGAAGCCCATATACGTTTTCGTCTGAGCCACAAGGCGAAACCAACCTTCGCGTACTTTCGGCTCTGACTTCTCCCATGGCAAGCTAGATCTCGCTCCAGCCAGAGCGCACATACCTGTGTGTCCCACTCGAGCGCCATCGATCCTGACTGGGATTGGGTTGGGACTGGATATGAAGTTGGCCTCAGATCTCGATGAGGATCGCCAAACAGGAGGCGTGGTTAATTCGGACTTCGTCTACCGCTTTCCGAACGGCCCACCACTGGGCATAGGACCCTGCACTTCACCACATTGTGGTGGCATTATCCTCACGCTGCATGCAAAATATACCGTGGATCGCCGCCACGATGAACTGTCGCAAAAGGCAAATGATTATCATTCCCGTCACTCGCTCGATGCGAACAGTTGGCATTGCTGGTCTCAGTAGCCGCGTCCTATTCCGAGACAGGGAATCAATGATACTTGGCACTGAGTAACCATGCGCAAGAGACGTCGCTGCGATATAGCCGCATTCTCATTCGGTATGGGTAATGATGCAATACCATGCGGTCGATCGATTAGCGAGGTTACCTTTGAAGTGATCATGCCACCCATGATACTCGGAAGGTTGTAGATAGGAAATCCAGCACACCACTTTTGAGAAGACCACTGGTTGTTGACGACTGCCCACTTCAGCAATTGGACAGCAGGTATGGCTTGGGCAGACAATATCCGGGTTGGGGTGAATAATCCGACTGTTCGGTCGATGGTCAAGGCGAATTTTCTCCTGCATCACAGATAAGGCTGAACGTATCCGGCTGAACGTCTCCGGGTGGCGGTCATATTCGTGCGGCCCGGCCCCCGACCCCAACCTTTCAGCAGGTCTCGATCGTTCTTCATGCTGTCTCCGACTTCTAATCTGGGATAAGAGCGGCATTGACTCGATGCCCATTTATGCAGTCTACCTTCCCCACCAAGAAAGAGACATTTAATCAGAACGTGGCATCAATGGCTAAGACGTGTACGTATCCAGCATTTCTGTATTTTTCTGTCAATTCGGACTTAATCCAGGATTCTACAACCAGCAAACGGTTGGGAACTGAGGCGATGGAGCCTTGGTATTCCACGATGCAGGACACTGGTTTGACGCACAATCGCTTGTCAAGCTCAACCAAAGTGGCAACTGAAAATGAAGATGCAAACACATCTCACTCATTGGTTGCTGCAGGTGACGACTCGGCGAGCACGGTTCGACAAAAGAGTGCCGATGGACTGGATCCTTGAAGATGATCTCTGATCCATGACCAACTGGTACAGATGATGATCTATCCCCACTTTCTTTCACGGCAAATGAATGGGAAACCGAGTGAATCAGGAAGTCGTAAGAGCTAGGGGCTGGTCTTAGCATACACAAAAAACCATCGGTTGTTGTGTCAGACATGAGTAATAGCCTAAGGGTAAGTAGTAGTACCCAGGGTGGATACAACAAAAATTGCCACCGGACCTCCAGATACCCTTGTTAAGCGCCTTTCTATTTGAGGTTGTATCAGCGCATAATGGCCCCCGTTCAAAGAAAGAAACGAGCATTTAGCTGAATATGGCTTTAATATAATACATAACTACATGCTCAAGGCCAGAAGACTTGAATCAGTTCCAGAGTTGGGTTAAGTTTCGGTAATGGCCGAACATCCATCTGAACTGACATTCATCTTCCAAGGTACAACTCAAGGTGAAGGGTCACGAAAGGCGCAAAAGTCGGCCATTAACCGTCATGTTTCCAGAACCACACATCAGAAAAGAAGACAACAGAGATGTAAAGCTCTACATTCACACTCACACTCTCAGGACAAAAAGGATGGTCCACCGGACAAATTACTCGCAGATGATGCTGCTGCCGCCGCCGCCGCCGCCTTAGTTTCATCCGAAGGCGGCGAACAGTCACCGGACGACGGGCCTTCAACTTACTTTGCCCAAGACAGTGCAAAGTCAGAGAATACACCGGATTCCTCATCGACCCAGTCCAAGCCTGAAACATCTTCATCGGAGTCAGTTGGGCTCGACAAAAGCCTGCCCGGCAGTGACAATGACAATGACAATGTACCTGAAGACTCTGGCTCGAGGTCTGCCGAGGATCCAGGACAGAAACAACCTTGACGAACGAGGAAACCGTTTTGCCATGTTGTTCTCCAGACTGAAAAGATGTATATCGCACAATGCGACAGTGCACCATTACAAATCACGCCGTAAGCACAGAAAGAGAAAGAGAGAGAGAGGGAGAGGGAGAAAGTAACGGCACAACCCGTTCTCCACTGGGAGAAATCCATGTCTCGACCAAAAGAAACCTTTTGGTTCGGTCTTAATGTGAATTGACCAGCTGAACCTGGTAAATCGAGTTGCTGGCTTTCGTTTAGCTTTTCTTCTGGATTCTCCCATCGACGCAAGACCACCGCAAATCTGCCAAAGCAAACTTGAAATCTCCATCTAGCTCACTCTCCACATCTACTACGTTTCTCGTTTTCGACTCCAACCATCAATGGTGGAGAGGCCAGGCCAGGCCAGAAGAAATCGAAAATTCGGACCCTTTTCGAAATATTCTGGTCTTCATACCTATGACCCTTATGTGTCGGCTCCTACTAGTTTACTACTTAGTTGAATCGACCTTCAGACCATATGATCAAGATCCGACATATGGGACTTTGGAGATATTGTCGTCCTACTTTCAGTCCCACGAGTGACAATTGCCTGATTCGGCAGTGGCCTAGATCCGTTGGCCATATCATGACCGGAACCAGAAGGAAAAACAAAAGCAAAAGCAAAAGCAAAAGCAGAACAAATCAGAAAGAGCCGATCGATGTCCAAAAAGATATGATATGATGCGATGCGATGGTATTGAGCCAACGGACCCGGTGGAGATGGAGGTGGAGCAGAACGTGGAGAAGAAGCTGGAAGATGGAAGATGGAAGGTGTGTTTGGAGGTCAATGCGAATACAAATGGAATGTGGATGTGGACGTGGATGTGGATGTGGATGTGGATGCGAATGCCGTTTTGTGCTTTTGGCTGACGTGAGATGTGAGACGAGATGAGATGGTAATTGTCAAAGGTTGCCATTGAATGAATGACCACGATCATGAGATATATCAAACCACTCTTTGGTCTGGGGTTGTATGGTACTGTACTGTATGCAGGTGGATAGTATAGTATAGTATCATGCATGCACGCATTGAAGGAACATATACTCCGTATGTACCTAGCTAGACCTAGGCAAGAGTCAAGACGGTCCCTTGCCAGACATTCCATCACACACTTTGGCCAAGACTGAACGAAACATCTTTCATGACACCCAACAATGACATTACCAACTTGCCACAATCTATCAATGGCAATAAGAATACATCCAATGACACCAACAATGCCAACAGCCTCATAACAATCAACATCATCCTTCCCATAATCAAACACTGAATAGCTTGTACCCTTCCACTAACCCATCAGCAAATTTTGTAATGGCAACCCAGTCCTGAGCAAAATGAGATGCTTCATCAAAGGCAGGAATCACACCGCTCTGATTGGCGTCACTCCAGAGACAAACGACTTTGCCGTCCATGGTGCCAGTTTCAGCCTCGGGCGTGTCCCACGACACATCGACGATCCACGTCCGCTTCCACGTCCGAGACCAGAGGCGTATCTCATTGCTGCCAGCTTCTGGGACAGATTGAAACCTCTTGTCCCTAGGGCCCTGCCCCTCAACATTAAAGGCTTTGACAGGGGAGTTGAACACTATCTTGCAAGCTCGAGTGTTCTTACCTGAGATAACAAATCGGGCCTTGTTGTCACTGTCACTACCATTGACCCGAGTAGTGTTGAAAGTGAGCCATGTGTCTGGCGGGCCATTAGCAACCAACGGTGGGGTACCAGTCCAGCTGCATCTCTCCAAATTGTTGGCGAATCCTGTGATGAAACAACCGAGGTCCTGCCCGGCAGCACTGGGTAGATTCTTAACGACAGCTTGTGTGAAGGGTGGTACTCCCTGGAGGAATACCGAGTTGTTTCCGTGCTCGAGATCGATCTGTTGTTGAAAGTAGACCTTTAACCGATTCTCAGCAGAGAAGGGGAAGGCGATCAGATTGTAGATGAGAGTACCAATCAAGACCAGGAAAAGAAATATGGGAACATGCCAGGTGAAACGGTGCAGGATGGGAACAATTGGAGAGAAGAGACAGATGGTTGTAATGGCCATCAGAAGGTAGAGCAAGAACATGGAGCTACCATCCTGGCCTGTCTGATGGAGTCCTGAGGTCACTAGGAGACCGATCTGTCCCATGATGATGACATTAATCGGTACAAGAACGAGGATCTGAAGGAACCACCACGAAGTCCACTGGGACTTGCTCCATTCTTGTTCTTCGTATGAACTAGTCTTTTCTTCCTTGGAGGAAGCAGCGGGGCTTTCGGTAGGCTGGCGTCCATAACCTTTGAAAGTTCGTCGGCCGCGGCCTTTGAGGAGGCTCGTCCTCTCAGTTGGGTCGTCATCGTCCTCTTCAAATCCGTCAGGCTCGATGCCTTGTTCTGCAGAGGATTCAGGACGTGGGGTTTGAGATGGGCTTCTAGAGCTTGACGAGAAGTATTCTTCGCCGACCTTTCCTCGACAGTATGCGGACTTCTTGGGCAAGGAGAAAAGCTCGAGATATGACAGCCAGGTGGCTAGCCAGACGGACGCGGCATAAATTAGGACAAAATAGGTGCCCACCAGATGAAAGTCTCGCTCAAAGACGGTGGAAACAACAAGAAGAGCCCACCAGCCTACCCAGAGCCATGAAAAGCCATAGGCGCGTACCAAGGACGAGGGCCGGGTAAAGTCAGCGGTCCTAGAGAAGAACCAAGCCACAATAATAAACGATGATATCATGGTACTCCACACTGCCCACTCGCTGCTATGAGCGATGAATTGATTTTCCTTGAAGAGGAGATAGGCAAGCGCAACAGGAGCAGCGCAAGAAACGAGGAGAATGACGGGGAAACGGAAGAAGCCCCTCCAACCATAGAGGTGAATGGCGTCGTCGCCATTTGGTTGGTGATACGCTCGAGAGCCGGAGAAGAGGTAGAACTTGTCAGCACGGTAGAGGAGTGCCATGGTGATTAGCAGGAAGATCGGACCTGCGACGAGGAGGGTGACGGAGAGGGAGAAGAAGGAATGAGTGCGAAGAATGGCGAACCCTCGTCCGAGAAGGTCAAACCACACGGCGGAATGGCCTGGAGTGTGATCTGGGTCAAGATTTGTCTCATGGCCAGCTGAAGTCAAAGCCTTTGTGGTAGCGACAGCTGCACTAAGCATGTGCCAGATGGAACTCAAGCTGGTGTGACGAGCGTCATCTTGATCTGTATGGTATCTCGCTCGAGGCTCCGTGAAGGCGACATCGAGGCCTCGGAAGCCCAATTTTCCATTGAAGACGACATAATCGGTTTGACTTCTGATGAGACCTCGATTGAAACCGTCTGCAGATGTCGACGAACCGAAAGGGTATTTGCTTTTGGCGTAGGCCCTGGTTACAGCCTCATCGGTACTTCTGAACAGAGTTGCCCTGCCACCTGCACCAGCACCTTCGAGATTGAGAAAAGTGCCGATGACTTTGGAGATGGGATGCTGACTGAACACACTGGCGCCATTGAGGAAGTCTTCTTCTCCATTGTTGAGGAGCAGGACCACACCATTCTTCGGAGTGTTGTCTGGGGTTGTAAAGTACTTGACGAGTTGCAGGACGCAGATGACACCAACGCCATCGTCTGTGGCGCCATAGCCAGTGGAGACGCTGTCATAGTGGGCGTTGACCAGGACGGCTTTTCTTGAGGTCGGTTTGGCATTTGGATCTTGCCACCATTGGCTTTGATCGTCTTCTGTGCCGGGAATGTAGACGATGATGTTGGTACTCTCAAAATAGACGCTCACACCTGGTGCAGGTGGAATGCCGGCGGATGAAAAGGTCAGATTTGACAGGTTATCTTGGAATAGGTATACTGCAGGAACATCGGCAGCAGCATTCACAGAGGCCTTGTTATCTTGAATGATGGACTCTATTCTTGAAACAAGCCAATCGTGTACCTCATCATTTCGTCTGCTGTTGTAAGGATGGTAAGCGGGGGTGAGGAGTTGCAGGTCTTGCCATGCTTCGGTCAGGTTGATTCCATGAATGGGGGTAGGGGATCGAGGTGGGGAAGGTACTCCAGTATGAATCACAATGAGTGTGGTGAGGAGGGCGAGGTATATAAGGGTGGTGATGGTGGTGACGGGACCGCGGGTGAAAGCGAAAGGATTAGACAGCCTCGCCATTGAGGTGAAAGGAAGTATTATTAGGCCAGAGACATGAGGAAGAATAGAGATGACCGGCAGTTCTAGGAGAAAATGCTATATCGACACGCCGCGGTAGTAGTTGAGGAAGCTTGTTGGTGTCGTTGTCGTCAAGTTAATCAAATGAGATAAAACAAGTTGGAAGTTGACAAAAGCGCAGTTGAAGTTCCCCGCATCAAATGCACGAGGCAGGAAGGCAACAGGCCTCCGAATATCGCGTCAGGTTGCAGCTTCCTTGTGTGCATCTGCAGGTTTGAGATGCATGTGGACTGTTGGCCACCTACCAATCAGAGCACGAGGACCCTGTTCAGACACTATTGGGGGCAGGTGCGGTGGCCGAGTCACCGAGATGCCTATCGCTGGTCCTTTGCACCTTCCTCTACCAAATCCTTCTTGCCAATCTCACATTGAAAGATTTTCAACAACTGAATCTGGGGTCTGTGATAGTTTAGAATGGTCTATAAATCTCTCCAACCAAAGCAACATGTATCCAGGATGACCAGTCAAATGGGCTGAGGCTGGATTTCAGCTGCAGGGGACCGTCAACCCTATCTGTACCTCCCTCAATCCACAGAGCGGGAACCCGAAGGCTGATACGAGGTCCAAAATACGTGTCAACTTTGACCATGATCCCTTGATAAAATTAATAAGTTGCTTCTTTCGCTCTCACGTCTCTTGCCTGTCCTTTTGATACTTTCATACCCAGCTTCCTTCAGTATCGCTTGCACACGCCCGTCCCCTAACCCCCTCAATTAACATGGACACCCTACCAATTGTGTGGAGGACAGGTGACCCCGACTTATACGAGAAAGCTCGTGTTGGTCGAATCTTCAACCAGCGTCAGCCTAACAGATATCCTGACGCTGTCGTTGAAGCCCGTGAGGCAGCCCATGTGGTCGAGGCGGTCAAACTCGCCATTGAAAGGAAGTGCCGTATCGCTGTACGCTCAGGTGGTCACAACTGGTCAGCCTCCAGCGTCAGGGACAATTCCATCCTTGTGGATTTGGGTAACTGTCATGAAATGACCCTTGATCAAGACACCGGCATCGTTCAGGTCTCGCCATCGACCACCTCGGCGGAATTGAACGCATATCTACGCCCATTCGGCCGCATGTTTGCTGGAGGGCATTGTCCAGATGTAGCTGTGGGTGGATTCTTGTTACTCGGAGGTGTGGGTTGGAATGCTCGTGTGAGTGAATTGAGAATTTCCCTGAAGGCGAGACAACTTATTCCTGTCGTTGACTGTGCCATTTAGAACTGGGGCTGTGCTTGTGAACAAGTCCTCGCCATTGAAGTAGTCACCGCCGATGGCCGCCTGCTGCGAGCGGATCCAACTCAAAACACTGACCTCTACTGGGCTGCCAGAGGATGTGGACCAGGCTTTCCGGGTGTCATCACAAGGTTTCATCTTCAGACAAGGCCACTGACCAAGGTAATGCGGTCGTCTCTGTACGTTTACCCGACTAGTAGATACCGTTCTGTCTTTGAATGGGCCCTCGAAGTACGTGAGAAGCCAGCTTGACAACCTCATCCTAGCTTGTCCTGTTCACTAATTAGCATACTCCCATCGAGTAGCTCACACCGACATTCGACAATGAGACGGAGATCGTCATGATTTCAACCCATCCTCCCGGACTTGATGACCTACATCTTATGGTCTTGTTCATTACCTTCAAAGACAGCGAAGGTTCAGCCAAGGATGCTCTCCAGCCTGCCGAAGACTCTTTCCCATCCGATCCAGTTCTCCACTGGTTCTGCCAGAAAACGGACCTACCGAACGAATACGCAGGCCAGGACCACGCCAACCCATCTGGCCATCGCTACCACTGCGAAAATGCCTACATCCGCAACGGCGAAGATGTTGTTTCTGTACTTGAAAAGGCCATGACTACCTCACCATCCAAGGAAACCTACACTTTTTGGAATCCCATGTTTCCATGGAGCCGACGAAGTCTCCCAGACATGGCCCTCAGTCTACAAGCTGACCACTATCTTGCCATGTACACTATCTGCAAAGACGAGGTTGATGACGCCAAGTGTATGAACTGGACGCGCGATATTATCGCCGACGTCAAGAAATACTCGGTCGGCTCCTACCTCGGCGACATCGACCTTCAGGTGAGGACCACAAAGTTCTGGGGTGATGAACAGGCCAGGAGATTGATGGATATTCGACGTAAATGGGATCCTAATGGCGTTATTTGTGGTTATCTCGACGCCGGGGATAAATCAGGCGTGGCAGGTCTGGACAACCAGTTGGATAATGACAAGGACTGAACAAGAAGCTAGTAATCTCGAGTATTACCTGTAGACCCCAGATTCTCTCTGCTAGAAAAAAATGACTAAGCAAGTAGTTAACTCTGACCATGAATTCAGTATTCTCCCTATCGTATAGCTAAGAGTCACTGAAGGAGAATCATTATGATACGAGAGGACCTTTTTATAGCCCCAATCAGTGGGGGAGCGAGTCGTTACCTATGTAGGTACGAAAAATCCATGGCTCAATAAACTAGTCACACCATTAATGGTGTCTAACAGCAGCATCATCAGGTCTACACAAGCCCATATCGTTAAGCCAACCGTTATTGACCAGCCATCTCTCTTCATTGAGGTGCCACTACCACCCTCAAGACCAGCTCACAGGAGCAACCTAGGGAACTTAGTTAGAGAACCCACCACCATAGCCATCGTAAGGCCCAGCCCTTCTCGTCCTGAAACGATTAATCCATTCCCCTATCAGGTAATGGAGTCCCTTCTCGAAAAACCAATTCCTTGCCTTACTGGACATAAATCCTAGTTCTCGGCCTTGATGAAGTTCCCATTCCAATTGTCATGATTATTGTTGTCGTGCTCAAAATCTTCGTCGTCGCCATCTTCAATCTTGGCCATGACGGGAGCTGCCTTGGTCTTCTTGTTCGGCTTCGCTGGGCATTTCTGCTTCTTCGCCGGATGTTCCTCTGAGTCTGGCTTTGCGGCTGTAGTAGCTTTGGTGTAACCACGCTTTCCAGTAGGCGTAGGAGTAGGAGTAGCAGCAGTAGCAGTACCCATACCATTGTCGTTGCCGGTATTGATGATAGTCTTCGCAATAGAACGAATTTTGGAGATGCGGTGAGTGATGGCCTTGGGGGTACAGCCTAAAGTGATGGAGATGTTAGATTCGTATTTGACAATGAGTGTGAAGGGGACGAGAGGAGGATTCTTACCGTTGCCCATGAACGCTGCCAGTTTCTTGTAGTCCACAGTGATATCGTGCGTGGTTAGTAGACCAGCGAACAGCTGTCGTTAGAAGAAAGAGGAGTGTTAGTTCAGTGATTTTCGAAATCGACGATGAAAGATCGTGGTGACAAGCCATCGAGAGCGAGGAAGAGAAGCAGACATACCCGGGCGTCAGCGTTCTCGTCCCAAGTCATTGGCATTTCGGCGGTTTGGAATGGACAACGGGATCAGGAAAGATGAATTGATACTGATCTGGAATGGGTGACGAGGGCAATTGAGCGACCCGTGCCTTCAGTGAAGAAATGTAGACGACAAGGCAGAGGGATTTTGCGGACTCGTGCCAAGTAGGTCAAGACACGAAAGAGAGGAGATGATGAGTATTGAAAGAGGACGGGTCAGCGGAGAGAAATTCTGGCGAGCGAGTAGAAAGAAGAAGTAATGGACGAGAAGAACGAGGAGAGGGAGAAGAGGGTGGTGGATTAAGGTATTTATGTCTTGAGAGGAGGTGGCTACTGAGGGTGAGGTAGAAGGTGGCTGATCTGGGAGAGCGAGGTTGATCTGAAAATCTAGATCATTAGTAGTAAGCAGATGCTCATACTGCAATGATATAGGATGAATGGGAAAGACACGTGGACGACAAACACGTAGACACCCCCTGCCTCTCAGTATTGTCGTCACTCTCACGAACATCATCTCATCTCACAGTCAAGTCTCAATCCAGTGTATTGAAAGGTGAATCAAATTGGGCAAAATTCTTTTGAGTCTACCTGATTCACCATCAATCCTAGCCTAACGACCTTCGCTTATATGGATGCCTCGCAGAACAAAATGTTGTTGATATGCTGCCATCCCACACGAGGGTCGTCCTGCCTGCATAACTGAGTGCATGTTGCGCCATACCTTGGCAGAGATGCCCTCGTCGATGATAAAGGGCGAAGGAAACATTGGAGCTGCTGGACCGGGATGGAGAGCAGATCAGACTGGCTTCTGACTTGACCCGATGAAGCAGATGTCATTATTTGTGGTGGTGAAGATGGCCACAGGTAAACCTGCCTTATGAGATTCGCACTCTGTGGCCATCGCAGATGTTCTGTGGGGACAAGGCCCAGGAGAAATGGTATTTCATGGTTCTGATATTCAGTGGGCATCACGAAGCATCGCCGGTGTTGGCTATATGCAGGCGTGGACGCCCTCTCAGCCACCTTCCTGCTGTAGACATCTCTGGGGACCGTGCAACTGATCGAATGATGAACTCTCAGCCGCCATCACCATATGACCTCACTCAAGACTTGCAAGGTCTAGCGGAACACTACTCCCCCTTCCAGCTCGATACCTTTTTGAAATACCAGTAAATTGTCGCGGCGGAGGGAGCTGACTGTCATCCTGAAACCTCCAACGGTTGTCTTCCACTTTGTTGGACCCGGCTCGTCCAGGTGATCCGAAACCACTACCATTGGTCAATGTATACGAGCTAGCATCAAGAGGCGCCCTTGAAGGTAGTTGCGACATTCTTCGAGATGCAGGCGGCGATAGTGGTGAGGTAGGGGAAGGAGGCGCGTCACTCGCTGAATAAGAGGACTGTCTCCCATACGCAGCGGTTGCGGCCCTCAATGCCATTCCAGAAGAGCCATTTGTAGGCGGGGACAGTGGAGGTGGTGGAGGGCCCGGGGGAGGAGGAGGAGGCGCTGGCGCCCTCGAACTGGGTGCAGATGGACCAGGCATAGGAGGTGGGGGTGGAGGAGGTGCGCCGGGCGCTAATATGCTTGGAGGCGGAGGTGCAGGGGCGTGTGGTGCTGATATACTAGGAGGCGGGGGAGGAGGAGGAGCGGGCGGAGGAGCATAGTTAGCCATCGATGGTGGTGGAGGGGGCGGTGGTGGTGCAGCGGGAGCGGTGCTGTTTGATGGAGGTGGCGGTGGCGGAGGAGCTGGGGGAGCAGGGCTAGTAGAGAATAGTGGTGGTGGTGGAGGGGGAGCAGGCGGCGAATTTCCCATGCTGACCTTTCTCAACGACGGTGGAGGTGGAGGTGGTTTTCCAGCAGCGAGATTTGCAATGCTTGAAGGCTTTGACGTCGGTCTGGGAGGCACCTTCTTGGGACCAGCAAGAGGACTTGACGTTGATAGACTCGAATCGCTGGATCCTGGCAACGGTGGTCGGAAACCAGGCACAGGAGGAGCCGCTATTGTTGGCGGGTGAGGCGCTGAAGTGGAAGGGACTCGAGGTCGTGGTGCTGTCGCCTCGGAATCCGAGTGTGGCCCTTCATCAGCACCTGTGGCTATTCCGCCTCGAGTCTTTCTAAGCTTTGGCATTCCTCCCGAAAACAATCCTCCTAATTGAGGCGCACCCGCCATATTTGAGGCACCAGACCCACCATCTGCACCACCACTGTCACTGTTGCTGCGCCCTCGACTCGAACCACCTCCAGGAACTGGTGGAGCGAGTCCTCCGGGTGGTCTCAGTCCTGGAACAGGTGGTGCGCCAGCGATAGGCCCACCACCACCACCTCCTCCAGAAGAACCGCCAATTTGTGGTGCAGAACGATCATTGGTGACAGCTTTCTTCAGTCTTGTTCCTTTGGTGATGTCACCAAGTAGTGCATCCTATACATAGTCAGAACGGATTCGTGAGATTGTAGATGATCGTGGATATGGGATGCGGTATTCTGGCGCCTTGTTCCAAGTTCCCACGTGTTCTCTTTACATACCCTTCCTTTCATAGCAGATTTCGGCGGCGCCGAAGGCAAGGAGTTGCCTGGGAGTGGAGGTGGAGGAGGAGGGCCACCAGCACCTCCTGGGGGAGGAGGCGGCGGCGGCGGCGGAGGAGGAGGGGGAGGTGGAGGAGCAGGCATGGCTGATAGGTGAAGTAGAAATTCTGACTTGTTCGTCGACTCCTTGCACTGCTGTCAACAGGCGAAAGCCAGAGTAGATGCGGTGACTAGAGAAAGGATGGTTCCGTCGGTGGGAGGTTGGGGAAGTCGTGTTGATCACTCAAGCAGAGACGAGGGAGAATCATCGGGTGATTGCTGAAGACATGAGCGACTGAACGAAAGAGATGGTCAACAGACCGAAAACAGCGCCGTGAATAGGAAGAGTGATTGTGATGGTGGAGGCGTGTACTCGTAGTCTATTGACTGAAATGATGTTGGTCGTGGTAGCAAATGGAATTACAACTACCAGTCGCTGCGAGTCCCACTAATCGTCATACGTTGCGGCGGAGTCTAGTCGCACGAGGCGAAATACATAGTCGTATGCACAGCCGTTATTTCCCTGCCTATTCCCTGCCTAATTCCCTTGGCCAACAACACCTCTCCACTGAGGCTCTTTCAATGGCTTGTCTCGTAGGAGCCTGGGTGACCGGAGCGTGCAGTGGACACTTGACTCCTCTCGCATGGGACAGATGACGAGGATTCAAGTAGATAGAGTCAACAACAGCCAAGTAGCACGTGCTCCTGTCGAGATACGCCTCAAATGAGACTGATATCTGGATCAGTTACGGGGTGTGATGCCTAAAATATATACTTAGTTAGCAACACCAGAGCTCTTATTCAACCAGAAATCGACATTTGCAGGTCATCTCGAGGTTTCAGGACAAAACTCGAATTCTATTCACTGCCTGCGTAACCCTCGCTTCAGTTCCTGCACGATACCGGAGTCTGCCACCCCCGAAGCCAAGGTTATGCCAGCAATTACACACAAAAAACTATTTGATCAAACTCCCCCAAAGTGACCTTTGTAACAGAGCCAGACACAAAGGCAGATCGTTCATATGCGTGATGGAGTGCGTTTCACCGTGAACAAGCTGGTTGCAGTATATTGTCTTCCACTGGCTTGCGAGGCCAACTGCAATTCTTGCATGGACATTCTGGAGAGGGAGGAAAAGGCAACTTGGCAAATTGGTTGTATGTGACTGAGAACAGATGGTGGATCTCTTCGTTCAGGTTTCCGAGTATGCAAATCCCGCTGATCTTGACGCTATCCAGGCCATCCGCCATTCTCCGCGTATTTAGTTGTGGCCGGCCTTGCGGAGTGAGTTGCTCAACCATTCGAGTCCTTCGTAGAGACCGTCTCCTGAGGTAGCGCAGGTAGATTGGATGTACTGGAGATGAAAATTAGCATCCATGCAGAACCGAAGGATGGTGCTTGCTTACCCAGGCACGTTGTCGGAGACTGTGAAGACCAAGCTTGTCGGTGATTTCAGCAGCATTCATGGCATTCTATGGATAGTTAGTACAACCCTTCATACAAGAGAACAGAGTCGATGAGAAACGTACGGGAAGATCCTGTTTGTTGGCAAAGACCAAAAGAAGGGCATCACGGAGCTCATCCTCGTTGAGCATGCGCTGCAATTCTTCACGAGCCTCAACCACACGATCTCTGTCGTTGGAATCGACCACGAAGATGATGCCTTGGGTGTTCTGGAAGTAATGTCGCCACAGAGGTCGGATTTTGTCCTGTCCACCGACATCCCACACTGTGAATTGGATGTTCTTGTACTCGACGGTTTCAACGTTGAAGCCTAGACGATACGATCAGTATGATGGGTTGGTGATGCGGGCTGAGAGCAACCGTACCGATTGTGGGGATAGTGGTGCTGTGATAGCCGGTTAGCCATTTGCCGAACCGCGAGGGCTGATAACCAACTTACACAATTTCACCGAGCTTCAGCTTATAGAGGATCGTCGTCTTTCCGGCGGCATCAAGACCAACCATCAAGATTCTCATTTCCTTCTTTCCCCATAGTCTGTCGAACAACTTGGAAAATGTAAGACCCATTTTTGCGACTCGCGGCGGGTTTGCTCAGGGATAGGATTAAGGGAGGCGGTCTGCAGGGAGGATGTCAGTTGTGAGATTTTTGAAGTCGCGTCGTTTGATTGAAGGAGGGGTCAGGCGATCGTGTGGAAGAAGGACGGCACTGATGGAGATGGCCTGAGGAGAATTGAGGGTGATCTGTACCCTCCCTTATACGGGCGGATGGGCACATGTGTGGCCACTTTGTCCTTGGACGGCGGACGGGATCTCGAGTCAGGCAGATGAATTGATTTGTGCTTACCGGATAAGAAGACTGTGACACTAGGCTGCGAATAGGCGCAGTAAAAACAGTGTCGAATTAGACGGTGTGAGTGAGGTTCAGGGCTGAGAGGTAATGGGTAGGACTTTTAACGTAGATGAAGTTCCAAAGATGAACTCGCAGCCAGCCGGTCGATGGAGGGCGCCAAGGCCAAGGAGACTGAAGTTCCCTTAGGTAAAGTTGTTGGCGTGTTGGTAGTGCCACCCTGGCGTGCCACCCCCAATTATTCTTGCAGCTGACTGAACGCTTTATCTCTAATCACACCGCGTCTCTCAACAAGAAGCTTGTCCACTCATTACGCTTTGACCAGCCGTTATAGGGGAAAGGGGTAGTTTTGCACTGTCTTACACATTCTTTCGCCTTCAAGTCAACTGAAATTGGATCTCGGGATTTGACAAGGACATCACCTAGACTCGTGCCTTCCGAAAGCAGAGAATTTGGTTCCTTCTTTGTCAGGGTTTTCATGTATCTAGGCAGGTACAATATTTATTCCAGGCGCGTCAGACCTAAAACTTGACAAGCACGTGAACATCACACCATCGTGACATATCTTCTGTCCTACAAGAGTCCAGCAACCCAGTCACAAGCAATTGTTCATGTTAACTACTTTGAACTTGACAATATCAATGGCAAGAAACTCTTTGGTCATTTCATAAATCCATGCTCATCGCAGTCATGTGGTAGGTATAGCCTGCTCTCTCGACAATCTCATCCGGATCTGTGACTTGAAATCCCATTGACTGATACAACCTGGCCGCAACTTCATTTCCATGCAATGAACCTATCGTACAGTATGGGGACGGCTGAGTGGCTTTTGAGACCTCTGCCTTGACCGTGTTCAGAACTTCTCGCATCAAGATCTTCCCCAAGCCACGACCACGGAAGTCCTGGTCAATATAGACGGCCGCAATGTGATACTCGGGTTGCATGTCGAGAGCTGGGCACGTGGTAACGACAAATCCAACCCATTGTCCCTCCAGTAGGTACTGAACAGACGACTTGTCGTTGCCAGCGTTTGCAACGAGCACGTGATGAATAACTCCCTCTGCCCTCAACCTGTTCCACCAAAATTCAGGTTGCTCTTGAATCTCGCTATCATAGCGCGAGATCCATTTATCTGGATCGCTTTGGAGTGACTTCAAACGTAGGGTCCTCAATCTGTTCGAATATTCTCGGAACGTGGCCTCGTCTTCTGGTGGATTTGGTAGCACGTGGACCGAGAAGTTGGCCATGGTCTTAACAAAGGGACAACTTTGCTTAAACAATCATCGATAGGAAAGACCCGAAGCCAGAAGTTACGGTCAACATATGGCAAATTGGGGCTGAAATGGCTACTGAAGTACTCCTACCCTACCACATGTGACTCATGAGAAGGCAATAAACCATGTTAGAACCCTGGTGTAACCCTACGCCGTGATGTGGAAGGCATTGTGGTCCAAGATGCAGCAGAACCTTCTATTCCTTCTCTCTCCTGCAAATGCATGGTCTACCTCAGAACCACTCAGCCATGGTTCCATGAGAGAATTAACAAGTCTGTCAGTCAAGAATTTGGCATTCGACATGTCGCCAGGGTGGATTCTGGTGTGTCTTGCCAGGATCTGGATCTGGAGGGGTCGCCACAACCCGCGCTAAGCCATATGTGGACAGAACTCTTGGCAAGCTCACAATTGATTTTCATTGACTGCATCACAGAAGTTTACCTACTTCTCTTGCTTTGTAAATCATCCGTCGCAAGCGCAAATTCCTCACCATAAGAATCTAACAAGTTCTTCTGGAAGACTGTCCGCATCATGTCGAAAATCACAGTCGGTACGTCTAAACCACCGGAAACAAAATTCCATAGCGACAACAGAAACACAGTACTGACACCACAATACAGCCGGAGTGCGCACGAACGTGCAACAATTGCTCGATTACTCTCTCAATGAGAAGAAGCGAAATTTCCTCGAGACCGTCGAATTGCAGATCGGCCTCAAGAACTATGACCCTCAGCGTGACAAGCGTTTCTCGGGAACCATCAAGCTGCCCACTGTTCCCCGACCTGGCATGTCCATCTGGTACGCCCACCTCATTCCGCGCCACCTAAAATCCAGCAACCGGTCAACTGACTAACATAACCGTACAGTGTTCTCGGTGACCAGCACGATATCGACCGAGCCAAGCACCACGGTGTTGACGCCATGTCGTCCGACGATTTGAAGAAGTTGAACAAGAACAAGAAGCTGATCAAGAAGCTCGCCCGCAAGTACGATGCCTTCGTCGCCTCCGACTCTTTGATCAAGCAGATCCCTCGTCTCTTGGGTCCCGGTCTTTCCAAGGCTGGCAAGTTCCCCACCCCCATCTCGCACAACGAAGATCTCGCCGGCAAAATCACCGAGGTCAAGTCCACCATCAAGTTCCAGTTGAAGAAGGTCTTGTGCATGGGTGTCGCTGTTGGAAACGTCGGTATGACCGAGGATGAGTTGATCTCCAACATCATGTTGGCCATCAACTACCTCGTGTCCTTGTTGAAGAAGGGCTGGCAAAACGTCGGCAGCTTGACCATCAAGGCCAGCATGAGCCCTCCTAAGAGGTTGTATTAGATTACACATCTCTGGGGAGTGGTCTCCTGGGTCATGGTCATGGCAACCAGAAAAAAAAAGACATGTATTCTATGCTTAGTCCGCTGATGATGCAACGGCCATGGAAGTTGCTCATGGAGTAAAAATACAATGTGAAATCTTGCCGACTACACTACCTGTCGACTTGCAATGTAATTTAACCTGTAGGCTTCTTACTGCATACCCTCCATCAAGTCCGTCTTGTCGAGCACCATGCTTCTGCAGCCACATTCGTCTCGCAGCACCTGCCAGTCCTGTCCCTGTTCCTCTCCCCACCGAGATTTATTCTGAAAACCCCAAGCGAGGGCAAGGCGGTCAAAGAACTCTCGTTCCTCTTCACGGATCCACCTCGAATTTAGACTCGTCCCCGGCCGCCATACGACACGTTCCATTTGATCGTTTGATGTTGTGATTGCCACAAAGCCAATCGTGGACAGAGTTCCAATATACGCTGCGGCGCATGCCATGGCCGTCCATTTGGACATCTCGTAATCCATCGTGTTCTGATTCGCAGCCATCCATGATGCCGCTCCGTACGCGAGTACCGGCAGAGCAGATACGCCTGCGATTGGGAGGGAGGCTTTGAGCAAGAGTTTCTTATTTCGAAACGCTGGCGTCGCGACCGTTGTGTCGATCACGGCCAATGCGAGAGGAAGGTTCTTCTTCAAGATGGCTGCTTCCAGTGCCGACTCTGCGATTTGCAGAGGGACCGCATATCGAGGCATCTTCGACCAGGGTTCAGAGTATCGCACGGGCGAGCTGTCGGCAATAGGGACCTTCTTGGTTGCATAGAGATTGAAGATCTCGGGCAGGTATTCAGGCTTGCCTAGTAGACACTGCACCCGGGTATAAATGTTCAACAGGTCTTCAGTGATGAAGATTTTGGGATCTCTCATCAATGTCCAAGCCAGCTCCGCAACTGTGTTGGCAGCCTTGTCACGAAACGCCTGAGATATTTCTCGGTCAGGGATGAACACCTTCTCGTCTGATTTACCTTCCGCCAGGTCGCGCAATACCGAGTCCGCGAGGTCTTCTCCTTCCTTGGTTTCAACTTCTGATGGTCCCTTGTTGATGCCGAAGACGAGGATGTTGGAGAACTGGAACATGAGATCAAGAAGGATGCTGATGGTACTTTCGGAAGGCACTCTTGTCGAAGAGGTAATGTTGGCAACGTCCCTCTGGATTGATCTGAGGACGGCCGGTGGGCTCAGGGTATCAAACTTGAGTAGTTCGGTCGCGTTCTCTTCCACGCCCTCGACTTCATCCTCTTCTTCAGCTTCAACATTCTCGGTTATAGTCGTAGGTTGAGATGAGATTATCCTCCGCGATGCACCTGCTGATTTTGCTGCATAGTTGCGACGGAAGGATGAAAGGACAGCGCTTCCCTGCCGTCTGGGAGGGTGTTGAGGTTGCGGCTTTGAGGAGAGGAATGAGCTCAGATATCTGTTTTGTTGAGGTTTGGAGGCGAGGCTCTTCTGGCAAGAGCGGCAGACGAAGCCTGCTCGCCGTGGAATAGTCGTGCTCATAGCCAGATTCGCGACAAGGGCAGCGGTTGCAAGAATGTGTTTGTCAGTTCTGTGTGGCTTCAAGCTTGATGAACTTCATGGTCGTCAACTTCCTGCGCTTTTCAATTTTCCGAAATTCTGCCGGTTCAAATATTTGGATGGTCACGTGAGTGGACTTCAATTGTGTTCTGGCACGTTTCGAACCTACGACCTCCAACATCCTACGTAGTAGCTACTAGGTACTAAGTGCCACAGGCTTGAGATCACGCAAAATTATTTTGTGCGTATTGATCCTTAGGCGAAATTGCCTACTTGTTCCGCATCTTGGCCTTCCTGGCCAGTTTTGGGCAGCCTTCACCCCCGATGGCGTAACAGGTTTCCAACTCGATATACAACAGCCTTATGCCCTGATGGTACAACAAACTTCTACCTCGATGGCATAACAGGTCGATACCCTGATGTACTAACAGCCTCTTGCCCTGGTGGCATAACAGCCTTGTACCTTGATGGTCTAACCAGTGTCTACCCTGATGATACAACATCCTTCCACCTCGATAGTATAATAGCCATTCAGATGCGTGATCCTTCTCATTCTAGACCGATATAGCATATGCATCATACATGTTCTGCGACTCTAAATATCTGTTGTCGCACCTGGGACAAATCTTCGTTCTTGATGAGACCGCTGTCAGTGAAAAAAAACTCTCTAACCAGTCATCCATTCCCCAGGAGCCAATATAATTATACTTATATACTTAGTGATTACGATCAAGCACTGCAGAGAAAATCTCTCTCGAACCTGTCCAGCAATATGGTAGTAGAAGAAGTTCTTAGTCAAGACCTTGATCAAAGTCTCCCAACGGAATCACTCCTCTCCTCTCGCAAACGGAGTCTGCTTAGCTCAATGGGTCCCCCTTGGATCAGATTCACAACTTGGTGAAGACGGGCATTGTTTCGATCGGGGCATCAACAGTCACAGACTTGCCACCATCGTACGTGTTACCGTCCACACCCTTCCACCTGGTCCCAGCCTCAGGCAAATATACTTCGCGCTTGGTCTGACCAGGTGTCAAAATGGGGGCCACCAAATACTTCGGCCCGTACATGTACTGATCCTCAGTCTTCCATGCCTTATCATCCTGAGGGAAGTCGTAGAACAAAGGTCGCATCAGTGGATCACCCTTCTCATGCGCCTCGTTCATTAGTTGTCTGGTATAGTCCCTCAACTCCTCTCGAATGTTCAGATACTTCTTGCAGATGCCGTAGATCTCTTCTCCATAGGACCAAACTTCGTTATCTGCACCGGAGCGAATGTAGCTGTCTCCGAGAGGTGTCTGTTTGGGTTCCCTGTCACCGTGAAGTCTCATGACGGGGCAATATGTACCCCATTGAAACCATCGAACGAGGAGTTCCCGGAACTCAGGATCATTGGGATCACCGCCATGGAACCCACCAATATCGGTAGTGAACCATGCAAATCCGGACAAGCCCATGTTCAAGCCTGCCGCCAACTGATTTCTCAGACTGCCCCAGCTGGAAGCAATATCGCCTGACCAGACCAGAGCACCGTATTTTTGACTTCCGGCCCACGCGCACCGCACAAGACTGACAATCTCCTCTTGTCCAGCCTCTTTCATGCCCTCGTAGAAGGCCTTAGTGTAATCAGAGGGGTAGAAGTTTCCAACCGTCAGGTTAGAACCTGCATGGTATCTGTAAATGTCGAAATCATATACTGAATACTCAGGTTCAGCCTCGTCCAGCCAGTAGGCGCGGATGCCACGGTCATGGTAGTTGCGTTTGGCCGTCTCCCAGATGTACTTTCTTGCGGCGGGATTGGTAGCATCGAAGTGGATGGGGTAGCCGCGACCCTCCATTGATGCGCGGATACCGCGGTCCTGACGAACGAGAAGTCCTCGACGGAGCATTTCTTCATAGTTCTCCGATTGCTTTTCGACTGTCGGCCAAATAGAAACCATGAGTTCAATATTAAGACTCTTCAATTCTGCAATCATGGCATCTGTACTCATAGATTAGAACACGGGACGCCAAAAACGCAAGACTTCTGCAGAGAAAATGTCTTACCTGGGTCAGGCCAATATCTGGAATCGAATTTCCAATCTCCTTGAGCGGGCCAATGGAAATAGTCAATCACAATCAAATCAATTGGTAGGTTGCGCTTTTTATATTCTCGCGCGACTGTCATCAATTCATCTTGAGTCTGGTATCGCAGCTTGCACTGCCAGAAGCCCAAACCATATTCTGGCATTTTGGGGACATGGCCTGTGACATCTGTGTAGCTGCGAACAATTTCTGAGGGGCTGTCACCAGCCACAACCCAGTAGTCAAGAATATTGGTGGAGTATGCCTCGAAGGAGGTTGTCAACTTGCTAAAAACTGCTCGCCCAACGCCAGGGTTGTTCCACAAGAAACCATAGCCCAAGCTTGACAAGGCAAATGGAACAGTGGCTTGGGAGTTTCTTTGGGAAAGTTCCAAGTCTGCACCCTTGAGGTTTAAAAATGGTTGTTGATACTGCCCCATGCCATATATCTTCTCATCAGGATCCTGTGACTCGAATCGGGCCGTGAGATGGTAGTCCCCTGAGCCAAGTCGGGGCTTCCATTCCCGAGCTTGGATTTTCAGCGAACTGCATTTGGGATCTTGTAGGTCGAGACGATGTCTTGCATACTCCTCAAGGAGAATTTTGCCGGTCTTGACGTTGGAAACAATGACCTTGCCTCGGTTGGTGATATCAGCCTTGATCTTGCCGTTAGTCAGGGATGCCGTCTTTTGTTTAATCTCAATGCTGCTCTTGACGGCTGGGATCTTCTCCGTCAGAGCCCATTCGTTCTCAGGGATCTTTGCCAATTGAGTCGCACGAACTCGGACGGCATTGTGTCCCCAAGGCTCGATTATCAGAATCTCAGCATCATAGCGGAAGACCAGTCGGCCATCTTCATTGGTGAAGCTGGGGTCTGGCAGAACACCATATTCTTGGAAAGGCACTTGACGAGACATGTTCAAAGTATGTGACTATTGTTTTCGGTGGCTTTTTTTCGGCGTAGACCAGAATATCGGCGCCGGATCCCATGTAGCCGGTACCGACATATATTCAAGTTATACTTACAGTAATACCTACAACGAGTTGACATGTCTGGAAACACCATGATTAATTAGCCTAAAACAGTGATGACGATCTCATAAATCTCTCATAACAGCGTTCTTGGAGAAATCATCAGGGGCTGATCTATATGGCTAGGATTAATTGTCCCGGTCTTCGGCGCGTGTGCGGGCTTCATGGCGTGGGGAAACGTGGAGGCAGCGCATTGACGTCTGTCGCCCCGAAATTCAGCGTGCTAACACTACATCAAATTCAGGTGATGGACTGCTGCCCCCAGAGCAGTTGTACGAGGACTCTGGAAAGCGACTTAATTATCGAATCTAATACAATATCTTGTAAGAGAGGACTTATTTATTACAAGGCCATTACATTCATTACCAAGTTTGCATAGTGACTCTTATGACTTTCAACCAACAGGATTATCTTAGTGGGGACCTCGGTCAATACTACTACAGCGGCGAGCAATCTGAGGTCAACAGTAGTGTCGTAACGACCACGAAGAATTTTAGGTCAACCTCGACATTGGAAGGGTAAGCGAAACAGCATCATCAAACATGCAAAATTATGAATACATCAGCCCATCAAACGATTCTCCCAAGAAAGAGTGAGATAGAATCATTACAACGACAATACCTTAATTCTGACTCGGCTGGTCGGGACGCCAAACACATAAAAAGACCTTGAACCCGAGCCGATATGATGGATGTGCGTCTGAATAAGGTGGATACATGGTAAGCTGGAAAGCCTAGCGATTGGCCAGAACAGTATGCCAAGGCTTGGAATGCGACTTCTGCTTCTCCAATTCTCGCTTAGCCCCTAGCCTTTCGTCCAAAGACATCGCCCTGGCAAACGCCATCCGGTAACCGGCCGTGCAATTCAAGATCCTGACTGCTTGGCTTTCTCCATCATCTTGTAGGTTAAGGATGCTTAAAGCACGCTATGATGTTAGGATCATTTTCATTTAGCCTGATTCCAGAAACTTTACTGCAAATTTCCCTGCTCCGGTCGAAGGAAGAATGGAGATAAACCTGTACTTTGTGAACTGGGTTGGCATAGCACTCGGCCTTATGATACGAGCCTCGGCTGACTGGACCCGGCCGGCTCCATTGTACGTGGGGGTTTGTACAAGTATAGAGGTGGATCTACCTCATAGTATTTCACTTAATATAGGTTAGCCTTCTTTCCGGCTATTTTCCTGTCCCCATAAAGCGTGGGATGATTTTGCCACGAGGTCACGAGCCTGGATTTATCCTGACCATAGAGAGTTGTCTGGCCTGGGTTAGTTGGATGCCGATCTGGGGTTATTCAAAGTCCCCACAGAATTCTCCGTTCTCCCTTTTCTATTCTACCGTGTGATTGGGTCGAATCTAAGCGATTTGCACAGACTGCATGATATTTCTATATAGCTTTCTGCTCACCCGCACCGCACTCTACCTACCCTCTTCGCAGCCTCTACCGCTTTACTAGCATTCCCCTTTCGTCATTACAGAACAACCCACACTATGGCACCAACCGTGGACGAGAAAGTCCTAGAGGCAACGCCCGTCGAGGACGTTAAGTCTAGCCTCCATGCCTTACAGGAGGCTAAACAAGCGTCTGCAGAGGAGCATAATACGACTTTTAAACAAGCTATGAAGGAAAACTGGAGAGCAGCACTATGGTCCGCTATTATATCCCTTACTATTGTTATGGAAGGCTATGATATGGCGCTCATGTCAAACTTTTTTGGATATCCTAGCTTCCAACGTCGATTTGGAGCCTATGTGAGTGCTCCTAATGATAAACAAAGCCAAAAAGACCTAAAAACCCAGCCGATCTGAAATATTTTAGATCGGGGTTAGGGGAAGGGTTAGGGTTAGGGTTGCTAACAATTCTGCGATAGTACCCAGAAAGGGATACCTGGCAACTTACTGGTGCCTGGCAGGTTGGCCTGCAAAATGGAACGTTCTCCTGTGTCATCATTGGTGGTTTCATCAATGGATGGGCCTCAGCTAGATACGGGTATCGACGGACTGTTCGAGTAGCCCTTGCTGCGATGATCGGCTTCATTTTCATCTCTTTCTTTGCTGTTCGAATCGAAATGCTTCTTATCGGCCAGATGCTCTGTGGTTTGACATGGGGTGTTTATGCAACTACTGGTGCGATCTCCGCCCCTTTTCCTATCTGTTCGAAGAAACTTACTAAATGCAGGCCCTGCCTACGCATCCGAAGTCTGCCCTCTCGCCCTACGAGGCTATTTGACCGTTTACGTGAATCTATGCTGGGCTATGGGTCAGTTCATCGCGGCAGGGGTGTTACGTGGAATGCTGCAATACTCATCCCAGTGGTCGTGGCGTGTGCCGATTGCTATCCAATGGATGTGGCCCCTGCCTCTCATCATTCTCGTTACATTGGCCCCCGAGTCTCCATGGTGGCTGGCAAAGAATAATCGCTTCGAGGAAGCAGAGAAATCATTACAAAGACTGTCGAACCGGACTCAGGAACAATGCAGAGCAACTCTAGCTCAAATCCGACACACCATCGAACTCGAGTCGGAGATTCAATCAAGCGGAAGCTATCTTGACTGTTTCAAGGGCGTTAACCTCCGTCGCACAGAGATCTGTATGGTCGTTTTTGCTGGGCAACAGCTCTGTGGGGCCACCTTTGCCTATACCCCAACCTATTTCTTCCTACAAGCGGGTGTGAGCACAGATAACGCCTTCAACATTGCCATTGCTAGCACTGGGATGGCATTCATTGGCACTTGTCTGTCGTGGCTCTTGCTTTCTCGGTTCGGTAGACGAACTCTATACTTGTGTGGCATTGCTTTCATCACAGGGGCTCTGCTCATTGTTGGCATTTGTTCAGCAGCCTCAACCGCTGCAGGATCAATGTGGACCCAAGTCTCGTTCGTTCTGGTGTGGAAGTTGGCGTATTCGTTGACGGTTGGACCCATTTGCTATGCAATCATCTCGGAGACTTCCGCTGTTCGCCTGCGACCACAGACCGTTGTCATTGCAAGAAACACCTATTGTGTCGCTCAAATTGCTGCTGGTGTTCTCAACCCCTATATGGTAAGCGACGTGATTGATCTTTGACTGTCGAGAGACACACGCTGATCAGTATCAACAGTTGAACCCCATCGAATGGAACTGGAAGGGCAAGGCAGGGTTCTTCTGGGCAGGCACATCTGCTTGTGTCACTGTCTGGGGCTTCTTCCGCCTACCCGAGACCAAAGACCGAACATACGAGGAGCTTGATATGCTTTTCGCAAAGCGAATCAAGGCTCGCAAATTCCGTGAGACTACCGTCGATGCATATGCTGATAACCCACATGAACATTAAACATCATTGGGTCTTGCAAGTCGGAAGCTTTCCGATTATCGATGCAAATGTAGATAGTCTATGGTCATGAGTCTATGCGATAGTTGTCTGTCTCATGTATATAGTACCATCAGACATGTCTTGGGGAGAAATACTAAGTAAATACTACCATCAGGGCAACCTTTGATTGGCCTGGTGCATGACTGGAACTTTGGCCCACCGTAGTGACACATAAACTAAAACACAAACGACACGCGTTCTAACCAACGTCTGAGGCTGAAACGACATCTAGCAACAGGGAAACTAGCCTCTCTAGGAACGCTGAAAAATATCAGCGCAAAGTGCTGCTGTCTAGTATGTCTTCTATACCTTCAACGGCAGAAATCTCGCGCGCTAGCTTCCAAGCTGTACTTGCGCTCTATCCTGCTTTTGCTAAGCAGGCATACGGCGTGAGGCTCAAGGACCCAAAGAAGGTTGCTGAAGCTGTTCAACGCGACAAATGGCGTTTCGAAGATCTGCCGTCCCAGATAGCCGCAGCCCGGAATGGGGAAACTACACTTGCCATGAAGGATATCAAAGCAGGAGGATTGACCAAAGATGCATTGGAGAGATTAGTCCAGTGGAAGATGTGAGAATTCCCCCTAACTGAATCAAGGGCATCCAAAGATGCCACACTCTCACCTAAAGTTGCTTAAGCGTCGCATTTGTCATCGAACTATAAGAAATTAACGTGTTTCTCGCAGCACACATGGCCAATTCCGACCTTTTCTGCCGGGTATGGTTCGCAAGAACGACCCATCTGTGATCCAGCAACAAACTGCCCTTGCTTTCGAGACCCTTGAATCATCGGATTTATCGTCTCCATCCACTCAGACGATCATCAAGGCTCTCGATATCGTTTGCAAGCTATCCGGAATCGGTCCAGCAACGGGAACGTTGATCCTCAACCTATATGATCCCACAAACGTGCCATTTTTCCAAGACGAGTTGTTCGCATGGCTTTTTCCCGAGTCGAAGGGAGTCAAATTAAAATACAACCAGAAGGAGTATCGCCAATTGATTGAAGCAACTCAACCTATATTAGAGCGACTCAAAGTTACAGCGATGGACCTCGAAAAGGTTGCATATGTGCTTGGACACAAAGATGTTGTCGATGACGAATTAAGGCAAAAGTTAGATGAGGCCTTGAGCCAGAGTCTCTCAAGCAAAGACGAACCAGAAACAGGATTGGACAAATTGAAGGGCAGTGCCCCGTCTGCGGACCGCGAGGAAATCGCCCCTAAAGATCATCCTCAGAAGACGCGGAAACGGCCAGTTGGGAATACCTCCAACGCGGATGAAGAGCCAAGGAAACGTCGATCGCAGCGTGGAAAGTGAACAAATAACCTTGGTGTGACAAAACATGGTTCTTCTTGCTTAGCTAGGGACACGTCACCTATTTATTAGCCTGTTGTCTGACCGAAGCCAAATGTAGTGATTGCCAAGTTTGACGGAGCGCCACTTGAGAAGACCATCAAAGATAAATGGTTACTGCGCAGTGCTCGATATTATTCCGCCAATACCATCTCTTTTTCTTCCCCTGGGGTGATGTCTATCGCAGTAGCATAAGGGAACTCACGATGCTGTTGCATATGGTGCCGCTACGAGACCTTGAATTTGATCAGGTGCAATTGTGTCCATATGGTAATATCCCTACAGGAGGAGTCTTGGTGTTGAATATTGAAGCCCACCAAAACCCGTCTGCAGTACCAGCTCTTGATATCTGTCCGGAGACGTGTGGAACTCAATCATCTCTGCCTCGTTGCTACCAAACAGCTTCTCCTTTGTTATGGAGGTCGACAGATTGCCATCCAATATCTCTCTGATGGGCCAGGAGATCTCTACGGCCCAACCTTGAATTGCATCGTTGGAAATGAAAACTCCAACGGAATCATCAGATATGTTACTGCTGGCTTTGAAGTGCGCTAAGGATTAACATGGCCACACCTTGATAAGTATGGCATCCTCAGCGACTCTAACAAACTCTTCCATGTTGTGTGGCCTCGGGCGCACCTCTCACCTACTCGAGTAGCCGCTTACTGCTGGAGGTTTCCCCCATGGAGAGGCTACCTTTTCTCCATACCACACACGCCAACGCCAGCCCCAGCACCACCGACAATACTGTGAGCAACCCAGGCGAAAAGCGGTGAAGAGTACGCTGACATGCATGTAGGACAGGCGATTTGTCTCATAAATGTATTGATAATGGTAAAGACCTAGTCGCTTCCACAGATGGCCTAAGGCCGGGATCATCCCGGTATGTAGACGTCGAAGATGAAGCGACCTGTACCTACAAATGGAGTTAAGGGGCACACCAACGACCCCAATGTCTCCCTCTAGACTAGTGGGGTCATCCTACCAACTTTCTTTACACATTGCCACCAATAGGGTGTGGCGACGATGGATTTGGGGTCAAGTTGTTATTGGGGAAGAGGGCCAATGACCTTATGTACATGTTTGATATTCCAACTAAATCACCTCCAGGACTGGGGCTCCGAGCCCTGCGCAAACTTGTGTGACATGGCAAATTCTCATCACCTTACTAATCTCCTCGCCTGTGTGGGCGTGGTACGGGTTTTCCGGGCTTCTCCTCGTCACCCAATAGCATGGTAGACATATGGCTTGATTCGTCCTTGGCGAGCCCAAATCGCACTCGGTTATCGCAGGTGGTGGGGTCTGGGGTCAGGGCCGAGGGGCTCCACGCTTCCCCCAGCTCGTTGGTCGAGTCGAGCACTGGCTCACGACAGTGCGGCCAGTCCCCTCGTGGCTTTGGGTGCTGATCTTCCTAAGCACAATTGACTTCAGCCAACCCCAATGATATCCGTGGAACCCCAAATCTAGAGCCTCTTACCAGATGTGATAATAGCCGTCATGAAGCCTTCGAACTCGACAAGACCATGAATGAAAAGTTGAGCCCCCGCCTCGTTGACATCGTCTGCGTTTCGATAATTAGCTCTGTCGAGTTGATTTGAATCTACGGTCCCATATTCCAGCAAGTTGCCCCACCAAACGCATGCGGTCCTTATAGCACCATGACACTGTATTTGCTTCCTGCCATTGGTATCGCCTTCCTTGGCGTCTTGTCGTATGTCGTTCTGTTTGTTGGTAGACGAGGACGAGGTTTTCCTGATGGTAAGAGCTTCGTCGCACATTTTCCTGAACGTGGGCTTACAAAGTGACACAGGCCCCCCAACACTGCCAGTCATTGGCAATTTGCATCAACTTCCAAAGAAGAAGGTGTTTCTCCAGTAAGTGCAAGACTGTGCCCATGAGGGTTTCTTCCTGACTCTCCTAGATTCACGAAATGGGCAAAACAGTATGGAGGCATGTACTCGCTGAAGCTTGGGCACGGCACGGCTGTTGTCCTGACAGATCGCCGAATCATCAAGCAACTCATGGATAAAAGGGCCTCTATCTCTAGTAACCGACCGAGATCCTACGTGTCGCAGGACTTGGTCACGGAGAATGATCACTTGCTCTGGATGAATAACACGGCGACCTGGCGTGTCGGGCGGAAATTGATCCACCAGGATCTCACAGAGTCTTTGTGTGAGAAAGAACATGCAAAAATCCAGCATGCTGAGACGACACAATTGCTATATGACATACTTGAAACTCCCGATCTCTGGATAAATCATCTTAAGAGATTTAGCAACAGTATCATTATGAGTATAGGTAAGGTTTTCCAATCTGGTGCCTCGACATCGAAGAGAGGCTTTCTTCTCTGGGCATTTACTTACAAAGTATAGTCTATGGGATTCGCTCACCTGCGTCAAACTCCCCATACATCTCTAGGCTCAATGAGCTCGTTGAGATTTGGGCAAGGATCAACGAGTTCGGAGCCACACCTCCTGTAGATCTATACCCGTTCCTGAAATGGGTGCCTGAAAAGCTCCTTGGCAACTGGGTGACTCGGGCCAAGAAGGTCCATGACGAGTTAGATGTTCTCTACTACCGCCTTCTTGCTATGGTACGCAAAAGGCGAGAGGCCATCGGCTCAAAAGGATGCATAATGGACAGGTTGCTAGATCAACAGGAGAAAAGCGGGATGCACGATCACCTGGTCGCGCTTTTGGGAGGAGTGACTATCAAGGGTGGCTCGGATACTTCTGCAGCAACGCTGAGTTCCGCTGTTCAGGCACTCATTACCTGGCCAGAGGTGCAGAAAAAGGCTCAGGCTGAGCTCGATCGCGTAGTCGGTGACGATCGTCTTCCCACGATCGCGGATTACGATCAGTTGCCGTATATCGCAATGCTGGTCAAGGAGACCATGAGGTGGCGTCCAATTGCGCCTCTAGGTGTGCCTCACGCCCTGTCTGAAGGTAAGAGCTCTTCCATTCCTCTGGGATTTGCCTCGGGCTGCAATAGACTCTTGACTGATCATATCTTAGACGAGGTGGTAGACGGAAAGTTCTTACCGAAAGGCACGATATGCTTCGTCAACGTATGGGGTCTTCATCATGACGAGAATGTTTTCCCTGACTCCCAAACCTTCAATCCCGATCGCTATGAGGGCCGCACACAGTTTGCTGCGGAGTACGCGAATTCTGCGGACTTTAATGCGCGTGATCATTACGGCTATGGTAAGTGTTCATTCACGTCTCTGAGATGGAGTAGAAATGAGTATACTAACGGCTCGAACCAGGAAACGGTCGTCGACTGTGTCCTGGCATTCATCTTGCCGATCGCAATCTTTATCATGCATTGGCCAAGATCCTCTGGGCTTTTGACTTGTCGATGGCTGAAGACCCTGCAACTGGCAAACCTATCGTACCAGACACGAGTATTGAGACAGGCTATCGAGAAGGGCTCACCAATGCAGCATATGACTTTCCTTGTAAGTTCACGGTTCGATCCGAGGCGAGGAGACAGACGATCTTGCGAGAGATGGCCGACGCGAAGGCAAACGTTTTTTCGAAGTTCGAGTCGACAGATTTTTCATAATCCCCAAGAGGGGCGAATAATGTGTTACGGGCATCGATGCTCGGACAGGGAGACCAAGCGTGTCGTACTCTATCTCAAGGTGATGAATCAGTGGGAGGTGTATCTCCATTATAGGTTATGATCCGTCCTGGCTTCTTTAATTGCCTTTAGGGTGGGAGATAGGAATCGTGTCGAGGAGGAGTCGCAGTTCTTGCACCCGCGTTCATGAGGGCCACGGTGACCTCTGCGGATAACTGCTGAGACCTGTTGGATAAGTAGTTCAACCAGTCGAACCAACCAGCCGAGAGAAGACCAGAATGCACCGTCGTCGATAAAGTGGATAGGGATGAGACAGTACTTTGGTGTGGACGTGAAGGGCCATCTGGTTCCTTGTTGCTAAGCGGCAACGCCCTCATCCTCGAAAAGCACCATCGAATGAAAACCTTGCACTTTGGGCTCTTCATCTGACAATATTCTCTGACCTATCAATCATGATAAGTCTTGGGGGGTGTGTAGCTGCCTGGTAACGCGACGCTTGACCCTGCGCGTTCGATGGGTGTCACAGCAGCCACTGGCGTGGCTGCTTCCTGCCAGAGATTCCCAAACTGGAGAGACTATCTCTGCGACAAAACGCATCCAGCCCACAGTCATTACAGCTAAAATATACTCTTGAACTTACACGGTCGAAAGCTATGTACCGCTGGTCGTGGGGCTTGTTTTGTATAAAAGAATACGCGACGAAAGAGGTGTAGGTTCCTAAACGCAGATTCACCTGGAGACCAAGGCCCATCTCACCTCCGGCAATAAGAGCACGCACATTGTACAAACCTTCAGTCCTCCTCTTTCACTCTGCATTTGCCTGTTTGTTCATTTGTATATCGCGACAGTGGAAGAGGCGGTAGGGGGATACGCTGCGCTGCCAGGATACCACTTAGATTCTCCGACTCGAGTGCTGGGTAGCCGTCTGGATGGTCGTATTCGTCAGAATAGATGCCAGTGTCGATAAGCTTGTGCTCGACATTGCCACTCTACAATGTGGTTCGTGTAGACTTTGTCGCCTTAGAAGGCTCTGAAGTACGTTCGCTGCTCTGAGGAGCGCTACTGTCGCCCGTTTTGCCCGTTTTGCCAGCAAACTGCTACAGAAATCTGTTAGCATTCCATAGAGATCTCGGTAGTTAAAGTAGAGATACTGCGTTCACAATTTGTCAATGAACCTCAAAATGACCATGTCATAGACCACGTATTCCAGATGCTAGGACTACGACGGTGAGGCTGAAGGTGGTCTTCCATGGTAGACATCCTTTCTCTGTCACAGGATGGGAGATGAAATGATCAGAACACGTCGAGCGTTGTATCACTTTATTCGGATGAGACTCTTCGAGGGAAGACACGAGTGTGAGGAGGAGGAGGAGGATGGAATTGAGGAAGGGAGAGGACGTGGTCGCCAAGGAGGACCCAACTTATTGCCGCACATTAATGAGGGCGGAATGTTTGAGTGTAGGATGTTTTTGAGACGCTTCTCGTCTCAACTACTTGTATTGGACGCCCAACTGAGTCGAATCTATGGTGTTTTCATACAATTTTGAGCTTCAAGGGCGGAGGACTGGTTGATGATTGATAGAGTCAGATACATCACAAAGAATGCGCGAGGTGGCCTACGCGCGATCCTTGTCGACTGCTATTTCGGGCATAAAGGGGAATGTATGGCGAATCCGCATACCTCTGACTGGAATTTAGGTTGCTACAGAGACCTGCGGCGTTGATAGAGGACTGCGGATGGATTCACTTCGTTCGCCTCATTCAGAATATAGCTTTCACCGGCAGACATGATTGAAGACGGAAGCTAGAGTCTGACTCTTTCGTCATGGAAAATTACCTACTAAACCGTCCCACCAGGACATGACTTTGATAGTGAAAATGAGATCGCCATCAAACAGAAAAACTACAGGGTTGATTCGCCTTTGCCCGAAGAAGAAACGCCCATCCACCAAGGGAATCGTCGGACACATAGGCTTTCCAAAGACAACGAGTGGAATGAATATGGCCAAGAGTCGAGATTTCTACGATGAGATAGGTACTTCATTTCACAAAAAGAAGAAAGACCATGAGTTTCAAGTATTTTCATTCTTTGCCTGTCTTTGGCAGGTTTGTGAGACTTATGCTCGCTCTGGAGATGGAGTCAATTGTGCATCCTCACTGATCAACTCAAGTATGACCACCAAGGCGTCTCTATTAAGTCAGTACATCGTTCCTGGAAAGGGGGCATTGGTGATGTACTTACGGGTTTGTCTGTACCACGCTACCAATCTCTTGGTTCTTCATTTCGCTCAACAACGTGTTCCTGTTGTTGGCTATCGCCTTTCTCCTTACTCTCTTGCTCAAATTGCCTCACCATCTCCTCGGATTCTCTCAGAGATAGGAGGCCCTTGCCGGACACACCACAGTTTGTGCAGCCATATCGGCGAGAAGAGGCTCTTTTGCACTCTGGGCACACCCCCATATGGCCATTGTCGAAGCATTTCCGAGTCATGGCATGTGTGGTCGCTGCGTCCTTTTTGAGGCAGTGATGGCCGTAATGACCATTACTCGTGGCTAGGACAGGGACGGCCTGGAGCTCCCGTCGTCTTCTCTCGGCTCTTTGCTCGGGCGTCTCTGGTTCCTCTTCGGGATTTGCCCTGCTGTCTCTGCCCTTCTTTTCTTTTTGCTTCTTCGTCATTTTCTGACGGTGGAGGTGGTTGTTGTATGTGTGTGGGTTGTGTGGGTTGTGTGGTTGTTTGATTGGTTTGGAAAAGGGGTAAATCTTGTCGTTCGACTAAGAGATTGTTAGAGAGGCGGAGCAAGAAGTGGAAAGAGTTTCAGTGGAAAGAGTTTCGTGGATGAAGGCGAAGACTGGGATCACAGACGAGGAGGAGAGCTACAGAGAACTGCAAGTTCATCGATCTAGGAGATAATTGATCTAAGTATGGCAGAATTGATCTGCCTGGCCATGGGTCGATACTGCTCGGCGTTGACAACACTCGAGCGTGGCCAACCAAGCAAAACAAAGACATTCACCGCGTCAACAAAGCCAGTGATGCGGGAAAAGGCACCGCTGATTATTCACTTATCGAGGCATTATCCTCTCTTAAAAGTCCTTTGTATTCTGAGAGACGATGATCCTCAGCAAGCTTCGGAGACGGTCTATTCGGTCTACGTTGTCTTAGACAACCTCTCGAGCCTAGTAGCACACCTTGAGACCAACACAGAGGGTGTGAGAACCAAAGACCAGTCAAGAAAAGAAGGAAAAGGGGGCACAATAGTCGTACAACATTACGGTCATCAGTAGTCAGTGGCATCTATCTGAACAGTTTGAAATCTTCCTGCTTTGGCTTCTCGAAACAACCGTACAGGGATTGGCTCGGGATAGCATCCACTGTGTGATCGCATTGAGCAAACCGCAGCGTAGCGACGAAATGTGAGCCTAGATGACTGTAATAGCTTAGAAAGATGACTCCTGATGTCTACACAAGTAGCTGCATAGACCGTTTGGTCCTAGTGAGAAGCAGTATGATCAGAACTCGTTGTGCTTGGTGATAGGGGCTGAGTTCTTAGGCCGGGGATTGAAGGCTTGTCTACAATCTATCGCGATGCGAGATCTAGCTGTATTCATAGAATGAGGAGGTGCTCTAGTTGGCCCTGGATGACCTAGATTAATACGATCTGTCTCCTCGCTTGAAGAACTATCACTTTCTATACCACATTGCGAGCGCACTTGACGAAAGTATGTTTACAATATCGAAAAGCCGAGTCTCCCAAGCCTCCACCATCTTCCCGACCTGGACTTCATGAAAACGGCATCTAACCATTAGGTTGCGACCCAATGATGAGATTTGTAAGGGGTTGAGCCTTTTCTCCGCGATATTACCCTCAGAAGTCGCTCAAAAGGGGTATTGTCGGCCTGGCGTTGGAGGAGTCAGTCCGCCGCCTCTCGTGTTCCTCCTTTTATCAATCAAAGTATTGAGCGAGGGTTTCGTTCGGCAGACCTGGCCGTCTACCCGAAACTGTCGTCTCTTAGATGCCAATTCATTTATACCGTAGAGTAGGATCATGGGGGTTCGCGTGTAGGCAAGAGGCATGGGACAATTCAGCACCTAATTCTACACTAGGCTGTCCTTCGAGCACTAAGTCAGTATCAACGGGAAAGAAGATTTCAAGCTAACGCTTATACTCACCCTCTTATCCCCGGGTCCACACAAGTTGAAGCCTTTGCTGGCGGAAAGAATCAGCAACTAAAATGTGGGTTCAAAGGTCAGTAAGGCTGGGTTGCCATCGCGATGATTGGACAACTGCCATGTTTAAAGAGACAACGGCTGAAGCTTGTCAAGGACCGTGCATGATGGGATTTTGGATGGGGTTGCTGCAAGGGGTGTTAGAATAGATTCGACTGCGAGATTGGAATCCGTAAGTATGGGCGCAGGTGGGAGGATGAGGTGACTGGCAGTACCCTTTCAGCCGTGGACATCCCAATCACGTCGAGTTGCAGCTTTGACAGACAAAGGATAGAAGGAGACTGGCTTAATCGAATTAATATCTTCAGTCATCCTCAAGCTCCGTTGTTAAGCTAAGCTATCATTCTTTGTAAGGGCCATTCCAAGGACAGCCAACGAAGCCCCTCCATCTCTCCTCTTCGACACCCAAGCCACCCACTCTACCTTCTATCGCGACTGTCGATCCGGGCATCGATCGAGACCTCCTCATTGCTTCCAACATTACACACGACCCATATAACAGTAGTAGACTCTAAAAAGCCCGAGGACGAGCCATTACTCACTCTTCTGAGACCTAGGGCTGTTTCCAGACCCCTTTACCTTCGACACAAGCTCGCGACATCCACATTCAAGAGGAGGAATGGACCACTAATCTGGTCGCAAATATAACAATATCCGTCTTATCAAAGCTCCCTACCCAAAAGAAATTCCTTCCCTGGCTCATACAATGCTCCTCCCCAACCTCCAGTTGCCTCATCGCGACTGCAGCCCCTCGATGCCCTTTGACAGGGCGACGACTATACCCGTCAAGTCTACGAGCAATTGCTTTTCATCTGCCAATATCCCAATATTATGGCTCAGACGGCTACAAAAGCTTCTATCATCTATATCATCGCTCCAGCCGAATTGCCGAGAAAAGCATCCCAGTCTTCCCAGTCGAACCTCACATCTGCGGCCTCAACCGACGTCTCCAGCCCCATTTCTAGATCAGGTTCTAGCCCTACTATCGACGGCTCTTCAGGGATAACTTCCTCCTGCTTCTCGTTCTCTTCCAAAAGACATGCGTGGACAAGGCTCTCGCCACAGATACAAGTATTTGAGCTGGCCAAAGACGAAGGAAAAGCCACATGCGGATCCTGATCCATCTGCTCTAATGCCTTTCTGCGCACGCGCCCTAGCATTGACCAAGCTTGTTGTCCTGACGGACTGAGCTTCCTCCTGGGTGCATCAACTGTTCCCATCACCCCTTGGTCAATCTGGTACAGCTCAAAGATTGCGTCGACCAGGCCCTGAGAGGTTGATGCTTCATCACTGTGCGGGGATGAGAGGAGATCAGCAAGTAAGAGACTCATGGACTGCAAAGGCTGGTACGTTCCGGGGTACATCCAGTGAAAAGGTCGGGAGAATGGAGCATCGCAGACTCGGATAAAAAGCTGGATGAATGCTTGAGCATGTTTGACGGCTCTGCGGATATGATCAGCTGCTAGGTCACGGGCATCAGACCAGGCATGGCTTCTTACGTTTCTCGGATATCGGCCCCCAGGTGGCCAGTCGTCTCCCTCGCCAGTGGATAGTAAAGCACGCAGTACGCTTTATGCATCATCAGGTGGAGCAAACTAGCTGCCCAGGCCGCGAAGGCTACGACCTCAGGTTGCTTTTGGTCAGCTTCAGCGGCCCAGGAGCTGCCAAACGAGAGCGCAGGGACAGCGGGTTCACCAGGCTCAAACCTCCCTGTACGGTAAATGTCCAGGAGCTGCTGTCTAGGCAATTGGCTCCCAACTGCAAGTACACGGCTAACAGCCTTTTTGATCCTTTTCGATAATGCATCGAGATCCTTGGCTGCATCATTGACTCTAGCCGATGATGTATATTTGTCTTCAAAATGCCCAATCAAGATTCCTCGGATTGTTTTCGTCGTATCGTATCGCGTTGCAGCGACGAGGTAACGGATATCTGGGTGCTAAGTCAGATACCTATTTTCCCTGACATGACCGACTCACCTGAGGCTGTGCCATTGTTTCCCTCTCCGCCAAGTTTATCCATCAGCACGATAGGGTCGATATTATCCATCTTGTCATCGACAAACAATGGCGAAAGCCCTGATGAACACGAGGACATGATATCTAAATGGAGGATATACCACCAAAGCCGCTTTCTCGTCTCCTGCTCTGCAACGGTAAAGCCTGCTGTTGCCAGGTTCCTATGCAGACCCATCCCCAACGCCACTCGAAAGGCCGTATTAATAAACTCCGGTCCATCAGAAAACTCTTCTTCACGAATGAATTGAGATTGTGCATAGATGTATGCAGCCAGCGCATACAATGTCGGCTGTCGAGGAAACCCAGTCAATGAGCTTGCCATAACTGTCACGAAGTACAAGTCTCCTATTTGAACATTTGACTTGTCTCCGAGAAGCTCCCTCATTTGCGTTTCTGATGCAGACATGAGACTAGAAAAGAGCATGGCCGCTAGTAAGCTGACAAACCCAGGCTTACTCCGAAGAATCCGTGGCGGCTCTGCCGGATGCTGCGCTTGCGTATCTCTTTGTCTCCAAAACTCACGAAAATCGTCTTCGAAGGTCGGAAGATGCAGGAGAGGAATCAATGGGAATACGGTGTGAAAGAAGCGATCGCAAAGCCGTTGACAGATTACCTGGCTAGGGAAAAAGTACACCAAACACGATAGTTGGTATCTGTTTCCGCAGTATTTGCACTGGGGATTTTCAAACGCAAGAGCGCTGTATGCTTTGTCGTGCTTTTCCGGCCTATGCCATCGGGTGAAAAGTTCAGACTGATATGGGCTCGAGTTGGGGAATCGCTGGTCTTCGTGATGATACTATTCAACCTTGAGAAGTCTGAATGAGAGATGGTTTTATCTTGAACGTTACCTCTTGAGGGATCGCATTCGCCCAATGGGTGGCGCCGACATAGAATGAGCGTCCACCGGGTTGCTTGTACATTCGACCGGCATCAGCCCCAATTCTACGAGGCGTTGGCCTCAGACTCGGACCAGGTGCCAGGTTCCCATCACCCTCGAGTCTTTCGTCAGGTGTTGGAGACCTCCTTATCGGGAGATCTTCAGAGGTGGCGCTGGCGTCATAAGCGCAAGTCACTCGACTCTGTGCGCATCGTCGACATATCGGATGAGTCTAGATTATTGTCAGACACGCTGAAGCTTGATGCGGCGTGTACCTTGTTTCTTGCCTTGTCACACCGAACTCGCCGTTTGCGGCACGGAAGACAACTGTTCACCGGTCGCAAACGCTTCATACTGTTAGCCTCGTGCGGCTCGCGCACCTCATCATCTAAGCTTTCGTGCAGGGTGAAATACAGCTAGAGGCACATGATTAGAATTCTCGACCTTGGACGTTTGAAACTCGGGCGAAAGGTCAATTGTTCACCGCCCAAGTGCCCCTTTGGACAATGAAACGTTGTTGCTTGTTGAGCCCCCTGCAGATAAATCCTTCTCGCGCGAGAGCCCGAAGCCGACCAATGACGCGTAGTGGACCTGGACCCCTCATCAGCCCAAGGGGCCGAGGGACCTGCTGCGCAAACTAACCACTTTGGAGCCGATCACTTCATCCAAAGGCATACGATGCCGAGCGGGAGACAACGTGGTCAATGCTTCGTCACAACTACGTCAAGCGTAGCAGAGCTGAAATGACATTCCGAAAGTCCACTTTGTCGGGCGATCATTCAAATGAAGGGTTGGCTGTCGCTCCGTTCGTGGGTGGTCACAGCTCATTCATTATCTCCATAGCTAACATCTCTTACTTTTGGTCACTCCTGCAACACTGAATCTAAAGAGTATCTGAACCGAGCAGAGATCCAACTATCCGCCATCGCAATTCTACAATGGAGAAAGAAGCGGAACAGAGTCGGCAAGCACAACAGCAAGGCAGGGACCAGGCTGGGCTTCCTTCGGAAGTTGCACCCAACAGTAGCACTTCTGACTACGGCATGGGGTCTGGAGGCCCGTCAGACCAGAAGGAAGGAAGTGTCGGAAAACTATTCGACAAGCTCAAAGACGAGTTCCACAAGGAAAAGGAGCACGAGAAAAAGCGCCATACCTAAAGGACTTTCACAGACGCAAGGCGATCCATGCCTAACAGCGAGGGTGACGCCTTCATTCGACTTCTTCGTGCAATTTGGAACGCCACGACCGAGCGAAATCTACAGGCTCTACAAGGAGTGATAGTGGAGGGACTTCATTTTGACCGGGAATTTGTGCTCGATCCAATAAACTGGACAGTTGCGCATGCCAACAATTTATTCAAAGAATTATAAGCTTGAAGATGTTCGCCTGAGGCCTTGTCTACAGCAAGTCGACTTTGATTGCGGGAATCATCCATGCCATGCCGTGCGGACTTAAGCCTTGTTTAATGCCAGGCAGTTTTGTGCGGATGTTCATCGTTATTCTTGATCTTTTGCTCGGTGGATTTCCGCAACCTTTCACCGAGTTGCTTGTCAACGCGTCCGAACATTTCTAGGAAGGAGTTAAGCAGTCAGCGGTGTTGCAGAGTCATGAGGGGGATCACATAAAGGGAGGGGGAGAGAGAGAGAGATGCCGTCCATACCGTATGCCCTTTCCCGCAGATCTGGAATCGTGACGTCCGCTATATGAGCCGCTGCGTTACCGACAAACCGATCATGGGCACCATCCTGCTTCTCCATGAGCCGCCAAAGTGCCGTGGCTTGTTCAAAATCCTTGTCAGTCACGACAGTGAAGATTGGAGATGGTGTAGTCACTTGGACATGATCTAGGGAGTTGGCGTTCGCGCCACTGAGTTGCTTTTGCGGTGGAGGTGCCTGAGACTGCTTGTCGTTGAGGTTGTTTGGTCCCAACTTTTCCAGGAAATGGACCGGATTGAGAGTGGTCCCAATATAGTTGGGGTCTTTCCCATAGTTTCCTGTGAAATTCATGCGTCCATCACGTTCGATAGGACAATAAACCTGACTCTTTGGGGCGTTTGTAGGTAAATATTGATAGTTGACACCCAGTCGATACCGTTGAGCGTCTGGATATGCAAACATGCGTGCCTGTAGCATTGGATCTGGCGAGGGAGCAATTCCAGGCACCATGTTGCTCGGTGAGAAGGCTGCTTGCTCCACCTCCGCGAACCAGTTGTCAGGATTCTTGTTGAGGGTGACTCTGCCCAGCTTGCGCAAAGGGAACTGCTTCTTGGGCCAAACCTTGGTCATGTCGAAGATGTTAACTGGTGCCTTATCAATCTCTTCCGGACGTATGACTTGAACATGGAGATCCCAAGATGGGTAGTCGCCTCTGTTGATGGCATCCTGTAGATCAAGCATATGCTTGTCAGGCTCTGTCCCTGCGTACTTTGCGCCTTCCGCATTTGTGAACCAGTGAATTCCCTGGTTGGAGATAAAATGGACCCGGACGTAAACATAGGAAGACCCATTGTCCTTGGTAAATTTGTACGTGTTGCCACTATATCCATTCAATGTTCTCACCGAGGCTGGCAGACCTCTATCCCCAAAGAGGAACATCAGAGCGTGCACGCTCTCTTGGTTGTTGACATGAAAGTCCCAGAACATGTCCGCATTTGTTGAATTTGTGCCTGGGTGTCGCTTGTGGCTTCGGTTGAGAGAAGGGAACTTGACCGGATCTCGGACAAAGAATACGGGCTGATTGTTGAACACCCAGTCCTGGTTGCCTTCGTTCGTCTTGAACTTAATGGCGAATCCTCGAAAGTCGCGAACTGTGTCTGCCGACCCTTTTTCAGGTCCAGTAGTAGGGATTCGCATGAGAACTTCTGTCTTCTTGCCGATGCCATTGAGGAAATCTGCGTCTGTTATGTCTGAAACATCGTCTGTCACCTCATAGAATCCTCTCGCAGCAGAAGCTTTGGCATGTACCACTCTTTCAGGAATGCGTTCCCTGGAGAAGTGAGCCAAATTCTCGAGAAGTTGGGTGCTGGTGAGAAGCACATATCCACCGCCCGACCCTGTCAGTAATTGATCGACTGTGTCGTTCCTTGGTAACGGTACCCCGTTGTCCAGTGTGTAATACTGCCCTGCGGAGCCCATTGTGATCGAGAAGTAAGTATCACTTGTCACCGTCTTGTGGATCGCTGTTGGAGAAATGAAAGCTTTCATAAGATCAAAGGAATACTGATGCCTGAGGTCAGCCACCTAATCGGTTAGTTTTCCACCACTGACGTCCTACGTAACTTTGATCTCTATTGAATATGCACATCTTCAAAAAATCGCACGAGCTTCCAACGCCATGAAACTTCAACAGCCTCCCAATGAGCTTCGTGTCATTTGTCAACGCAATGTAGAAGAAGGCATTATTGATGCAAGTCGACGCATCTTTGACGCTTCGTCAGCGGTCGTGCTGAAAAGTACTTCCAAGGCTGACGTGAGTTCAAGAAGCAGATGAGGTAGGTGGTGGTAAGTGGCCGTATACTTTGAGCTCAAAATGCCTCGTGCGAGGGGTCGCACGACACGCAACTAGGCGATTCGTGAGATGAATCCATGGGGAGGTCGATCCTTGCCGAGAGCTTAAATTTATATCCGTGGTTAGCGTTGGAAGAACCCCTGGACGTCGCTATTTGCCGATTGGATTCTGGGATCATCACGCAGCGCAACAAGACGGTGTAATTTCCAATAACGGCAGTTTAAGATGCGGTAGTCCACGGTGACTGTCCGCCTTTTAATACTAATTTTCTCTGATCACAGCGTTTCTTCCAAATATGGAACGCCAAAAGGAGAATGGCACTGGCCAGTCCCGCGCTCCGAGGGCGATGTAGCCTTTGGTGAACCACCATCCGGTGAAGCTAAACCAGCAGAGTACCCAAATATACCCTATCACACGAAACATGAGCCGTGGTGGTCTTTCGACTGCCAGAGAGGTTCGCGAAGACGATTTTTTTATCCCTCTTCCGGCGTCTGGCATTCGTTCAGCAGATCCGCAGCGTTGATAGTAATCTATAACCAGAGCTTCCGCCACTGTCCCAATTGGCTGAGCCATGAAGAAAACCAACATGTTCCTAATCAGCTCCTGAAGTGAGATGTTATCACTGCGAATTGAATTGAGACTTATGATGTGGAAGAATGCGCTGATGATGAAAGCGGTGGTAAGATGAATGAGATATGCGATTATCGACCGTGGTGGGATCCGAAGACTTTCGGTTATAGTATGACTAATACCAAGCACCGGCTAGAGATTGATTAGATGTGATGTTGTCGAGGATGAAGGAACAAGAATGTATGGAGACCTACCTGACGAATGTAAGTGTGCCAAAATTTCCCCCAAACGTTGGAAATCGTGTAGCAGTCTGAAAAACTGCCAAATAATGGGACCCAGTTCTGTGTCAAGTGGTTAGCACACCTCCAATTGTGCTTTTTTGATCAGAGGACTGATACGTACCTCTGGTGGGCTAAGCCCAAGGCCAACAGCGATTGTGGCGACAAAGCTGTACTGCAGACCCATTGCAAAGTACACTGCTGCGAACATGTAAACCTCTGCAACAACAATGTCGGCGATGGTGGACAAGTTAAATCTCCAGCCAACAGGAATTGGGGCACTCTTGGCTAGGATAATGGTCGCATCCAAAGCAAGATATGCAATTGTGGTCTGTATCAGTGAGTCCCGTACCGACGCTGCTCTTCCTTTGCCAGCCTCCTTCAGAGCCAATCGTGCAGCATTGACCCTGCGGCCTCCGAAGTTCCAACCGACGCCCCTGGGTGTGGCTGCAAGAGAAATAGCCCAGTGGACTTTTCGCCACGTCCACGGTGGTGGATGTCGATTCTCAATCGGGCCAGCATCTTCAAGTTGCCAGAAGTCACGTTCCGGCACATGAAGGAGGAGCCTTTCAAATATCGGAAGGACGAAGAGCCATACACTTGTCATTCCGTACCGCATGTTTCGAGTTTCGTAGACATTTGGAGGCCATGGAGAGAAAAATAAAGCGAAGTAGTTAATCGCAATCAGAGTTGCAAACAGAATGCCGCGGCCTGCGAAAGGCGGACAGGTAAATGAAAAGATTGCGAGGAGCGGTAAAGTGATATGAGGGAGGTAATCCTGGAAGCGGGCCTCGTAGGATGGAGGGTCCAATCCGAGAGAAGTCATTTGTTGAAATATCCAGCAAAAGTTTGGTGTAGTACGTCAATGTTTCGAAGCATGGTATCTTAAGACTCTCCCATAGGTATGGATGAAGCAGAGGTGCGAATTTATTGAAACGTCCTAGAGCACAGGCTTCCAGAGGCTTCTGATCACAAGTTCAGATATCATGTGACTTGAGGGTTTTGGTGTGGTGTGATATTTGACCCCGAGCGCCTTTTGTGCCCGGGTCAATCGCCTTATCGCAATCTCTCGCGCCATGCATTTTTGGTGCAGCAATTGCACTCCTCAAACATGGCATTCTCAATGTTTGGGCTGCTGAGATTGTGGGACTTGGGATAAAAGTGAGGCGTCTAGAACATACACTTCAATTTGCCGACACATGGGCTGATAGCTGGCTTACGGAGACGTGACATGAGCCTTTTGATGTCGCAGTGGGTGACCTAAGCTCTGCAGGCCTTCCCCCAGGGAAGATCAAGTGCTAAATTCTCAAAATTTGGAATCCTTTCATTTCTATCATTCTCATCACTCTTCTTATGAGGAGAGTCTGCCCAGCTGAATTATGCTGTGCAGCTCAGAGGGTCTAAAACATTCACAATGATGGAGAGCACAAACTTAATCGCGTCCGTCCGCGGACGAAAATTCGGACTAGACCGGGTCAGTAAACGTCTATGCAATTTCACCTCTACAGATGTCGAGACCTTAAGGGGTGCTTTAGCTTGATTCCAGCCTCATTACCAGTGCATAACACAATGCCCATAATCATTTGATGACATGTTGTGAACGTTGTTTCCCCTTCGAACAGCGCGCTTCCTCCGAGCTCGAGCGTGTGTTTACTCGGAATCGATGGAACAATCTACACGCAACACTTGTTCGCATAGTATAAGTATTCGCCTCTTACCACGAGGTAAGTCATTCTGTTCCAAATACAACATCTGCAACCTCGAGCGAAATTTCTGTCAATAGCGACATTCAAAAACTCTCTGCCTGGTCCCACGGCAGCCACTTGCTCCAACGAGCCCTGACGACCTTCAAGGACTTTCTGCCTATCATCACTATGGGTAAATATGAAGATTGTCGCATCCTCATTGTTGGGGCAGGCTCCATGGGCATAATCATGGGCTATGATCTACAATTAGCAGGAGCCAAAGTAACATTTCTTATTCGCCCTCATCGAGTCGAAGCATTGAAGCATCCTCAAAAATTGTACAGCTATGACGATCACCAGCTCAAGGTATACACAGGTTACAAATACATCACAAATCCAGCGGAGATGGTAGGCGCGGCCTACGACTACATAGTTATTACACTCGATGGAGCTGCTTTGCGAAACGAAGTTGGCCAAAACCTGACGAAAACGATTGGGGAGGCGGTTCGAAACACCAAGACTAAGGTCATTCTCGGCACTGTGTTCATCAACATACGATCTTGGTTTCTCGAGACATCTGGCCTAGCAAGCGATCAGGTGGTAAGTGGTCAGCTTATTACACACATCTACCCGACCAACGCTGTGACCCTGCCCGTACACCCACCCACAAACGAGAAATTACTCGCCGAAGCAGATCACGCTTACACTGATTGCCTCGGTTCTGGTTTCACCGTAAGCAACAGCTCAGCAGCAGGTGCAAACGACTTTGCCGAATTATGGAACGCAAGCGGGGTTTCGACCTGCGATGTGGTCTCACAGGAGCAGCTGTCACTAAATTCGACTGCTCTCTTTCCCCTCTTGGCCGTTTGCGAGCTTCTCAACTGGCCGAACTTCCAGAATTTCGATAGTACCGGGGAGCTATGGGGCCTTGCTACGGCGGCAGTGAGAGAGATCCAAGGGCTTAGCATGCATGGCACAATAGGCCAACAGGCGGCAGCAGCTACCACAGAGGCTGGCCTTGCGCAATTATTTGCTGGGATTGGGAGCACAATGCTTCCTATGGACTGGCCAGCGTTCAACCGCTACCATCATGGCAATAAGGTCAATGCCCAGGATCGAGAGCTTCTTCGAGTCGCCATCGCCTGCGGAGAGGCGGAGGGCAAGTCCATGTCTGCAGTGAAGGAACTCTTGCACCGTGTTGAGCTTGCATGAACGCAGTCATATGGCCTGGATCATCTTGTGGGAGACGAGAATTCGAGGTCCACAACTTCAACTTTTGTACCCTCTCACTGGCGAAGATGAAAGATAGTCCCCCGTATTCTGACGAGGTTTACCTCACCGTAAATATAAAATGAGACTACTTATGAGATGAAATCCGATTCAAAACGCTCATCGTTCTCAACCTGGTGGACAGCACCAGTCATGGGATCACATGTTGAAAAGCAATACACAAGATCCGTTATATAGTCTCTTCCACACGTCTTCACTCAAATAAGACAAAGAGAGATAAGGGCGAAGGCGCTAGTGAGCGTTCGGCCCCCACGACGGGTCCTGAGCAAACTCTTAGGCTTGACAGACTCGCTATCGATGTAGAGGAGGGTTTCTGCCTTGTTTTCTTAAAAATCTCGATCTTCTCTATCACTTTACGTGTATTACGATTGAGCTTCCATGATTTCAGGGCTAAGCAGACCTAGTCAGCATGCAGCTGCCACCAATCGCTGCGTACGTGAGCTCGTGCGAAACTTAAGACCAGGGGGGGTAATTCTCAGCATTGGATTTGACTTCGAGATGCATCCAAGCGCCGATCCAAAGCGATGATGAAGAGGGGTCACAAGCTGAGAGATGCAAGCTACAGCAGAACTGGAAGCTGATTTGGCTGGTTGATGGATTCAAATATGTACATGGGCAGTCAACTTCGTCTCCGTTTCATCACTCGCAAAGGCCTCTGTCTTGGGCACAGCAGTTCTTTCAACCATCACTATGGCTACCCCGAAAGTGATCCATCCTCAAATCAATGACTATTTACCCAATACTTTTGAAGACTTGAAGGATATCAAGAACCGCCCTGATGAGTGGAAAATTGAGCAGGGTCTTTCGGGGGCTCAGCTACCGTTCATAGACCAGACAGGGAAGGAACCAATTGCTATTCACCCTTCGAAGCCTGCAGTGCCTACCAAAGATGACGATGCCATCAAAGCTGTTGGCGATCCCAACGAGTTGTTCCAGATGGAGCGTCCAGGATGGAAAGGGTATGCGCTCTGACAACTGCAAGATTGTGCTGAAATATCTAACTGGCTGCCAGCTACGTCGAATGGGAAGCCTATCCAGAGAAGAAGAAGCAAGGCCACAAGATTCTGACATCACAGAATTTCCCCCCAAATCCCGAGTTTCAGATGGGTCCTATTCCAGATACGAACCCAGTTCTGCCTGGTACACACTGGAAGATGTGGCATCATGCACTGGGTGGAGAATTGACCGATGTTCCTGAGGACTCGTGGAAGACGGTACTGAAGGAAAAACATCCAGAAATGTTACACTTACTCCAGTTCCCATACAATGGTGAGCCTCCAAAACGCCTAGTCACGGATAAAGCCATTACGCCTAATTCGCTGCACTTTGTGCGTAACCACGGAGGCATTCCCCTTATCGACCAAGACAAGTTCAGTTTCACCATGGATGGGCTGGTGAAAAATCCCACCGAATTCACCTTAGCTGATCTGATGGATGAATCAAGGTTTCCTCGCGTTGAGAAATATGTTACCATACAATGCTCAGGAACTCGTCGGATCGAGCAAATCAGCCTTTATCCTGGTCAGGGAGATGAGGTTCCACAAGCTCCATGGGCTGAAGGTGCTATTGGGACTGCGAAATACGTTGGAATTAGTCTCAAAAAGGTCATCAAGGCTTGTGGGGGCCTTATCAATGGCGGAAAGCACCTCGAGTTTTACGGAGCCGATACCTACTTTAAGGACAATGAGGTCATGAATTATCTGGTTAGCGTTCCATGGTCGAAGGTCAAAGCCAATGAAGTCCTCTTGGCTTGGGAAATGAATGGAGAGCCTCTTCCAGCTATTCATGGTTATCCACTCCGTGTTGTTGTTCTCGGATACATTGGGGCTCGAAGCGTTAAGTGGCTCTATCGCATCAAAGCTATTGAGAATCCAACTCTCGCACCAGTCCAGAGCAAGGAGTATCTCTACTTCAACCAGCAAATTGGAAAATTCAACCAATCGCCTGTTGATGGAATTCAGATTCAGGAAATGCCAGTATCTTCTGCGATTATGTCTCCATGGACGAAACAGGTCATCATTCACAATGGCAAAATCAATTGCAAGGGATGGGCATATTCTGGAGGTGGAAGATGGCCCGAAAGAGTGGAACTAAGCGCTGACGGAGGTTTCTCATGGTATGCTGTACCTCTTGAGAATCTTTCGGAAAAGCGTAAATGGACATGGCGCACTTGGTCTTTCGACCTGCCTTGCGATGTGGAAGGCTGGGTCGAGATTGTATGCAGATGCTGGGACAACTCTCTCAACACTCAACCACTAACAGTCAGAGCGGCGTGGAATTGGGGTCTCCATGTCACTTCTTCGGCACACCGCATCAGCGTGTACAGTGTCAATAAGACTCGGGCAAAGACCGCAGAAAAACTAAAGAAATTTGCGGAAACTGGCAGTCCGTTGGCTCCACTCACTTGGCCAGAAGAGTTTCCCAATATAACTTGGGATGCGTACAAGAAGTTCTGGGCAGAGAACGAACCAAGGGACGTCGACGAGTAATTGCGGATTTTCAGAGAGATGTCCAGCCAGGACAGAGAACCCTCCTTATTGTGGAATATATATTGTCATCCTGTCAGTATCTGATCATGCACATTTACACAGTATTAGGCTATAGTATCAATTATGTCTGAAAGAAGAACAGCAGCTCATAACGCTGTAGATTTGGTGATGAATGTGGCCGACATCGGTGGTCAGGCCCCAATTTTGACTTAGACCACGTCTGTCCCTAGTTCCCGTATCTCAAATGAAAGGACTGGGCTTTGAGAGAAATTATTTTGACAATTCCCTTTCTCCAGAGATCTAGGTATGAAAGAAGTGACAAGCAGTCCGTTAACCACTCCGAGTTCAAGTCCCAGGACCAAATGACAAAGGCTGCGACAAAGACTCCTTGAACTGACCTACCATGGCTCTAAAACTGTGAAGCTTGTCTTGGTCAGCCTTAGACAAAGAAATGTGTTGCTCTAGGAGATTCACACAAAGGGCTTGGTTACACAACCACAATGATAGACAACACAGGGTGAAGAAAGGCCCATAAGGACGAAAGAAAGAGACAAAAACATTCCCAAGGCACTCCTCAATCGATTAGGATACTGCGAGATATTATATATATAACATATAGTGCTTCCTGTCGTCTTCTCTACATTCATAACGATACATCACTCAGAACATCAAGGACTAGAACCCAATTCTATCACACAAACAGAAAATTCAACATGAGCTCAACTCAAGAGAAACAGGAAGATAAAGCCACGGAGCACTCATGGGGTAGGTCTTCAGTTCCCGAGATCTTCGAGTTGGTGCTGGGTCTTATCGACTTCAAAGCCATCGAAGAAGTAGCCTACGATGCCCGGATGAAACAGCTAATCGAGCAACAGACTGAACCAGTCGAGAATGTACGCAGCCTCATGGGCGACTTGACGTGTCGCATCGATAAAGACAAGAAGATGACGGGATCATACAACCTGGTCTTCACATTGTTATGGTCAGACAAGGTCAAGTGGATTGTGCGGATCCCCGGAAAGGGTCTGGATGTGGAGGAGCTCGACGATGAGAAGATGAACGCTGAGTACGGAACCATGGAGTATATTCGTAAGAATACTACCATCCCACTTCCCCAGGTTTTACACTGGGAGACTGATAATATGGTTGCAGGTGTTCCATTTGCACTAATTGCCTTTGTGGAGGGATCGCCTCTCTACAACTCTTGGTTCGATGGCCCCAATGGCGTCCCGGATGATAGCTTGTTTGCACTCTTGGACGAGCTCGCAAAGAATATGGCACAACTCTATCGGATGAAGTTCACCAAGTTGGGCATGTTGGACTTTTCCAAAGATGCGAACAATCCTTCGGTGCGCCCAGTCATTTCGACAGAGTTTGGTGCAGACGAGACAGGCTTTGGCATGACTATTGAGCAGCCTCAGCAAACCTCATTCAAAGAGATGCTTCGACATACGGCTGGACAGTATGATGTCGAAGGCGACGAGCTTAAGAAGAGCGCCATCGACATTCTGAAGTTTTGCATCACTTCAATCCCCGAATTTATGGAGCCCAAAGGGCCTTTCTACCTCACAATTCCAGACTTTGACATGCAGAACGTCATGGTCGACGACAAAAATAAGCTCACCGGTTTCATCGACATGGATGATGTCATGACACTCCCTGCATGTGCAGGTTGTGCACGATATCCCATGTGGATCACCGAGGACTGGACTCAAGACTGGCCTGGCGACTTCGATCTCGAGGACGTCGAGGATAAGGAAGAGGATGAGAAGGAGGAGGCGGGCAAACCCAAAGTTGCCCGTGTTCGCGTCCCCTTTGATCCTTACGACGAGGAGAGCCTGGAACCACAGCGCGAACACTATCTCGCTGCGATGATCAAGGAAGCTGGTCCAGACTTTGATCCCCGCGTCATGAGACTGTCGCCTATTGTCGAGACTATTCGCTACGCCTTGAACCATGAGGGGTATCTGCGTCAGAATGCCCACAAGCTATTGACCTTCGCAAAGGTCTCATTCTCGTTGAAGCAATGGAGTAAGGCTGACAAGAACCGTAGGAAGGTCCTTACGGTGGAGTTGCGAGAGAAGTTTGGGCGGATGTGGAAAGATCACGCAAACGGAAAACCAGTGTAAGATCCCAATCCAGGTTAAGAATTAGAGAAAGCTAAAATGTCATTCAATCTAGTATCATGTGTATCAAGCTGGGAATGACGGCCCAGTGTTCCATCGAGTTATCTCTTTTTGTTCGCGGGCGATCTGTAGTGTTGCTCTAATGACGAGACACAGAAACTGAAATCTTCATTGTAGCTGATAGTAATGAGGTAGACCTTTCCTTGTCGATAGTCGCTCATGTTTTGTGACCTCCCGAGTGTCTCTCCAAGACAACCAATATGTCATATATTATGTCTTCGGATGTCGAACAGAAGTGCCAAAGTCGTAGCCAACCCATTGTTTATGTCGAATCTATGTCGAATCATAGCTTTGGTTGTTTGGGCTTTCTTCCCAATGGGCCACCGATCATCTTTTTCCACTCTTCATCTATAGTTTGCTTCTCAAGAAGAGTTTTGGCATCCCAGGTTCGGTGGTGCTCATCCTCGAGTTCTTTCCAGATCTTCATTTCATCTCTGATCCATGATGAAGTATGATCCGCTGTCCTGTCCACAGCCTCCATGGCAATCAAATGGCCAATGTCTTCAAAGAGCACACTCCTGACTCTACCAGCAGCGGCGCCGCCACTGCCACCAATGCCAACACCAGTGTTGTCAAGTTTGGCTTTGCAATTTTCGGGAGTTCCAACATCCGACTTGCCTCCAAAGATGTACAGGACACTAGGTCGAAGTTCTTGTAGACGGAAGAATACTGCCGGTGGCTCCGCGCGGTAGAACGGTGCGATCGAGGGAAGAATTGGATTCAGGTCAGGATGTGTTTTGCGGTTGACAGGTTTCCCTTCAGTACCATAGCCCTCATAATTGGGCCTCAGAAAAGTGAAGACTTCTTGGTGCAATGGTGTCGTTAGAGTAACTTTGGGTGGCTTCTCTTCGGAATGAACAGCCGTTGGTACATCTCGGAGACCATACTTTATCCAACAGTCTAGAACTCTTGGGTCCCATGCTTGATAGAATTTGCTTGCTTTAAAGGACTTGGCAGCTTCCTCTCTGGATGGCCAGATGTCACGACGAAACGTGGAGAGTCGAGCTGGACCAGGGCCGAGATGTGGGGCTGTGCTGGAGTATGTTTGTATGACAGGGTCAATCATAATCAAAGTGGTGAGTAGCCGGGGGTGCATTAACGACAATTGAACTCTGTGATGGATCAGCAACGTGTGGAGAGGCGATGCCAAGGAATTGAAATACATACAAATGATTTCCTCCCATTGAGTGGCCGATGCCTATCAGCGGCCGTGGCATATCAGCTCGTTTTACGTTGATCAAATGTAGCAGGTCTCGGGGGTGGTCGCTCCATGAAGGGTCATTGCCTAGGAGCTCCTCATTCAAGACGCTGCTCTGTCCCTGCTGCGCGACATCCGCGATCCAGATGCCTCTTATCCGAAAGCCAGACTTCTTGGATCTGGCATGGATTTCATCCCACAGAGGCTCATAGAGTTCTTTGGGAAAGCCGTTGGCATGAGCGCCGATGATTGTGACATCACCTGGCTGCGGATTCGGATTGTCTTTGGGAATGTACTGCTTGACGGCTAGGTGTAGGACAGTCTCCTGAGGCCCACTAGTCGCACGGGCATACTCCCGAATGTGTTGCGTGGGAATCTTGTGTTCAACAATATGAAAGGACGCCATAGCTAATGTGATGGATCGTGGTGATACGCGACCGCACAAAATCCAATGGGTTCGCGATTACGTTCGACGGAGATGATGGGAAACAATATGTGTACCAGCTATGTGAATATGATCAAAGCCGAGAAATAAGCTGATGGCGGCTTGGGATATCGAGAAAGTCCAAGTGCCGAGGTCCATGGCTGCTGAACTGCCGTTTGGATAACGGAATCTGCACGGTGGCTAACGGAACTTGCACCATTGCCATTATTGAAGATCCGCCAGCCGGGTAGGTCGTGTTGCTACGTCGAATTCATGTGTCAAATTACCTTGTAAATCTTGTCATCCTTGCATCTCTCTCTCTCTCTCTCTCTCTCTCTTTTCAACATTCAGGTGACAAGATGAGAGACAAAAGGTTGGTGGGGCTGCTCGAAATCACGTGATCTCGTGTGACTTCCCATTTGCGTGACGCGCCTGCGCACCTGCGCCTTCCTCGAATTTCCCGGTTTGCAGCCAAAGCAGGCGCGACCATGAAAGTGGCAGGCACGCGCCACTTCCACTACGCGCCTGTCATCATCGCGTTTTCGAGGCTTCGCTTCAACTTCAACTTCGACTGGCCACATCCACATCCACACACATCCACATCCAGCTTCACCGTAAATGCAATTGTCATTCTCTTCACTTCCCTTCTAACCTGTCAATGACAGGCTTTCTCAACATCTGTAAAGAGCTAATCCGCAGTTTTGTCACGCCTACAACCACGACCATTCCCCCCTCCTTCCCATTCTCCTCCATCTCGTCCTCTTCTCCTTCGCCCTCCCCACGGCTCCCCATGGATGTCAACAACCCCCAAAAGAAAAGAGGCCTCTTCGCTCAATGCAGTTTTGCCATTGTCCGCAACGCCAGCCTAACACAAGATGAAGCCGATTCGGTAACACCCGTGTCTTCGTCAAAGATCAGAATCACTTTACTAACCAGCAGTAGTTGGCCAGTGAATTACGCCTTCACGACGCACTAGTGGTAGTCGATAATTATCCTGAAAATAAGCTCGATATTCGTGGCCTCACACACGTCATCTCTACTTCATTCGATTTCCCTGATTACGAGCAATGCTGCGATGCCATGATCCCCGTCGTCAAGCCTACCTGGGTCCAGCACTCTCTTGCTAGGGACAAATTGAGTAACCCGCGTCAATACAACCCAGATCCTCGCCTATTCATGTCAGATGTCGTTGCTTGTGCTTCTTCACTGCCCGAAGGGGATGCTGACGCCATAGCCGGGGGCGTGGTGGCAATGGGAGGACTGTTCTCCGCGAGACTTACAAGTCAAACCACGCACATTATTGCCATAGACATTGAGGCCGAGATATGTGTCATGGCCCAGAAGAAGAAGGTTGCAGCAAAGATTGTTCTGCCGCATTGGGTGGATGACTGCCTGAAGCTGGGTCGGAAAATTGACGAGCAACCTTACACCCTGCCAAACCCGGAAATCCTGAGACCTCCAATTGACAAACCTCCACTTGCACGGCGCAAGGCTGCGCAAATCTCTGGTGCTACCAATCCTGACCCTGATCATAAGCCTAGCTACAACGGCCCAACACGGAAGCTGGAAAAGGTTTTCAAGAAAAAATCTGTCATGCTCAGCACAGACTTGGGAATTTCCAGCTATCTGCGAGGCATCTTGGATGGTATCGTAACGGTCAGTGGTGGAAAGCTCACCGAATCAGTCGCAGACGCCGATATGTTTATCTGCAAATTCCGCGAAGGTGACGACTACAAGATGGCTTCCAGGTTTGGCAAGGATGTCGGCAACCTCGGTTGGCTCTACTATCTCATCACGACAGATGAGTGGACTTCACCGCTTCGACGGTTGCTCCACTATCCCGTGGCTAGGCATGGACTTCCTGGCTTTCCCGGTCTCAAAATCAGCCTTTCCAATTACAGTGGAGAGGCAAGAACCTATCTGGAGAACTTGATCATTGCAGCAGGTGCTGAGTGCACAAAGACGTTGAAGCAAGACAACACCCACTTGGTCACCGCACATGTTGTGAGCGAAAAATGTGCAGCTGCAAAGGAGTGGGGTATCCATATCGTGAACCACTTGTGGATCGAAGAGAGTTATGCAAAATGGAAGATGCAAAGTATTACTCAGAGTCGGTATACGCATTTCCCGCATCGGACCAATTTAGGCGAGATTGTTGGTAGTACCCAGCTTGATCGCAAGGTGATTGAGGAGCATTTCTTCCCCAGAGAAGACACTGACATGGTCGATACCACTCATTCTGGGGCGACCAAGCAAGAAATTCAAAATGGAAATATAGCCAATGGAGGCAAGAAGTCCAAGGCTCCAAACGAACAAATCCGAACTCCTGGTGTATCGAGATTTATCGCTACAGGAAAGGAAAACATCACGCCCTCGACTACCAATAGCCGGAAGTCAAAGGAGGTGGCATCTGCCCGATTACATGAGATGACGCCGGACATACTCTTGTTTGAAAAGGAAAAGAAGCGTGTAGGTGGCGTTGTATACGGTGGACGACGACAAAAGGACGAGGATCGGGTCCCGGTCCAACACGGTCGCAAGAGATCGATTGACGAAGCATCGGAAGATGAGGCCACGGATGTAACCGAGACAAAGAAGACGAAACGTGGCAACCCGCCGCCAGAAATGCGGTTGCTGGTTTCGGGATACAAGAAATGGGTCAATCGCGCCAAGGTTGAAGACAGTGACAAGGTATGTGAGATATGACACTTCCAGAAGCTCAGTCGCTAACAAATCCAGAAACAACTCCGCAGTCTCGGCATCCTCACAGTACAAGATCCCAGCAAAGCCACCCATCTTGCAGCACCTTCGATTGTACGAACTCAAAAGTTTGTGACGGCCATCGCTTTCGCGCCTGTGGTAGTGTCGACAGATTTTATCGATGCGTGCCTGAAAGAAGATGCACTTCTAGACCCAAAGAAATTCCCGCTCAAGGATAAACAGGCGGAAGCCTCGATAGGTGGCAGTCTCGAAAAGGCCATCGGGCGGGCCTCTAAAAATAAACACCGACTCCTCGAAGGACAAAACATTTATGTGATGGAAAGCATCCGGGGCGGATTCGAGACTTTCAAGGCCATTGTCGAAGCTAATGGGGGACGGTGCATGCTGTGGCGGAACCGAAAGAACATGACTGTCCCTTCGACTCGGGCAGACAGCGAGGAAAGCACAGACGGAGGTGCGAGCAGCGACCTGATTTTGGTTGCAGACGCTGCCAACAACAACGTCCTGTGGGATCGCTTCAAGCAAATGGCGGAAAAGAGTCGCAGAACCCCAAGAATTGTCACCGCGGATTGGCTGCTGGAGACGGCGATTTCTCAAACATTGCGACCGCTCCAAGATTATGCGGTGTAAGTTGAGGTCCCTTGAGTGTTGCTTGGCTGTGTATCTTGGAGCGGCTCGATGATCTGTTGGAGTATGACCATGACCATGACGAAAGTCTCTTGACAGCAATGTCGGTGTGCTAATATCAGAAGAACTTGATACCTTGTTGGTCATCTGTGCCAAAGATCTGCGCCTTGCCTTTTTTCACTAGAGTGTTGAGACTCTTTCTCAGGATATCCATGTCTAGGCCATAGAATTCCTGCTTTTCCGTAGCCTCGCCTTGGACAATTTCATACAGGGTCAGAACAGTCCCTTTTTGGCCAGTTTCTTCCACCCAGGCGGCAATGATGGTTGCCCATTCCTCAGGCTTGCGCCACCAAATCCAGGCTGAGGACTTTTCGGGTCCCAACCACTCTGCCCTCTCATCCCCCTCCTTGCTTACCATATAATCAATGACGGCCTTGGCATCCTTTAAACTCAGGCGCTTCTTCAAGGCCACATTATGGAACAAGGGGGTTTCTAGAACTTCAATGATGGTTAACTGGTAGATGCGATGGTGTCGACAGTATTTTTGAACAAAGATAGACCATTTTCGAAGCTGGGCTTGTCGTGTCAGTGCCGTTGGTTGGGCACTGAAAAAGGGTGGGAAGTTATAGCTTTTGGGAAAGATGAAATCTGAGGCAGTCTCCTGCTGCTGGGCGGTCACGGCCATGGTCATGTCTAGACCAGCCTTTGCCTTCTGGCGGAACCGTGAATCACATGGGACAAGTAGATGGTTGGCATTGGAGGAAGAGAGATTGTGAGATGATGTTGACGAAGGCTCCCCCGCCCACCGGTTAAGGATTAACTTACTTCCGGGGCCATGACGCAGGTATCAAGATATCTTGGCATATCATGACTCGCCACATCTCATACGCCTTTTTTCTACATCATCATCCCTCGTGGTATCTCAATGAAGGGGAAGAATTGCCGCCACATTACCTCTCATCCTCTCATTGCATTTTAGAAATGTTACCAATATCATGAATACTAGGCTACCTCAAGGGTTTGAATCTTGGCTTAACTTTGGCTTATGTACGGAGTTACTGCTAGGTCCCCCTTCCCATCCTGTCACGCCTTGGAAAAGGAAGCACTCTTAGCCTTGGGCAATTATCATTGACGGCCACTCGCGAGGAGAGCATAGTAGCGATAGCACATTAGATAGATGTGTGGTGATGAATTAAGGCAAAGCTGAATTGAATGCGAGATTCGACATGCTGCTGCTATCAGCAATGGATCCGTCGTGAGTTAAATTATTACCGAGATGAGATCATGACTTTTTAGCAACCTGCGTCTGGTGACAGCCTCGCCACACCCCCAACATGTCGACCTGATTCTAATGGCACATGCTCAGACCCCTGTTGACCAATCCTTTTGCGAGAATTTGCAAACGGACGGGCCCTTGCGGCCTCGATACAGTGGATCAGGTCATCAACAGGCTCTGCTTCCATCGTCAGGAACATCTTACCGGATTCCAGACACGTAAGTTGTGCGAGCACATGACGCACTGTTATAAATATGTGAAGGATAAGCTTCCATCCAAGCTTTAACCTTACTTTAAAACCCATTTTAGACTAATTCAGCCAAATGAGGTAACGAACTTGAAGAACGCTCGGCGGCTCGACAAGTGGTGACCTCTCATAGTTGACATGAGTCTATTGACCTGTGGGAACAGAATTTGAAGCATCCAAGACGTCACAGATCTGTCCATCCGCTGGATCCGCAAGGCCTTCGTTTTCCCTACTATATACAGCCTCTCCTGGGAACAATCTTCCAACCATTCTCAAGACTTTTTCACCATTAGCATAATTTCTGTCGACTGTTTACTTCTCCATCCGCAGCATTTGTCTACCCATTTGCAACTTCTTCAATTCCAATCATCAATATGGGTAACCAGGCTCTTGATGTCAATGGATTTACCAACACTGTAACCACCAACAATCACATCACCACTCGAGGCAGCGACTGGTATTTTACTGTGTGCGCAGTCATGTGCTTTTCAACTTTGGTCTTCATAGGCCTTTCCTTCACCAAGCCCCGCTCTCAGCGCTTATTCCACTACATCACTGCTGGGATCACGCTTGTTGCCGCCATCGCCTACTTTTGCATGGGTTCCAACCTCGGCTGGACTGCTATTCAAGTTGAATTCGAGCGCACCAACCCCAAGGTTGCTGGTAACATGCGTCAAATCTTCTATGTCCGCTACGTAAGTGCGATTCGCATCTGAGTTCGACATCCAGATGCAACCGTGCTAACCCTCGGGTCCATTCAGATTGATTGGTTCATCACCACTCCTCTTCTGTTGACTGACCTGTTCCTCACCTGTGGACTTCCTATGCCCACAATCCTTTATACTATCCTATTCAATGAAGTGATGGTAGTTACGGGCTTGGTCGGTGCTCTTGTTCGTACCTCATACAAGTGGGGTAGGCAAACCGAATCCCCATCACAATGTCTGTCCCACAGGTCAAACTAATAAGATTGATAGGCTTCTTCACTTTCGGGACCGTCTCATTCTTCGTTGTCGCCTATACCATTGCCTTTGAAGGCCGTACCTATTCTCGTGCTTTAGGTTCTGATATCTCTCGAACATACACCACGTGTGGAGCTTGGACTGCTGCCATCTGGCTAGTCTACCCCATCATTTGGGGTGTCTGTGAGGGCGGAAATGTCATCTCCAGTGACGCTGAAGCTATTGCCTATGGCATCTTGGACCTTCTCGCAAAGCGTGAGTATTTTTCCTCTCCACCTGAAGGCTCTCCCGTCGTATTGACATTGCATATAGCTGTCTTTGGTGCACTTCTCCTCTGGGGTCATCGCAATATCGAGCTCGAACGTCTGGGTATTCATGTCCACGACCCTACTGTCTCACCTCGCGCCTCTGGTGGTGTCCAAGAAAAGACCACCGAGACCGTCCCAGAAACAGCGACTTCTTCCACTCCATGAATCGGCAGGTGTTTTCTGCTTTCAAGACGGCATTAAAAGGTAACAGGATAATAATTTTTTGAAAGTTAATAGTATAATATAGCGGGAACTACCACTATGGAGCCAAGGAAGGTGACCTCGAGGAGCTATAGAGAAATCTGGACTTGGAAGAAGGCTCTAAGTTTTTGTCAGAGCATGGCTTACAGCATGTTCAACGCATTTCTCAAGGGGATCGTCGACGATGGGAATTGATACTTGAGGGCGCCGAGCATAGATCCATGGCGTTGAGCTTAGCGCGGATATAGTAGACCCACCCCTTGTTCTCCGCAGTGTAACGGTTCTCATTTGCCCTAGTCTCGAACCTCCGGTACCGGGCAACTTGCAAGGAATAAAGTTAGATCTCACTGCCACATCCTAGTTTTGTAGCTGGTCGTCCTCTTCTGCTACTGGGGCCAGCCCCGGTGCCTACAGAGTACTTGCAGTGTCAGAATGCCAGCACAACCATTTGGCTTATGGTGGCGAAGCCACACCATGTTCATCCTCACCACGGTGTGCATTGGTGTGTTCACCGACATGTTTCTGTACTCCTTGATCATCCCCGTACTCCCCTTTATGCTTCACGACCGATTAGGTGTACCAAAGTCGAGCGTACAGCAACATGTTTCTGGTCTTCTCTCGGTGTATGCTGCTTCGACGTTAATTGGGTCCCCAGTGGTCGGCATTATAGCCGACCGACAGCAGACACGAAGAGGCCCCTACCTCACAGGCCTCATCGCCCTCGGTGCTGCGACAATACTGCTATTCTCTAGTCGGCATCTATCGTTACTGTACGTCGCCAGGGTCTTGCAGGGAATCAGCGCCGCCGTGGTATGGTCGGTTGGTATCGCCTTAGCGGTCGACACCGTGGGCGTTAAAAATTTGGGAAAGACCTTGGGGACGGTCAGTCAATCCATGTATGGCCCACTCAAACACTTGCTGACATGTGTTTCAGATGTCTTCCGCCACGCTCGCGGGTGTGCTATTTGCACCCATGATAGGTGGCATCCTTTACGACAAAACAGGAGTCCTCGGGCCTACCGTGCTGTCGACAACATTGATAACCATCGACCTTGTGCTACGACTGCTTGTCGTCGAGAAGAAGACAGCAGCCGAATATGAGGGGAATCTTGCAGAGGAGAGCGGCGGTGTTGTAGCTGGTGAGGTCTCAGGTACACCTGATTCTCCTGAAGGCAGAGACCCAAGTATGGAAGGAGATCACATGCACGAGAGCAACGAAAGCGAGCCATTACTCCAGCCTGTCGCCTTCAAGATAGCTCCTGATCAGCGCCGCTCATGGATCGTTCGCCTAATGCCCATCGTTATCTGCCTTGGAAACTCGCGGCTGGCGATGGCTCTGACCCTCACAACAATGCAGGGCATGATCTTAGGCGCATTTGAAGCGACTATTCCCATTCGGACAGCCGAGCTTTTCGGCTTCGACTCTTTCCATTCGGGATTGATGATGATGCCGGTTGTTGTTTCGTCGGTCATCTTTGGACCCATACTTGGTTATGTCGTTGACAAAACTGGGCCAAAAGTCGTGGCCGCATCTACTCTCGTCTTGCAGGCCTGTACGCTGGTGCTACTCCGACTACCTCGCCCTGGAGGAGCCGACCAGATCGCACTATTTGCTATCATCACAGGATTGTGCAGCATCAGCATATCTGGATGCAGTTCCGCTACAGCGGTCGAGTCTGGATTGGTGGTAGACTCTTACCACAAAGCCAATCCTGAGTTTTTTGGGCGCCTCGGCCCGTACGCACAACTGTACGCACTCTCCGCCATGGCGTACACACTTGGCCTTGGTATTGGACCTGAGATCACTGGCCAGCTACAACCTTGGTTGGGTTTTGGCAACACCTTCATCATTCTCGCGGTGATATCTGCTTTAACAGCCGTCATGGCCGTACGATATGTCGGCGGTAAGCCTGCGAACCGCTCAGCGGCAAAAGGACAAACTCTCCCATAAATGCCAGAGGCCTGCAGTCTTGGAGCGAAATGTCATCTATCGATACATCCTTGGTGACTCCAATCTGCACGGGGTGGAGAAATAGCTTGTATAGAACATGCCACCTCTGGCTATCCTCTCAGTTCCTATGTACCAAGAAAAATCTGTAGCTCTAGAATTTCCTCTTCAACTTGGCAGGTTTCATATCCTGGATATAACAACGAATATCCTGCCATTGCGAATGTGTGGTTTTCAGGTCTCTGCGCCTTAGCACGGTTAGTTTCGAGTCAATTTATCCTTATATACTCCTCATATACTCCTCTATCTTTATGATAATAATTATCTAGTTACTATAATCCTATGTACCTGTCTTTTCCTTATTTACTAGTGTCTTACCCCCCAGGGGCAACAAAAGCCTTGCATTCCTGTGGATACTCCCAAACGCTGTCAAGTAGCCCTTCGGCGTCTTGGCAACCGAACCCCGAATGCCAATATTGGCTGATGCCGGACAACACCAAATGATTCCTTCAGACAATGTTCTTTCCTGCGCGCGTGTCATGCCCTTAGATGCGGGCCCAGGCGCTAGAATCAAATATGTACATACATGAATCTGCTTTTGGTGGTGTCTAGTGCACGGTCAGCCCACAAGGCTATGGCGCTGTCATCATCTGTCGCTAAGATCAATGTATAGTAAAGCCTCCAGCATATCGACCAGCCAGCGGCTGCAGGATGGCAATGGCGTCTGAACTCTGCAACCAGGTGCGCATCAAAATCCCACCCCTTCCCTTCTTCAATGTAGATACTCTTCCCATTCAGCCCCTCAGAAACCATGACCGATACAACATGCTCCGCAACGACCGTGGACGATTGATAATGCGATGGAAGCTCCTCTTGTGACTCTTGACTCCTGTTCTTAAACAAGTCGATCAATCCACTATCCGAGGTCATTGGCGTCTCAGTCATTCCCGGACACACAGCGTTGATGCGAATGCCATCGCGAGCATAAATCGCTGCTCTCATCGCTCTCATCAGCCCTAGAATCGCCTGTTTTGATGTCTGGTAGAGAAACATCCCTGGTGCGTCGCGAAAACCAGTGACACTGGACAGGAATGTCAAGCTCGACCCTGACGGCTGGCTGCGAGATCGTAGGAATGGTAATGAAATCCTCGCAAAGGCACATGTTGCCATGAAATTGACATCAAGCGCACGAGTATCGCCAGGATCCTGACCGACGGTTTCAGGAGTCAGATCTGGATCGAAGTAAGGGGACGTAGTGCTCTCGACAACCCCAGCGCAGAATACTGCATGGTCCACATGGCCGTGCTTGTCTCTTGCGGTTCGGAAAAGATCGTACATCTGGTTATAATTGCGAACATCGCACGGTGAGAATGTCAATTGACCTTTCGGGCTTGATGGTTGGTCTTCGGAGAGTAAAGTCTTGATTAAAGCCTCCCCTAGTTGTTTGTTGATATCACCGAAGGTGATGTTGGCTCCGTGAAGGTATAGCAGTCTGACTAGATCGGCTCCGATGCCACTGGCGCCACCCGTCACCACAACGACTTTGCCTTTAAGGGCAGGAAAATTGTCGGTGCTTGGGAACAATGGGTATTCCGACATCGTGCTCCAAGGCTGCGGAAATAAAGAAAGCTTGTCTAGGTATAATTGAGGTTCGGTGGAGGAAGGCTGAGATGTCGAGAAAGATTGTGTAGTATTTTAAACTGGAGGTAGGCTCCCACCTGTTGCAGTCAATAAGGTACTAGGAACCTCGGTGATAGTGGATTAATCACAACCACGAGCGAATCCGATTCGACCACAGCGTACAGCAAATACAGTTCCTACTCCATCGATTCGGAACGTCGGCTCTTTCCCCGCTGCGAGTGAGCATCACGGCATATCTGGACTACGAAGAAGACCTCCCTGTAGAAAGTGTTTCTATCTAAATGCATCGTCCAAAACTATGGTACGCCTAGCTGCCAGGCAAAGTGATCAGTCAACGTTCGCTGGGAATAGATCAGTTTTACGGAGTATTAGAGGTTGATATGATTCTGGAGGCCTTCAAATACATCTATCTCAATTAAGCCAGCAGATATCCCCCACTCGAGTGGACGACTGTACCATCTATGAACGTGTCGCGCATACAATAGAGATAAGCTTCTGCTATGTCTTGAGGGCTGGCAATCGTCCTTGTCATGGTTGAGTTCGAATACTTTTCAAGGAGTGGCTGAAGTACATGATCCGGGAATCCATTAAACAATTCCGTTCGTGTTGGGCCGGGACATATACAATTAACTCTGATGGGCCGTAAGTCGACAGCTAGGGCACGAGTGACACCCTCGACTCCGGCTCCCCAGCCTGCCATCAACACTCTCCCTGGGACTGGTTTGACGTTGTTCACCCCGCTGGTCAGAGTGATTGACGAGGCAGGGCTGCTGTTCATATAGTGTGAAGCTAGCTTTCCAATGATGATTGGCACGTAGAACCGTAAAACACCGTGTTCTGTGATCATTTCCGTGTCTGTGTCTGCAAGAGGGATCGATCCGACCTTGTTGCCTGCTGTGTAGACGATGTGATCCAGCTTGTATTGACCCCGATCGGTGGCGCTTTCGAACAAGGCCTTTAGGTTTGCCTCCAGTTCCTTCAGATCGAAGAGGTCACATGCGTAACCTTGGACGTTAGAAGATCCGGCATGAACTCCATTGATGGTGCATTTGATGTTGTTGAGTTTCTGGACTGCCGTCTCTATTTTTGTTGCATTCGAACTTGACACAATCACTGTAGCACCGAACTCTCGACTCGCTTCTGCCACCGCCAGACCTATTCCTGATGTTCCACCTAATATTAGAATCCGTTTTCCAGCCAGCTTCCCGGCGTAGCTGATTTGTTGATGCTCAGTCATCTTTCTGGTCAACTTTTGTCTGTGCTAGAGCGGAGTACGATACTATTGCAGCAACATTTGATGTGAGCTATAAAATTTTGACATAGAATACTTTTGCCTGCCTTTGGTTTTGCCTGAGGATCGCGGCCGAACGGTGATATGCTAAGCTGGGCGCCCAGGTTTCCCAGACTAAAAGAGAGACCGCCACTAAAACTATCTAGCTGTATTTGGTGAATACCGAGTCCCACCTCTCTCATTTCAGCAACTACCGAGACTTCCGATTGGTGAGGGACGGGAAGCTACTACTCATGGTCGCAAAGTGGAATCTAGGTTCGTGCACATCATCTTCGACCGTGGTGGCGGTGGGCATTCAGCACTTGAAATGGCTTTGTTCTGCCACAAAGGTCTGTAATGCGACCGTGGGCTTACACCTGATGTAGAGGGACCGTTCAAATTTTGGGGCAATGATGGAAGTAATCAAGGTGTGAAATACTCGTCGTCAAAGGGGAGGCCTGAGAGAAATATTTGAGATTTTGTATCCAATCAGGCACTACTGACCTTGCTCTGCTCGTTTTGCAGCAGCAGGGAATAATCTCCATGTGTTATCCCTGACTGTTCCCTGCTCAACGCCTGCGTCAGCTTCTCGTGCAGCAACATCCATCATATTCTCATCCATTGTCTTCCAAGTCGAGCATGGAACGCCACAATCTGCACCGTAGAGACAATGACTCCAGCCCACCATCTTTGCAGCTGGTTCCAGACCAGTCTTTGCCGTCGCAGCCGTGTCAACATACAGCTTTGATAGCTGCGACTCGATTTCTTGTTTGGTCAGGTTCTCAGGGTTTGGAACCCATGATTCTGACCCCAGCAAACTTAATCTTCCCGACAGCGCAGGTAATGCGCCGCCGCAATGTGCAAAGATGTATTTGATATTGGGGTACCTGCGGAAAACGCCTTTGTACAACATGTCGGTAGCAACTCGACAAGTGTCAAATGCAACATCAATCAGAGCTGACGGCTTGCCATACTCGCCAGGTAAATAGGCGTTCGGATGGATATGTAAGATCGCGCTTCGTTTGTCGAGCTCCGCGAAAACAGGTTCTAGTGAGGGATCTGAGAGCAGCACACCATTGTATTGCGTGGTCACAGCGTATCCGTCTGGTTTCGGCTCATCGTACTCGTCCCCATATTGAATTTCGCGCAGGCAGGCCCCAGAACTGTCCGTTGGCAGAGCGAGCAGGTGACCGAATCGACTGGGGTACTGTTGAACAATCTGATGCGCATAGTCATTGCCCGCCCGCAGCTTGTCATGAGCATTGGTGACGTAGCTAAGCAGCGCCATCGCCACTCCCGCGTGATCATTGTACTCGATTATTCCTTCTGCGGACCAATGTATCTGTGATGTAGACTCAACCATAAAGTTTGCCTGGCGGAGTTGAGTGACTAGCTGCGAAGCCGTGTCTTCTGAGATCGCCGGGAAGAAATGACAGTGGACATCAAGGTAGCCTTTTGGCGCCATGGTCGAGCGATACGGTAGGCCAAAAGAGTATGAATCGGGAAGGCGACAAAGAAAAGAAACCCTCAAATCAGTATAACACCCAACACTACCTAGACTTCAATCGACTTCCTTGCAGTTGATATGAAACTGCAGGTCGATGTTGACGGAGATTAGCTTAAATCCATATAAATGATCCCCACTTACAAAATGCTTGCCTCGGTTTCGGGGTTTCCCTTGTTTGGGGAGAGGGATGGTTTGTGGGGAATCAATCAGGTTCCGTGTCATACGACTGGGCTTACACGATTTCAAGGTCAACCAGACCTAGGCACGATAGAGAAGATCGAAATTATCTTGAGGTCAGGTGTATCTTCGAAGAAAGGTTGCTACTAATGAGATATATTTAGCAAGGGAAGAGCAAACAATGCCTCCAAGATGATGGTGTAATTTCTCACAGGCGACATTTCAGACCATTGCTGCCTTTTTCTGAGTCCTTTGGAATATCTCTGTCTTGATTCTCCCATAGCTTGGTCGTTTCTACGATGAGTGGCCAGATGTGAGACATGTTTTCACCCGACATCTCGCTCTTCTTAGCTCCATCAAACAAAGCCTCATACGGGTTCAGGTTCGTGCGTGCCAATGCGCTGTCTAATTCGAACTCAGTCAGGCCATATGCAGCAATAATACTGTCAATATGATTTTTCGCAAGATCATCGATGGCGATGGCATAGGCATCACGGAGATGCTTGTGAGTTTCCTGCGATAGATGTAAAGCTTGACTGAGGCTTGGGTGGTGTGGATTTAAGAGGATTGAGAGGGAGAACTAAACCACAGAGCAAG